TAACCCTAACCCTAACCCTAACCCTAACCCTAACCCTAACCCTAACCCTAACCCTAACCCTAACCCTAACCCTAACCCTAACCCTAACCCTAACCCTAACCCTAACCCTAACCCTAACCCTAACCCTAACCCTAACCCTAACCCTAACCCTAACCCTAACCCTAACCCTAACCCTAACCCTAACCCTAACCCTAACCCTAACCCTAACCCTAACCCTAACCCTAACCCTAACCCTAACCCAGGGCAGCGAAGAAGATCGGGGCATAGTACACAAAAGCGTTGATGCCTGTAGACGGTTTAGTGTTAACAAGAACTGTTGTGAATCTGTGGGGGTTCAAATAAAGTCTCTTTAGAAATATTCACCTGAGAACTGTTGAAAGAACGGCATGGCAAGACCAACTGCAGTACGACTGAGATATTTGGGCTTAAATAGATCACCCCACTGCTGCAGTTCAAGCGCAATAAAGCTCTTCTCGGTGCCATGTTCACGAGCAAGAACCGCCTCCTGAAGCTCAACTTCACGAAGAATGCCCTTCCACTCGTGTTGGACGCGAGGATCGGTTCTAGGAAGGCCTCTGAGTCTCTCTAGAGAGTGTAGGCTGTCTTCATCCCGGTGTCGCATGGCTAACCATCTTGGCGAGAATGGGAAGAACTGAATACCGACACCAACAGCTAGAGCAGGGACCATCTGCAATAGGAAGGGCAGCCTGAAGGCCCATTCACCATTAATTACACGAGTGCCGTACGTGATCCAGTAGGCAACGATGGCACCAACGACGATGGATATGTATTCCAGAACTAGAAGAGAGCCCCTAATATTGGCAGGTGCGATCTCGGAGATGTACAACGGGGCACCCATGGCGAGTGTGCCCACGCCTACACCACCGATAGTCCGACCCGCAACGAGGGCACCGTAGTTATTCGCGGCAGTCTGGATAATGGCACCGACAACGAAGAAGGCAGTCGCAATGGCAAGGCCGATCTTTCTAGAATATCGATCGGCGACTAAAGGGAAGAATAGGCAGCCGATAAAGGCGCCGAGTTCCAGCAGGCCCGTCATGATTCCGGTGTTGAAGCCATAGTGGGGATGGCCCGGGGCAATTTCAGGAAAGGCTTTGTGGAAGACTGGCATCGTAAGGATGAGGGAGATGACGCCTTGGTCGTAGCCGAAGGAGAAGCCGCCAAAGGAGGCTAGAAGGGCAGCGCCGAATACATAAGGAGATTGCAGGATAGCTTTAATGCCATTGTTGTCGTAGCTGATGACGGTAGAGTGCCTAAGGGTGACGCCCTCTTCTAGATGGACCGGGCTATCGTGATTAGGCGCGTTGGTCTTGGTATCTATGCTGGTTGGTCTGCTGTTCTTGTTGTCCGACATCTTGGGATGTAGCTAGGACAGACTATTAACTATAGTCTTGGCAGGATAGGTAGAATAGAGTGTTTATTCCGTAGAGTGCCTAGAGATGGCGAAGGACAAAGATAAGAGATTGAGAGGTCATAAGAGTGGATGACGAGAATGATCAAGGCTTTTATCCCCAGGAATGGTGAGGCAACCAAGGCGGTACCATCAGCCTCGAATCCCTAATGACCCCAGGCGGTAGTTACAGCAATTTAGAGAAGGAAAACATAGTCGAATCCACATATTCCCCATGGGGCAGCTGGTTAGCGTGGTGCACGAGCCGAACCGGACATAATGAAAGAGACCATACCGGACATATATTTTAGTCACCCCACAACCGGACATAGCCCCCTGTTTACAGGGGTAGCAACCTATTCGTCGACTCTAGGTTCTTATATGACGTCCACCTAATAGTAAGGTGGTCGAAGGACTCGGAATGCGACTAAGAAGTCCTCCTCGATGTCCCGATGCGAGCAATTATCTTCCCTGGGTTTTCTCCATAGGGTGGCACCTCGCGTCACCACTACCTTCTCATATGCGTGCGATTGCCACGTGAACCTGGGGATGGGGACCTCCATAAACCCAGGGACCTAGTCCACCACCGACCTCGTCATTAAGGTATAGAGCGGTTATTTTCGCCTTATCTCGTGATCTTATGACGGCTCACTCTCTGGTCACCTCTTTTTCTAACCATAATTTCTATTACTACAATCCCGAGGACTTTATATTGCTTTCAGCGAGGTTATAGTCTAAGCTTAGGGTCCTAGAGACTACTATTTCCTAGCCTACTCTGTTTCTTCGTATAAGGTATAAAGTAAAATTCTTTCTATGGTTATCTAGTTCTAAAATTATATACTTGTAAATTGTTTCCTTACTTCTATTTAAATAACTAATTGTTAATAAATATTATAGCCTTAATATAGTTAAAAAGTTTTATAGGTAAAGGGTATAGTTTCTTAATATCTTCTTTAAGTTTTAAGTAAAATAAGTTAATAAATACTTGATCTAGGTAGTTTAGATATAAAGTTGCCTATCTACATATAATAGTAGGGGTTTTAGCACCTTAAGAGGTTTTTATCTTATCACTATAAAAAGGGAGGAAGGACTATATACAATAAGAAAAGGTAGTGAAATAGGGTAGTAATAATGATATAATAATAGTATTTAATAGTATATTATAATACTACTCTTTTCTACGCTAAGGTTATAAACTTAGTTTTATATAGCTTTATCTTTACCTTACCTACTTAATAGTTATAGCTTGATTTTCTATAGTCATGAGAAACCCTTCATTAAACTCCGCACAGCCTACTCTTTCAAATACTTGTTAGCCCACCTCCTTAAGAAGCCGTGCAAAGACCCGTCCACCCGGGGCAGGGGGCAACTCTGTACCCTCATTCCACTCAATTAGGCTGATAGATTTCGCAAGAGGAAGCAGATAAAGGAACCCTTCAACTATTCCGTCATGTGTATCTGTCTCGATCAGTGTAGTAACAGTAACCCGTCGACCGAAAGACTCAGAGCAAAGGCGTAGCTGCCAATTAGCCATCCCTTAATACAGATCTAACTTTTGCGTCTTTTCTGGGTAACTCTTCAAGACTTGTGTGATTGTCGCCAGATCTTTCCGCCGATTTACAGATCTTTCTCCTTCAAGACAGGCATATCCGCGTAGTAGATTACTAGAAAGCGTAATATGGGCGCCAGGAGCGCTGCCCTGTTTACTTGCTCCTGGTGCGCTCCACGTGAGGTCGAGTGTCTGCACAAGCCGCTCAATCGGCAGTGGCGGAGCAAAGAAGAAACGTCGTCCTTTAAGCTCATTAAGTGGATCCTTGCGGCAAATGCTTGCCCAAGACCAAGTTGGTGCGCCACATCTAGTTGTACGTGTTAACTGGGCGTAAATAGAAGGCAACAAAGGTCCCCACCAAAGACATTCAAGAAGTTTACTCCTCCAAACGCCGGCGATAAATTCATCATTAAGAATCAGTGATAGCCTTGCAGCTAGAGCCGAGATAGCATGAAGCCGATCGGACTCTTGAGTTAGATCTCGGTTACAGTATTGGGATGCTATCGTGAGCCATAAAGTGAATATGTCGTCTCGGACCGCCTTGTCTTTATTATTTGATATATTTATTAGTAATGGGCAGTTAAACCTGCCTTAACGATAGATATATGTTAACTCTTCGACGATATACCTAGTAAGCCTCTAGCAGCCGCTTCGCTATACCGGGCTCGAAGTAACCCGCCCATAGTGCTTAAACTTGGGTCTCTAGATAGAACGGTTGCCATGTTGTTCTCGACCCGAATCGCGTTTGTACTTATGTCTTTGCAAATCCCCTGCGGACAGCTCTCCGATCTACTCATTTCAGCACCTTCGAAAGCAACCCAATATGGATAAAAAAGAGTGTTCTTCGAGGGAAGATTCTTTCTTACAAGATCCAGCCCCGGGAGTCAAGATGTGATTTAGTCGACTGTAGAATCGGAGATACCGTCAATGTTACTTTTCTTGTCTTGCGTGGAAAGGTCGCCATATTGATCCTGATCGGGAGGTTGAAGGGGCGCGTTGCCCCGCCGTTACGTTCCTGCCAGAGGCTGGCTTCACCGTCACAATTTGTAGCCGCTGCGATGTTAAAGTCTGCGTTCTGATAGTAATCGGCCATCTTTGGGATCTCGCGTATTTTGTCATCATCAGAATCTTGAATGATGCAAAGAGAGTCTATCTAGATATAGTCCAAGCCTAGTTTCTTCACACTGATATAGGCTTCCCGAAAGGTTTTCGTAAGCGATCTTTTGGAATGCCGTTTTGGGTATACTCGTGTTCAGTTGAAGCTTTCGTCAAACAAGAGTGGTTCTTCTCCCATCGGTGGCTTGGAGTCGCATAAGATGGCCTTCTAGTGTCGAAGTTTCTTAAAGCTGAAAGAACAAGAAATACGAGCCCAATATTATCTTCAACAGTTGAGACATCAAGGAGTCGCGTTGGATATATAGAGGACGGTTCGGAAGGTTTCTTCTGCAGGATTGATGGCTTATCTCACATCTCGTGATCTAAGACCTCATGAGCGACATATTAGAATCGCTTCCGGTCGATGCATCGTAAAGTATCACGGGAAGGTCGGGTCTAGCGGCTGGGGCGTATGATTTCCATCTCGTAAAGACCCGTCGGTATCTTCTTCGAAATGTAAAGATGACCGAGAGAGTACTATTGGGTTGTGAATTCGGAAGTGTAAATCCTGAACATCGGGGTGGTCGATGAGAAGGTATTCGGGGGCATCACCGTCGCTTAACCCAATCTCTTCACCGATAAACTCAAAGTCCAAATCATCGTACTTTTCGGGGTGATATTAGATAGCTAGAGAGAGACTAGCGTCGTCTCTAGTAATGGTTTTCTGTTGGGTTATGATAGTGCCAAGTAACGCAACGCAGAAGTTACATTCACGTAACTCGGCCTGACGCTTTAATGATGGGAATTCCTGTGTGATAGCTTGAAACCTATCCGCTAAAGCTTGGTCTAGCGGATCGAAGGTAAGATTCTGACAAGTGTTGCAAAGTGGCATTATAGGCTTCGAAGGCTACTTAAGTATCCTATCCTGTAAGGTAGTGAAGAGGTTAGAATGAGATCTATAGCCGCCGTATATGATAGCGGAGTCGAGGAAGCGGGCACCAATTATAAAGGACATCACTATTTAGACTATAGAGAGTTTTCTAAAGTTTTACTGATAAAAATAATTCAGCTTATAAGCAATAAAATAAAAAGTTAAATATAAGTATTATTAGTATATTAAATCAACTATTAGAAAGGATATATTATAACTTCACTGGCTATACTAGCTGTCGTCAGTGAATAGGGGTTTACTATAGGTGGACAGTCTCCTAGCCTATCTACATGTTAAAGCTGTCAACTAGTTACTAATAGCTCCTAGTCGTTACAGTTAGTTACTATTAGTTCCTATAGCTGCTAGATGCTTAACTTATAGACTATCTGACTGACTGGTTCTATGAGTGTGTTAACGAACGGGAGTACTTGCTGACTATAAGTTATCATATTCACCTTCGATTATATATAGTATATATACTATAGTATAATAGTTAAGGCTGTAAAGTTTATATCTTTTCTAACTCCTATATCTATCTATCTACTATCTTTTATATCTACTTGCTAGTGTGCCTGCTAGGTGCTTAGGTTGCTAGTTAGTTGTCTGCACTGGCTGGCGTCCTTACTTGCTTGTATATTGATAGTGTTGACAGGTGTTAGGACTTTTCTATGTGATAGGATGTTAATCTTCTATTTCTCTAAAGTTTATATACCTCTTATATAGATATTTTATCTATAATAGTTCCTCTAATCTTTATTATTAACTATCCTTCTTTTATCTAATTAGTAGGTATCTTTAGTTAGGTAAGGTATATTTAATAAAATATTACTATCTAGTTATATTATAAGTTAGGGTTATAGCTATCTATTTTATAATTATTAGTTCCCCTTCTATCTACTAGCTTATAATATTTCTATAGCTATAGACTATAGATCCTATTTATAGCTATACTTATAGTTTATATATTAAGCTACCCCTTTATATAGTATTTATCTAGCCTCTTTTATTTATTGTTACGACAAAGGTCGTGCCAACTGGCTTGCTGACAACCGAGCTGTCAGGAAGCCGTTGGAGAGATAGTGGTATCTCTGGAGTGATCGTGGGATCACTCGGTCGCTGCGAGGGTTACCAATCCTCAAGGGTCGCTAGGTATCACTTTCTTACAAGATACAATAGTCACAATAGAAGCTATAGTATCTGATGTAAGGTAGTAAAAGGGTTGGTTTCTTCTCTCTAGCTAGTAAGGGATTCCTTCCCTTTTATATCTAGTCTACCCTTGTCCACTGCTCGTAATCGCTTACCCTTGGTTTCTGCTTGTGATCACTATCTTAAAGGATAGCTCACGAGGAAGGGTAGCTCTTGCTTACTTATCAGTGTTCACTGACTAAGCTAGGATTACGAGCTGGTGCTAAGGTCGTGGTTCCTGGCGGGTCGGAATCGTAAGCTTGTGGGGTCCGTCGTCTCTTTGCGCTGCCAGTCAGGTGGCGACCTCCGTTGGCCTAACATTTATACTATAAATTATAATCTATACCTTAGGTTATAAGCTGTTAAAACCGATCGCGACTAACCTTCCTAGCCCTACTATTCCTTTGATATTACTAGGCTATTTCTATAATTTAGCCTTTTCTACTACTTCTACCCTTTAGATAGCGTCTTAAGCGAACTATGACGCTAACTATAATAACTATCTATATTTTACTAGACGGCGGTTAAAGCTAGCTTATCTCCACTAATTTTATATCACCACTCCTTAGAGCTCCGCCTAGGGCTGGCTGACGGTCGTATAATATCCCTAGTCTTCATATATTCTAAATTACTCTCAGATAAAAGTGCCTCGAAACATATGTTCTCGCGCGGTTTAATACTATTACATAGAAATTTTATAGTCTTAGAGGACCAACGTATTTATATATATCATGACACCGATTAGAAGAGGATAGGAATAGTAAGTTTCAAGTGCTAGCAGTTTACTTCTATAGTCAATTAATCAAGTATTCAACATGGCCTCCACCCATTCCTATACGATCCGACACTTTCTATTAGAATCGAGCTTAGGCCCTGGGAGTAATAAAATTTGATAGAGGTTTAGGCTACACGCACCCGGATAACATATAGGGTTACTATATTGGTGTCTTTCAGGAGGTTGATTTTGAATGAGGCGCAAACCTGTACAGTCTTTGTCGATCAAGGCCCCGATATGTAACCCGCTATTCTCTAACACCGGCTTGTGGAGGCGAGGCACACCTGTACTAGCTTCTGGTATATCCGCTGCGAGATATACCGAATAGAAGCTGTCTAAGTCATCAAGCCGGAGGCAGCAGCTAAACCGCTTGTTGCAGGGTCGAGCTCAGGGTGAGGAACGAACTCGAGCACGACGGTACCTCTCTAGAGGATCATCCAGTTCTCGTCACGACATTTTTCTTCGGGATTAAGGGCCCTGTAAAATTTCAAAGTGGCTTCCAAATTTCGCGATGGGAGATTCGGCGTAGAATGGCTCATTTCGAGAGATGATAGATGCTAGCAGTAGGGATAGTGAAGGAATATCTGAAGAGTATATAACGCGGGATAGAATTACAACAGAGGAGGTATTACTAATAGAATAAACTATCTCCATCACTACTGCTACTACTGTTGCCGTCATTGAGTAAACTTAACCTCGATACTTATATATAAAACAGGCTCGACTGTTGTAACCCTAATGTAAGCGAGCCCTAAGCTATATTGCCTTGTGTTAGAATGTCATGCAATGGTACGACTTATCTAGGCTGAATAATAATTAAACTATCAAATTAATTTACACGTTGCTTTAGTGTCGGGTCCGATCGTAGATATACGCCGCAGTCTAAATTGCTCGTAGGGAATCATACTAGAGGCCTAAGTCTAGGTGCCGCTAAGTAAGTCGGCTATAGACTGCGAACTATCTAGGCGAACACGCTTAGAGGCTGTCCATACAGTCGAACCTACTATCCGATCGATCCTAGAGACGGAGGCATTCCCACTAGAAATAGTTGTTCCCGAAAGATATCTTAAGATATATAGATAAATATATAGTACTATTTCTAGAGATAATACAAAGTAACTAAAATATATATGATAAGAGGAACTCTTACCTAGCTCTCCTAATAAACAAGGCTATAAAGCAGCTAAGTTTCTCTAGGACTATGAAGGGTCCGCCCAGATAATATAACGAAGTTCACCTTTATAAACATTCTTACTCGGGGCGTACCCTTGGCCTTGTATGAGGTATTCGCTTGCTACAGCGTTTGTACCAGTGAACGGGACGGTCCAAGTGTATGTGTAGCCACTCTGGGATTGAGGTGCGACACCGATCGGGGACCAGGACCAATCCGCATTTGCTGTAGTCCCCTCGTACCAAGAGCCGGTATATTGGTAAAACCCCGAATAAAACTCATTCCCCTCAACTAGGTAGTTGACTATTTGGTGGTGTGCAATACCGAGATTATCCACTCCCGGTACCTGGATTGGCCACCCGCGGCCGATTCCGGACTTCATAGTGGGCTGATTAATACCGATGAAGAGTCGCACAAATGCGTATGGGACCAGAACATCGGCCGTGTATGTAACCGTGTCACCATTTTTTGTAAAGCCGACATTGGTAATTGTACCACTCTCTGGAAGGCCTTGCGTGCTGGCCGAGATTAACCGGGAGCTACCCCCGCCACCGGAAGCTAGAAGGGTCCGTACCTCGAACGTCAGGTTTGGGGATCCAGGTTCGAGCATACCAATCGTAGCTCGAGTTAACGACGGAGGAAGCTCTAGTACCAGTGCGCCATTTTTATACACCGCATAGCCAAGAGCATTCCCGACGGATGACCAAGTCAAGGTGACAGAGCTATAATCAGAAGAGGAGACCGCGGCATTACTAGGAAGACCAGCAACATAGGAGCCGGCGAACTTAGCTGGGTCGTCAATTCTAGGCTTGCCACCGGGCACGGCGTTGAGGACCGCTTGCATATAGGCGTCGTTAGGTAGGTTGTCGTACGGGTTGGGATTGTCATCATCGGTAATTTCCAGTAGGCCTGCATGACGACTCCGAGCAAGGGCGGCAACGGTAGCAATCTTATCCTGTGGTACCCGGTAGATGATGTGCCATATCTTTCGGGGATCCTTAGGCGTCCAGTCGTTGGGCACGAATGAGGATTGGTAGCTCTCGTAGCTGTTTTCGAATGTCAACAGCGCATCCATTGTGTTTTCGTAACATTGAGCAATCGGCGACCCAGGGTTGAGGACTGTGAAAGCACCGGGGTGTTTTCGCTTGGTGTAGTTGTTGATGTACGTGTATAGGTCCGCATAAATGTTGTTCGGGCCGCATTCTGGCCAACCTTCGTCAAAGAAGATGCCGCCAAGGCTGGAACCGTACAGCTCGTACCATTTGTCGATATCTTGTTCAATCTGCGAAGCCCAGTCTGCAAGGTCATGCGAGCCCAGCCGAGTCGTAAATCGTTGTTGGCTTACGCCAAGGTACCCAGTCCGTACATAACCAATAATTGTCTTGCCTTGACTTGCGGCTTGGTCAATCACGGATTTCCAGGCTGGGTCGACAACATAATCTGGACCGTTTAAGACATTGGCGACTAGAACGCTGAGCTTCCCCGTATCGTACGTGAAAAGTCGCGACCACGACGCCGGGTCTCCGAGTGGATTAATATAAGACGCGATCGCAATCTGCTGGCGGGCGCCTGCCCCTGAGCCGGGATCTGACCCCCACCTGTCAAGACAAGATCATCTACCCAACTCGCAACCTCTCTGTTATAACTATCCGGATAGGCCGAGGCCGGGGTAAATCCATTGATGGCGAGAAGGGAATTGATGCCTTGGGGGTCGTTGGCATTATCCGAACAGCCCGGATAGTCTTCGCCGGGATAAAGTTCCCAGGCTGAAAGACCCTCGGTAGTGTTCAAGTAGAAAGTACTATCCTCGGTGATGAAAATAGCCAGCGAACTCGTCGGGATCGTAGGGTATGGGGGACTAGCTAGCTCGTATGTAACGATAGGTAGGTGGGGGTATATATTGTCATTCTTTGTCATGACATACTTTGCTAATGCGTAGTATGCTAGGTTATCAGCATTCCGCTGAACATAGTATCCGGCAGTGCCAACCGTCGGGTTGCCTTGCCAGCGAGCTAGAATCTTAGTAGCAAGGGGCCCGTATGCCTGTGACTTGAAGGTTTTTGGCCCAAGGCCTATTTTAATTTCAATATTGAGGTCAGTGACACGTGGATTATTAGTTGGAGAGTCGGCTGCTAGATCTAAATGGAATAACTCATGCTTGTTAAATTTATCGGGTTAGTATACCTAGATCGGATCTATAGAGTTGAAGCTCCTAAGGTATGTAATCTAACTCACTAAGAATGCACTTGCTCTGTTGTCGTAGTTTTTTAGCATCAGGTTGTACGGGCTATTAAGACTGTTTCCGTACGTGATTGCATCCTCGAGCTTTCTACGGTTGAAAAAGCCTTCACAGAAATTAATCATTGGAGTCCCTGGACTGTCTGGGTCTGAGTTTGACGCATATGCAAGAGGTGGCGACAGCGGCTTCTGGTCTGGGTTAGGTGGGCTAGATGAACGGTATTTATTAGTCAAATCCCTCTCCCAACTCCACTTATAGGAATTGATACATGCATATAATAGAGAGACAAGGTGACACTGCGTACTTAGGCTGGCATGGGTTGTTATCTGGTCGGTTCTGGCATAACTTGGCAGGATCATCACATCTGACCTTGATGTAATGCTGGAAGAGATTTTTGTAGCTGTAGATCATCGTTGCTACGTTTGCAAGGACGGCCTGGATTTGAGCTTGTTGATGTTTATTCTGTCCAGGAGCACCGAGAAACTCTAAAGCTGCTGCGCTATTCCAATCGATATTCGACGCCACCCCGGCGGTACTTAAGAGGGCGGAAAGAATGGATGTCAGTGTCTATGTCCCATAGTTGATTTCGGTGTGTCGGAACTATAATCAATAGCGAATCTAGGGGATATAACTATTGAGGTGAGGGTAGTAGGGATAGGAAATCTACATACTTTGACATAACCCACGCATCGAAATAGGCGTTGTCGATTTTATCCTTCGCCCCAGGGCCGAAGTTTTGGTTACACTTAACATATTTATAGAGCCAAGTTCCTAGAAAGTTCTCAGGTAGGGCAATATCAGTTGGGATCACTCGGTAAGGAATCTCGTCACCTGGAAAGTCATCAGGTGGCGCTGCTCGAGCGTTTGGCAGCAGGGAGAAGAGGAGGGTAAGAGGGACGAGAGGAATCATGTCGACGGCTGATGAAGAGAGAAAGATAGAGAATCAACCTACACTCTATGTTATGAGTAGGAGGCTCTAGCATAGCGCAGCGTTCAACTTTATAAAGGCTTTACTGAAGGGTCTATATGACTATAATTGAAATATATCTTCCACTCCAGCTACAAAACGAAGGGGCTCGAGTGTTTACAGTTATTAAGCTGGTTATGTAGACTAGGATGCTTCTATGAGGGATTCTCGTGGGGAGGAGGATTGACTATAGAATTTACGAGGAAACTACATATGTTAGTTGGCGCAGAATGTAGGTGCGGTTGCTCCCCTGTCATCTTTTGGTCCAACAGTCATAAACCCACCTATATTACAACCCTAAGTGTGTTGGTGCAGAATATAGGTGCTGTTACTCTCCTGTCATCTTTTGGTCCAACAGTCATAAACCTACCTATATTACAACCCTAAGTGTGTTGGTGCAGAATATAGGTGCTGTTGCTCCCCTGTCATCTTTTAGTCCAACAGTTATAAACCCACCTATATTACAACCCTAAGTGTGTTGGTGCAGAATGTAGGTGCGGTTGCTCCCCTGTCATCTTTTGGTCCAACAGTCATAAACCCACCTATATTACAACCCTAAGTGTGTTGGTGCAGAATGTAGGTGCGGTTGCTCCCCTGTCATCTTTTGGTCCAACAGTCATAAACCCACCTATATTACAACCCTAAGTGTGTTGGTGCAGAATATAGGTGCTGTTGCTCCCTGTCATCTTTTGGTCCAACAGTTATAAACCCACCTATATTACAACCCTAAGTGTGTTGGTGTAGAATATAGGTGCTGTTGCTTCCCTGTCTTTTTAGTCGTCTAACAGTCATCTAGGTATAGTATCGTAAAATATAGGTGCTGTTAGACTAAAAAATGATAGGGAGCGTTCCTTAGCATTTTTCGCCTAATTACATATAGCCGAAAGAATAAGATTATCGTGTGGTAAATCAGCTATTGTAAAATAGGGAAAGGTCAGTGGAGAGTAGAAAGGATAATATCCTATAAAATGATAATGACTTTATAAGGCTTTAGATTATTGGTTAATTAAATATTATCAAATTAAAAAACGAATGTTTACTTAAACTGATAGTGCTGACCTCGGTTAACACGATAGACTCACTGAGTACCTTGGTAAATGCTTCCTACATTTATTTAGAGCGGGAGCTAACATTACCCCCACTAAGATCTGACCTAATATAAATATATAAGACTCGGGGAGTCCCACCTTCTTCTCTTCTCTTCTCTTCTCTTCTCTTCTATTCAATCTCAAACCTCAACTCTTCTTCTGCTTAGGATTATATATTTACATTTACATCCCCGATATGATATTCTAACATGACTTTAGCAACCCTATACTGCTCCCTATTACTTTCAATTTTCTCTAAGCTCTCTGCTAGCAAACAATCACTTCCCTATTATCTTCTTTTGTCCACAGTTTCTCTACCTTCTATCTACGGTTTCTCCACCTTCCATCTACAAACCCAAATGAGCGACGAATCACAGCACGGCTTCTCGTGCCCTACAAACCCTCCTCTATCGGTGACAGATAGAACAGAATTCGGTGAAAGAGGATGCCTTATCTACGGCTATCCTTCGAGTGGCGGGGTTCTCATTAAAGAGGCCAATCTCCTTGACATGCTTTTCCTATCGCTTGCCCGCTCCCAAGCATCGCATCGCGCATCCAGCCCGGACGAAGAGGACACATTCTGCAACCTGATGCGACGCACTGGTGCGACACTATGGCCGAGTAAAGAGGACTGGATCGATGTAGAGCTAGGGATAAGGGATGCGACAGAAGAAGAAAAAAGGTAGTAGTGTTTGGTTGGCCGATGGATGGGGTTGGTGTGTGGGTATTGCGGTTTACGAGTGCCAGGCAACTGCCGAGAGACTTTGGGAGAATCGCCTTCGCAATGAATATGGAGGAGAAGATACGTATTATGAAAGAGTATGGCGCTACATTTGTCGAAGATGTTACCCAGGTAGATGAACTTAAGATAGAAAAAGCATAGTAAACTATCTAGTCTCCACTATCTTTTAGTATATACTAAACTTTATTATACTAAAAGCACCCAGGAGCTATAACTAGGCTTATTATAGCTGCTATAGCTGTCTACTATTGCTGGCTAGATACTGTTATGGCCAGCCTAAGAAGCAAGCAAAAGCGGACAAAAGTGGTAGAATTAGCTAGACTACGGAAGCAGCCCGCTAATTCAGGAACGGCAGCACTATAAAGGTCGGTCGCCGACCGGTCACGACCTAAGATAGAGATCATAAGTAAGAGTATAAACGAAGCATATAACCTAGGCCTAGAGCCTAGGTAAATACCTTATAACAGGAGTAGCTGAATACCTATACTATAGCTAGAGGTATATAGAATTATTACAACTTTGCTAGGGTGTAATGGGATAATTCGGAAGACCCGGCAGCACCGCTCTCGGTCGGCCCAGCCCGCGCTGTGTGCCTACGCCGAGCGCACTCATTACTACGAGGATTACCCGAGTCACTGAGAACTAAGAGAGCTGGGGTAAGACCGAGACTTGAGCTCAGCTCCGGCGAAGGGCCGGAGAGGGTTTAGAAACGAGTTAGCGATCTATTAGGTAAGGCTAGAGGGTAGTAACCGAATATAAAAGAAGAGGTAGTAGAGGTAGAGCCGAAGAGAAAAGAAGGCTCTATAAACTGAAGTCTATACTCGCGATTCAGCGAACCCACACTGGATCCTTATAAGGGGATGTGCAGGGCACACTTAAGCGGAGATGGGGGATCACGGAATGGGCATGGAGAGAGTTCTGTGTGGGTTCGCTGAATCGCGAGTATAGACTTCAGCTTGCAGAGCCTTCCTTTTGTTCTAGCTCTACGATTTATGCCTCTCCTTTTATATTACGTTTCTACCCTCTAGATGATATCTGTCCAGATCTTAGATCGCCGACTGGCTCAAAAACCTCTCCGGTCCCTTACCGGAGCTAGGTCCAAGTCTGAGATATTGGTCTTAGACCAGCTTCCTTGGTTGCTGGCCACTCGGGTACTCTTCGCAATATTGGGTGCGCTTGGAGTGGGTTCGGGGTGCGGGCTGGGGTCGCCGTTGGCCGGCTCCGCCCCGGGTCCCGACTTATTCCTTTACAATTCTCTCCGTGCCTTTTCCTGTGATTGCCTATCTCCGCTTAAGTGTGCGCTGCACATCCCCTTATAAGACTGCTTAGCGTGGGTTTATAGAATCGAGAGTTACACTTAAGCTTATAACCTCCTTTCTTTTCTAAGGACTATATACTTGATCCCCTTCCCTTATAACTAGATTCCATTTAATTTTTCCTATCTTTCTAGGCTACTAGCCCGTCTCTAAGACCTTTCTAGCCCGTTGCGAGAGCTGAGTGAGGTCTGAGATGTTGATCTTAACTTAGTCTACCTTAGCCTTAGTCTAGTTAGGTGATCCTCGCTTGATAGGTTTGCGTATAGAGTAAATATGGAGTAAGGACGAGGAGCGACCCCGTTGCTCCTCGTCGCCCCTACCCCTAGTATTCCTCTATACCTTCACCACCGTACCACTTAGTTCAGTCCGTTTTCTATCACTAAATCTCCTAATAAGGATATATCAAAGAAGTACTATATTACGACTAATATGTTTAATATTATATAAAATTAAAAATATATAATATATCAGGTAAAATGAGAAAATATATAGGCGGAATGCCACCCTCCTAGAACCTCGCGTAAACTTTATATAAGCCGATTAGCTAGAGATATATATGGGAAATAGGATCACCGGAAACGGATGAAGAAGGGATCCTAAAATAAGAGAAAAGTGATGATCATGAAAGGAGGAAATAGTTCCTAGAAGGGGAACCGTTTCCTATCTAAATAGGTGTGTGTGGGTCGTCCTGATCGGGGGCACCGCGAGCGGCGATGCTCCAGTCAGCCCTCCCGCCAACAATATATATTAAATGGAAGGATACCACTAGATTAGTAGTTCTAGATACATCATATAAACATCCTAGAAATATCATATATAAAAGTGGTAGAAATTACCCTATAGAAGCGGATCTATTAGAAGGATCTAAGTAGCTAATATAGATATTGTCCAATTTGTTTGATATTATATACTCTAAATAGTCTAATCCTTAAATAAAGAGGCCTTCATCTTGCCTCACTTTCCTCGAGCTGCGTCGCGCGACGAACGGCATGCCTTTGCCGCACACAACATTCCACAATACTAATGATGAAAATTATAACGCGGAACGCACTATGAGCGGTTATTAGGCGATAATCTATAAGATTAGGATAATAAGTATACTAGTTTTTCAGCACTTACATCATAGTGAGGGTTAGATATACTGTTATGAGGAGGGTATACTGCTCATTTATATCTAAGCTAGAGTATCCCGGTCTGTTTAGATTGCTTAACCCTTGACCAACATTATATAGTAAGCTACCAGCTAAGAGTCCTAGCACGATAATATCTAGTATAGGGACGCATGGTAAGGGGACGCGACGGAGTTGATGCCTTCGATAATAGAAGTCTAGATGCTGGCTGAGATCGAGTATTACAGCACAAACAACCTAAACCAAGGCGGAAAGGTTAGCTATATATAGTCAAATTATCAGGTTCGGGATCAAGCAGCTAGAGAACCCGCTTACCCCTGCATACTGAACACCATTTGTGTAGTCTAGGGCTACACTACCGTATACTAGGAGGACTAGAACAGCAAGATCAAACCAAAATGATACCCCTCTATAAACGAGTCGAGAAATGCTTGCACATTTGTCCCAGCGCATCGTAGGAATGCTGTGCTTAAAACTTATGAAGTATGTAAAGAATACTCGATGGCGCCTAGGTGTTAGACTTGAAGTAGGGTTCGAACTCAATTGCGTCCATAAAGTTGGGGTCGGGTATAGGCTATATATGCTGACAACACTTCAAGCGTGCGGGGAATCGCGCAACGTTCCACAAAGCGAATAATACACACTGTTCACCTAGGTCCTTCGAAACAAGGCTTGTTACATGGTATTTCGCCTTTATTAAGTCGGGCGAGGCTTTGAAACGGGCAGTAGTAATTATAGGCCACGATTAGCGAGAATATTAATTCCCTCAGCTGTACGCAATGCTACACGATAACTAAAAGATAAGCTTAGGTCATAAGGCGCCTACTATATTTATTTGAGTAGGGTGATCACATAAATGATTAGTAAATTTCTATGACCTCCCTTCTTCGCCGGGATTGGCCCTGGATACGATTTTGTACCTTGAAGCGGTTAAGGTTTCGCGGGTTGGTTCCTAGGTGCATGTATGAACCGGCTGATAAATGAGGTTCAAACGGCTCCGCGTCAATTGCGCGTTGGCGGACGAAAGGAAGCATGTCATTAGGTCTCCGCTCACCTATTTTATATCTATAAACGTTTTACTATAGCCCTCAATCAAGTCTTACAGCCCGTTTTCGTAGCGATCATGAGTTAGTGGGCGAATAGAGGCTGTTAACCGACCTTTAACCGAAGGTAGCTTAGATTTACACTACAGTTTCTCTAGAAGTTAAGAGTGTCGATGAGATTAGTATAGTACCTGTCGGGCTCGGCAAAATTTTTAAGCAGTTGGTTCGCTTAAAAAGGCACGTTGCTTTTCCTTTCCCGGTCATTCGATCCTCCTAGAATAGTAGATATAGGACTAACCAACAGATTAGCTAATAGATAAACCAACAGACTAACTAATAGACTAACCGGCAGACTAACTAATAATAGAACAACTTCAACGTGGTGATAGGTTCTGTGTTACCGTGTAGATGAACGGACTACTTCGTATACTAATAACCAGATCTTGCGCCGGGTCGTGGTGTCATGATATAATGACGTCCACACAAATCTAGGGCAGGTAATGGATAAGGCAGACGAACACAGCCATGCTAACATGAAACAGCATAATAGCAATATAAGCGGAGGCATGTTATATTATGCTAATATGCTTCTAATGCGGTAGAAAAGTAAAGCTGCGGTACCTAAGGTATATTTTTCCTGACGAGAATGACGATTTTATCTTATAACAGCTTGCTAGTATATCCTAGAGATTCTAACCGGCCCTAGAGGTGGTCATAGGATATAAGAGAGGTTCGATATATAGGATCGATCTAGCTTAAGTATATAGCTGAGTCTATCCCTTAGCAAAGGAGAAATCTCTGGCTTAAATCTGTCGTGATATATAGGTGCATTATATGAGAAGCCCTACTTAGTACCTCTCGGTGAAAACGGCAAATTGATCTCTAGACTCACTTCCAGGTGTTATTCGAGCTGGATCATCTTACTCTTGCTCTCTTTAACACTTCCCGGCCTTTCGTTCTCTACCAACCTTAGTTTGCGAGAAATCCCAACCTATTCGACGAACACTTCTTGTTTCCTACCACGGCTTAGTAGGGCTACCCCCACGGATATAGAGAACGCCCGAGTAATCGTCAATGACGTGTTGCGTGAAGTTGCGAGGCGGAATAAGGCGCGTCTTGACAACCCAGTTCGAAACAACATAGTCTCAAGCCTGGGACGCGTGTGAACGGAGACGCTGTGATCAAATATCGCAGGGACTTATCAAGCGGTCCTCTCCTCCTTGACATTACATAAGAGATTGCAGATGCTGCCGCACTTGTCGCCGAGGCGGACGCCTACGCTAAAAATAGCGGCTCGGCGCTGTTACATCAGGGCCGCAAGCGGGCCGGATACTGGATGGAAGACATTGATCATAAATGAACGTGGCCTTTCAGGAAAGACGATAATTATCAGCTATGTTAAGGTGGTAAAGTGGCGCCATTCTTTGGTTCCCTATAGAAGATCTCTGCTATGAAAGTAATACTGATATAAGATGCTTGCTAGGTTTTTCGAAACGTCAAAGAATTCGGCGCTGTTGGTGATGGTGTCACGGTAGGCCCTTACACAGACTTTGTCTCTTAGCTTTACTTCGCCCGTGCCGATAAAGAGGCGCTGACTTCACCTGAGTGATAGGATGACACTGTCGCTATTAGAAGTGCTATCAATTCCACCCAGAGCAGGGGTGCGCTGAGGGGTGCAATGGTTCAACTGTTTCAAATGCAATAGTCTATTTCCCCTCCGGTATGTCACTGGGATAACAATCTTACTTCAGTCACTTGGCAAAACCCGTTACTGACATTAATTCAGGCACATACCTAGTTTCTAGCACTATCTATGCTTCATTCGGTACACAGATGATTGGCGATGCACGTATGATATGTGTTAATGTCGATAGACGCTCATCTGACCTGGTGATAGCCTAATAACCGTCCCACTATCAAAAGAGCTAAGTCTTTTATTAACCTTAGAGTATTCGCAACTGATGAGTATGTTGAGAGTGGCGGGACAGGGCGGAATTTGGTATCTGTAAGTCCGCGCTGGACAAAAGTTAGGATCTCTTAGGAATATTAACATATCTTTTCGGATGGTGGCAATCAACAGTCCACCGCTCAGCGACTAACCTACAAGAACTGTGTAACTGCTGTCCAACTTTCCTGGGACTGGGGATAGGTAAGTATCCTAACGCTAGAGATGGCGCTTTGTCACCCCTGTCGACTGTGGAGTTTATATCGCTAGTGATAGTTAATTGATAAAGAGTTTCTAGAGCAGGAAAAACATAGATATCTCTAGATGCATAACTGTATTCAACCTCACCTCTAATGATAATGAACAACAACACTATACCGGCTCGATTTTACTCCTAGATTCCAAATTCACAGACACTCAGACAGCGATCTTTACCTTCCCTACTATAAAAGACCTAGCGCAAGGAACTATAGGGATCACTCTTGATAATATAGCATTCTCTAATGTGAAGAATGCGGTCGTAGACACTGACGGTAAGCCCTATCTCTTGGCCAACGTTGGCAGCATCGACACTTGGTTCTTAGGACCCATCAATTTAGACGGACGGGTACGAGGAGACTCACTTTCCATGACGTTTACTACGATCCGTGAGGAATCTCTCCTTAGATCTTTAGTTCCAGGCTTTCCGAAGAAACCATACTTAGAAAGGGAAAGACCCCAATACGAACACGAAGAAGCAGCTTCCTTCGTACATATAAAAGACTATGCTATAGGTACTTCCTCTAAATAGGGACTTTTGTATTTTGTCTAGAGTTCTAACAGGATGCTAGGTGATGGTGTGGCTGATAACACGGCCGCTTTTCAGAGGGCTCTCGATGATAACGGAGGCTTAAAAATCATCCTTGTCGACGCCGGCTTTTATTTACTTAAGAATACTATTCATATTCCTCCAGGTTCTAGGATTGTGGGGAGGCATGGCCTCAGCTTGTTGCTTCAGGAGAAAAGTTCAATGACACATCGTAAGTGGGACCATTCCAGGACGAGCTCACTCGACAATATATTTTTAAGCTGTATTGCTAAATCTTTGGCTAAAAAGCATCCTTTACGATATAGAAGTGGTTCTAGAGCGCCGCGAAGCGCCAAGATACTACAGCACATCGGTGGCAGAACATATATACCTAGCCGCCTAATCGGGGCTTCAAGCACCCTTTCGTTTCTGAATGAGATAGTAATACTGCTGGAGGTCAATCGGCCTATTTGGCGCATTATCTCCCTGGAAGTTACCTGTTCCCTTGCCGCAGAAGTGCAGCTTCCAAGCTATTCACAAGGGAAAAGAGAGGGGTTAGCACTTTTCTCCACTTGTTCTAACGAAGCGTAGACTAGACTTACTACTAGCATCGAAGGCAAGGTAGGACCAGCTATCGTTGAGGTATGCCTTTTCTGTCCCCACACTGATAGTCCTAACCTCTCCCATCTTACCCTGAGCAGGGCGGAGGTCTTTGAGGCCGGCAACCAGCTTAATGAGCCCGGTAATGAACGAGAGTGCAATGTCCTTGGCAAAACACTCATGCTGCCCGTGGCTGAAAGGCGATATAGCCTCCACCTTGCGCTTTGGGTCGAATTTGGTGGCATCACTAACTTCAGCCGGGTTACGTCCAGCCTCACCCTATAAACATGGTTAGTAAACCGTGTGCTAGCAGAGGAGGAGAAGTTATAGAACTGCGAGACTCCTTGCACTTACCATAAGGAAGACGACTGGTGTACCAGGTTGGATAACTTTCCCATCGATCTCCGTTTGCTTAATAGCCACACGGACGTTCCGCTGGTTGCTAGTGAGACGTAGAGCTTCGATGACATAGGCATGGATGTTAGCTGTGTCGCTCTTCGCAGCAAAGTTCTGTACCTGTGCCCAGATGGTGGCATTCTCCTTCTTCAAGAAGAAATCGAGTACCTCGTAAAACTAAAAATTGATGGTCAGCGGTCTCGTTCATCAATCCAAAAGGGACCCTTACTGCTGTGATGGGCACACCAGTCCCTCCGAACGAGGTCAGCCACAGGTTATCAACAACTCTATCAGCAGAGTCTCCTTGAGCTAACAGGTTTTCCACGAGCTTGAGTCCACACCATCGCAACGAATCCTTCTTGATATGCTGCCTAGACCCAACTAGATTCGAGATGGTAGTTGCGATTCCGAAACCAAAACCCTTGCTAGTAGTCACCTCATTGACGAGCCGACGTGTAGATTCGGAAATCGCCTTCACGCCCTCCTGGGCCCGACGGCGGCGTGTCCATGCCTGTGCAGGATCGGTGTTGTTCACGCCCCAGATACGGATATTCAGTAGATGTCTATATAACTCGGCCGTGCCAAATTGGCCATCCGGATTTTCATCTGTCCGCAGATCGAAGTAGAACAAATCGGCGAGCAGTTGCGTATTAAGTGGAATAGCAACGTCACGGATAATGTCAATCTGGTGGAGCCCTTGAGAGAGCTTGAACGTCTCCTTCTCGATGAGCTTGGCCCCGACATTGTCAATGAATTTGTGCAGGGCTGTATGCAAATTAGGAATCTTTTGCACGGCCTTTAGCATACTTTCTCGATGGGCAACATGTGTGGGTCCATCACCAGAAAGCATGAACCAACTATAGTCCTTCTTTCCAGGAAATAGAGCATTGATTCCCGCGAGCCATGGGGCAGCGAAGGTATCAGGGTTTGACAAGGCTTTCTTAGCCGTCGCATTCGAAGTCACGATGATAGGTTGCTTTGGTGGCTTTGGATCATCAACGGTGAACTGGTCAATGGTCCCCAGCTTCTTAGCGATCTGTATATTCGCCTTTTTAGTGTACATGGGCTGCATGACGGCGACGGAGTTGAACGGGAACCAGCCTGGAAGGCCACGCTGGATAAGTTTGTATAGCATGGACCCCCTAGAGTCTTGGGATCCTGTTTGACTTCGTTGAAGCCCCACGCCGTGAGGTTGGCAATGTTGTAGTCTAGTGTATTGAACCTGTCAGATCGCACAAGGGTAATCGCGTCTGAGAGGACAGCTCGGCCGAGCGAATAGGTAGGGCAAATGCCACTTCCGGCGCTGCGAACGGGCTTGAAGTTCTCAATCATAAGGCCAGGGTAAAGCTCGACCATGTCCGGATCGGTGTACAGTCTCTCAAGGATATCCGCAATCTCAGGGTTCTTGTTAATATCCGTGAATTTCTCGTGCCTCTTGAGCCCAAAGAAGGTGCGGAACTCGTTAAGTGACCCCACTTGCCACCTACGGGCTTGATTGATAGCGAGGACCTCGACAATTTTAAGGGCTTTGGGAATTGTGCGGGAGCCAAACACACCCGCCGGATCTTCCATGGCCTCCTTTAGGATATTCACAAGGTCATCATTCTTAAAGGTGCCGTCAGCCTGACGTTTGAGGCCATCAAAGGTCCGTTGGCTCGGATCCTTGGGAATGCCCTTCTCAAAGTCTTGCAGAGCCTCACCGAGCTCCCTCATGCTAACCTGATCCAGATTTTCGGCTGTGCGGTTTGGGAACAGTTTGAGGAAAAAGTCGTTGATCCATCGCTCGTCTTTCTTAGAGATGCAAGAGTGGAATCGATAGAGCAGGTTAAACTCAACGCTGACCTGGTTGCCAACCCCCGCGGCGTGCCTTCGCCGTCAAATTGCTTTCCTATATCCACACGTGGGTCAAGGGTCCAATCGCTGCTGGTGGAGTGGGTGTTGGTGATTGCTCGTAGATAGTCGTGTAAACAAATGTTGATATACATGCCACCGACAATAAGGCGAGCCGTATTAAAAGATCATGGTCCTGCTTAGCTAGAGCACGCGCACGATCTTCTTCACTCGCCTCAGGGCCGCATGCTAAGGTAAATCGGCCATTCTCATTGATCTTGAGCAATATATCGGCAACATAGTTGTGGAACCTGCTGTATAGCACCAGCATGACGTTCACACCAGCCGGCTGTCCCAACAGACGCTTCTCGTGAAAGGTGTCAGGTTTGAGCCGGCCCTCCTTCATCGTGCGAATCTCAAGCTGGTCTTTGAGGGACGAGCCGTACAGAGGCGCGAGGTCAAGATAGGACGAGGTGTCCGACTTGTTCATGTCGGTACGGCTTGTTCTGAAAATGTCATGGATGATGATCGAAGCATGGTAGAAGAACATCGACGAGATGCCTGCTTCGTTGTCCTTGAAGTTTACGTCGTCTCGAGCCATGAGCAAGTCGAAGAGGAGGCTAGCATCCGGCTTGGCTCCGTGAAGGGCCTTGTCGGCCCTGACTGTTTTGGCATACGGTGTGCCGGCCCGTCCGAGATTAGGCTCAAGAATGTTGTTGCAACTCCCGTCAGGCATGCGGTACTGGTGCATGCCATCCGGAGCTTGGGGATCTTTTCGCGAAGTGTAACACTGGTCCCGGGCACCTGAAATTCGATGGTGTCGTAATCCGGGGCACCGGCTATCGCAGAGGTGTTTTGAGGATTCACCACCTCATACTTGACATTCCCGCCAACGTAGGTGAGCGGCGGATGTTGGAGGGTATCCCAAAGCGTATCGATCAGTTTGTTCGTGAGCTGTGTTCGAATCTTAGCAGTAGAGGGCAGCGCTGTAAGAATCCCAATCAAAAGCTCGGAGGTCCTGCTTGTCGGTTAGAGCTCCACTTCAAAACTGTCCTTCGTAAACTGAGTCACTTACCCTTTCTTATCATCAATCGGCTTGCCCTTTTCAAGGAGCATGCTCTTGAGTAGAGACGCTAACTCTATCGGGGTCACCTGGCTGCGAACCCCTGCGTAATCCTTCACAAGCTGTGTGGCTAAAGCAATGGGATCACTGAGGAAGTCGGTCGAGTCATTCTGCGACGACCCGTATGCCTCACCAGCCTGAAACTTCTCGTTGAAAGACATGACTATTTTGGGAATTGGATATTTGTACGTCTATTTCCGCCTTGTTCTTGGGAACCGTAAAACATAACGTAAACTAGAGGGTCCAGATTCATCATTTTATAGAAAGCTCGAGGGGGCAGTAAGGATCAGCCCCCTCCTCCGACGTTCCAACTTTAGCTTTTTCTCATCATTTCCATGGGTTGAAAAGTCCCACAGACAAGCTAGGAGCGGGGTCTGCATTCACCTAGCTGCCATATCGCTGCTTCTCAACCGTGTCCGGACGCCACCAAAGAAAATGCACCGAGCAGGTGCTTCGGGATGATAAGCCAAGTGGGAGAGAGAGGATTTTGATCAACGAGAGGAAGTGAGGTGTGGTGACGGAACTCGGACTATGGGCCAATGGTGACTGAGATAATACCTTCTTGATAATGGCCTTTACGTGATAAGCTCCAGACACTTCTCCTCGAATGTCGACCTGCAGGTCATTCGCTGGTAGCCTACACAATGATATATATGCATGGCGGAAGGGACTACCCGTGCCCACATGAGGAGCTACGGGTCCCGGAGCGGTCAAGCACCGTTAACCAATCGGTTTCGACGGGGACAGGTGTGGTGTAGCGAATTACACCGTACGTGATTGGGTTGTTGGAGCACTCGATCCTCGCTGCATAAACCGATGAAGCCCGAGTGGCGTTGAATGGACTGGCCTGAATCACCTCGTAAAGCGCCGAAATAAACAAGACACGGAGGCATGAAAGAAGCAATACTGATATGTAGTGCTATAATAGCCTAGCCTTAGCTGACTTTTTAACAGGGCAATATTGCAGGCTTCCACGCCGTTATTGTGCCGCGAAACCTACTTCCCGCAGTGTAGATCCCGAGGATATGTCATGTTTGTTTCTTTGCCTTCACGGTAAATGCATGTAAAGTGACTCCGTGGTACCCGAGTTTCCGTGGTTAATGTAGCGGTCCCTATGAAAATTTCGAAGCATTGTAAGTCCTAGATACTGCGAGGAGATCACTCGAACCCAAGATTTGTGGCTAGCTGTGGCCCAACCCCGGCAAAAGCAACTTTCAGGGTCACATCAGCTCCGTACCGCCAGCACTTGGTGCATCCAAGTTAAGATATGCTCTTCAGGCGAAGCCACTCTGTTGAAAGCACGACAAATAAAGGAAAAATGAGAGCGGAAATATTTCTAGCATCGGCACATCGTTGGAAAAAGAAAAAGAAAAACAATGTAAGAAAAGGGGGTCGGGGGTCGGGGGTCGGGCGGGAAAACCAAGGTGAGCCCCGCATACGAGGTGCCGTGGAAGTGTAACCGAAGAAGCAACTTCACATTTCATAGCTAGTACCGTACTAGAAACATGTCGTCTATGGAGTTGATAAATGAAGCTGTGTTCCCTGCCCGATGAGCCCACTTCTTCTCGACCAATACCATAAGCAAAAGACCTGCACAAGACGCGAGCCTCTCCACTCAGCTTAAGAAATCCCCTGCACAAACGCGAGTACTTCCCCTTTCGCGATTTCGTTGTTCAAGCTAGACGCCACCATGCCCTACATATCCAACAACTCTAGTGGGACCTTGTCGCCCACCGTCGTGCCTGAGCCGCCTCGAGAACCCAGGAAGTTAGTTCTCTGTTTCGACGGAACGGGCAACGAATTTAGTGGATCTAATGCCGACACCAACGTTGTCAAGATCCTAAACAAGCTGGATCGCAACGACCCGAATCAATTTCATTACTATCAAAGTAGGTAACTATATATGTGTAGGCAACGGACCACTGCTTACAAACCCCTTTAAGCTGGAATTGGAACGTACGATTTGAATGAGCAGTCTGTGAACAAAACATGGCTGGGAGAACTTCGGAGCTCTATCTCAAAAACCGTAGACCAAGCCGTCGGCACAACCTTTGATGCCCACGTCATGGCCGGGTATCGCTTTTTAATGCGATATTATGATTCCGTAAGTGGTTATATGAATGGATCTATATGTTTAGCTAAGGGTCTCTAACGTCCATGGGGTGTTTCGCGGAGACAGGGAGACAAGATTTACATGTTTGGGTTTAGCCGTGGCGCCTTTACAGCTAAATTTCTCGCCCGCATGATCCACACTGTCGGTCTGCTATGCAAAGGTAATGAGGAGATGGTACCCTTCGCCTTTCGACTTTACCAGCGTTACCTAGCCGGAGAAATCGAAGATTACATGATTGAGCGAGAGATTAAGAAGGCACAAGAGGATGCTTCTGGCTGCTCACCAGCCGATGGTGAAGAGGAGCTACTTGCCCCGCCTCTCGCCGCAGAGTCGGCACTTGACGATGAGGGAAATCCCGTACAGCCCCGGAAAAAGAAGCGCCACGGCCGTAAGTTCAAAAAGGCCCGTAACGAGATTACTGCCTTCAGTAATACGTTTTGCCGGAAAGAAAAGATCATCCGGCGCGGAAAAGAGGTCGAGAGTAATATCAAAGTCTACTTCCTTGGTATTTGGGACTGTGTCAATTCCGTCGCCGTTCTAGAACGGAAGACGCCTGTGCCCGTTCCGGTGAAGGGAACTGCACACTACGTTCGGCATGCTGTTGCCATTGATGAGAGGCGCGTCAAGTTCAAGCCTGCACTTCTTGCCCAGGATGTCCGCTGCAAGGGTAGTAAGGACGAGGATATTAAGGAAGTCTGGTTCCCTGGGTGCCACGGCGATGTGGGCGGCGGTTGGCCCGCAGAGGAAGACGATGCGCACGAGGTTGCTAGTACAATGTCTATTTGGCAACGCATTAAGAGCTTCTGGACTACAGACAAGGCAAAGGAGGCTAGCCACGACGTCGCCAAGGACCCTTTCCAGATGAGTGATCTCGCACTAGCCTGGATGATCCGAGAGGTGGAGATTGTGGGTCAGAAGGATCCTGCCGCCGCCGTCAAATGGTGTAATAGTGTGAATGGCTTCAAGCGGCGGTTCAAGAAGAGAAAGGAGCAAGCGTTACGCGGTAGGATCCATGATTCGTTGCAGTTCAGCTCCGGCACGGGTTTTTTACCGTCTTGCTTTGGCATTTTATGGGTAAGTGTGTTTCCCGGGGTGGCCGTACTTTGGATTTGCCTTGAGAAACTAATTGGCCTCGTACTAGAATGGTTTCCCTTATAACCCGATGGGAGCTTTCAAAGAACACATGGGTCAATGTACGTTTCCCGCTGAACAAAGGGTGGGCGCGCGACATTCCCAAGGACGCCGTGTTTCACCATTCAGTTTGCTGGAGGCTGGAAAATGATGCTAATTATCATCCGACCAACAACCACGGCGACAATGAAGACCCTTGTTTGAGAAATAAGGGCATCATCCGTGAGATGAAGCTTGTGACTGAGCATCACGACATACTCGACACAGATCATCAGACATTTGTTTTTGCATCCCAGCTATAATAGAAAGGGGTAGTATAGATTTCGTATGAAGATTATCAGACCGCATCTAGCTCCTAGGTAAGTGGGGTTACAGTATCGGGCCTGGATTCTCTTTACTATAAACATTTGATCTCGTAGACACAGAGGGCGGGATATCAATATTGTAGTTGGTTTAACGTTGCATAATATATATAAGCACCCTCAGCCTTTAAGCGTATCAAATATCTACAAGACACGGTGACCAAGGGCCGAATAAGCTACTCTGATGCGTCTTAGTTAGCTATTATCGTCTAGAAAAAAGTAACAGGTTGTGTTAAGCGAGGTTTGCTGGCCCCTACGGGCGTAAACTGCAACAAATTCTTGATTCCCTCAGCGGCTCCAGCTACTAAGACCACTGCTTCGCACCCCTCAAGTGCTCGCAGCCTCTTAGCTTCCGGCCTAGACAGGAAATCGAGAGTAGGGCAGCATTTTTCAGTATCTAATGCCCCATGTAGTAAGCTAGATGATCCTTTCATGACTGCTTAGAATGGCTTCGCATTGGCGTTGTCGTCGGCACCACTGCATCCACCCAATCGAGCTATGAAATATTAGCTGACTTGATGTCTCCCATATACCACAATATACAGAGTCATACGCACCCAGAGTACAGCGGTTATCGGTATAGTGACCGTTAACGTAGCAGTCCAGCTGTTTTATATAGTGCCACCCACTTAAAACACGCTTATTAGTATAACGGCCCTCCCCGCAATCAAGGCTGGTTCTAAAGAACATACCAGTTACGCAACCCATTGATAGTCACACATTCGCCTCCGGACCGAACGCAATAGAAAGAATAGGTTTTCCCTCTCGTCAACTTTGTCAGGACGCCCCATTTTGTACCTGGGCCCCGGCGGCAGTTCACGGTCGCCGCGCCGCCGATAATGGTGCAGCTCTGCGGACGGGAGAAGGCCCTGGGGTCAAGACTTTGGTCACCTCCATCCACGGAGTGGGCCAGAAGGCCAAGAGGGAGGAGAGCACCAGCGATGAGCGAAGAGAATTTCATAGCAGCGGCAATATTTTGCGATAGATTATCCGTTAGGTTAGAGATTGAATTTCAGATTTTTATGCGAGATGGTCACTCTCTTTTAACGGCAAGTGTGCCGTCCAACCGGGCTAACAACGCTCCGGGATGTAGAATGGCTTATCTGCGTGGGAGTTCACTATTGCTAAAGATAGTAAGGAAAACATTGTAGGAATGTAACCCAGCCCCGTTTAAAATTACAGGAGATCTTCAAGGGTGCATTGAGAGCTGGGAAACTTGTTAATAATGTCGAAATTTCCCAGGAGTATTTGTGTGCTTACGTTCCCAACGCAATTCATCCCGAGTCCAAACAGCCAACTTGAACCGTTGATTGCCTAACACGTGACAAGAAGGTCAGAAAATCAACCCACCACTCATCTTGCAAGAGGTTTCCACGTCATCTCGCAGAAACTAGCAATGATTGGCTCCCCGCGGACTGTGACCAAGCCCCTTATCTATTGAAACCAAGCCCGCCTGCCACCTTGATCTAGCGATTTTTACTTAGCCACGATGGGAAATATATCTAAGGACCTCGACTGAACGGGCTTGCTCCGAATCGAGTTTACGCGCGAGTGAAAACTGATGCGATCGTGGGGCCTCGGCGATCGTCTGGGCTGGAGGATTTTAGATGATCGTTGGAATAAGAACTATTAATCAATACCTTCTTGATGTAAAGCCCCTTTAGAGAACCACCACAACTATCTGCCTATACCGAGGGATCAAGAGAGCCGAGTAGAGATGTTGTTATAGACAGGATGACAGCCAGTCAAGCAGTTCACCTCCATGATCTCCGCTCCCTCCTGGGCTGTCAGGTGGCCCCATTGACCCCACCCTTACAACTCCGCTCTCGTGCAGTGCGTAGGGGCACTCTACTAGTCCAATTCTAGACGTCTCGTTCTTCAAATGAAAAAGAATCAGCACGGTGACACAAACACCCCGAATTGAAATTCAAGCTTGACTTGGCAAAGGACGCTATCAAGCGTTAGATACCCGGAATGTTCCTTCTTAAAGAGAAAGGGTTCGTCCCGTCACGAGAAAAGAGCTCGGCTCAGATGGCGCGTATTTATTACACTTGTGCTGAGGAATAACTTTATATAGGATAGGTGAAGGATGCTTGCTTCCCCGGCACCCGGTTATCCGATTTGAGAAGCCCAGTTACCTCATTGGCACTTCTCACCGGCGGTGGCCTCAGCCCCACTTACCTGAGACATAGCTAAAATAAGGCTATAGTGATGTTGCCCGTTATGATTTATAATATACTGAAGCTTATATCCTGTCGCTTCGAGAAGTGAATTTTATTAACCTATTATCTTTTCCGCCGCGATAAAAAGACTTCTAGAGGTCCCATAAGCATATCGAGCTAGATAGCCGTCTAGGTTGCGACTTAATTTAGCACAATGTCATCTATTATAAGTATAGGCCCAGGTCCCGTGCTTACGACCAGGTTCGTAAGCTTCCGGCAACATTCATCACCTACTAACCTTTGCCTTTAGTTAATACTCTAATGGCCTCTAGAGCCTCCTCCGTCAACAAATAACACGGTTCTACGCGGTGGCATGTGAAGTTGGAAAACTTCCATAATTGATTTTCTTTAGAAATCCTTAGACTACCGCAAATAGCAAATGCTCGCCTCTATAGGAACGAATAAAGCTGAGCATAGAGCAGCCTAACGAGACCAAAAGCTCGTCAGTAGCCAACTAAAATCAAAATTAAAACCTTAGGGTCGAGTTTCAGAAGATGAAAGGAATTGGATGTCCTCGGATATCAGATTCGGTTAATATAGCAGATTAGTAGATAGCTTCTCCGGTTCTACTAGTTAGACTCAGCACTACCGAAGCTCTGATCATCACGATGCTCTCTAGCATCCTAACTAGTACATAGTTTACCTGCTATATAGGTTTCTTATCTAATGGAACGCGAGTAGGTCCAAATGGAGACCCAGGCTCGAAGTATCATACCTTTCCCGATAATTGTCCGCTCTAGCCACGGCTACTACTTTAGCAATTTTTACCTCGTTTCTTGTGTCGTACTTGGCCTCCCCTTGTTTGTGCTGAACTTCTGGATTGGCTTAACGGTAGTGACAGAGGCGATTTTACCAGCTACCACACCGGGCAATCACCTAGTTAGAGGCTAATGATTGAACCCTACACAATTGCTCCGAGTAGCAATACCGTGGTATAAGAATTCTCTCCCCGAGTCGTTGCTAGTATTATTTTATAGATCCATTACTATTACTCTTGTACTCTATCTTTTCTATATAGGTAACCCTTTCATAAGTCATCTGCTGCGACTGGAGGAGGGTCTCCGCTAAGGCCTAGATGACTTTTCTTTAACTTAACTTATAGAACCCTTTTCCTATAGAAGGCAATCATCTTAGTGTCGGTCTCTATCGGCATGACCAGTCAAATATGCGCCTTGGCTGAGGATATCCGGGTCATTTTCGGACAGCATGCCACAGTGGCCAGCTGAACATCTTTCAAGCTCTGGCTATCACCGTTCAGCACTATAATAAACTCGTAGGCGTCTGCTGTCGTTAACATGTCAGACATACCATCACCTTGCTTTATGGTTTTAGCACGTCCAAATAGGCGCCTCACAAACGGTAGATTTGCCCTCTACTCTCAGATTCTAACAATACCAATACTGAAAACGCTCTACATGGTTTTTAGAATCGTCACAGTAGGCGGGCGCTAGTCGCAGCTTTTACAACGAAGACATACGGAGTCAAACGAAGGTTCTACCCAAATGGACCGGGCCTGGCGGCCGATTTCCCACACGTTTCTACAGATGTTTGTGGATTCTGGTGCAGGTATCTTGTAACCTCTCGGCTAATTCTACTACACTTGGACACAGATTAATGGCATTAGACCCACCTTGGATCACCATCAATCACGCTTCATTCATATGCTCAGGTGAAGGTATGTGGTTTGTCAATCCGTGGTATCAATAGTAGAGCCTGGGGGTTGGAAAACCACGCTGGTACGGTTCCTCGAGCAAGAACCTAAAAACAGCACTATATATAGAACAGTTCTTCCTCACTGATAAGTATCAAGGGTTCTAAGGCTCCAGTTCCCCAGCTAGAGTATACTTTATATAAAAGATATTCCCTCCATTTGATATGATAGTTATCATAGTGGAAATATAGACCTATAGAACTTTTAGATATATAAATGAAGGTCTATAGTTTAATTCTAAGGTAAACTAGTAAATTTCCAATTATCATAGATATTATAAGTTCATATAGAATTCTGAAAATATCGAGCGTGATAAGAAGCCTCAGTGACCTAAGTGACAGTCACTTTAAGGTATCCTTTTAGATTATTTCTATAGGTGGAACTGGTCCTTATTATAGAACTGTTGAAGTACTTAGAATAGAGTTGAACCCTTATTTCTACCTTAGCTCTTAAAATGGACCCTTTGAAGTTTGGAACTGTTCCTTGACTGTTCCTCTGAGGTTTCCTAGACCCTCCGGGCTCTACTATATATCCTATTAGTTCAGCTTCTCCATTTCTGCTGTTTATGATCGGGCCCGGGTGTTCCCCAAGCATCAGTATAATCATTTGGAAGATGGTCGCCTATAGGGTGGTGTTAATTGGCGAGCAGCCTTTATTTAGTGTACTCTTATAGGGCTGTTTCTACTAGGCATCATCTACAATACACACCCTAAAGTTAAAATCATCATGGCGGTGCAACGCATATTCCATCTTAACTAGCTTATCAAGGCCTTCTAGATGATATGGATATTATATAAGGTCTTTCCCTCTTCTGAAAGTATGGGGATTGACAATAGGGCAAACGCATATGGAAAGACGAGTGACGGAGGTTTTGAAAGCAATGGCACGTACGACGACCATGCTATTAACGGAGAACAAATAGAAAAAGCACAGTGCTAGTTGTCCTTCTTAGAGGAAGTTATCAGCTAGGCCAGAGCCACACAGTGCTTGAAAATTCTCATTCTAAGGGTGAGTGAATAGACCTACGTTAGCATCCCGGGACGGATTCGGATGATCAAGCTTCTAGGTTCCATAGCGGCTACACCATAGCCTCTAGAGCGGAATCCAACGTCAATGCATCGATGGATCCTTCAAGTAGCCCTGAAGATATAAAATTGCTGGTTCTATCGTGATATCGAATCAAGCACAGCCATTGCAGCGTTGTGGCCCCCGATACCACTGACAGCCCCTCCCCTTCTAGCTCCGGACCCGCACATAAGGATTCTCTCGCCGTATCCAGTTTCGACGCCCCACCGCTCAGCAGGTGTAGTCGGCGTATAGTCATCCTCGAGGAAGGGCCATGAGAGAGGGCCGTGGAATATATTGCCGCCAGGCATATTGAGCGCTAGCTCGATATCGCGAGTCGTCTTAGTCTCAATGCATGGCTGGCCATGTGCGTCGACGATGAGCAAATCCTCGATAGACTCTGCGAGAACAGAGTTTAGAGAGTCAATAGCGGCTCTCTGCAGCTTTGTACGCTGCGCCTCATTATTCTCGGCGGTGATAAGGCGGTTGGGGACATGTAACCCGAAAAGCGTCAGGGTGTGAGCGCCGGAATTGACGAGCTCACGACCAAGAATTGAGGCGTCTGATAAGGAGTGGCAATAGACCTCGCACGGTAAAGGATTTGGAATAGTTCCGGCTAGGGCTTGCTTATGCGCCTTTGAAAGCTGGTCGTACCTTTCGTTGATGTGAAAGGTCCCGCCGAATGCCGCCTCGGGAGAAACCATTTTGTCCCGAAGTTTCGGCAAGCGTTTTAGCAACAAATTCATCTTGACTTGGCTACCCTCAGGTCGCAGCTCCTCGCCCGGAATACTAGACTTTTCCATGAGGTCGTGAAGAACATGCGGTGCAACGTTGGAAAGGACTCGTCGGCCGGTCGCGGCGTTCTCTACCCCGTCAACGACAAACCGAACGGTGCCATCAACGTTGACCGAAGACACCTCTGCACCTGTCATAATGACCGCACCCGCACGACTAGCTGCATCTGCGAGCTGTTGACTGACGTGGCCCATACCACCGACTGGGACATCCCAATCACCAGTGCCTCCGCCAATAACGTGGTATAAGAAACAACGATTCTCAGCTAAAGGGTCATCCGTGTCTCCGAAAGTTCCAATAACCGCATCGGTGAGGGCGACGCCGCGAACAAGATCATGGGAGAGACGCGTCTCTATAAATTTTCTTATCGGTTCCTCGAACACTGCGTGCCACAGGGCATCGTCCCCGAGACGTGCCTTGGCTTGGCTTCGTGTAATTAACGGTTCCGTAACCGTCGGCCATATCGCTTGGGCGACCTTAGTAGTGTCTTGGTATAGGGCGTTGAAGCTTTCAAAGTCACTTTCCGCTCCAATTCTGCTGAAGGATGCACGCGTTGCGCCCTCATCTAGCTTATCGATAAGCAATCCACGGTCCTCTAGATACCCCGGGACTGGCGTATACGAGGAGTAGCGGCGTCGCACCAACTCAATTTTCAGACCGAGATCTTCGATAATTTGTTTTGGCATCAAACTGACTAGGTAGGAGTATCGGGACAGATGGGCATCACATCCGTCGAAGGCGGCAACACTAACGGCGGCTCCACCTGTAGACTCCAGCCGCTCCAAAACAAGCACTGACAAGTTTGCTTTAGCGAGGTATGCCGCTGCCGTGAGCCCGTTATGGCCGCCGCCGATGATGACGACATCATATGTCGGTGATAGAGAGATTTCCTCCATGACTGGTTTTCGTTTTATACACGTTGAGAGTTTGATAATCTGGTGTCAATTTTGGTTTACCAAGCTGTCCTTTCCATTTCGTTTCCTTGGTGGTTTGATAAAGACGTTTGCCAAGGACGTTTGCTGTCACGCGCGGCCCCACTTCGGTGCGTGCGGGGTCACCAAAATGTCCCGGCCTGCTTGCGGGTGATATAGGCATGGAGAGATTCTCCAGCAATATCGCAAGCATAGAGGACAGCCAATCAGATAGCGAGAATGGCCTGCTAGAAACTGTACCGGATGGGGAATTGCCTCTCAGCTGCATTTTTGTTAAACACTGCGTGGCTCATTTGAGAGGCCCTCGTCGATTGTCCCGGTCCACATTGACAGAGCATCCGCTAGCTACGAAACATCTTTGATAGTAATGCAAACTTCGCTAAATTTCCTATGGGGAATGTGCGTACGCTGACAGTGCTAGTGACAGAGCAGACCTGAGCAATGGTCTTCTACCCTCACGGTATAGTGCTAGTGACGAGGTGGCGAGTTATATCAAACATCTCGCACCAACTCTGAGGCGCGGGTTATTTGCTGAATGCAATTGAAGATTACTGCCGGATTTCTATGTCATTTAGCCGGTGTTCACCCTCGACTTATCACATGCCGGAGAGGCTTCCAGCGACGGGCTGAGTCCATGCGAGACCCCTTGATTAGCTATTTAACTCTACTCGTGCATGGGTGCGTGACACGAGTCTAGGTTTTGAAATCTGTCTGAGGGTAAAAGAGGCCGATTGGGTTTAAGTTCGCGGGGATAAGACGGCTTGACGAAAACGCTCTCGAAAGAGAAGTGGCAAGCTCACAATATAACCTATCGATTGAAATGGTTAGCCAAGGGTCGCCTAAATGAAAGAAGATCTGTTCAGTCCCCCGATAAGAAATGGAATCAAAGTATCGCGCTTTAGTTAGTTGGCCAGACCGTCAACTTGGGTCCTTATAAGGGTGAACTCCATATGGCACGATCACGCACGTCTGCGGGGAGGGTTGGCGGGTTGGCCTATGGGGGTTTGTAAATGGGGCGCCAATGCGCATTAACCAGGAGAATAGAGCTTGAGAGCAGCCCCGAAAAGACTACCATTTTCGCCTCTTTCTGTGGTGCGATTCCTATACACCGCTTGGACGAGGACCCTTCGATCCCTCACAAAGGTGTGAGGTAACTGGTAACACACCAAGCACTCTTAAAAGGGTTGGCTGGATGTCAATCGGTCCGCTCAACCTCGATCAAAGGCGAAATTCTGCTTTTTGAGGCTTTGCGCCGTTGAGCCACGCTCCCTGCTGACAGGACCTAGCTTCAATTGGCTGGGTTATGTTTCAACCCCACTCAATGTTGTGCCCGGCACGAAGGATCGGGCTATGCTGGTAAGGGACATGTCAAGATGACGATCTTTACCTCACTCATTGCTCAGGCTCTAGAAGTCCAAAGCTCCTTAAATTAGCCAACCCCCGGTGCCGATATGGCTGATTTCTCAGGCTCAATAATGGCAACTTTTGTCAACTTCTCTTGTGTTTTAACGCCGCAATGATTTATTGTCATCCTCATATCACCTGGGCGTTGTCGACGTTGTTCAGCCTGTCGATAAAGCTCGCTGCAGCCAGTGTAATACCAGGAGCAGACCCTAGCGTCGTACGGATCGCAAGCGACATCTACTCAGTCCAGGCCCGGAACGGTGGGATCTCCACACGGACAGGCAACAAAACGCTGGAGAGCCTTGCACGCGCAGAGCCACAAGAAGTGTGGACGGACGAGCGTGGGCGCAAAAATATTTGGGCGCCAGAAATTGTTGAAGTAAACGATAAATTTTTCATCTACTTTTCTGCGGGATCGAATGATGCTCATCGCATGTACGTCATTACCTCTGACAGGCCCGACGGTGGCTATCTCTCCGACGAGGTCGAACTAAAACTGCCCGACGACAAGTGGGCCATCGACGGGACTCTTTTCCAGTACAATGACCAGCTTTGGTTCGTCTGGTCTGGATGGGCTGATAACGAAAACATTGAGCAAAACCTATACATCTGCCGCATGAGCAGCCCCACTGAGGCGACCGGGCCCCGGTACGTTATTTCACAACCTCGCGAGCCTTGGGAACGCATTGTAGGCAACCCTTGGATAAATGAGGGACCTGAGGCTATCGTTGACCCAGATGGCCAATTGCACATTGTCTACTCGGCGGACGGCAGCTGGAGCAGTAGCTATTGTCTCGGCGACCTCCGCCTGAAAAAGGGCGGTGACCCTACAAACGTTTGGGACTGGTATAAGTCAAACGGCTGTGTCATGGGGTCTAATAAAGACCAAATGATGGCAGGGTGGGATACAACTAAAGATGTTAACGGGCCGGGGCACCATACGTTTGCGATTCTGGGGGATATTGGCGGTCTTAATTCTCCCAATACGAAGTACCCATTCATGTATCATGCGGTTGAGAAAGGAACGGAGTATAGCTGGGAAAACCGCCAGTGGTTTAGTGGAAGCTTCCACTGGATCCCTGATATCACATATTCGCGCGCCAACGTGCCAGGGGATGGTGAGAATTCCGGCTGGAGCCCGAAGCTCACCGAGGAGAGTTTAGCGTGAGTCAGCCAGCCACGTAACAGCCATTGAGGAACACATGAAGTCTATTGAAGAGATCACATATTCATTGTGAACTCTTGTAAATAACAGCAACTAACTCAATACATGATAACTTGGCGAGCCTGCTCCAAACCCCTTCAACACCCCGTCTGGTAAGCGTCCACACGGCCTTAGTTATTTATTTCCGTCCCAACCGTCTATGAATAAGTCTTTTCGTCAGTAGTAATAGTAGATAGTTAATATATAGATTCTTGACAGCATATATTCTATCTTACATTCGCCTTCGTATCCGAACCCCTGAACGCTATACTGTGCTCTCTGCTATATAAAAATAACGGCGCGGCCCCCTGGCGTTGATGGCCGACATTGGAACCATGGCTTTAATCTATGCTAGGTTCTAGACGGCATGAGGAATATTTTATTAGCGCGTAATTGACCGAGGCGTCACTAAATACTTCTTGCCTAGGGTAATTTCTTTCCGGATATGAAATATTGATAGTACTGAGTACCCCAATGAACTGCTGCACAGGATTAGCCATGAGTCTCTTCGCTTCTATAGACAAACGCCTTCGAAATTTTATCTACTGCCCCCGCGTACAAAGGGATTCGAATGGCACATCCTCAATCACTCAGAGAAGCTCCTTGAGTAACACCTTGATTGGGGAAAGGCTTTTACAGATGCTGTCTACATGCCTACAGGCGTCATTGCCGCTGTAAGAAAACGAGCATTGATGGATATTGTGACGCACATTAGCAATAGTCGCAGCTGGTAATTTTAGTAGCCAAGATATCCTCTATTGCTATGAGAGTCTTACGTCTCCTTGAGGTGCGGAGCGATTGTAGTGTTAGGGAGGTGTAGAGTCAACGATGATACGCGAAGTGTCATGTATAACTAGAGAACACGGGTGACCGAATAGTATATGAAGAAAATAAATAATCTAATCAACAAGCAACCAGGCTGGGTAGGTGATCGAACGTCTATATAGGAGGGAATACACTAGTTCTCGGCAAGGGATCTGAGTGTTCCCTGGGCGACCAGTATCTGTACCGTACGAGGCATGTTCCTTGTTCTGGGAAGGACGCCAATGCCTTTGACTGTAGTGTGATCGAGGTACGATCAGACACCCAGCGCCTAGGTTGGCCAAAACTAAACTCCAGTTGGTGGAACACTCTATTATACTAACCGTAGCTGTCGACTAGCGTCCATAGCTCTCGAGGTGCCCGAACCCCTGCATTGAAGTGGGTTATTCGGGGCGTCTAGGACTGTCGTCACGACCTGGTAGCGTAGAGGTCTCTACTTCAAAGGTCATGTCCCGTCGGATCCCACGGATGGGCACAGTGCTCTCCTTATCCGAACCGGTGTCCTCTTCAAGGCGCGTCCAATCACCCTGATCAGTCTTGTTTGCCTTGGAAGACATCGCTCCTGATCCGCCAATGGTCACGAGCCCAACGGATCCGGGGTGGAGGCCGCGGGAGCCACCCGTCGTTCCGCGAGTCGTAACTCTTGGTGAGCGGCGATCCAAGAAGAATCGGCGTAGAGCAGGAAGAGATCCAGCGATCAGTCCGATGGCAGTCTCGACATTGGACCAAAGTGGGATGTTGGCAATATGAACTATGAAGTCGATTTGTGTCAGTGAGTGAAGTCGCCTGGAGGATAGGTGGGAGGGAGAAGAGGTTTCGACGTACAAGGAAGGTCATCAAGAGGCCTGTTATAGTTATCGATGTAGGGAGTGCGAATGATAGTTGAGATCGAAGCACTTTTGCCAGGAACACCTCAAGGTTAGTTGACTGATATAAGAGCTAGGTAGTTAGGGGCAGGTCGCTAGCTTAAGAATGGTGACTTACAAAGATCCAAACGACAAGACCGTAGCAACCATGATCTTGGTAGAAAGTTTCATCTGTGTATGCCATAAGATGACGGCTGGAAGAACGGCGCAGGCGAAATCTGTAATAATGGTGCTTGCCGTGGACGTATATGATAGACCCAGCATAGACGTGATCGGGGAGCATTCGCCACGACCTTCTGCGAGGATGGTTGGGTCCCAGTTAGCCGCAACTGGGCGGCATAACAGCAGGATACCGATAAAGGTTGTGATAAAGGTAGCGATTGTCAAACCCAACAAGATGTACACAGCGATGCGCAGCTTAGGCAAAGTAGTAGCGATACGTAGCGTAGTGGCGCAGATGGACGTCTTGACCAAACATAACGATATGACATAGAGCAACATCCACAACATCAAGTATTTTATCGAGTCAATCATCATAGGCTGGTTTAGGTCGGCGTTGCGAGTGCCGAGTCCGTGAAGGGCTCCCACGCAAGCAAGCGCAACATCGGCAAGATAGACAACCTAAGGAGGTACCAGTGCATTAGTCGGTGCCGTCGAGGGGTTTTCTGTCTGTTGAGAAAGTGACCCCAAGTAACTAGATATCTTGCCTCGACAGGATACAATTGCTAGCAGAGTTGCGGAGAGTGTGGACTTACCAGACCGGCGAGCATGAGGCCATCGTCCAAGTTGAAGTTCCGTGCATGGACCCGGATAATCGTTCTCAAGCCCACCACGATGAGCGAGACTACGCCACCAACGATAGATACAACGAAAAGGCTTAGGCCCGTGCTCTCTAGCCGGGTGACCCAGCGCTGGTCAGGATCCACGGTCGACATGTTCCCTCTAAATGTTGGGCGAGACAAGGCGAATCGTAAAAGGTAATAAAGAATTGGATGAAAGAAAGTAGGAAAGGAGAGTGACGCTTCGCAAAGTTCCCGTTGAGAGAAAAAGGGAAGAAAGCGGCAGTATTTCAATATTTGAGAGCAGTTTGAAAATTCTGACGATGGGCAACCTGCCCTCGAGTAAACCTGAGAACGTATGGCAGGGTATCAATGGACTGTGGTTCTCGATGGCAAGCCGTTGGCCAACAACGGAGTGTCTCCTGTCGATCACTAACGGTCATTTATTCTTATACTCCTTCGCATAAATGTTTGTTCGAGACGCCCGGCATAAGCATCGAGGAATCCCTGGCAAATCTCCTGAGAAGGAATTGCTAAGTACCATCTGGTCATCCAATCCATTTAACTCTGCGCAGCATCGCAACGAGAAAATTATTACATGTAAGAAAATCTCTCCCTTCGGCTAGCTGCCTGAGTTTCATAGACCTCTATACCCCTAGTAGACATCATTCGTCCCATCCCACTCCCTTTTATGATCCCGAAGAGTCTCACCAAAAAGTGACGAGACCGAACAAGGGAACTAGCGGACAGGTATCGAGGTGTGGCTGTCAAGAGCGGCGTCGTCTCTTTGGCACCCCGATCTGTCGGCTCATGGCGTGCAAGACAGCCGACAAAAAGTGATGCCAAGGAACTTGGGCAGAATCCCTCTGGAAGCAAACTTTCGATCACTTATCACACCGTAGGGATCTTCGAGAGTCAAGGCCGTATGGTGGCGGCGGGGACGGGCGGAGCTTCTAGGCGTAGTATTGCCGGGGATTGCAGATGTTTGACCCACAGACACCAGGACAGGTCCCGAAGCGAAGTGGGGGTTCGGTAGGGAGAACTTGCGCTTCAGCAAGGCGCACCGTGACATGGACAGGAGAAAATTGGGATTTATTGACTGGGAAAATGGACAGGAACGGCATCCTTCAACCCACTTTGCCCCTCGCGAATGCTTCCAGTTGCGAGTACCGAAGTAACCTCTCATGCCTCTCTTTAGAAGGGAGGCGACGATCATGGGTGGGTGGCAAGGTAAAACCCTGGCTGGGCTCCACTACAGGATCCTTGCGATACAAACAAACCGGTCTCTAATGCAACGCAAGCTGTCAGTTTTAAACTGTTCAACATGGGGGTGAACTTCATTTTGACCTGGCAGGCTTACGCGACCTGTATAGGGGTTTAATTCTGGCGGTGGGGATACGAGGAGGTTGATAGACAAGACTTTCCAGCCACGGCACTTCCTCCTATTTTCCTAAATTACCGAGTTTCCCTTTGCCTGAAAAAGGAGTCTATCTGCCCGTACAAGCGATAAATCTGGTTACACTTCTCCCAGAACCAAAAACAAAACAAAAAGCATTTTCCATTATCAGTTGCATTAACAACTCATTTTTAATCACTATCCAACAACATGACGGCCCAAGAACTCACGGCTACTTCTACTCAAGCCCCACCTCATAGGGTGCACGAAAATAAAACCGCTATCATCACGGGCGGTGCGAGAAGTGAGCCTTCAAACCATGGATACTGTGTAAGGTACCCCGCTGACCAAATACGTAGGCATCGGTGCATCCATTGCTCGTAACCTCGCCTCGAAAGGGGCGAACGTTATCCTTATCTACCAGACCGAGGCGTCCGATGAACCGGCAGCCGCGCTCGCCGCCGAACTATCCAAAGCACATAACGTCAAGGCCGTCCCCGTCCGCGCCGACTTTAGCACACAAGATGGCTGTGCCAAAATTGTCGCCACCGTGAAGAGCGATATGCCGCCCAATGTAAAGACGGAGAAGCCGCAGGTCGACATCCTCGTCAACTGCGCCGCTCTCTTCCACGCCATGCCCCTCGATGCAGTCAACGCGGAAGACTTCCATAAGGTCTACTCCATCAACGTTCTCGGCCCCATTCTACTTACTCAAGCATTGAAGCCGCTGCTGCCAAACGACCGGTCGGGGCGCATCGTCAATGTCTCAAGTATTGGTGCCAAGGTCGGCCTTGAGTACTTGACACTATATGGTGGCAGCAAGGGTGCTCTCGAGGCCATGACACGTACTTGGGCCCGTGAGCTCAAAGAACACTGCACCGTGAACTCGTGTAATCCCAGCTCCACCATGACGGACATGCTCCGAGGTGCCTCGGAGGATGCCAAGAAAGCCATTTCCATGTGGTACCCTCTCACGCCGCTGAGCGGTATCCGCGAGTGGGATACTGATGAGCAGAAGGATATGGCTGAGAAGTATGGTGGCCGTGCTGGCTACGCCGAGGAGGTCGCCGGGATTGTGGGTATGATTTGCTCGCCCGAAAGTGGGTGGATGACGGGATGTCTCGTGAGCGCAAATGGAGGACAATGGATGGCTAGTTAAGTGTCCCGTTGGGGATAGCCCTCATAGCAATCTTCATAGCAACCTTAACTATATATGAACCATGAATCTTGCTACATGTAAGTTGCGCCAATGAACCCTGTGTAATTTTCATAGTTCGGCTTCGTCGATATCTCGCCAGGCTTGCCTTGATACCGCTACCCTGATATCTTCAGCCCATATTCAACTTTGAAATGCTAAAACTGCGAAACCGGAAAGAACAACATTTTTATTGAGAGACATGTAATTACTAGTGCTATGAATTCCCTACCTACATCTTATCGTCGAGGCGATGTTGGCCAGTATGGCGAGTGAAAAGGAGAAGTGGAAGTGCGACTCACGCATCACCCCGAGCTCTGAATCACATCTTTCAAACAGAATCATCGAAAGATGGAAGACTTGTCCCAAAATGGACTGTTATCGAATTGCAAGACGTATCCGAGACGTTAGCCACAAAGAATTGTCGGCTTTTCCGAGGCCCCCTCCCTTGGATATTTCCAAAATGCTTCTTTATCTTGCTTAAATCGCCTCTCCGTTGTGCTGGGGCACCGCCTGGCCCCCTTTCAAATTATTTCGTTTTTAAAAAACAAAAAGCTCATCTACGCTGCTCCCATGAGTAGCGGTAATTTTACCTCTCCTTACTTCTTAGGATCCCTCAACGTATATTTTTGACTTCACGCTGTCACGCGTGTGTTGGTCATAACTCTGTCGCCGCGTCTAAGCGCTATGAACTAAAATCTCCCGCGCCTATCGAAACGGCTTAGTTGAGATTGTAGGGTAACACGACCTACGATACCGTGTATAAGCTTACATTTATCCTTACATGACAACTAGTATGGTACGTGCTCGGATGGGATCTATTATTTGCTTCTTCAAGGCCGGGCCGTCGCCCCGCAATATAGCATTTGCTCGGATCCCGAAGGCACGTATCATCAAGCGCACACTTGCACTAGCTCTTGGTGAATAACAGATTGTCGTTTTTCGGCTGCGAGGTGAATGCCCAGCCTAACATGCTTTCAGAGGAAGAGATTTACTCGTAATGAGGGTTTCACCATAGTCGAGCACCCTCATCCCAGGCACCGTTCATCCACAGCCTCAGAGATAACGCGCTCCCGAAATATATTGTCAACTCTATAAGGAACTCGGTCATGTCAAGTGCTGCTGCGATGCCGCATGTCGCCAGTACACCCAGTCCCGTTTCTTCACAATTTGAGCAATGGTAACATGATTAAGATAATCAACTGCGGGTACAGAAAGCTGCTTGTGCTTGATCACAAGTCTACAAGCTGCACGTTAAGCTAAGCTATACTTCGCAAGTTCCACCAACCCTACCTTGCTAGAGCTACGATATACCTTATCTACGATGCCCGTTCGGGCCGCTAATCTATAGAATATATAGGCGTTAAATCACCTCACCCAGCTGATTGACCTTTTGGAGGTATATCGGGGCAGGCAATTTAGGCTTCGAACTCCGTGATTATAGTAACTGTAGAAAGGCTGCGAACGATCGAGTGACTGGGCCAAATCTTATACTCGGAGGTCGTGTATTGATGTGGTGAGTGGTGAAGCGATACAGAACTTATTCCGATCACCATCACCACCTGGAAAAAGGCGTCGTGCTCGGTTGCTATTGTAGGGTTTCCCAGCCCGAATAGCTTGATTAAGTGGGCATTGCTGGCCACAATTAATGGCAATCAATCTTGGCCCTCTAATATGGAGTTGATTAACCTCTACGTGGGGGCCATGCATAGTCCTCACCTAGTTGTGAGTTAGACCATGCGATTCTCGTGAGGGAATCGCGCTGTTGACGCGCTCATGCGTTATGGATGCTAATTCTTGTCATGACACGTGAAAATTTCAGAGTTAGACTAAGTCGTGATGAATTTAGAGGTTTTCTCTTCTCTCATTCTTGTTTTCCCCTTTTAAGAAGAGCAGCGGCGGGAAAGAAATGCGATGGAGGGCAAATTTCTTTCTTCAAGATTCTAGAAGAGACCACCCTGTTGCTGTCGTCGACCTTGATCGTGCGGTTTCTAGGCAGACACGCGATGTTGGTCTTGATCGTTGGGATGCCAAGGCCTACCTCACGAGCCAAGCCAGACAAGATTGGGCGAGAGAAATGGATGGTGGATAATTGATCCTACAGCTTCCTTCAAATTTCTATTCAGTCGTCTCTTTAGGGACACGCTGCCTAAATCAAAGAAATTGTTGGTAAAGTATAATGTTACGTTGTAAATCCTTCTCCTCGGAGCCGATACGCTAGCCACTGTTATTATGAACAGTGCTCCTCAATTTAGCAGTAGATCTAGTGCTTTCGTCCCTCTGTCACAACTTCACACACATCTAGCAAGATTGGGCGTCGATGCGAGCCTCCGCTACCAAGTAGTTACATTCGCATAGCAAATCGACCCACGGATGCCTAGAGAGCCACGCCACGAAAAAAATATATATATACTTAATACGGATTCAAATCTCATCTTCACCATCCTTTCATCTGACACTTCCCAGTTGTCGGCCCAATCCAATTATCAATTATCTACTCCGTCACGATGCAGCTCCCTCTTCCCTCCCCATCGTTCACCTTTGAGAATGCCGCAGAAGGCGAGATCGTCCATCAGGTTAGTACTGTCTAGGGAGGGAGTGCGACGAGTTCTGTGTTGGCGCTAATCTGTTCGTTCCTGAACACACAATTAGCGGTGTCTGCTTCTCAAAGGGTCCTACAATTCGAATGGCGCTATCCCCGAGTCGTGCGTCGTTATCGAGACCACCGATGGTCGCGACAAGCCAACGTTTCCACCGCAAACATGGCCCGTGATCAATGGTCGGGTCAAGGCCATGGTGATGCTTTCTCCCGGAGCCAATACGATCACGGTCGTTCTCGACGACAAGGAGGCGGCTGAGCCCACCGCAACCAGAAGCTCCATCAATCTGACATATCTGCCCCTACTACAAACACCACCCTTGCACCTTGCCATCATGGTCGCTAAAGATTCGCCGTTACTTATCGATTGCCCGGCCGGCCGCTATAGCGCGGTTTCCAGTGCCCACTCTTCCCTCGACGCCGCTATCGCCAAATTCCGTATGACGGCTTATATGTGGCAAGCGATGACGGCTGAGGATATGCGCCTCAAAGGTCTTGGCCGTCGCGCTTTTCGTTTTGACGAGGAATGGAATGCTGATACTACGAGCCTGCAATTCGTCACGGCTCGTCACGATGCGGCGCTTGCGGAGAACGGCGCCATGCGGTCTACGGCTAAGATTCACATCGTGCGATCTGAGCGAACCGTCGCCGAGATTCGCTCGATGAAGTGCGCCCAGCAGAATCCTAGGGCCTCAAAGCCCGACAGCCTCCACGAATATTTCAAGGAAGCGCTCGTCCTCCACGGAGGCCCTTTTGAGTCGTCGTGCCAGCCTGTGGTGGCGGGCCTCATACTCGATACCCATTACTCCATGCAAGAGGATATCATACTCGGACATGCGGCGTTGGGCAGCCACGATAATCGTGGTATCTCCCTCGGTATCATGGGTAGTCATCTCACGTACTCGTGGCCCCGCTTCCTCGAGGAAGTCGTTCCATGCCTTACCGACGACCGCAATCCTGGCAACACGGTGGGCAATGATGCCCGCGAGTGCGGTAGCTTCTGGGAAGCCTGCGCGGTCGGACAGGGGCCTTCCTCCACGAAGTTGGTCATGCTTTTGGAGCACCCCATACCACCGGTATAATGGCTCGTGGCTACCCTCAGTATTGGCCCCGCAACTTCCTCGTACGCACGGCCTACTGCACTAAGCGGACTTGCGATGGCGTATTAGTAACCGACGGCGAGACGGTGAACGAGGCGGTTTGGGACCTCCGGGATGCCCTCTCATTCAGGGCATTCCCTCACTTTTGGCTCCCGGACGATATCAGCTTCTCTCCAGAGGCGCGAGTTGCCACTCCCACCCTCACGGTCGACCCTGGCGAGTCACAGGAAGAAGCTTGTCTCGTCATTGCGTCTGCTGCCGGCCTCATTCGCGTCACCATTAACGGGGTAGACGAGCCAACCCCTGCCTTGCTTCACCTGTCGAGAATGTATCATATCTGCTTTCCAACCTCGAAACGAGGTTCGATCGTGAACTGCCTCTGTCTATCTCGGTTCTCGGTCTCAACGGCAAGTCCAGGATGGTCAAGAACGCATGGCAGCTTTTCGCCTCCGAAAGCTTTATCAGAGTACGAGGTACAAACTTGGTGCTCCACAAGCAATCAGTCGCCAGCACAGACCTCCAAAATGGAGAGCATGCGAACACGCAGTTCTGGAAGTGGGCCACGCTTCTGCAGAAGAGGGCCAAAGGGAAGGACGGCTTTGCACGTGCGACCAAAATTGATGTTCGCACCGGATGCATCCTTGACGGCGCATACGTCTATTACTCGGATAAAGAGCGTGTTAATTGCGGCCCTCGCATTGGGAAGTGGGGAGGGAAGCATACCTTTGGCGGCCACGCTTCCGAGAAGTCTGACATCCCCAAGAATGCGGAGATTGTCAAGGTTGAAGTTTCGAGAGAGAGCTACATCTTGCACGGAATTCGCTTGACCTTGAGTAATGGCACAGTTTGGGGACAACTAGACGGCGATCAAGGAGACGGAGCTGGGTTCGAAGTTATTGCTCTCGGTAGGTTTATCATCAGTCACCCGCGCACACTGCCCTGACTTCTTGAAGACAACTAACACGGAAGCCTTTTCCTCATATAGAGCCTTCATCTGATGAGACCATTGTTGGCTTCTTTGGGCAGAGTTGGTGGGGAAGTCATTGTGATGGTCTTGTCGAGTTTGGCATCATAACCGCACCGAAGAATACAGAGCTGCCCGAGGCTGTCTATGACATGGATGAGTTGAAGAATACAGATGGCGGGGTTGCCGAGGATGGAAAGGTAGAGGATGTCGAGGATATGAGCGAGGATATGAGCGAGGATGAAGATATGGACTAGCTTCTCGCATCCGAGGCTAGTATGTCAAGATGAAGATGCTCCGGTGGTGCAGCGGGATCTTTATATCATGCACGCCTTTTGGATAGATCTCACTCATGTGCACTGGCTATTCGTAAGAGGTCCGTATATAGCATCGACGTTGAATATTTCTTCAATTATGGCGAAGAGGAATACTCACATTTCTGGCGTGTTTGCTATTATCCTTGTTATCGAGAACCACCCTTGTACTCCTTCTGCCTTTATTGCAGTCTGCTATATATAAAGCGTGGGAACTAGCGTTCCCATGGTTTGGGTGGCTACGCTTCTTCGTAAGGCGCATTTCACCCCACCCCTAGGCTTATACTTCAAGGAACCATATCGTTTTTGCGCGTAAGCCGAGGAGCCAGAGTGATGAAGTTACTAATTTGGCTCCCTAACCCCGCGATTTGGTGGGACCGTATCACACCTGGCTGGCCCTTTTTAGTCTAACATTGGCGGCAAGCGTAGGACGTGCGGGTGGATGCGAGATGCTGAACCCGCCAAGAACCTCATTTGTTGGCGACTAAAAGCTGGGCGGCACAGCTGTCACGAACCCCTGTCCTATGCTGCAACGGTCCAATGAAGAATAGAATCCTTCGCGGATTTCTGTTCAACCTCCAATCTGACATGCATATCCACGGGCCAATAGACGCCGTGCGCCAGCCTTCGCCCCCGCCCTTAAAAACATAAGGGAATCGAAGGGACTGTCCATGAGCCCGGGCTTTTTCCATCTTCTTATCACACTCATGTCATAAGGACCGGTTCGGTAGCATCGATGGACAAGGTCGATAGTTCGGAGATCGACTTGATATGGAAGCAGGTGCAAGAGAGGGTGATCAGACTTGCGGGCGATGATCCGACTAAGCTGCGCAAAAATCTCAACGCTGAAGATGTTTTGGCGCTCGTGGATCGAGCGCAAGCGGCGCAAAAAGCCAAATCAGAAAAGTACGGCTGGTTCAAGTCCGCTGTGGGCCGAACTTTGCAATGCATCCAGACGGTCGGAGGAATTGTCGCGAACGCCGCGTCACAGGTGAGTGAGCTCAGTTTGACCAGGTTGATGCAAGCGGAACCAAGATTATCGCCGTGCTAATACGCCGACCTAGGCCTTTGCGCCAGCCGAGATGTGCTTCAACGCGCTGACCTTTGTCATACAAGCATGGCAAGGGTATGAAGGGATGTTTGAGAACTTGGGCGAGTTGCTGGAAAAATGTGTTGAATTTCTAGAACGACTCGACTACTACACGCCAAAAATGGACGCTCGACTGTCTCGCCTCGCGTGCCAAAACCTACAACTGTTCGTTGAGCTCTGCGACCGTATGATCAAGCTTAGGAAGAAGCACACGCGCCTGCTTGCCTTCACCAAGCAGCTCTTTCTGAACGACAATGGTATCCAGGAACTTTTGGGCATGATGGACCGGCTCAACAACAAGGAGTCTCTCCTTGTCACCGCGCAAACATACAAGATTGTGAGCGACAGTGCGGATGGGATCAAGCTGATTATCAACGGCCAGCAGGAACAGAAGCGAGTGGAGGACTCGAAGAAATGGCGCAAGGCTATTGTGAAAGCTCTGGGATTCGCTCCCGCAAACCTCAGGAGCGATGGCGAGCCCGTCGCCGGCTGGGAGCGATCGATAAACCAGATGAGGAACCGTATCGTCGAAGGCACGGGGGATTGGCTGGCCGATTACGAAGGTTTCGTCTCTTGGGCACAATCTCCGACTCCGGAGGAGAACGTGTTCATAATCCATGGCAAGCCCGGTTCGGGGAAATCATCTCTGATGGCCAACGTACTTCGGCTTGTGAGAAGGCGGGCCGCTCATTCCGTTCCGGCAGCCTCTCGCGTGGTCTCTGCGTATTTCTGCCCGGAGGTGGATACTAAAAAGACTACGGATCTTACTCAAGGTGTCGTGTTCGAATCCGCCTCTCGGGCTCTGCTCTGGCAGCTTTGCACCTCATATGAAGCCATCGCCAAGTCTACCGCCCACATCATTGAACGCCAGCAGCTTTTTGATGGCAACATGGATCTATGGAAGTCGCTCTTTTCAGAAAACCGCGAATTGCAGAACCAAGACACCATCTTTTTCTTGTTTCTCGACGGCATCGACTCGGACTTCCGAGCTTTCATCCCCTTGCTGAAAATGTTATCGTCCCGCCTGGATCTAATATGCAGGGTCCGAATCTGCGTCACAATTCAAAATGAAACTGCCAAGGATTGGTTGATTCCGTCGTACCAGATCCCCTACCATAAATTGCATATCTCAAGTGAAAACCTGAGTGATGTCAAGGCCTGTATCCTATCTCAGTTGGACTCTATGCCAATTTTCAAGGATGCTGACAGGCCCGGAATTCAGCAATGGCGCGATCGCATCCTCGACACGTTGGTTAAGAAATGCGAAGGTGATTATTTCCGCATAAATAACATTTTGAAAAGTCTCTCCGTTGTCGATCTGATCTCCGACATTGAGACTATCCTAGCTGATGCCGGGAAAACGAGGGCGGATCAGATCGATGCAGAACTCCAGCATCTCAACGAACAACGCACTCCGACGGAGATTGATGAAATCAATACCATCATCCGCTGGGTTACACATGGCGCTGGGTACCCTGCCATTGACACATTGCAAAGTCTTTTATCCCTCAGGTCACGCAGGCAAAATGCGACAGCCGGGCCGAGCACGACAACCGATTCCGAGTCTGGACCATCGGAACAAGAACCAAATAAGAAAGCGGGCCCCGGCCAACCCCTTTCGCCGCTTTCACTCCTTCCGTTCAGGCAGAAAATTGAGGAAAAGTACCCAATTTTTGTCGTCCGCGACTCTGGGCATGTGGACTGGAGAACCCCCGAGATCCAAGACCGTATCCCCGCGAAGGCCCCGCTGACGGCGCTCTCGAGGACGACGTGCCTTGTCCCCCAGATCGTCCGCGAGTCTGAGGTCACGGTCGTGAGGCATTTCTTGCATACCGTCTGCCCCCAGATTTGTACAACCGGTTCGAATTTGAACAATTTTTGAAGCCAAGCTCGGGGTCGGCCGCAAGCAAAGGATCCATAGCGATAGCGATAACGCTCATATCCTCTGCGCCATCGATTGTTTACACATCCTTGTTGACGACGAGCTTTCTCGCGATAAGGAGCTCCATACGCTAGCTATGCATTCTTTGTTGACCCATATCAGGGATACCGATCTTGCACTGGCTGATCGGCACCTGAAGGAGCAAGCTGGACCGTTGCTAGTCCGAGTGCTGACGGAAAGCGGTCCAATCGATAGACTCTTTATTCCACTTAATGAACGCGATCTTTTCTCTCGCAAAGGAAGAGTGTTAGACGCATGGTATACCCAGAATCGTATAGACTGGATATACAGTGGACAGACAGCCGAGGTGATTGTGAAATGGTTAAGAGACTCGGCGGTTACCAAAAGGGCGTCCGGTCCACGAGGAGAAGAACTTTTACGTGGAGCAAAGGACTCCTCATCCAACAAAACGGAGGTCGTACTGGGCTATATCGCCAAGCGCATGGCGCACCATCTTTTCAATGGGAAGATGACTGGGCTTCATGAAAGAGCCCCCGAGCGCTCTGCTGCAATGGCCGTCCTCCGCGGATACCTCGTCAGGCTGGACCCGACTGGGCCGAACGAGGCGCCGGCGAAACTCCTCCAGCACACGTATGAGAATTTCTGGCAATCGGATGACGCGAGGGAGTATTTTGAGCGTTATAGATGCTCTTTGGATACCCTGGCCTCGATCGAGCGTTGGGCTACTGGAAGTTTGGGTCGAGGCGACAGCTCGACCTCGATCTGGGAGATGAACATGGCTCTCAATTACGAGCTATTTATCGAATTTTCGTGGTTTTCCCGTTCGAAGCCAAGCACGGCCAGAGCGAAGCGCGCGCTGGACTTGGACCCATCCAACTGGGACGCGCTCCTGTTCCTCGCCACCGATCCCGAATACCACGCGATCCCTCCTCGGGAGACTTTCGACCTCCTACAGAAAGCAAAGGCTCAGATGGATAATCTTCGGTCCAGCGACTCGTCGTGGCTCAGCGAACCCGGGAAGCGGACAGTGCTCGCTAGTATCATGCTAGAATTTGGAATGGCCCTCTGGCGACAGACGCTGTTTCGCCGTCGCCCCAAGGGCGAAAAGCCGGCGCAGGACGAGCTTGAAGAGGCGGCCATCATACACCGCCAAAGTCTAGAGTTTGGGGATCCCAAATTCCACATCATGAAAAGGCTTTTTCGAGAGTATGAACGTGAGGGGTGCCGGGGACTGTGGCTACAATTCATCTCTACTCTCACTGACTATTCCGCGCGGTGGTCGCCGTCAATCTCGAATCTCAGCAAAGAGGTACTCGTCTGCCATTATCAGCGTCGAGAGTGGCCGGAAGAGAACCGGTTTGCCAAAGCTGCCGACTCAACCAATCAATGGGGCACTGTCGACGCTTTCTTCTCTGCCTGCCTCGCAGCGTCTGAGTCGCACGGGGACGCGCGACTGCAGTTTGAGATCCGTGCCCACTATGCGTTCACGCTCTTCATCTCCTCGCAACCCCAGAAGCACTCGAGAGGCCTTGGTATGCTTCAAGAGTTATTGGATCCGGCTAATGTCAACCAGGTAGATGACTTGGATAACCATCTGATGCTTGACATTCAAATGACCCTTGCCATCTACTACCTTCGGGAGGCTCTGGCGGAAAATCAGAAAGAAACCACGCGGTTGGAGCTTGGAGAGAAGCTCGCCTCATTCGTATGCAATGACCGGATACTCCGCTTCTCGACAGCCGGTGGGCGTCTCACTTTGTCGTGCTGTCTTATCCGGTATGAGGTCCGGTTTGGGAATGGGGGTTATCGCAGCTAGCCCAGTCGCGCGTCCACCACATCATGATGAACGCCTTGGAGCTCCTCTCCGACGATATCGAAGAGAACGACCTATATGCCTTTAGGCTGCTTCAAGACATTCTCTCCTCCCTAGGCGACGAAGAAAATCTTCGAGTGGCCTGGTTTATGTGGGCGGCTTCAATATGGGACTCGAAACGCGATGAGGAAAGAAAATTTGTCAACAATTTGGAAAACAGAAAAGAGGAAACAGTGCCTGGGGAAGGGGAAGGGTCTGGGGAAGAGGAAGGGCCGGAGGAAGAAGCAGGATCAGAGGAAGAAGAAGGGTCAGATGAAGAAGTAAGCCTGGATGCGGAGGAAGGGTTGGAGGGGCTGAAGCTTCACAAGCGGGTACAGATAATGGATCTGTGTCTCGGCCACGTGGAGAGGACACCCAAAGCACTACGGACGACGATTCTGATGCTGCTTCCGTGACCTCTGAACTCTGCCATCTTGAGATGGGATACAGAGTGTGGGAAATATGTCGGCAATGCAATAGGGTGTCAACGACGATAGGCAAGCCTATGTATTTATGCCTTGACTGCCCCGCGCGTTTCTGCGTCGGTGAAGATTGCTACGAGGACTTTGTAGCGGGGAAGAAACCCGAGGATGGGGCGGGGATCGGCGCAGAGGTTTTGTCGTGCGCACCCCACCACACCTTTTACCTCGCCCCCGGCTGCTCGTACGCAGCAAGGAAAGCGATTCCTGCGGGCCATGTAGTTATTGGCGGGACCACTAAAGATGACTTGGAGTGTATTACACTCGAGGAGTGGAAGGTGGCGTTGAGGGAAAAGTATATGAAGGGTTACGTGCCGGAGGAGATTGAGGACGATATGTAGACATAGCAAGGAAAGCTGAAGTGCATGAATCACTTGCACTGGGGTCTTCGTGTTATGCTACCCTGACTCGGAGAGAACCCTGCAAATTTGGTTTCTCAGATCCAATGTATTCAATTCAGACTCGGTTTTATTTCATGAGATAATTGGGTAATCGTGTCGGACTAAGGAGCTAGTCCAATATCAGAGATCTCGCCGCAAACTCCAAGGAACCTCTGTCAAGGAAAAGGACGTCTAGAGACACTTTGAGAGGTGGTAGTGACTTAAATATACAAGAAGGTATAAATGCCATCATACTGAAAACAGAACTAATAGCCCAACTACACTTGGCTCGAAAGCAGATCCTTGCCGACTAACAACCTGGCACTTTTACCAATCCAGCTCTTTGGCAATAGCATCCGCTAGAACGACGGCCTGGGCGGCGTTTGTCGCGGCGTTGGGATGATAGTCACATCCCACGTCCGATCCCTGCGCAGGCCAGTCCAGGAAGTGGATGTTATCGCCTCCAATCTCCGCGATAGCACTTTGAAGCGCCTTGGCGTGTGTGGAGTGCTGAGCGTCCTCCGATGATGGGTAGTCGTCGTTGAGCATGGGCGACGAAAGGAGGAAGTAGGTGGCATCAGGGTAGTGGCCCTGGAGTTCTTGGACGAACTCGACCATGGCCTCCGTAAAGACGGCGGGCTCGATGGGGTCCCTCGCGCCGAGGTAGCTCCAATCATTGGTGCCGAGGTTGATGACCACTACGTCGGGATTCCATTCCTCAGGGAAGGTGTAGCTGCCGGCGGCGTCGTTCGCGCCGTAGCGGCTGTAGATTTCGGGCATGATTGCAATGTTGTCGAGGCTCGGGTCGGCATAGTTGCGAGTCAGACCTCGACCGCTCCAGGCCACGATACTGTAGTCTGCCTCGAGCGCCTCGGCAGCAAGGACGCCGTAGGTCTTGGGATTGTTTTCAACAATGGCCGTATTAGGGCAGGGATTCGTGCCGTCGAGGCCGTAGCCGACGGAAATGGAGTCACCAATCACTTCGATCTGGCGCGCGCGGGGCTCCTCGGCGACGAGAGTGCCATCAGTCTCAACTTCGCCAATCACGATGGACCCGAAATCCGGCCCGGAGCGTTTGCGGAGGACAACGCGGTGCTCGCCCTCGGAAAGGCCGTCGGGGGTGGAAATGTCTCCCTCGACATTCTCAATCACGGTGGACTCGCCATCGATGGTTAGTTCGACGCTGCTGCTGCCCTTGGTGGAAGCAATGCCGATCGTGGCCTGGGTGCCGGTAAATGTGAAGGACACACCGGTGCCGGCCCAAGTGAGTTCTTTGGTCTCTGGATTGACTCTGCCGAGGAGACGGACTTCGGCCTGAGCGGCGACAAGGCCGGCGAGAACGATGATGTTGAAATACGCCTTCATGGTGTCGGGTCGTTTACAGGTGAAGATGGAAGGGATCGAGCTCGAGCAGGAACGTGGAACCTTGGGTAAGACGGCCTTGGAGGGTTTACATTTTATAAGTGCATCCCGCTGGCATATTGAGCGGCTCAATTGTTGTCAAGGTGGGCGGTTCCTTATTGCGTTAAATAGAGACAATTAAATTCCATTTCAGCCTAGAAGGCGGGGCGGGAAGGTGACTTGTGCTTGGGTCCGTCGCCCAGCCGGTTACCAACTTACCCCAGCGGAGAGAATTCCTCCATTTGGGGGAACAGCAAAGAAATTGAAAAAATCAATCGGATCATCGCATGAATCCAGGAATTATTACGAGCGGCGACAGCTTGGGCCCATAAACAGTGGATTGCGTGACTAGGATATTTAATCAATCCACCAATAATCTAGGAACGGGGAGCTTGAAGAACACCCGGCCTTAGCAGTTTTCAGTAACAAAGTCCGCCAGGTTCCCGGGAACCAGGGCACCCGCCGTAACCTTAGACATCCCGAAATGGAGACTTGGCCCTTTGGGCTCAGGAGATTGATTCGCGCGGAAGGCCGGTCCATCGGTCACCGATCACCGATGGTGTGCTTTGTCATCGTCCCGTCCATGCTCCAATCGTGCCGCCGCGCTGTTATTGCCCAGACAGCCAAGGCGGCTTTTTAGCATCTCAAGTTGGGTTGATTTGACGTGGGATAATTTGGAGATTCCGTATATATGCGTGGCGGGATGCTGAGAGAAACTATTCGCTTCGTGCTTCGTGCTGGTGTTATGGCGTCACACCCATCGATATTTCGAAAGTGAAAGGAGGTAAAACCCGTCTTAATTAAGCAGGCTTAACTTTAGTACGAGGACCCCGTACTGTACTTGAAGCAATGATAGATATTGGGAGGTTTCGTTGAATTCACTTACTTTGGTTGTGAGCCATTATCGCCAGTTGATAGTGGACGTATGGCGACTTTGACGTTAAAAAGAATAACGACCTTGTCCTCGCTTCTTCCCATTTCTTCACACCCGATCTTGCGGATCTCGATAGCTAATAAGAACTAGGGCAAGGTACTGTGCAGACGAGTAGTACTCACAAATAGTTGGATGGCATCAGATAAAAGTCGTATCGAATTGCCCCCGGGCATCGTCGTATGTTGTGCGGCACCATGGCCTTCGATAGTCGTCGCATGAGAGCAGTGCAATTAGCGCGTCCGTAATAATTTCGCGCCATGAAATTTGCATGTCGAGTTCGACCGTAACCATTGTGCAACGGACCAACAGCTCCCAGCAATATTTCAGGTACTTGTCCAGCTCTTCTCTGTTCTGTAAGTGGAAGGGGTCGTGGGCGACTGGGAGCCTGCCCCTCGGCTCACCGTCTAGCAGCAACGACAGGATATCAATCACAAGCTCGGTGGGGAGCCTCTTACTCCGGAGAATATTTTCTACAAGAAGAATAGATGACGGAGAAAGGTCTGGTTTTGCTTGGAAGTCGTTGGAGGTGGAATTACAGCGGAGGAACAACTCGAAGGGAAGCTTGCCATACAGCGTATGATCAGGCTCGCGTCGAAACAGGCTGTCTTCCATACCGAAGAAGCGCCGATGCGGGTGCGCCGCAACTGATGAGGCTGATCCTAAATGGCAGCAATTACCAAGCATTGTCTGGTACACTCTTGTCGAGCGGTAATCGCTCGCTTCGGTTCGGCCACTCGGTACATCCCATGTTTCAGGAAAACAGAAAATCAGATTAAGCGCGAGGTAGGGCAGGACGGCTCTCCGGAATATTTGATCCCATCCAGCATCGTGGGCCTATCAGGGGTTAGCCCGGTCTTCAACTGTTTTCAACTGTGATCTTTCGGTCGCGGCAACCTCGACGTAAAGAAGATGACAAGGTACGCTGCCGATGGAGGAATGGGTGACTAGACAGACCAGATCGTCGCACGGGCAGCCCTCCACCACCGCGTTAGGTGGGTGTCTTGCAATGCGCATATACGTAGGACAGCATCCATTTCGCCATAAAGAAGAAGAGTTTTAAAAACTTCTTGGTTGAAAAACGCGGCACCGTTAAGCTTGTAAAACTCGTAGCACCCATTTCGCTGATACCTGCGAGAGAATGCCGCCGCCTTTCTTTCCTCATACGGAATCGGGCATCCGCATTCGGTATCCCCGGAATGACTGCAGAGGCTATTGTGAGACGGGTAAACCGACGGAAGGCATCGCCAACCTTCCGCCTTGGGATTCTGTACGCGCCAACGATGAATCGTCGGAGATAGCTTGCGCGCCGCGTCGTCACTGATGATGAGGTCTTCTGGTTGCGGAGGGCTATACCTCTCCGAGTAGGTTTTCCGGGCTGTTGTTGCATGGGCGTGCAGATTCCGAAGGAAGGCCTCCACGAAGTACTCGAGGTCTTGACCCTGGCGTGGCTTGAAGCGGAAATGGAAATCGGTATGACTGGGATGTCTTACTTGGCAGAATTTGAGGTGTGGAGCCAGACTTCCCCATGGGATATTGTGTGCTTGGTGCGCCATCCCGCCGGTGACACTGTTCGAGTGGCTTGAACGTGTGCTCTTTGTAAGGGAGGCGTAGTTGTTGATGGAGAACTTGCGGTTCTCGCAACTAGAACGGTTTGGGGTTGCTGATGTTGGAGAAGCGGGGTAGGTTGCTGTTTATTCACTAGATGTGCTCATAGATGCTGACATCTAATTAGGCACGCGTCAGAAGCCACGATGTCAGAGATAATCTCCCTAGATGAGGATGTCGCCAGCAGGCCCAGCCAGGCCAAATTACTGGAGTCAAATCAAGGGAGATAGTGGCGCAGCTTTGGGATCTTGAACACCTTTAGCCTAATGTGCGCCGATAGTGGCGCTAAGAGGCCATATCAGATTGCGTAACAACTGCTACGACTTGAGCCACAATGACTTGCGTTACAGGGGAAGAAGCTTTAGGGTGTCTACATGTAGATTTACTCGCAACCTGGAAATTGGTATGTGCTTGTGATTAGAGCGCTGCGCCCTGTGAGGCAAACGGTAGGATTAGATCCAGATATGACTATTTCAGTGTCAAAGTTGGGTTTAGTAGAAAATGGCCAACTCTCCAGCCGCCACCTCGGCGTGGGCTCTGGACGCATTGAAGGGTAACGGAGTTTGGGTGCATTGAGTCTGTGATGGCGTGGAGCCATAATCTTAATGCTGTGCTGGAGACAGACTTTGGATGCTATAACCGCAGGAGGTGTGATGAGGATGCTTGCCCGCGACCATCATGCCAGATTTCGCTAGGTAGCTGAAATGGAAAAGATGAGCTGAGGGGACTGTGAAGAAGGAGAGGGGAAAAATAGCAGATGCCTATGTTGCACATGGTTCAAGAGGGAATTCATTATATTATCATCACATAAACTCAATGGTCGAGGATATTTGGCATATTGTACCCAAATCCGTCGGGGCCAAAGGTTGTCGAGACTGGCAGGAGATTTTCGAGGTCCAGGTCCCAATTCATCGGAAACACGGAGTGATCCAGCCCAGCCTCTGTATACGTCCTGCTCCATTCATCTGTCACGGCGTGAGACATATCTCCGTCGATGCCGTTGTCTCCGTCTGAACTTTGAGGAGTCCGTCCCGCATTAGGCCGGGTTTCCTGTGGTTGTCCTAGTTCAAAATATCAACATCCGTTGTTTAGAAAAAGGGGCCTTGCCGGGCTTGTTATTACCTGAATATTTTGCCAAGCTGCGCTGGCGCAGGACGGTAAGAGCATGCAGATAATGCCGTGCAAGAGAGTAATTTTGTCCAAGCACCTTTAGCGTGTCAAGACATCGTTCCCACGAGGCATCCAGCTCGCCTTCGTCGAGCAAGCGGTTTAGCGACGGTGTACATTCGGTAAGAATCAGTATTATGGCAGAGGTCATGAGATCTGGAAACGTTAGCCTAGGTGCGTGAGAGCCAAGCTTCAGGCCGGGAATCCGGGGCGATAAAGAAGAGAAAGGGAGGGTCCGTACAAAATAGTGTGTACCACCAAGCACCGGTCGCGTGCTCTACCGTGGCCCTTTGCACGGATAGGATGAGTTCCCCGCCATGCGAACGCACACCACGGCGCATTGCGCCCGCAGAGACATGGAAAGGCTCGTGGCGCTCGACTGGGGAGTATTTAAACCGTTTTGGTTTTGTTGGGCCCGACCCTCAAGCTGGGCGCGAGCTAGAGTGCAGTACTCGGTAAAGCTAGGCCTATAGAGAAGAACCTTGAGGTGTATCACTCTAGAAACGAATGATAGTTAGCCATTGTGGCGTTTCGGTAGCTGGATCGAGAATTTCTGCCTACCTTGCCATGAGCACGTTGGATTGCCGCTTGAAGACATGACGTCGCGGCCCCCATCCTTCCGGGGCCTGTTCCAGCACAATACGTCGGGCACGGCCCTCGTGAATTCTTCTAATATAGAGTCGAGGTGGGATATGCTGGTAAAGTCCTCCGAGTGCACGGTGGCCGCTCGAATATCATCGGGCGAACTATACGCTCCAGCTTTGGAGTGGTAGATGCGGTCCAGGATCTGGCCGAGGATCTTGACGAGCTTGGCATTCTGGACCATGAAGATGGTGATGGAATCGGTTCCTTCGGGTTGCAGATTACGGTCCCTCCCTATTATTAGGTTCTCGTCGTCGATTGAACGGGGGAGGGGGACATCGTGACGCATGTGCATGGAGTGGGGGCGACCCAAAGTCATGCTCACAGTCCTTGGGAAAAGATAAGTAGACGTTCTGGAGAAATGCGAAAAGAGGCGTCGCGATCCGCTAGAGAAACTCACATGTCCATTTGCAGGCAAGCGTACCACACTCGCCGCCTGACTTCTGCCTCCACCTCGGAACTGTCTCTCGAGAAGCTGGCGGACTGCAGACCCAAACTAATAGCCATTCGACAGGCGAGGCCGACGACATTCCAACAGCGGGTAGGGTACTGTGTTCCAAGCAGATACTGACCCACGAGGAGGAGAGCCTGGACTTGGCCGATGCTGCCGCTGTCGAGGATATCGAACCGCAGCAGTGTCTTGATACGGTCGTAAAACATGGCCGAGGCGGCCCTTTTCTCCTCGGACGACAGGTCGGAGAACTGGCAGCCGAGAGCGAACATGGCGTTGAGAGCGCTGAAAAAGACGTGGCGCGGGTAGTTGCCGCCGCCCAAACCAATGTCGATCTTGTCCACCGCCCGGTCTTGCTCCCGCTCGTTCCTCGTCCACAGCCGCTGGTACTCGGCCAAAAGGATACCGAGTGCATCCAGGGGTAGAAGATGTGCACGTTGGAAAAGTAGAGCTCGATGAGCTTGTCGGCGGCTGCGCGGGGCGGGAGAGCAAATTCCGCCTGAAGGGTAAGGTAATCGTCGCCGTGGTCCCTCGTCATACTTCGGTATTGGCTCTCTGAGCTATTCTGCTGCTGTCGTTGGTCGGAGTTGGCGTTGGAAGGCTGGTCCACCTCTCGCATGAGGGAGAGGAGGGACGACTCGCCGTAATACTCGTTATTCCTGCGCGTAGAATGCTGCTCGTGGCCAGGCACGATGGCGCCCATGGCGCTGATGGGGCTCAGGCTGAACGCATCCTCCCCGGGCGAGCCGCGTCGGCGAATTCACCACCGGCGTGGTTCAGAGCTTGGGCCTTGGCGGGGCAGCGCTGGTCGGCGAGGAACGCGGGCACGACGGGTCGGAGCATCGTGGAGCCAGAGTCCCTCGTATCCCGAGGCGAGGTGGTGGAGCTCGTCCGGCCGACCGAGAGGCTCCTTCCGAGCGACCGATGAGGCGACGAGACCTGCGCGACAACGTTGGGGCCCGGGGTTCCCGCCCCGGGGCGCTCCTTTCGGGCGGGGAGGGCTGGGCTTGCGAGGTTCGGATTCACTCGCGCGGCCTCCTGCGGCCTGCTGGAGGTCCCGAACCTGTTGTCGCAGGCTTGCGATGTACCTTGATTTCTAGTTAGCACTCGTCGCGAGGCACCGTTCGTCGGAGGAAAAAGATTGAAAATGTTTGGCCGGGATGCGCGCCGTCACCTACTCTTGCTCGCTGCTCTTCCGCGCATTGTTGGCCAAGAGGCTATAGCCGCAGCTGCCCGCGGAAGCATTGCGCCTCTCGCAAGGCCCGCAGATGGGCTTCGCGCCATCGCATTTGATTTTTCGCTCCCGGCAGCTTTCGCAAGCGAGGGCCACGCGCTTGCGTTTGGCCGGCCGCGTTCCGTCCTCGGACGAGGAGTAGTCGAGCGGCTGCGTCCGCTGCATCCGCGCCGCTGTTTTGGGATGGTTCGGCTTCTTTTTCTTTGGTTACGTCGATTTCGAACCCACCCTTGGATTGCGTCTGGCACGCCCGGGGAAAAGGTTAGGAGACGCTTTTTTACTCAAATTCATTACATGAACGGGAAAACCCCACCAGCTTTGGTGGAGGGAGGGCATCACGTGGAAAACCAACCTTGGACGGTGCTATGTTGCACCTTTGCTGGAAGTACGGGGGAAGATCTGGGGGCGCGTCAACTGGTATTACAGGCCTACAATTGGTTCACCGTGCTCTAACCCAGCCTCCTGCCCCATTGGATTTGGTGGGGTTGGCTTGGATTTTGCACGGCCTAATGCCTTTTAGGTTGGCTTTGCCACCCCGACGACACACTCTGCACCTTGTCTTGCCAACCAGACCGTGAAAAATCCGCTAGTCCCGGCAGCTGGTGTCGGCATTGGTGGGGTAACCTCCTGAGGTTGCCCGGCCCCCTTTGCCCACCCACGAGCAGCACTGGCTGTGAAGTTGGGATTACATGTACCTAACCGAGGTAATCGTTCGAAGTTGAAGCATTGTTGACTGTGAATATTCGACTTGTCGGGTTGAGCGCTGGTAAACCGTCTCACGAGGGCCAAGGAAAAGGAGCAGCAACTCTAAATTTTGCTCGGTGCTATTAATTAGGTTGAGGTCAGGTCTGACTTGCCGTATCCCACGGACGCTAGTCGTTACTGCGGGGTGAGACATGCTTGTTTTCGACAATGCTATTTGGCAACCGAAATGCTGCAATCGAGATTAATAAATAGTGTCCTTTATCAAAGAGCTTGTCTGCTGCGCTGTTGTCTCTGAGGATGATTGTAATCTACATGCTCATCATGGCGACATCAAGTTGTGAAGCCCCATCACCAACCTCTGCTTCAACGGAAAGCATCGCGTAAAGGCAGCTCTTCTTAATCATAGATAGCGCGCATTAGGAAGCCCATTCGTCACATACACAGTGACATTTTGAACATGCCCATAGGAGGATGGAAGCGATACAGGCAGCTTGACGACAAGGAGCTACTGCAGTCCGGGTTGTTTCCATAGTTAGGTAGGCGGGAAGGCCATTGATTCGCATGGACATAGAGGTACCCGTGGGCGCATCTGGGCGATTCGCCCTGCGTCTTCTTGTTAGTAGCGGCACCAACGTAGACGTTCAAAATCCAGAACCGGCTAGGCATGTGCATAACTCTCGTTCCCGAAGCTGTGGGTCCACATCTCTCATGCTTTGGAGCTTCTCTTTCGGCCGGAGGGGATCTCGATGGAGGATTATGGCACCCGTCGAAACGCGGCCTTGGTCAATTCTTGTAACCCCACCCTCGGCACCCTTGTCTTGCTCGAGATTGGGGGTGGAATCTAGGCTGACGCCTCGAAATGCCCGAGCTCGGGGACTGGCAAAAGCCCACAGAACGAAATCAAGGATCTCTGATGATCGGCACAAACGGCGCTCCGGCTTAGACAGGGGCATTTTTGCGACATTTGGCCCCAGGGGAGAAGGCTGACAGCGACACTGCCATCATAACCTCGCTTTGTGTGTTGACTGATCCTGAACTATTTCGTTGTTTCTGCGTCTGGCCCTCAGTTCGAGATAGATTTTAATTGTTATCGGCGTATCAAGACAATCAGGGTGCTCTAAAGTGTACTTGCGCCGTTTCCATCGAAGATCAAAAGGCATGGTTTGACCAAAAAGGATAGGGGCACGCTTTCTGTATATTTGAGGTATCAAGAATCCTATATTCTCCACCGACTGAAAGATCTCGCATTATTAATTTGCATCACCTACAGTTCTTTTTCGACAAGGTTGTGGCGCCACTTGAGTGAGAGATCGTGTTGGAGAACGAGTTGAGAGGTTACGTGCGGCTCTGCGGAGCCACTAATGGACTATTGAAGGTTAAGACTGCCGTGATGACGTGGGCTCAACATTGGGCGTGGTAGTCCGGCTCGGATGGGGCAAAAGTTGGCCGAGAATGGCTCGGCTTTGGAGTTTTTCTGACAAAGACACCAGGGCCTACCCTTGAGAACGATTTCTCTGGCGGGAATATTAGGGCGGCCTCATATCTGGCGCACAACCTGCTATACCCTGTTCTCGAAGCTCGCATTATTCGAGCCCGATTCTTCGTCAAACATCGATCGGCAAGACGTGCAATTCCGAGCTTTTCGGCCGATGAATTCCGCTGCAGTCAAGGATCCGGGCTTTGCTTTTGACTGCTGCTTTTTCACGTGAAATTCTTGCCATCCAATTGGGGTCCGTCGCCAATCCCCGAGACGTTCTAGAACCTGGAGGCGGGCCCATCCGGCCCAGCCCGACAAATAGGAATCAAGCTAGCAATAGACCTCGGTCTAGACCAACCTCTCGTGCAAAAGGAGGCAAGGGTCTCTCCCAAGCCCAGAATCCTCTCCCCTCTGTCAGGACGGGATGGGTTTAGCTAGGCTCGAGGAATCATTGTTTATTGGTATGGAGACAAGACGCGAGTGTGCAGGTCTTATAAGGCGAAGCCGAACTTATGAAACTGTGGAGTTTTCGGCGTGACGGACAAAGGTCCGACGTCGGCCCATGGCGTGACATATTAACCCGAGATCCTCCCCCAAACCCTTGCCCAAATTCGCTCTCCTCCCGTCTGAGTTGCGTTCATCTGTTCTAATGAGGCAAAAATTTTCCTTTTGCTTTGTTTAAAACTTAATACCTCCTGCCCCGTATATCCCACCATCAAAAGGACTCAGACTCGACTCCGAGCGCAGACTTTGTAACATCTCCAGCAATAGCTTGCCCGACACGATGCGAATCACGCGCCTTATCTCGATGACCAATTTTGCCGTGGCCTCCTCGGCCCTGGCTTTCCAGGTTTTCGTCCTGTATCCTTGGCACAACCAACTCCAAGATGATTTCCGCGCACTGAAGGACGAACACCTTCGTGTACTTCGCACGATCTCCGAAAACCGACCAAAGGACCGACAGAAGAGTGCCGAATAAGCCCCAGTGTATCGCCGTCGACCTGGAAAAGGGATGAAGACGCCATCGTTACAGATATTCGGACCTCCAGCCCTGTTCTATCCGCAAGTTCAGACAAGTGGTTGGATTAGGGTCCCGAACGGCGAGGCTCAACGATACCGTCTGTCCCTGCAACCAAACCACCTTCGATAGAGCCGAAAATCTCTCAACAGGAGTGAAGCCCTGCCCTTCAGCATAGTCTGATTAGAACAGCGGAGTCGAACTGTACCAACAAAGTCACGAGAGTCATTCCTTACATGCACTCGAACACGAAGCACGATTGTTCCATCTATCCATGTATGTGTGATGGTTAGCCGTCCGTGCATGAGACGAACTACTCGACGAGCCATAGAGCAACCGAAAGAGATGAAACCGAATAGACACACAATTCCACATGTATAGATTCGATATTAGGACCACCCTCAGATATACACTTCGCTTAGATCAGTCTCGATACTGGACTTGAATCCTTTTAGCATTGATTAATAAATACGTTTAGGCTACGATACTATCATTGGTTCTTTCCGACAACTAACGTTCATTGCATCAAGGTTTTGCGTGGACCAAGTTGGTTGTCGCCCGTTGTGACGGCATCTAAATGGATTTACCCTGATGTGAGATAATTTATAGCTGTTTTCGGTCATCTTTTTCAGCAGAGCTAGGATCGCGCCGAACCCGAAGCAAATTGAATAGACATCGGTCTTCGTCGACCTTCTCGACCCCTCCACTAGCCCACATGGAGCATCGAACATCGGACCGCCTTCTAGACGCATGGGAATGTCCTCTTCACCAACATGCAGCCCAAACGGACTTTCGCATCTTACGACAGGCTGAGCAAGTGTGTCTAAAGGGCCAAAGAATGCTGGAGCCAAGAGCGTCAACAACAGGAACTAGGCATTTAGGAGAGCATTGCGAGGAGTAGAAGCTATTTTCGCGGCGACCAGATGACTATTGGGGACGTTTGCCTTATTCCCGCGGTTTTGGTCAGGGCGTACCATATGGATGCAAGAGTCCGCAACCATCTGGAGAATTACGAAGAGTTGAGCAAACAGCTGGCTGTACAACGAGCACATGGGATACGCCAGCTGGACACTCCGATCGAATTGAAACAGACGGATTATATTTAGGTTTGCAGCTAAGTAAGATGAACGAATGAAGTGAAGTGTAAGTTGTAATAATTAAGCATCGGCCAAGCTAGCATGTATTCAAGGACCGACAACTCTCAGAGGTGATCATCGCGATTCCAACAGCGCGATTTCTGCGAATTCGTCCTGTTTTTCTTGCAGGACGTGGCCCCGCGTCCTGGATAATGAACATGCGTTCCACATCGGCGTTGAAGGCATGTGCTCTCATTTACGGCTGGACGGGATTACTGGCCGGAACCTGCGTGGTCGCAGTAGCTGGTGCGGAGGCTATCGCGCCTGAGGCCTCACGTTTTTCATCGTAAGGACCGGCGTATCCGCGACCATGCCGGGTAAAATTGAGGCCCAGTCGCCCGTAGTCCCAGGATTTTGATAACCCGATAAACGCGTAGGCCAAGATGGGTATCATCAAGACTGCGAAGATCAGCATGTTGGAATTTTAACAGCCATGTCAAAAACAAGAAAAGGAACTCACCATCTAAGATTCCAAAGAAGATGAACGACGAGGTCACACCAATCACGTTGCCTCCATCACTTAGACCCCAGGCAATGGGGTAGAGCAGCCATAGTAGGTGAAGCCAGCCAGAGAGAAGAGTGTAATGGCCACTGATATTATTACGGGCGGCGATTCGGCGACCGTGCGTGAACGAACCGATGAAGAGAATTAGCCACGCAAGCGTCCCCAATGCGAAGAAGCCCCATTTGTATCTCGTCGATGTGAAGGCGGCAATTAAATAGCATATAACCCTTTGGCATTGTCAATGACGAGGTCTGTGGCGATTGTATTCTTGTAGTACTCACCAAATCCACGATAGACCAATCCCGTATGCGATAGTAGCCCAAGTAACGCCGCTCAGGAGACCGAGAGCTAGTATCGCGGCCGGGAAGGCAACAATCCAATACACGTACTTGGGCCAGAATATCTGGCGTGTGAAGCCGCGGCGGAGGTGATGGGATTGTCGGACAACCACCCAGCCGAGGTCAGATGCCATCGCATAGTAGGCGATGGCGCCCGCCAACAGTGGAATAGCCCATATATAATGGAAGATCCGCTCCTTGTGCCGCGGTCGAATGCTCAATGCAACGATGACAAGCTGTGTGTGAAGTGTTAGGAGCATGTCGCCTTCCAACTCTCTGAGACGGGAATGGGTCTTGTAGTGACAAACTTACGAAACTGAACAAGAAAATGCGGTGACAGCCCAGAGCCAGTTAGAGCCATTGATGGACAGGCGTCGGTCGCCGGCGGGTGGATGTGAATCAAAGACCCTGTTCGCTCTTTCTACAATGTGTTTCATTGTTTCGTTTCGACGTGCGTCTATTAGATAGATTTGGGAGGTGATGGATTTTATGAAAGAGGGCTGAAGTGAAGATATTATGGTATAAGTTGCCTTTCAAGGGTTAAACAACTATCCTTATAACCTCACTATGGTGCCCGAATGGCTTCCAGGTCGAGTTCGTTTACGTACAACTGATGTCGTGTTCTCAAATCAATCCATCTTGCTTCATGATTTTATCACTGATTACAGGCTTGTCAGTGCCATGCTTAGACAAGAGTTAACTTCCTGGTATAACTCAATTTGTTCAGCGTGGTCTGACTTTGAGTTTATATTCAATTCACGTCGTTTAGTAAAAGAAAAACGTGGGTGTCGCTTTGGAGTTAAGACAATTAGGTTGTCGCGCTTTGCATCTTCTCGCCTGGCTGTTGTAATGTGTTATCGGCGATCCACGCTACCCTCCTGTCGGGCCCTCACAGGACAAACGCCTTTGACGCTATTTGATAGATATGACACGAAAGCGGCCGTTCCAAAGCCACCACAGGGAACCAGGAAGTTGTAGAGTCTGATTTTATCGCAGGATGCTAGTGATTTTGTATCTACAGATGTTTACGTAGAGGGCCGGTCGTATCGCACGGGATCGGATACGGCCGGCAAGGAGCAACGGACAAAAGCGGGGGCATCGTCAAGATGACTCAAGGCCCCCCTCATTTAGTGACATGCACGTTGGTAAACGCGAATACTTTGTCAAATATCAGTCGCATCGATTATATCCACGTTTAACGATAGTCCAAATGGCCGATCCGATTCCCTCCAAAGCATCGCCAGAGCCCATCTTGCGGCTGTCTAAATGTTGGATCCGAGCCTACTGCCAAGATGATGCCGGGGCGATTTCCGAAAGGGCGGATAACTGGAAAATTGCACGATGGATGCGCAACACCTTTCCGCACCCGTACACTGTCGAGAGTTCCTTGAACTGGATCTCGCGCTGCGTAAGCGCCTCGCCCATGACCCATTTCGCTATCTGTGACCCCTCTTCGAACACAGTGATGGGCGGAATCGGCGTACAACTCAAAGATGACGTGGCATCCATCACCGCAGAGATCGGCTACTGGTTGGGTGAGCCCCACTGGGGGCAGGGGATCGCGACCGAAGCCCTCGTTGAGTTTACGAAATGGACCTTTGCCAACTTTGACGAGCTGATACGTCTCGAGGCTCTTGTCTACGAAGGTCACGGTGCGAGCTGTCGTGTGTTGGAGAAGGCAGGCTACGCGTTTGAAGGCAGGATGCGAAAGGCTATCCGAAAGAATGGAGAGGTTTTAGATGTCCTGATATACTGTACTTTTAGGCCGGGATCCGGTTATTGAACTACGTCAGCAACACGAGGCTAGAAGCACGTAATGAGGCAGAGGGGCTTTTCTTGGTTCCGCATGTTTTGGAGGTGAAAGAAGGGGGATGGAAGAACCACAACCTGGGTAACAGTTCGATTGGAAGTAGGATTAGTTCGTTAGAAGTTGGTGATAGTCATCGATATCTCTATTTGGGTTTGACTTTGCGTTGAAAGCCTCTTTCTTCCAACCGCGAGTACCTTGGTCCTGGAGGCCGCGACGCCTGCAGACGTCCTTCGTCGCTCTGCAGAGGCACCGGGTAAAGATTAGAATGAAACCATCCTTGAGTTACCGAGGTGGAGAAGATGAAGAAAGCGGGTGGCGTGACAGCGTCTTCTGCTAGACTTGCAGAATGGTTCTGCGGGCGTTGGGACCCCGTGCTCTGGAAACCATTGTGCGCTGCGATGATGTGGATCCAAGATGGATCCGTAAATCTGACGTCTATGCTGCCTCGGAGTATGCTTAAAAGTTTAGCCAAAGAGTCTTTCTTTAAAAACTACAAATCAAAACTAATTGGGGTTGATGGCGTGCCTTTTGATGGCGTGCATCATATATGCCAAGGAAGCCGCGTGGAAATCATCATGGGGGAGTGGCTCTAGATGCTAAAGCTCCACCTCAAGCCAGCCTACGTGAGAGTGCAACACTTGACCCACGTTCAGCGGCTCAGATGTCAATGTCACCAAGGGGGTAAATGGCAGCGAACTTCCCTCGATCAATCGACACTCGAGAGATCGTAGATGTTGGCCCCGGGGACAAGGACGCTCCCGTGCCAGTCCCAGAATTATCGTCTGCACCCCAGTTCCCCGCAGGCTTGGCCGAACGGATTTAGAAACGCGCCCTGAGAGCCGCACCTGGTCGGATAATTGATGTTGACGAATCAAGTAAATCGCTGCAGTGTTACTACACCGTTACCTCTGCGCCAGCGCGTGTTTTGGTTCCGATTAGCGTGGGAGATTTAGCCTAATGCGTGGATGGCACTCTCCGCGAAGCCAGCGATTCACCCAGGGGCGCCCGCACGCTGCCGTGCGGACGCGTGAAGGCTTGCAAATCCAGGACTCGTGGAATTTATCTTTGCCCAAGCAAGAAACCTTTAAATCCTACTTCCGAATGCGACCCAAATTTCTTTTTCTCCGTTTACCAGGTTACCCACACGGCCGCTTCGTGTCCCTGCAATTCAACGGATGGGACGCATGATTCTAGAAGGGGCTTCCCCGTTCTCATTGGACGGAACGACCTACGAATGTCGGAACAAGGAGGAGGAATGACCCTACCACTGCGATAAAAAGTACCTCGGTATGGACGACGAGTCAAGCTTTCAGCGCAGAATAGAACGGCCTTCTCCACAGCCCTTGTGTGCCCAACCGCGGATAGATGGAATGCCACCATGCCATGGAAACCCACCGCATGAGTTGCCAAACTCCACTCTCCCGACGCCCTTTCGCATCGTGGAGCCCTTGCTACGGTCTCCTTGCCGTCGGCCAAGACGATGGGGTATAAATACGGGGGAAGGATTGTGTCTTGGCTTCCTTTGTTCTTCTATCTAGACACATCAGCTCCTTTTGATAATCACAGTTTCTTTCCCTCACCCCTGATCCTGCCATTACCAAAGTAGTCCACACAACCGCCAAGATGTTGTCCAGTGTCAAGGCCACCCTTCTTCTCATCTCCGCCCAGGCGGCGTTGGTGTCCGCCCAATGCCCGTCCCTCCACATCTTTGGCGCCCGAGAGACTACCGTATCCCCGGATTCGGTTCGGCCGGCCAGCTCATTAGCATGATCGTCGCTGCCCACCCCGGTGCCACCACCGAGGCCATCACCTACCCTGCCTGCGGTGGACAGTCGTCGTGCGGTGGTGTCGCTTACGGTGACTCGGCTAGGCAGGGCACCAACGCCGTTGCCAGCCAAGTCAACGCCTTCAACCAGAGGTGCCCCAACAGTCAAATCGTTCTTGTCGGCTACTCTCAGGTAGGTTACATCCCGTAGAGGTTCTATCCCGGCCAAGGACGTGGAGAACAAAAGGGTACTAACTGCGATGCGCAGGGTGGTCAAATCATGGACAATGCCCTCTGCGGCGGCGGTGACCCTGGTGCCGGTATCACCAGCACTGCCGTGCCCATCTCCTCGGCCGCCGTTGGCCAGATCAAGGCCGCCATCTTCATGGGCGACCCCGATGGCAATACGGCCTTGCCTACCAGGTCGGAACCTGCCGCGCCGGTGGAGTAAGTAGAATTCTCCCGTCTTAGTATCGTTTAGAGACTTGGTTCGATCGCTAAACTGCATTACCCTATTCTAGTTCGACGCCCGCCCCTCCGGCTTCGTCTGCCCCAACGCGAGCAAGGTCCAGTCCTACTGCGACGCCGCCGACCCTTACTGCTGCACCGGAAACAGCCAGGCCACCCACCAGGGCTACGTCGGCGTCTACGGCCAGCAGGCCCTCACTTTCGTCAACGGCAAGCTCGGCTCCAGCAGCGGTGGCGGCAACACCGGTGGCGGCAACACGGGAGGCGGCAACACCGGCGGCGGCACCAACTGCGCTGCCAAGTGGGGCCAGTGCGGTGGTCAGGGCTGGAGCGGAGCGACCTGCTGCGCGTCGGGAAGCACTTGCCAGGCTGCCAACCAGTGGTACTCTCAATGCTTGTAAATTCCAACGACTCCGAGTTGTAGGCGGCTTCGAGGCCCTTCTTGTACATAGTTTTTCGCAACGGAGATGGAGAAGCGGAAGCGTGGCCGCTTTCCTGTCGCGTTGAATACATATGAGGCTTGTGCGCCGCAATCATTCCAAATCTTTGATGTCTTTCTCTCTTTGCCGTGTTGCTTAACCCCAAGCTCATAGAATCCCCGGCCGAATTTCGCGTTGGGGATGATAGGACACCATAGAAGGGTGAGTGTTGAGGGGGGACCCGGACCGTAGAAGACGGGGACCTGCATATAGTGTTTGGCCCTGAGCGACCTGTATATCGCATGGTTCCGGCCTGTGGTTAACCGAAGTGACCACCTGACCCGTCCCGGCACACGCATCTTTTCCCGGACAAAGGTGGGGTCGGATGGCGGCGACTGGCCGCCGAACTGTCGCCCCACCGCGCCTTAATAATCGGCGCTTCGCCTTGATGGGTAAAGGCCGCTGGCCGGTAAAATCGGCGGAAAATCTCCGACGCGGTTTGTATTGTCGTAAGACGCGGCATGACTGGTGCCCGATGCCGACAAGGATAAGATGTGATGCGATCGAAATGCTGCAGCGCAGAGAAAATATATAATCGACCTTTCGATCGGTCGGCGGGCCAGAGATGTCATCAGGTACGATCTCCAACTCTGCCGAGCAAAACCGAATTCCAGCAGCAACAATTTCATTCCGATTTTCCATTTCTTATGACCACCAAACAAGTGGACGTTATCATCGTCGGGGCAGGCCCCACGGGGCTGACCTTGGCGTTGGAACTTGCACTCTACAACATTTCATTCCGCATCTTGGATAAGATCCCGGCCCCATCAGACAAGAGCCGAGCCTTGGTTGTCCACCCACGAAGCCTTGAGCTTCTGAGGCGGCACGGGGTTTCTGATGACTTGAGGGATCTCGGCACTATCGGGACCGGGATGAGGGTATTTGTGCACAAATCCAGGGCCGCGGCGCTGGACTTTACCGACCTTGGTATCAAGCACACCGAGTATCCACAGCCAATCTGGGTGTCGCAGGCTCACACGGAGGGTGTCTTGCGAAATCGCCTGAAGCAACAAGGCCACGAAGTGGAGTGGAACGCGGCCGTGGAGGAGATACAGCAGGACAATGGTGGGGTTGACGTTGTGATAGCCAAGGGCGAGTCCAAGGAACAAATCCGGTGCGCCTACGTTGTTGGCTGTGACGGCGCGCATAGTGTCGTCCGTCACGCAGCAGGTCTTTCCTTTGAGGGGGCGCCATACCCGCAGGACTTCTTCCTCTGCGACGCGCGGCTCGAATGGGACTACATGGCGAAGGAGGGTCACCACATTACCATGTTCTCAATTGATAACGCGGTGCTGATCCTCTTTCCCATGCCCGATGGTATTGTCCGCTTCATTGCCAGCTTAAACTCGGGAACGCTGAAGAACATCCCCCAATGGGAACCCGACCATTGAAGACTTTCGCGAAATCTTCGGCATGGTCGCTCCGGGCACGTGGAAGTTATCGGATCCGATTTGGTTGACGAGGTTCAAGCTGCACCACCGTGGCGTTAACGAGTACCGAAGCCGCCGCCTTCTTGTGGCCGGGGATGCGGCGCACATCCACAGCCCGGCGGGCGGCCAGGGCATGAACACGGGTATTCAAGACTCCATCAATCTCGGATGGAAGCTCGCCCGAGCTATACAGAATCCAGGCGAGGGCAGCGAGGCCTTGTTAGACAGCTACAGCACGGAAAGGCAACGGATCGGCCAGCACCTGCTCGACGGCACCGACAGGATCTTTAGCTACGCGACGTCCACGAGCCGTTTCTGGACCCTGTGGCGGCATTTTGTCATCAAGTGGCTGATGCCGTTCGCGCTCCGGATCAAGCCGCTGCGCGCGAGAGCGTTTCGGTTTATCTCGGAGCTTGGAATTAGGTATCGACACAGTCCCCTTGTTGGGACGTCGGCAAAATATCGCGGCAAGCTCAAGGGCGGAGATAGGGCGCCGGACGGGTTAGTCGAGTTTGGCGATGGACATCCCCCAGCCTTCCTCATGCGTCATCTGAGTCCGGAGAAACACCATCTTCTCCTCTTCTCTGGCCGGGGTGCGCAGAGCGTTGGTGCTGAAATCCTCGAGGAGCACGGAGGGCGTCTGCTCGCCTGGCTCCAGGAGAAGCAGCCGGCCTCCGCGGAATGTTACAAAATATACGATTCGGACAAGGGGATGTAGCCAGAGCGGTGGTTGATACGGATGCCCAGCTCCACACCCTTTACGGATTCAAGGCCCCAGGATATGCGCTCGTGCGGCCGGATGCCCATGTTGCCTATATTGGCCTTCTCGATCAAACTGAAGATTTCCGAATCTGGATTCAACAGTTCTATTAATTCGCTTCCTTTCCGCACTACCTGGCACATATAGGCTCAGAATGATACATCATGTTGAAATTTTTTTTTTTTTCAATTTTATTTCCTTTGTTTGATATCCTCGATACTCTAGCTTAGCGTAATAATTTTCATCGTTCGCGTTCACTTGTATCTCTTGGCAACTTTGTCTTCCTGTTTTGTCTATCTCCGATCTATCGCGAATCACGATGACGTCAGGCCGGCCCATTTCGGATCTCATGATAACGGAAACAAACTCCAACGTACTTTTGGATTCCGTCCACTCTTGGTTTCGCTAATTACCCCTCAAAACTCTGCCAATCATTTGGAAATTAAATCTATTCATGGGTAAAAACGAATTGGTCGCAGAGTCAGTCATCTCCGCAGTCGTCGAGCATCGCCCTCGCAGGCGCGGAGTCCTACAACTCATTCTCCATCTCTTCGCTACCTTGCTGGCCCTTTTAAGATACGACTGGCCAAAGTTGCGCCGGACACATTCAAAAGCTGAGAGAAGAGAATTGGGGTATCGCTACACATGACTACCTTCAATCTTTTGAGAATGGACGCGGTCTCAAATCCATCGGTGACATGGGGTTTTCTGGCTCGGTAGGCAATATGTTATGCACAATACGCAACAGAAGACGCGGGATCACTAACGATTGGTGCAGACGTTCTTTGAAACTCGGGACGCGAAATACCTGATAAAATCAGTTCCGCGGCATTCGGAACACTCATTCTTCAAGAATGACTTACTGGAACCGTATGAAGCGCACATGGCGTCCCACCACGACTCTCTCTTAGTGAGAGTTTTCGACTTCCTTGGAGCAGTTGGTCCGTCGATCGGTCGGTTCCTCAGGCTTGCCCCCTCGCATCACATCGTAATGGAGAATATCCTTTGCGGGAAAGGGGAAAATGACCATGATGACGAGGTTGAATGGAAAACCTGGGACTTGAAGCCAACCTCTTACTTCTACCCAGAGAGGGACATCGCCGATGGCCGTTTGACGAGCGAGGCCACCAAGGATCAGCTCGCGGATACCTTCAACGGCAAGATTATCCTCACGAAAAACGAGGTCCAGGATTTCTTCTCCAGCCTCAACGCGGACACGGAATTCCTCGCGCGCCACAACGCCGTAGACTACTCCCTCTTCCTAGTTCGCACCACCTACAACAATGGGGCCCCCGCCTAGGGCCGCGGAGCAGGCTGGATCTTGGCGCACGGGGATGCCGTCCTGCGAGGGCCGACACGTATTTCGAGCGGTGATTTTGGACTTCTTCTGGGCAAAGCATAAACCGCAGCCGATTGTGATGACGGTCTTAGTTCGCTTGTGGGACTTGGCGACGCACTCGGGGCCGATGAGTATCACGACGACCCCGGAGGAATATCGGCAGAGGTTTTTACAGATGTGCCGCGGGATAGTGGAGATACGGGAATAGGGAAGGTATCTCGCATTTATCGCTTGGTTTCCTTTGTATTTCGCTATTGGGAGGTAGTAGTAAATATTCGATTTGATACCCGTTACTATACTTTGCCGTTGCCTCGGCTGGGAAGGCTTGATCCCGTGTGAGTTACCAATAGACTCGCAGAGCTGGATATTTCTACCCCGACACAGGGAGAATAAGATTATGATCAGAGGAGGAATCAATATCGGTCGGATCGCGACTGCAAAATTAAATTTTAGCATATGATAAATAATTATGTATTATTAGGGATTATCTTTGTTGGATCCATCTAAATGTCTAGTAAAACAACCCAAGCATAAAAACAAAAGGAAATGATTTGACGCTCGAAGCAAAGCCGTAAATAAGGAGAAGAAGGCGGAAAGAACGAAGTAATGCAAAAGAACCAGGGAATAACACATCATTTCCTGAGCCTGCTGGCAAATTCGCTGTCTTGTAGGAGCCAGGTTTCGAAATCCTTGACATCGGGGTGGATGCGCTTCACCTCTTCAATGTCCGCAGCGTAGCCGACATCATGGAACCACCTCAACATATAACCAAAGTCCTTGATACCCCACATGATCAGGCTGCACAGAATTCTCCAGGTTTCGGTAAAGTTTCGACCGCTGTACTTGTTGAAGATCTCATTGGCCCTCTCGATCGTGATCTCGTCGCCGGCGAGGGAAATGGCGCGGTTCTTGTATTCTTCGGGGTGGAGGAATACTTTGGCGGCGACGATGCCGATGTCGGGCACGGCGATTAATTGCAAAGGCTTCTCCTTGATGACCATCTTCCAGGATGTGACAAAGACGCGCCCAAGGAGGCTATCGGCGAAGTTCTCCATGAAGGCGACGGGCCGTAGAATGGTCCAGTCCATTTCGCCATTCTTGGTTTGCTCGATAAGATGCTTCTCGATCTTGTGCTTGTGAATGAAGTGCGGGACGTCGGTGGGGTTCTCGAGCGAGGCCTCGCCGTGTCGATCAATGGAGGAGTAGACGAAGAACTTGGCGCCCGCCTTGATCGCGGCGTCGACTAGAGCCTTGCCCTGGACGAGTTCTGAATCGGCCTGTTTGTTACCGATCGCGACCTAGTGTTCCTGTGGTTAGTATGGCTGCGCTGAAGAGACGTCACAGAAGGCCCACTTGGTGGGGGTGTGAATCTGAGTATAGTGAATCTCTTACTTGTACGGAATAAACACCCCAGATGGGGAGAGTCGTGGCTTTCTTAGCGGCATCAAAGACCGCATCGATGTTGGCAAGGTCGCCCTGGATCAACTTGATTTTCGGGGACTTCTTGGCGAGTTTCTGGGCAGAGGCGGAGGATGCGTCTCGGGTGAGAGCGAGGATCTCGAAGTCGGCGTTTTCTTGGAGCAAGCTGTCGATGAGGGCGCCGCCCTGCTTGCCGGTGGCGCCGGAGACGAAAATAGCGCGAGACATGAGTGCTAGGTAAAGAGGTGGTGTGGGAAGGATATGTGTTTGGTTCTAAGGTAGATGTTGGTGCGGGTTGGCACTTCAAGTAAGATTGATGCTGGGTTGGTTACAATAGACAATGTCTTCAGGTAAGAGTGGGGAAAAGCTTTGAGAAGGGTTGCAAGCGTGTAAGAGTGGGCTTAGTGTGTTTGGTAGATGCGTTTGAATGCAGAAAGGGTTCGATGATGGAGATGAGTGAAGAAAAACATGTCTACTACTGGCACCCGGGCATCGTTTTTATATCTCTCCTTTGCCTTTGATTTCGAACACGATCCTGTGTGTATTGCCTGTGTGTATTGGGGAGAGGAGAGAAAAGGGTGGTTTTGGGAGACGGATTTGTAAGGTCGGCATCAATTGATAATTGAATTCTGCCAGTTCAGTTGTTTTGGATTGCCAATGCTCCATGCACCTCGTCCATTCCAGGAGTGATTCTGCGCCGCTGCAAAGGCAACAGATATCAAACCAGCCAATCACAAGCCCTTCGGTGGCCGATGGTGATGGCTTCCGTCGCAACGCAGCAGCACCCCACCACCTTTTTCCCGCCCGAGAACCCTGCTGACATATTCCGCTGATAGGAGAAGTGTGCGAAACAGCCTTATAAAGCCAAACGGCAAAAATAAAGTGCTGAGCAAAGACGTCTTTAAAATTCACAGTGCTGACGGCGTCCCCAGGATCGCCCGACCGTGCAGCCGCCCTCTGGTCGGTGCACTACCCGAGCGAGGATCCTGGAGGGGTTGATTCAATGCCACGAAGCCTATGAGTAATAAGGATGGTGGGGGACAGCTCATCCTTTTGATCCTGCTGGGATGAAATCTGGATACATAATGAGGGTGAGGCCCGTATGCCCAACTGCATCCAAATGCATCGAGTACTTGGATGTATGCGTGGGCGGGCGAAAGAAGATGGAATCGGGAAAGCGGCAGCGACTCTGCGACAAGTACCTCAGTAGCACCAAGTTTCTACATTCTGTTGAGTCTCGAGACTTCAGTGCTCCCTACTCGATATTGTCGGAAAATAGCAACTAATCCACCAGTCGTGATATGGTTGACTGAGGCGATGTGAACGCCATGAATCGCTAACCCATATCAATGGGGGAAAGCACGAATCATGGCTTCTTCCAGAGCAGACACGGGACTTAGGATGCTTGTCACGTCACATGACCGTCTTGATCGCGCACTGTGGGGGCTGCTTTGCTATTTCCGACCAAATTCTTCGCTCTATCAAATTTCAATACCTTGGTACAAAGTACACATCCACCCTATCCCACGCTTGTCCGACGGCTTTCGAGCGTAATACTTGAAAATTAGCCATGGCCGGCGAAATCGGGATCGGAAATCTGCCGGTAGAGGTGTTCCGTTCCATTCTACACCTTGTCGATGCGCCGAAAGCTCCATTAGCCTCCGTCTGTCAATCTTGGCGGCCAATCATCGAGAGACACACTTTTTCGTCAATCCGCCTGAAAGCACAAAAGCCTCGCTCAAGACCTTTGATTCCATCTTCTCGGACCCGTCTCGCGCATCTTTGATCAATTCCTTGCATTATACGGTTGTCCTCCCGGCTTTGAAAACAAGGGATTTCCGTAATCCGCAGGGCCGGGCGGAGCAGTTGCAAGATAGCCGTGTGTTCGCACGTGCCATTATCAATCTTTTTCACCGCCTCCGGCCATCAGACGTCGAATCCGGGGCTGGCGAGGCCCGAATTAAAGTGCCGAGTTTGATTCTCAACATTGCAAGGCCGGTTGATGAGGTGGGGGAAAAGCCTCCCAGAGCTTTGATTCCTATGTATTTTCCAGATCTTGATTTCGAGCATGGCCCAAACAGACCAGTGCTACCAGAGGTTCTCGATACAGTCGAGTTCAAGCTTGATTTTTGTGCTATCGATCCATCCACTCAAATGCCCTCGCCGCTATCTTGACTGCTCTTCCCAGGCTACAGGACGCCTCGTGGGAGTATCGACTCCGGAGCGGCGGCTACCGGAAAAGCGGCGAGAGGCACGGACCGCGTTTGGCCGGCTCCTGCAGACCGTCCCCTTTCCCTGCATCACCTCTTTGACCGCCAATTGTTACGATGATGACCCCGAGGACCAACGCTTCAATCCGCTACCGGTTGTGCTTGAGGACGAGGAGGATGCCCTCTCGTTGGGTGTGCAGCGTATATTGCGCCTTCCGACATTGCAGAATTTCACCTTCATAAGGTCCCACAGTTTATCGCCCGATGCTTTCGGGCCCTCTTGGTTTGGTGGGCCGTTTAGCCCTTCCCTTCAACAGGTACATATTGCAATATCGGGCATCAATCCCAGTGGTCAATGGTATCTTGCGGGTAATCCGAACAACCCGGTATACGAGGAGGAGGTTGATCTAGACGAAGTGGAGGAAGAAGACGAAGAAGACGACTACTACATAGGAGACGACGGAGAGGAAGAGACATTGTTTACACTCCACGTCGAGCCCATTGGGCTCGAGAGAATGGAGACGACCGGTTTTACTCCTTTCGGTCATATCCTGATCCAACCCGGTTTGTACCGCTGGTCCGGGCTGTGGCTATCGCAGTATCCCGCATGCCTGCTCTGGAAAAGTTCACCTTGGCCGTACGCGGAGGGGACGACCCTATGGAAATCTCCCTTGATTTTTACGCGAAGGGGCAAAAGCCCTTCATGGAAACTTGGCACGATATTGACGAATTCCATGAAAACACAAGACCAAGCCGCGATGGACCGTGATCGCGTTTCGTGGCACCGAGCCCTGGTGGGCAGCTGGGGAGGATATTGTAAAAGCTCTCGTCGCGACCAGGGAAGACTGCGTCGTCTATTTGAGGCCATGCAATGTCTAAGAAAAACCACCTAAAACTCCGATTTCATAAACCATACATCATAAGATAATAATAATAGAAACTGCTCTTGTAACCTCGCCCGTCTTGTTCTGTTAGAACGGGTTTGTCCATGAACCCCGCTCATCCACTGCCTTGCGCAAGGCCTCAATTTTCTCCCTCCTCTCCGCCCGGCCCGTGGTCTGCGAGTCCGTCTTCGCGTCGAACGGAGCCAAGACAGCTTCGATCTTGGGCATCCAGTCCTTGAAGAACTTGTCAAATTTGGTAAACGTTTCCTCCGTGCGCGTCTTGATAAACTTTTTCCACTTGTCGCCCAAATCCTTGGTCTCGTAGTCCGTCTTGGCGGCCTTATTCCACCGCTTGACTGCCTCGTCGGCAATGTCGAGGCGTTCGGCGACTCGGTCGGACTGCGTGACAAGCAGCCCGCGGATCTTGGACGTGTTGATATAGCGGTACGCCATGAGCACGATCTTCATGGTTTTGATCGCCGCGTCCACCGTGTCCTCGCCCGTGCAGGCCTTGGCCATGTCGCCCTCGCCCGCAATCTTGCCCTTCTTGAACGCCGTCTCTTTGGCGACGTTGACGTCGGTGATGATGCGGACGAACTCGGTTTCCTTGTAACCCGTGTAGGGCCACGCCTTGGCAACGTAATCCCAGGGGTTTTGCGGCTCGCCGTCGATGGGGATGTTTCCCTTGGACCACCCGTTTTGGTTGAGCGGCTTGCAGAGTTCGCTGTAGGTCGACATGAAGCCTTGGATCAAGTGGGCTTCGAGGATATGTTCGACGGGATATTTTTGGTTGCCGCCGCCGCCGCGTTTGTTGGGTACCTCTTGCATGTTTGGCTGGATCCCGAATTGATCTAGAGCGGGGATTAAACGTTAGTTTTTTCGGCCGAATAACAAGGGGAGTGGGCGGATATTCATCATCAAACTTACAATTGTTGCATTTGTCCCAAGCCTCGTTGTCGTAGATCTCAAAACTTGAGTCTTGCGGCCAAGCTTGGAACATGACGGTGTGCTTGGCGTTATTGCTGCAGGTGATAATCTTCTTTCCTATCGCACGCCGGTCGAAATGGTTGAAGTGAAGAGTCGAGTTCAACTGCGCCTCGATGTACTCGAAATCGTCCAACTCCGGATCCGACGCGTCGTCGGCGGCGAGGGAGCGCTTGTCGAAGAGATCGCTATCCGGAGTAACCTTGTAGAAACCCTCGACGGCATCCTGGTTGAGGCAGGGCCCGGGAGCAGTAGTCCCGCCCTTGTTTGGACATAACTTCTTGTCACCGGGAATGGTGATGAGTGGTCCGTACGGGACGAGTCGTTTCCGTAGGAGAGGTAACCGGTCTGACTCGTTCTGGGCGAACCCGTACCGTTCTAGGTCCAGATCCAAGGAGCGCGGCGCAGCACCACCCGTTACGCAGAGATACTCGTCGCCGTTGTTTGGGATCAACGTTCTCTCAATGCTGCCAATGGTGAGCGGGGCGGGTTTCCAATCAAAGGCATCGGGGACCTTGGCTTGGACCTTGAGGGATGCGCCAGCGTCAACCGCGTATCCGAAACCGCAACTTCCCCGACAATGTCGGAGCGGACACGCATGCGCGCCCAGCCGTCCCCTGCGAGCTCCACCGCACACGAGCCGATCTCGTACCTCTTATCAAAATTGATACCGAAGCTGATGGTAGGGATGATGTGCGCCTCGGCATATCCTTCAGCCTTGAGGCTGTAGTCGAAAGTTGGCTTGGACAGGCCCTTTGCGTCGATGCCGCGGTCGGGCGAGTCCTCTGTCTTGGGCACGTATTCGTTGTTCTGCTGGGGGTACGTTTGACGTATTTCCCAGTCGGTGAGCGTGACGCGGGCTTCGACTCGGCCTTCCACGGAAATGCCTGCTTTGAACCTCGCATCGAGTCTAATCTCGGGGCCAATCGTAACGATTCCCGGGATGCGGAACGATGCACCGGGGACAGGCAACTCGCCAAGTGAAAACACTTTAGAGTCCCACTGCATCGTCATCAGCGCCTCGAGTGTGAAGATAGCTTCGATCCCGCCCTCATTGTTAAAGTGAAGGAATGACTTGCTGAGATCCATGCCGGGTCCAAGGGTGGTGATGAGCGTGAATCCAAACGACGTCGACATCTTGATGCTGGCGGTAGCCACGGCTTCCACTTTTGCCTTGAACTTGAAGTTGGGCTTGTTGCACGTCCACTCTTCCTGCAAGATGATGGCAGAAATATCCTCTTCGTAGTCGTGCCGCTTTTCCTTCTTGATCTTGATGTCCAGCAGCCCCTTCAACCAGTCGACGGCGCTCGAGCCGAACCACCGTTTGTGAAGCTGCTCTGTAGTCAACTCCCCTCGGTGGTAATCGTCGCGCCATTCTTCTTCTATCCAGCGTTTGTGGTTTCCACCAACGTCCTCGAGCGACCTCTTGCTCTTCTTCCCGCCGTCCTTGGGCTTGGCCACGATGTTGTCCCAATAACCTTCCTGGTTGGAAAAGTCGATGCGCATCTGCGTTTGGTGGTCGTCGCGGGGACGCGAAGGAAGTCGTAGTCGAACGTGAGGTCGTATACGGTGGGCTTGTGCGTGAATCCTCGCTTGACCAGCTGTGGGGGTAGACCCTGGTCCTTGGCGACCTCGAGGGCCTTGACGACGGCATACTTGCCGGGCCCACATCCCTTGCCGCGGGGCATTTCGATGATCGTACCGGGAGCTCCGCGACCGCTGAAGATGTCGCTGCAGGTGCTGCTGTCGGAATTATCTGTGCATATCATTTGGACGGTTTGCTCCCCTTCGGACACCGGATCGTTGCAGTTGTAAACTTCCCAGTGGGAACCGTCCCGTTTATCGAGGGACACCTGAATCTCCTTGTGGCTTGCAAGAACATAGAACTGGAACGCCGCCGCATCCGGGTCGTCATCGGTGTCGGTATCCGCTTCGCCATCGCCCCATGTATTATCCACATTCAGATCGAAGCGAGTCTTGACGTCGTCTCCCGTAGGCGGGTTCGGCAGAAGATCATCCAGCGGAACAGGCAAGAAGAGATTAGAGCCCTCTGGCGGATCGCAGCAGAATACTCTAGCTCTATCCAGGAAGGGGAAGCACGAGAGACCTTCGCCATGCACGCTGTTGGCGAGCTGAATTTCCTTTCCGGCGGTGCAGGTGTTGTCGCTGCAGTCCTTGCTCTTGGAACCTTTCCAGTGGCAGTTTTGGTTTTTCCAGCGGTTAAAGTCTTCTTTAGGGCAGCAATACAGCTCGAGGAATTCAATGTCCAGGTCGCCCAGGAGATCACCCAGAAGGTCGCCCACGATGCCGAAGAGGCTTGCCACGTCGGCAACCGCCCCGAGCCAGGTCCCCTTGAACGTGAGTGGCTTGTCGCCCGCCTTGCACTGGTTCCCCATACCACTCCAGTAGCAGCTGTTCTTGTGTTCTTGGGCAGCCTTACAACAGTAGGCTTTGCTGCCACCCTCGCAGTATTTGCCGTTTCCCCACGGGTTCGTTTGCATCAGGACCTCACCATCGTGGCACCGGCCGTTGCAAGCTGGTGCTTCACCTCGCCTATCCACAAGTTAAAGTCTGTCAGTCTAGGAAAGAGGGTGGCACATCCGATACTTACCATTTACAGTCATCGGGATCGGGCGCCGCAGATAGTGGACAGCACAGGAGACTATCGTCATCTCCTGCTGTACGGTAGAACCAGTGGACGCTGCCGCAAGGTTGCGACTCGATCTTTCGAAAGCCGTTCTTGCACTTCCCTCCGCATCCGGTGACGTAGCATCCTTGGTTCCCGATGTCCTGCCAGAGGCCGGTATCCTCTGACGTTCCGTCTTTCATGGCCAGCGCCACTGCTTTGGTGCCGACTACCGCCGTCAAAGCTTCGAGGTCTTTGGTGTCCTGATCCAAGGACCAGATGAGGACGCCCCTAGACCCAACTTGTTGGCAAAGTCCATCTTGGCTTTTATCGTCTCGGCGTCGTCCTAAACGAGCTGGCATGAGTATTTCCATTGCGAAGAATTGATTAAGAATTCGAAAGACGTACGTAGCTGACCCATTGGTTCTCGTCCCAGACGATATACTTGACTTGGTGCTCTTTATCATAGTATGGCTTGAGCTTCTTTTCTTTGATGATGTTTTTAATCTCAAAGTAAGACAACGTGCCAGAGTTATCGGTGCACTGGTAGGTGATGACGGTGGTTAGCATTGAAGGCGACATCGAGAGGAGTTCAGCATGCGTACCGGGCCCTTTCGCGCGCCGCCTCTAAATTGGCAGCCGGGTTTGTAGCACGACGAATCGGAGAGTTCAAAAGATCTCCCGTAGAAACCAAGTCCGAGATTCAGCTTTGCGGGCGACACGTCATTGCGCCAGTATAAGTCCAAAGCTAGCTTCAGTTCTGTGATGTTTGTGTGGGCAAGTACTTTGGATCCGATGGGGTTATCGGCATCCCAGACACCATGGAGACTAAAATGCAAAGGTTAGTGTTCTAGTTAGGGTAAAGGTAACTATAGGGACATGGATCGGCCTCCGGTAGTATCTACGTACTCATAGCCTGAAGAGGTGGGGATGGTCAGCAGAAGTTCATTATCCAAAAGGATTAAAGCGGTAACGTACTCATAATGTTGACAAAATCAACTGCCGCAGCGCTTTCCTTGAGGTCAAAATGCCTCAGGTACCAGTAACTAGTCGGAGTGGTAAAGGACACCTCATAATCGACCGGTTGCTTCTTGATGGCGGCCTTGAGCTCTTTGAGTAGCTTGGTAAAGTTTTTGCCATCTTCCGCATGCCCGCCTCGGTCGGTTGCTCCCGGGTATTCCCAGTCAAAGTCAACGCCATCAAAGGCATATTGCCTCATGAAGCTGAGGAGATTAGCGACGAACGTAGCTCGGTTGGCCTGGCTGGAACAAATGTCGTGGAACACAGACTGCCACGGGCTTGGATCGTTGAACGTCCAGCCGCCGAGCGCAATCATCACCTTGAGGTTGCGGTTTCTCTTCTTGAGAGCCGTCATTTTCGAGAATAGCTTTGGGTCTAGGTCATCCATGGGTATGATTTTGAAATCGCCGGGGGTGATGTATCCAAAGGAGAACATGAGATGTGTGAGTGCGCCAACGGGGATTTGCTCGATGGACTAGACTGGACGTGAGCTTCGTCTATAGAGGATGTATAGGATAACGTGGTTTCTTACGTACCATTCCGTTGCATTTTCGGGTGTGCACCCACGCTTCGTAATACCCTGCCGATATATCTGTGAGCGACATAGATCCTGGGGGAGAGGTACATCAATAAACGAATTGTACTCACCGACGACTCTTTCGCGCACATTTCCACCGGAGCTTCCTGAACCTGGTTGTTTACAATTGCTCTGGCAGGACGCTTCCTTGTCCTTGGTAACCTTGCAAAACTCTTCCGTCATGCCGCAGAATCCAAATGCAGAACAGCACCTAGAAATCATCAACGCCCGCTCGGTGTAGGGGATAAGCACGCTTAGGTTAGAAATTACTTACACGTTGAGAGGGCATTCTTTCCCTGGGGGATTCGCAAATCTGCCACATTCGGCCTTGGCATCGCAGTTGCTCCAACATACCTCGTTGGGTGACGTGTTGGTTGTGTCACAGGCTTTTGGCCCGTAGTTACACCAGCCGGTCTCTTTTGGGCAGCATGCGCCGTTTCGGCATGGTCGGGACTCGGAGCAGCTGTAGTCTGTTTCCTGCGTCACTTGCCGGCCGAGGATATGGCGGGTGTCTAGCACGGCCGACATGCTATCGGCGGCGCAGACTGGCAGCTTTGGATCAGGGCGGACTTTGACGGAATAGTCGAGGGGACTATATCATGGTGAGTTCAAGGTGAGACTTTGGCATTAATGATTTCGAAAGGCTTACTGGTAGGCTTCATTTCGACACGTCCACTCGTCGTTTGAAGGGGAATTGCTGATGCTGGCTGGAAATGCATATACACCAAAGGTCACAAAGGTGGAAAGGGTAAGGAGTGCGCTAAGCAGAATGCGTAATCGAAACATTGATGCCGCCATGACTACGAATTCCTGGCCGTGGATTATCGACTTATCACTAGCCTTACTCGTTCAAGGGACATAACCCTGTACGCAATTCCACGGAGGGAGAGGGATATAAATGCAAACATATCGTTGACCTCCACGGCTATCACGGATGGACTGGACAATTCCGGCCACTAAATAAGGCATCTAACCTCTCGAATACTCTACCGCGGTTCTCCAGCCGTTGGAAAGTCTCATTCCATGATGGACCTGTCTTGCAAGCCCCTGGCTGCATAGTCACGGAGAGGGGCCATGCGTTGGAGGGAATGGTTGGTACGTTGGGTTAAGTTGAGAAAAGTGTCTAAAAGACAGACTAACCACAGTCGAACTACCCTCAGCTAGGAATATTCTTGCCGCCAAGGCTCGAATTGCCGGAAGTTCCAGCCAGTGCCGCACCAAAATAAGAGGCTGACCGGAGGAGTGTGCACTCACACACCGGCTAGTCTTTTCCCCGACTGGCTTTAGGCCTGTAGACTTAAGTAAGGCGAAAGCCATGTATCAAACAGAGGTCGGTTGCCGCTGGCAGCTATGCTGATGTCTCACCGCCACATCTTAATCTTAGCGGGCCGCGCCGCATCAAGGCTCAGAGGTGTCAACGAATGAATATCAGTAAGCTGAAACTTTTTCTTATTTTGTTTGATACATTCGTGGGGAGAATGGGGGCCACCGGACATGACTATACTCCGGTGCTTTCTTTGGTCTCTGCATCCATCGCCAGCCTCGCTCTCTTTCCTCTATGGGCACCAACCTCGGGGATATATCGCCGCAGCTCGTAGGGAACGTAGACAATGTGATTAGGATGTAAGAGGTTAAGCAGGGCCCCCAAAAATCGAGGGAAATGGACCGGATCAAATTTCTGTTACAATTTTAAGAGAAAGATCCATAACTTGAATTCTACACCTCTGGGCTTTCTCCTTGCTTTCAGCCTACCCGCGCGGCTGAGGACATATCAGCAGCAAGTGCCCCAGGCGCCCTTGTCACCTCGCCTTGCTTGTAAGCATTATTTCAAAGCAGTGACGCAGATTTCCTCGGCATTCTCTCTCGAGTTCACACAATGGTTTTCCTTCAACCAGTGAAGGTCGTGGTGGGGGTTTGGATCGCCTCCCTACATGCCTGTTCAGCAGCCCAATTCTTCACGGCAGACTCCCTTCCGCAAGGGATTAGCTCAAGCTGTGCCAATGCTCTCACGAAAATGTGGACTGCAGTCTGGCAGTGATATATCTGCAACCAGATGAGTTTTATCCTAAGAAGAGCCTCGACAAGATCTGCACCAACGTATGCGGCTCTGCTCTTGCCTCGTGGAAGAGCACCATCGCCAGCAGCTGCGCGGATGATCATTTCCCCGGCTTCAATAAGGAGGATGGGGAGATGCCCCTTGGGGCCATACCTGACGCTATCAAATTCACGTACGACCTGACTTGTCTGAAAGAAGGATCGCGCTACTGCAACAACGCCGCTGCTTCCTTGGCCGCCAACGGCGACCCCGATGCTGCGCATTTGCCAGGCGGTTTGCCTGGGAGTGGCGATTGGGGTGGGCAAAACGTGACTAGCAACTGTGATCAGTGCATCGTGTCACTTCTTCGCTTCCGTGCCTCTTCGCCGTATTATGGCGGGCCCGTGTTACGATCGTCGTCCGTGTATGAATCCAGAACATCAAGTTGCAAGATAGCAGGGTCACCCTTGACTACTAGCTCGTCCCCTTTCAAGTATGGATTGAGTTGAATTCCCGCGCAAGGTTTGCTTCTGAAAACTAACGTGTTCCTTCTCCTTAGGCCCACGCCAAGCGCCTCGCCGACGTCCTCCTGCGCTGGCACGACGTATACGATCAAGCCGGGAGATACTTGCGACTCGGTCTCGCTAGATCAGGGTATTGGCACAGAGTGGCTCATCAACGACAATGACTTATTTTCGTTCTGTCGTGACTTTCCGAAGAGCGGTAAGCTTTGCCTAGAGAACAAGTGTACCGTGCATACAGTTGGCGAAGAAGAGACATGCAAATCCATTGCGAAAGAGTATAAAATCACAGAAGCTCAGCTTTACGCCTGGAACCCGGTACGTTGCAATCAGGTTATTTCAGTCAGGGGCAAGCCTCGGTTCGAGGCGGCCATGCTAATAGTCAGTTCTAGTCTATCAACGCCGGTTGTTTCAACTTGAAAGCTATGGTTGACACCCAGATCTGTGTTTCAAAGCCAGGAAAGGCCTACGTCTCACCGATCCAGACAGACGTGCCGTCGTCATCGCCAACCGGGGCCGTTGAAGTGCCGGACGATATCGCACAGAAAACAACGAAACACTGTGGTCGATATCACAAGGCCATTGTTGGAGACTTCTGCAACCAGCTCATTATGAAATATTCCATCTCTCTCGATGACTTCCGGTTCCTCAACCCAGCCATCAACGAGAATTGCACCAACCTTTTCGCGGAGGAGTCGTATTGCGTAAAGGCCGCGGGTGACAGTATGCCAACTCCATAACTTCATTCCCCTCGGAAGGCCGCTACTGACATGTGTGTAGTAAATACCTACTCTGGTAGGCCGGGATACGTATCCTACTCTCTGACAAACCTCATGGCCAGCTCGGTTAAGGATGCGGCAACCGAGCTGCCAAGCGTCAAATGGTCATCTCCTGCTACCGAAGCGACGGACCTTCCACTTGCGACCGGGACGCGTGATGACTGTGCCAGCTACATTGACGGGGATGAATTCCAAAGAGATTTGAGTGGCATGCTCGTAAACTCCAATTGCCAGCTGGTCGCGAATGTCTGGGACGTGAGCCTGGAGGATTTGGAAGTTTGGAACCCCAGTAAGGAAACTAGTTGTCGTGCAAGCAGGCACTAAGCGAAAACCTTTAGGTTGGAACGCTAACAATTATGTTTCTCTTGACGGTAGGTCTCGGGAATGCCTCGTTGCCAACGTGCTCGTTCAAAACCGGCGTTCGATACTGTGCCAAGTACTACTCCGGATACCACGGGGATGAAGAACCAGACAAGCTAGGATCCGCGCTTCCTACACGGGTACAGGCCCACCCACTATCTCCATGAGCCCGAATTGGACTAACACTCTATCGATATAGGATGGCATGTCTGAAAACTGTACGGTTACGGTTGACGTGGATACGGATGGCGACCCTACTTGCCAGCAGATTCTTGATAGTTGGGAGCTCAGCATTGCTCAATTCTACAAGTGGAACCCCAGCGTTAAATCAGACTGCGGAGGTTTATGGGCAGGTGAGCAAAGGTCCTAGTTAATGTGCAACCGATGCCCTGTTCTAACACTTTTAGGATACCGATATTGTGTTCGAGTATCAGAATTCGTGGTACCCACAGCCACAACCAGCCGTCCCACGTCGTCGAGCAAAGGTCCGACGCCTCCCGGCCCGACCCAAAGCAATCAATCAGAAGACTGCACAAAATGGCATCTCGTTAAGTGTGCGTACTTTGTTCTCGCCAACCGCCGTTTATATCGCTAACTTGCCATGTTTTCCTCTTGTGCTTAGCCGGCGATTCATGTGGGGATATCGAAAAGGAATACTCCATCTCACACAAAGAGTTCCTCGAGTGGAATCCGACCGTGTCCGAAGACTGCTCCAAAGGCTTCTGGGGCGGATACGCCTACTGCGTGGCAGTGGAATCAGGGACAAAACGCACCGTCCCGTCGACATCTACCACGTCGCCACCGGCGACAACTACGCCTCCCAAAGCGCCGGAACCGCACCAAGCCGGCAACGCCATCTCGACGTGCAATAAGTATGCTCAGGCTAAGCCCGGTGATTGGTGCTCAAAGTTTGCAGACGACAATAAAATTTCTACTTCGAACCTCTACGCTTGGAACATGGCTCTTGGGAAGGACGGAAGCAATTGTGGAACCAGGTTCTGGGCAAGCTACTGGTACTGCGTTGGGGTCTCTAAGTAAGGACGGAGGGCGGTTTGCTCGTCTCCTGGCCACCTTCTGCTTTATCAACCTAGCAGGGAGGAATGGCGAGGGTGATACAGGAAACTCAATTAGCGGGAGCCTTGCCTTTACCGCACGACTGCTGGTAAAGATTCTGCATCGCAGAAGGAACAAAAAGGCTGGTTGGCTTATATACGAGAGAATGCATTGAAAATATTGATTCCATTAAGTAACAACATTTCAGTATTCCTGTTGAATCGTGCTTTGACAAGAAGTTTCGGTAGAGAAGTGAGTGGCGAGAAGATTCTTGGGCCAATATGAACCCTTCCGTGGTTCTACTTTTTCTCGGCAACTTCGAGCTCAATAGCGTTGGCTTCATCCAAGAAATCTTTCTTGTCGCTTTGAACCCCTTGTCCCACACATACATAATGCCTGAACTTCCGCGCGGGTAGCTTCGCGTTGAACTATCAAGAAGGATTAGGGGATATGTTATTAAGATCGCGACGGGGGAGGAAATACCATTTCGTCAATCTCCTCCAAAGTCCTCCCTTTTAGCTCGGGAAGGAAGAGGAAGGTCCACAGAGCTCCAATCATAGCCGATGGGAACCAAATGTATCCGTATTTCGGGCCCCAGCCTAGCGAGTTGGGGTTAATGAAGTACGGTGCGGTGAAGGTGATGCACCACGTTAGCAGAAAGCCAATGGAGCTTGATAGTCCAAACGTGTAGGTTCGTAGACGTTGAGAAGGAAGCTCGCCTCCAATCAAATAGGAATATGGACCAATCGCTCCCTAATATGTGAGAGACGTCTTGTTGTTAGATATGAGCCAACTTTTGGCAGGGTAAACCTTTGATCGTTGAAACACTTACCACGTAAACAAACATGAAGACGGAGCACAGAGCCACAATCGCCTTGCCTGCTTCAGGCGTCCCGCCGTGCTTGTCGTACGTCACGGCCATGGCTAGCTGGAGGGTGCCGCACCCTAATAGGCCACCGATCAGGAGCACCCGGCGACGCCCATATCGGACGACGAGGGATGCGCCCACAATAAGACCCAGCAGACCAATAGCGCTGAGGACGTTACTCATTGCGAAGGGGTCGCTCACCTTGGCGATGGCGAGGAAGTAAGCCTTGTATGCTAAGGACAAGTTGGTATGGTAAGCGTATGCATGCAACACGCAGGATCAACAAAAGTGAGTGGCTTACGGATGATAAACATGGAGCCGGGGACATTTTGCAGCGACACCACACATATAGAGAGAATGGTTCGGCGTCGATCGATGGGGTTTTTGAACATGTCAAGCACTGAAATGCCATCCTTTGTATCACGTTCAAGTTCGATGGCACGTTGAATATCCGTTGCCTCCTGGTCGGCTTCCACGCTCGTTGGGCGGAGCCAGTCCAAGGACTTGCGGCCCTTGTCGCTTTGCCCCCTCTCTATAAGCCACCGAGGAGATTCTGGGATGAAAAAGATGCCGATTATGAGGACGACGGGAATGACGAAGACGACGGAGAGCGGAATCAAGTATGCCGATCTATCTGGTCGCTTGGCTGTCGCCCAATCTATAATGGTACCAATCAGCGTTCCCTTTGAGGAACAATGGCGTCAGCTTCCTGGACACTCAAGGGCAATTTTATTCAGTAGAGGGTAAACTGTACCAAGGATACGCAGAACTGAAACGCGTTGAAGAACAAGGCTCGATATTTTGCGGGGCTGACTTCCTGGATATAAAGCTGGGAGAAAATGATGAGACCGCCATTTGCCAACCCAATCACCAAGCGGCCGACGTAAAGGGCGCCGATGTGCGTGGTAGTCATCATGATAACATTGGCGACGATGCAGAGCAAGCACGACAGCCACATGGAAACTCTGCGACCAAGTTTGATGGCGATGATGCCTGCCAGGCCAGTGGTGGTGAAGGCTCCAAGGGTCATCAGAGAGGAGATGAGCTGCTGCCTCGTGGTCGAGATGTTCCAACCGAGCACGGTCTCCGGGGCTGGATGCCCGTAAATCTAAGACGAGAGGAAGGCTGGTTAGGCAAACTGGCACATCGCCACGACGGCGGAAGGGAAGCGCGCACCTGAAGGAAGCCCGGCATGGCTTGGAAGCCGCCGATGATGCCAAAGTCGAGCCCATACTGAAAGGGTGACAGCGCCATGACACCACACGCGACAAAGGATTTCCAATGCGCGCGAATGGTTACCTCCGCGTCGTCCGACATGTTGAAGTTTTTGCTGGCGCTCGCAGTCGGCAGAGGTTAGAGATAAAACGATGGAGCTTGAGCAAGAGGATAAACAAAGATTCTACCACTACATACATACTGGTGATGATGGATTTCCTTTGTGATGCATTTATAGTCGCCTCCAGGATCGCATGCCGAAGGTGAAATGTTGCAGTTGCATCCGTAGACTAACCCGATGGGGAAAGTTGGTTCCGAAGATCAAGTGGCGTCGGCAACGCTAGGCCTCGAAGCTTGCATTACCCCACGGGGAAAGACGCCAAGAGGAGTTGTATGGAGAAGCAAGGCGTCGCCGCATTGGTAGTTGAATTCGCTCGCCACCATATTTGGCTTTCCATTGAACTGCCACGGGTACCTTTAGATTGGTGGGGCCCGTGGTGCTCGGCATCTTGCAAAGAGATTCTGTAACATCAGATCGGGGCAGGTGAAGCCGCGTGTAGGCACATCTCGGGGCCACCCCTCCGAGCCGAGCCAGCCGTTCAGAGAGGTGTCTTGCAGGTTGTGCCAAGTCGAGTCGCAGAAGCAATAAATAGTCCATATGCTTTCGTGGCTCTTCTTCGCCAGGCATCCCGGCCCTTTGGACCTTTCCTCATTCAATCCCCATATGCACCGAAAGGCTTCGCGAACATGGACGCCTCCCATTCTTTCCAACGGCCTGCATTGGCCCTTTTGTCCTGCTAGTTATTTATTGGACGTTGAGCAGCCCCCTGGTCTCAAGCCTTCGGCGAATCCCCGGGCCCTTTTGGGCAAGGTTTACACGTCTGTGGCTGTTCAGAGAGGTCTATCACGGGACATTTCCGCAGACCAATATCTCGCTACATAAGAAATATGGTAGGGAGTCCACGGCATAGAACCATCACACCTTCCACTTGTGAAGATTCATTACTTACAACATGTTGGCGAATAGGCCCGATTGTGCGCATTGCCCCCAACGAGTACAGCATCGATGATCCTGCGGCTGCAAAGTTGATATATGGGAGCGGAAAAGGCTTCACAAAGGCAAGTCCATGCCCCGAGGTCCCCACGTGTAGCCACAGAAAATCACCATACACAACACTAACATTCTCCCGTCATGTAGTCGCCTTGGTATCAAGCCAGCGGGAACCCCTTCAGCACCCTCCCCAACCTCTTCACTGAACCCAACCCCCATGTCCATGCGTCATCAAGGCGGAAGATTGCTGCGGCCTACTCTATGACCAGCCTCGTCCGGCTTGAACCCTTGGTGGATGAGTGCACGACGATTCTCGAGGCGCGGCTACGCGAATTCGCCTCTGCCGATCAAACTTTTGATCTTTCGCTATGGATGCAATGTTTTGCGTTCGATGTGATTGGAAAGATCACGGTAGGTGAATGAGTTCTTTTTTCTTTTTCGCATCTCTTAATGACCGATATCGATACATCTAGTTCGGCGAGCGCTTCGGCTTTCTCGATTCTGGCGCGGATATCGACGGCATCATGGCTTCTCTCACGGAATACCTCAACCACTGCGCGCGAGTTGGTGTCTTCCCCGAATGGCACAAGACATTATTCCGTCGCAAAATGAAGTCGAGGAGTCTTTCAGGCGTCCCCAACATTCGAAGATTCGCGTCGACCCACCTTGAGGCCAAGAGTGCAAAGACTCAGCTAGGCGAGGATAAAGACGGGCCGGTCGACATTATAACGCGGCTACTATCGATCCAAAGCGAGGATCCCGACAAAATCGGCAAGGACGAGATCCTGAGTACCGCGGTGATGAACATTGGGGCCGGCTCTGACACGACCTCCATCGGTTTCTCGGCGGTAATATACAACTTGCTCAAGTACCCCGGACGCTAGCAAAGCTGAGGGAGGAAATCGCGTCATACGAGGTGAACGGCCTGCTTTCCAACCCGGTGAAATTTGCCGAAGCCCAGAAAATGCCGTATTTGCAGGCCGTCATAAAGGAGGCACTTCGAGTCCATCCCGCCGCGGGATTGATCCTCGGCCGGGTTGTTCCTGAAGGCGGCGCCTTGCTGGCTGGTCAACATTTCCCTCCCGGCGTAAGTATCCCCTCGCCTTTTGATTTTTTTTTTTAGGTTTCGCAGGCTGACGAGGGAAAGTAGACCGTGGTTGGCATCAACTCCTGGGTCGCGCACGCGAACGAAGACGTGTTTGGCGCGGATGCTGCGATGTTCCGCCCTGAGCGGTGGCTTGAGGAGCCGGGAGTCGTTCGAAAACGGGAATCCTATTTCTTGGCGGTACGTTTGGTCTGGCTCCGCTCACGCATGTTCTCATGCTAACATTTTCTGCCTTATTAGTTTGGCCAAGGTTCTCGGACGTGTATCGGCAAGAACATTAGCTTGATGGAGATCTCCAAGGTCATCCCACAGATCGTTCGCCAGTTTGACCTCGTGCCGGATACAACCTCGGGGAACCGGAGTGGCAAACGGAGAATGTGTGGTTCGTCAAGACGAAAGATTTCTACTGTAAACCTCGTGTACTTGAGAAAGCGTGAGTGATGTAGAGGGCTCGGGAACTTCAGCCAGAGGGCTACAAGAGATACATGTCATATAAATTCCAACCCACCCTTCTATGAATCGTTGATAGGATTATCCTGATTATGAAAATCAGGGTGAATATTCATGATGGCTCGGCTCTTGTTGCTACATGTATTCTATATTCAACACTCCCTCCGCATTGTTTCAAAGCCGTACAAGGAAGTGTTAACTAACATACACTTATACTCCCATCCCAAACTCCTACTTCACTTGGACTAATCTTCAGGTATCTGCATGAGCTGTTCGATGATGTCTTCTTCAAGGGCAATATCGCCAAAATCAAGGCCGGTCAAAAACGGCCAATCTGTATCAGCAAGCAAGGCTCGATCGATCCTACAGCTCCATTGGTTAGCCGCCGAGTTTGTCATCGAATCTTGCAAAATGGGATGACGTACACCTGTGAATTCTCATCAAGACCATGTTCAGGGCTACTACTGGTGTCTCCACTCAATACCTTTCCGTCGGGGGTTCCTTGGTCAGCCCAACCTGCCGCAGCTCAAAAGGGTTTCGGGCAAGAGATGTCGCGGATAGCCCGTCGTGGCGATGGCGTGCAAGATATCAATGCAGCGGGTTGCCTTTTCCCTGTACGTCTGCCTACAATAAAGGGCCGCCGCGACGAGTATAACCTGAACGACCTGGAGAGCGAGAAAAAGTCCATCATGACGAGACTCGACGCCACCTTGTGCTGGGCCATATCCTCAAAGATACCCAGCGACGACTCCGCTGCCGAAATGCACGTCCTAGCGAGCTGGTCAAACCGCTGCCGTTTGCGGGAACTCGCGACCCTTTCTCCCCGTAGTAGCTGGCAGAGAAGGAACGGTCTCGTGACGAGCATGACGGCGCTCCAGTAGCGCAGGTGCAGCAGAGAAATTAATCGCCGGTAAAAGGGCGGGATGGCCGGCGTGACGTGGAGATGGCGCGGAAGCCTGTCCAGCCAGGTTTGCAGCGACTTGAGAGAATCCGCAAAGTCGGACTCTCGCAATTGGTGGTCGCCGCGCATGGGCCTTGTATACAAGTTGTGTCGTATTTCCTGCACCAGCTGCGCCAAGTCTACGCAGTGCCCTAAATATTCGGGCGGCGTAAATGAGCCTGGGCTGATGATCTATACCGGTGGATGTGTGTCAGTATTTGTCCAACGACGTGGCTGAGGGCGGGAGGGGGAACCAACCTCTTCGGACGGTAGAGGTGGCTTCCATAAAGTGCAGGTGGGCCCGGACATGGAAGGCTGCCCTAGCTGCAGCGAGATGTCGTGGTCGATGAGAAAGAGATTCCACCATATACGGCGACCGTGGGTTTTCAGGACCACGTTGTGCTTGGCGGTATACTTGTCCACATGCAGGCCTAGGGAGAATGCAATTCTCGTGGCGTTGCCAACGTACAGGTATGACTGATTGAGATACCCATGATATTGAAGAGCGAGGGCCTTGAACAACGCGTTAATAGGTGAGCTTTCAAGCGGGGTAATAACTTTGTAGCCATGTCTCACCAACAATATGAATGCGCGTAGCCCATCGAGGTCGCCTTGGTCGCAGATGCTGGAAACAAGCTGCTTGGCAGCCTCAAGAGAGTCGCGCGCTAGCTCACCGTTGGACAAGCCCTCTAAAGCCGGGATGGACGCGGCACCAAGGGCCACGATGCTGTGCAACGAGGCAAGCCAAGATCCCGAGTTTGGCCTGTCGGGGTAGGCGTAAGTCGTTTCAAGCCTCGTGTGGAATTCCTCGGCCGAGTAAATCCAGTACATGGAGTGCACTTCTTCAAAATACCTGGATGCGCAAGCCAACACGACTTCGTGCGACGGCAGGACCTGCGGGTCCGGGGAGGTGACGCCCTGGTCCGACAGGGAGGTTGCCGTGGGCATGGATACGGTCAACATGGGTGAAAGAACTTCTTTCTCTGTCTGGCTGGGAACGTTGAGGAGCCAGGATCTCACGCTTATGTTAAAACTGTGTCCCGAATCCGGGCCAACGTAACCTAATAGCCCGTTAGCGGGACGCTCCAACAGCGGGCTTCTTACGGGCGGGGAACTTGCGGTGCTCGCCCTGCGCGTCCAGCACCAAACAGCCAAGATCGTGGTGCAAGTCGGCAATTTCCTGGAGGTGCGCATCGCGGCGTCCGTCCCGGAGACTACCCGCACTCTCAGAGCCGGTGGCTGCTACCGCGTACTCGCTCCGGGGTAAAGTGGCGGGGGTGTGCGGAAAGACGCTGTCCGGCGAGGCTGTGTCGTCGGGCCGGGCGACTAAGCGCCGGAGGCTGGCGACGGATAGATCTTGGCCGGGAAAGGATTTGGTGCAGAGCTTCTTCAGGAGCTGGTACTCTTCCTCCGACACGAAGCAAAAGGGCCTCTGGTGGCGCCGGCTGTCGCCAAAGGAGCATTCTTGATTGATGCTACGGCAGTAGTCGCAGGGGGCGCCGGCATCTGGGTGTGTGGGTGAGTACAAGGTTCGAATTGCGGATACCACGACGGGATCCCTATGTGTGAGACGGCTTACCTGGTTTCCGGCACTACATGGCAGTTCGGTGGTTAGCAGTCGTCGCGGGCGTATGGTGGGGGCGCCCTACTATACCTTTGTTTTCCTGTGTCTGCAGCGATCGCAGCTGGTAGTTGCCCTGTTCGGTCCAGTTTTCTTTTTAGTATTTCACCAGCCATTGTGGAAAACGGTAGGTGGACGCGAGTTTAGAGGCCTAGCTCTCGTCTGTGGAGGTGAATCATCTGGGGCTCTTTAACACTTTTGCATGGGCTACATGTCAGAAAAGGACAGGGGTTCGTTCGGGTGAACATCGCAGGTTCCGAACCCCGCATTAACATTCCTTTTAGGTTCGGTAGTGTTGAACTTGGCATTGGCATCAACATGCCTGATGGACCACACGACGAACCCGCTTTGGGTCTAGGGTGTGCCCACCCTAGCCCACATTATGAGAGAAGGATCTACATCTTTTCAGGTTCTTTGAGAACTACATCAAGAAAGTTGCCATACCGCACGAGTTTCTAAAGCTAAGCTTTTGGCCTATTTAACAACAAACACCGAGGACTATAAACCCAAACCAACCTCGGAAAATGCTCAAGTTCATAGTAAAACACACCGTTGAGGTCCTGCGCTGGTCCGAAACAGAGTAATTCGCAATCTACCAAGTTCCGGCGCCCCGGACTATGGCTCTCCCATAATCTCATATCCCTGCATCCATGACATATTCTCATTACATAGATCTACTACCTGTAGTCATCCAGATCCTCTCCATGCTCGTCAGTCACCTCCAAGACATACGCTTTAGTTTCGTCATCCGGATCGACGATGATGGTCTCTTCCTCGTCGTCGCCTCTGCTTTCGGAGACCCATTTCTAGAAAAGAACCTTAGCCTCGTCCATAACACTCATATCTCACCGGGTGGGCTAAATGACTTACCAATCCAGCAAATGATCGGAGTCTGAATTTCAGACTCTTGAAAAATAAGACCCTTTTCTCGGGATTATCGTCATCCTAGGGCATTGTCAGTCTACTAGGTAGGGTATGCAAGAGAGTAAGATGGACTGACCATGGAGATGGGGTGAATCCAGCCGTCCGCCGAAGACTCTTGTCTGAACTTGATGGAAGCCGTTCCGTTGGCCACGTCTCCTGTTTTCACCGTCCCTCCAATGGACAACTCTTTCTCGGTCCCGACCCACGCGTTCAGGTACACATCGTCCGAGACCCATGTGGCTTCCACGATGTGGAACCCGAGATCCTTGACATCGTCGCACTGCTCCAAGATTCTCTCCGCGTTCTCCTTGGCCCATTTTCTAAAGGCGGGTCTAGAGTCGAAACACTCCATGAAAACGGGCGAGTTGCACAGAACCACGGCCCCCGATTCTCGAGCACAAGTAATCGAGACCTCGACCTTTGCTCCTATCCCCATACCTCCGCCTCCCGCGGCGAGGGCCGCGCTCCCCATTCGCGTTCCCTGGGCCGTTCGTGCGCCCCATTCCGCCTTGGAACGCTCTCCGGGGATAAGTCGGGCTGGTCGATCGTAACCGTCTTCCTCAAGAGCCGTGGTGTCCGTCAGGTCGGCGATGGGGTGCCAGCATCCGTCGGGGTCGAGATACCCACACATGCCGCGGTGAACTCGTTTCAGAGACTCGGTCTCTAGAAAGCCGAATCCGCAGCCATGATGCTTCATAGCCTCCGCATAGGCCAACCGAGTCGTTCCTTGATCGCCCATTATCAAGTCTGTTCTTCGATTCTTTAACACAGGGGGTGTTGCGAAATAATCGGAACAGGAAGAATTCCACAATCACGCGTAGAGACCGAGTGAAGGGGTTAACTGGTGTCGCAGAAAACCATTGATCGTGGAGGCCTCCAACATTCGCCCTTCCCACCACATTGAATGAATGTTGATTCAACAAGGGTCGCTGCCTTGCAAAAGGTGCATATTGATGTAAGCAAGCCGTCTTAAATCGATTATATGCCTCCCCTCACCCTTCGCAAGTGGTGATTGGGTGCATGTAGCTGAAAACCACCAGAAATTTCCACGCACATATGTGCATGTGCATGCACACCACCCCTGAGTCGACTCAGCCTTGACCCAAGGTCTACGTGTAGAATCCAAGCCCCCATTTACCCCACCTTCCCCCATCCCGTTTAAATCCTCTCCATCTGCTGGACTACCCCTCGGGTCATCTGGTATAACATTTCGTCGAGTTCGGTTGCTTGCTCTATATATAACCTCTGGAGGAGCATGGCAAGAACAGCATCCATCATCTCGAGGGATGACCCATATCTCTACGTCCGCGTCCTTCTCGTGAGCTGGGAGGGTGCGGATAGGCGCCTCGACGATGAGCTCCAAGGACTTGAACAAACATTCAAAGATGTCTACGAGTTCACCACGGCCCGGTACAAAATTCAAAGCAACAACCCTTTCGGCAGCCTCACAACAGCGCTTTTAGAGTTTCTCGAACACGACGACCCCGATACCTTGCTTATACTATACTACGGCGGCCATGGTTACTCAAACTCCGATAACCAGCTCATCTGGAGCTTGTACAGTGGAGGTAATCCATGCGTGAACTGGACGGCTTTACAACAGCACGTCTTCGACAAAAGTCCGATTTCCTCATTCTCCTCGACTGTTGCACGGCGGCCAGCGCTGTCGGAGAGCGCCAGAGAGGAAATGTCGAGGCTCTTTTCAGTTGCGGCATTCAAGACAAAACCCCCATCAGCGGCGACTACTGCTTTACCCGGAGGCTATCTAATATGATGAGGCAGCATCCTGATGGGATTGAAGTGTACGAGCTCTTCCACCGTCTAACTCAAGAGTACAACAAGGCCGGGCCCGATCGCCGAGACAAGGGCAAGGAGCCGGCATACTTGAAGCCGGGAAAGGACCTGCGAAGGAGTATACAACTCCGGCGAATGAATTCATTTTACAGCGCCAAGAGCGTAATCGCACTTGGTCGGCGTTCCTTGCGTTCCTTGCGCAGCACGCGACCCGCCCAAGCGATGCGCGCGCTCGAGACTGTCCTGGTAGTGCAGACATCCACGGGTAATCGAGGGGACGACTCCTCCGTTGCGACTAGGAGCACCATGTATTACTCGATCGCGAATGGAGATGAGGCAGCGGGTCCAGAGGGTTCAGAGGTTATGGAAGAAGAGTCTACACAATTTAGTGAACTCCTTTCCGCGCTGGCAGACGAAAACCGGCGCGTTCTCAATGCAGCGATGGACAGAATCGAAACGAATCAAGATGTTGGAGACGCATCGATGGGGGATCCAGAGAGCCCTTCCTTTTCGCCGTTTGATGGGATGATTAGAATTAATAGGCTCACGAACGAAATACGGTTTCTTCAAAAAGCTATGGCGAACGGTCCAGTCTCTACCTGGTTTACAATCTCGCCCATCTCTGACGCCAACATCTTGGAATGGCAGGCGACGCTGCGGGGTCCCGACGGAACACCGTACGAGCGCGGGCTGTTCCACGTCCGTCTGAGTTTAACCAACATCCACTATCCTTTTACCCTCCGCGGGTTTGGTTCCATACCAAAATCTATCATCCCAACATCGATCAAAAACCGGGGCCATTTGCGCCGACTATCTACAAGGCCCTCCTCCAAAGGTTGTTGACACATCTGCCGTGGAGGCGACGGATCTCGCAGTAGAACCCAGGAGAAGAGACGAAATGGAACAGTCTGACGGAGAAGCTCCTCAGAATCTTTCGCATAATCAAAATACCATTTCACTGCAGGGACCAGAGGATGCCACGTCTCAGTCACCGCTAGCAAAAGATTTCGGAGAAGTGGGAATCCGAGCATTTATGCCACCCCCAAATAAGAAAAGAGAGGAGCGCAATGATATCGATACGTATAGCGCTGCATTTGGACTGGAAGGACTTGTCGTGGGTCTATACGTGATTCTAAACGAACCAAATCTCACCGATGCCCTTGAGCCAGAGATTGCGCGGCAGATGATTGAGGATCCAGCAGGGTATGAACGCACCGCGAGGGAGTGGACAAAGTTGTACGCAACGGGTGCTGTGTAGATTAGTGGTCTTTTTCGACAGAACATGCACCTTGAGTGATGGTCATTGATTGCACACGTTTGTTTTGGGTACATGAGGTCCAGCTTTTGTATGATTGACTATCGTATATCTCAGTACACCCATGGATCCATGCATATATAGACATTTACACCACTCCTTTTGCTGGATTAAGTGGGATATTCTGATCGATTGTTGATGGGTTCGAAGTCAATGAAGAGAGAGGTATCGCGAATGCTGGTATTCCCCCTCAAAACAACACTCGCTGGAGCCCACGGCACTGGCTCTTCCTGCTCTGTCCATACTTGATCACTCCACGTGATCCTGCTCGCCTCACATTATGCACGTCGGGCATCCCATGTGCCCGACCCGGTTCAGATCCGCGTTCCTCTTGGTTCACGTTTGAGATGCCTGGCGACCATGAATAATAGAGACATCGTAGACCATTGATATTGAATCGGTTCGTGCAACGACGACGACAAAATGTCGGTGCACGTCGCTGATTTCGACGAGTATACCTTTCGCGCCCCTCGCCCGGGCTACTTTCTCGGCGACTCGGCCGGGCGTCATGGGCTTCGCCAGCGGATACCCAATCTCGGCCGCCGCCACTTCCCGACGGCCAGGGTTACGTCCACAACCTCATCGATACCTCCAGATACCTACGATTGCACCGGCACCCTTGCTCGATTGCCACTCGAGATACTACACAACATCGTGCCCGAACTCGACGCCCGAAGTGCGCTCGCGCTTCGCAATTCCAGCCGCTACCTCGCCACCGCCCTGGACTCGAGCTGTGCTTTCGCCAAGTAGCGTCCTTTCCGAAACTACTCGGCGCTGCCGTGTACTCGAACTTGACCGCGCCCATAAAGGCCATCGCCGCAGCCCTCCGGTCTCCGTCATGCGCGAATTGCGGTCACTTTGGCGACATGTTTTGCCTCCTGGCCCTGCAACGCTTTTGCTATCCGTGCTGGCGATCGCTCTATTCAAAGTTGTTACCAGACTCGACCAACATTCGTAGTTTCCTGCATAACCAGATTGACTGGCCCGAGAATCTCCGGCCGGTATCCACCATGACGCTCCCACACGGAGCGTACGGCGAGATGGGCTCGCTCGTCATCGAACGCCGCGTACCGGCTTACAATTTTATAAAGGAAAGGCAACCCAGCTGCCCCTGCCCTACCGAGTGTCCCGTCTTCGTACCCGGATACTTGCAGAGTCCCGCTTTCCTCCCGGCCCCGGCAGAGAGCCACGCCTACGCCTCCACGATCCGCGCTCCGTATCTTGATAGCGAATCCGGCTCCTTTGAAGAAGGCTTCTTCTGCCGAGCGTGCGCCTGGCACGGCCCCGAGCACGTAAACCGGGTGCCCCCGCACATCGGCTACCCCAACGTCCTTCACACCGCTTGGGGCGTTCCCTGGAGGCGCTATACACGAGAGGGCATGCAAGCACACATCGCGAAACATGGCGATATCCTCAAGACGGATGACTTGGGCGTGTTTCGCGAAAGGTTCCCCACGACGTCGACAACCTCGATCGTATTGGCTGGCCCGTGTACCTCCACTCCAACCGGGGCCAGAGTCTTCTCCTGCATCACGCAGAAGAGCTGGTGCGCATCCGGCCCGTCCTAAGCGCATGTAGGCGAAAGAAGATACAAGTCGGGCAAGGGCAGATCTTCATAGGTAGGTGGATGCTTGTCCCCTCTGCGGGTTACGGCCCCTCCATGTGTAGTTGCGGTGGCACCCCGTGCGGCACTTGGAGGACGACGTGTGCCTGCCCGGAACACCGAGTAGGGCGCTACACCTGCAATGACGAGAACTGTTCCGTTCACTACCCACCCCCTCTCTACAAATCTGTGAGTGATGGTGGACGGGAAGCCCAAGGCTAACTGGCCCTGTTTCTTGCAGGATGTAAAGAACCAGCAGACACTTCCGCAGAGGCAGAGCCATGGGAAGATGATAGCGCTCCCGAATCTTGGAGAATCTTGGAGAAACCTGTAGCAAAATAAACTCAAAAATCGCACCCACGTGCCTCATCAACATATCCGCTTCTTGGTGCTACCCAACGCCGTTTATTTGTCCGGGCGTCAGCCGAGGCCATGATGATGAAAAGAAAATGCCAAGTTTTTGCCTATTCGGTTGAGGACGTGTATACGCTATACTATTACGCTTTGCCTTTCCCAGCCAAAAGAAAATGAAACCCCCAAAAATGAACCCTTTTGAAAAAAGACAAGAGTACCCATCCATATATGTAAGCCCGTTATATAAACCATGATCCTGTCCCGTCCCTAATTCCGTCAACCTCCCAAGTCACAGAGCGGAAAACCCGTTTAATTCATCACAAAATCATCACTAACACGCCGTCTCCAATCCTTCAACAAGACACGTATTTCCTCCCTCGTAAAAGGCTTGGTGCAAAACACGTCCACGCCCGCATTAAACGCCCTCTCCCGCTCCCGCGCCCCAATCAGGCCCGTCAGCGCCGCAATCATGCACGGCCGCAGCGCCGGCTTGGTCTGCTCCAGGGCGCGAATCTCCCTCGTCGCGTCGAAGCCGTCCATGACGGGCATGTTGAGATCCATGAGCACGATGTCGAACGGCACGGGCACGGGCACGGGGACGGGCTGCTGCCCCGCTGCGGCGGCGGCGGCAGCGGCGGCGGCGGACGCCTTGGGCTGCGGCAGCGCGCCCATCTCCCGGAGCTCGGCGTTCTCGGCGAGGATGTCGTGCTGGATCGAGGTCGCGTACTTGGCGACGGCCTCGAGCCCGTTGGACGCCATGACGATGTGCTTGGACGACACGTTGAGCTTCGCTAGCAGCCTGTATAGCACTTTGAGGTTGATGGTGTTGTCGTCGACGACGAGGATTCGGGGGCTCGGGGGCTCGGGCGGGCTGATGGCCGGGGTGGCGGTGCTGGGCGCCGTGTGGGGAGAAGTGCCAGCTTCTGACCACGGCGACCCATCGCTCTTGGGGGCGTCCTGGCCCGAATTCTGGGAGTCGATCGTGCCCGTGTGCGAAATCGTCCTCGACATGCTCGAGCGCCGTTTCGAGTCCTCGTAGGCTTTCATCATGGACTCAATGTGCCCGCCGGGTCCGTCGTCTTCCCGATAATTCTGTTCGTGGCCGCTTTGGCTATCAATGATTTCGGTAAAGGCGCGCTCCAACCGGCCCGGCGCGGCAGGTCGCCTCACCCACGCCGAGTGCGACAGGTCGCCCGGCGACCGCCGGCTCTCGCGCGAGGATGCGCCGTCGGTGAGGATGATGCAGGGCAGGGATCGCCCGACTTCTGCCGTGTTGACCAGCTCCTCGTCTACTATGGCGAAGTCGAGCGTCGTGCCGGGCGGCGGGTTGACGAGCACGCGCAGGCCGAACCAGGTTTCCAGGCAGCGAATCACCGACTGGTGAGCGAACGCGACGCCCTGCGCCTGCGGCAGGCTGTCGGCATCGCCGAGGTTGGTGCGAAGGAGGAGCCCCACCGTTCGACCTTCCGTCTTTTGCCGAATCTTCTTGAAGCGGCTGTAAAATTCGTCGGCGGCGCGAGGGAGTCGGCGTCGTCGTCGTCGTCGCCAAAGGCATCCGTGCTGGCGGGCGGCCTGTGCAGCGGGAGTTCCACCACCACCATGGTGCCCGCGTCGACGGTGGACCGCACGTCAATGGTACCTCCCAGCATGGTGATGATGCGTTTGGTGATGGACAGGCCGAGGCCGGACCCGCTCACGTTGTGGTTCTCCTGGGCAAAGGACGTCCATAGGTGGGTCTGCAGGAAGGCGGGGAGATGCCGCATCCGCTGTCGCTAATGGTGAGGACGGCCACCGTTCTCGCCTCGGGGTCGAGGCGGCCCGAGGGGGTGCCGGGGCTACCTCCGCGCAGCGAGCTGCAGGTGGATGAAGCCCGTCTTGGTGTACTTGACGGCGTTCCCGAGCAGGTTCATGATGACGCGCTGCACGGCTCCGGGCTGGATCATAAAGTGCCAGTCGCGGCACATGATGTCGACCGATATGACGGGCTTTTGCGCGACGCCTTGGACAGGGCAGTGAGGTCGTGGCGCGCGCCCTTGGACATGGTCTCCACGGCGCCGTGGAAGGATTGGCTGAGAAGCACGCTGTGGACGGCATCCTCGCACAAGGAGGCGAGATCGGCGTGAATGGGCTGGACGAGCCTCTGGGATTTCGTCCGCGAGGGCGCAGTGATCTCCATGGCCTCAGGATCGCCCGAGAAGTCGCCCGCGCGCTCGGCCTGGGACAGGTCGGAGAGGTCGAGGAGCTGGTCGATGGTGTTGAGGAGGACGCGGCCGCAGTTTTGGATGTCCTCGATGAGGACCTGCTGGGTGCGCGAGCGGCGGGTGTCCTGGAGCAGGTCGACGCTGGCGAGGACGCCGTGGAGGGCTGCGCAGCTCGTGGCTGACGTTGGCGAGGAAGTCGGCCTTGTGCTTGTTGGCGGTGAGGGCGTCCTCGTGCAGCATGGTGGCGAAGACGCTGATGCAGAAGCAGTTCATGAAGGGCAGCTCCACGGCGCTGGAGAAGATGGAGTGCCAGTCGTCGCGCCAGGCGATGGCGGCGCTGACGACGCCCTCTCGCACGCTCCGCAAGGGGGCGATGAGCATCTGTTGCGCCGAGGGGATGGCGTTCCTCAGGCTGCCGGCCACGGTTTGTACGTACGGCTCGTCTTCGTGGTTGTCTAGCACCCGGTCGAGGGCGACGGGGGAAGGGTTCGTGAAGAAGGAGCTGGGCGGCTCTTCTTGCTCGGCAATGGCCCAGGGGCGGCCCGAGTTGTCGAAGTGGAAGAGGTGGCCGCCGGGGTAGTACTGGATGGCGTCGCAGAGGGCGTCGGCTTTGAAGTCGCACGGGATCCGGTTGTTGGGCGAGACGGCGCCCCCGAGGATGGAGACGTGGGACCGGTCGGGGTTCGCGACGGAGGCGGCATCCATGGTGACGAATATGACGCCGCTGCAGTCAAGACCGAAGCGAAGAAGCTCGGCGGCTCTCCTGTAGACGGAGGAATGGGGCATGAGGATGGCTCGCTCCGGCTCGGTGACCTTGGACCTCGCGCCGCCGTAATCGAGGCGGGTGGGCGACAGGAGGGACGAGGGGGACGCCACGCTAAAGGGCGCGGGGGTTCTCCCGCCAATCCGGCCTGGGGGATAAAATCGTGGGCGTCGCGTCGAAAGGCGGGGGCGAGCAGAGGCTGTCCAGCTCGGGGGCAAAGGGCGAGGGGACGGAGAAGGGGGCGTCGGGAAAGCCCGGGAGGGAGGAAGAGAGGGGTAGAGCGACGGGGGTCGTCGGGACGGATTTGTTGGAGGCGAAATCCGCGAGGCTGCGGTTCATGCGCAACACGCGGCTGCGTTCGAGGACGCTGAGTTCCAGTTCGAGATGGTTCATGACGGCGCTGGCCATGCGCTCCATCACGAGTTTCTCTTCGGGTGACAGGTCGGGCCGGGGTCGCGTGGAGAAGCCGAACAAGGTGCCGATGTTGTCGCCGGACCTCGTCTTGATGGGGATGCCCACGTAGAAGCGGTAGTCGCCGACGACGTCGCGCCATTGGGGGACGTCTTTGATGTCGGGGACGACGTAAAAGGGATAATGCTTGTACTCGGGCGTGACGGAGCAGGCGACTTCGCAGATGCCGCCGCGGATGCCGATGCTGTGGCAGCCAAACCACAGGCTCGGGTCCCCGTCGCCGAGGACGACGGAGCTGGTTTCCTTGGTGGCGCCGCCGAGGAAGTATTGCATGTTGTCGTCGAGGAGCGAGATCATGACCTTGTCCACGTCGATGGAGTGGACGACGCATTTGGCAATGGCGCTGAGGGTGTAGTCCGCCTCGGACGGTGGTGGTACAGGGCACGCATCCGTGACATCGTGGCGGGCGCCGGCGAAGCTCTGGACGTAGCGTGTATGCTTGGATTGATAATATCTGCGTTTCGCCCGATGAGAGCGTACAAGAATTAGCCGCGATCGCCTTCTTTTTTTTTTTTCGGGTGTGTTATGGTGTTGCCCATCAATTGAATTTAACGACAACTTGAGGGCATCGCCGCGGCGTCGTGCATCTCATCCATCGGGGATAGGGGATGGACACGCCCACTTACCTGCGAAATTCACGGACACGACGACCATCCGTCAAGTAGGGAACATTGGCGGTCGGCTCCATTAGCATCCATGGACAGCGTCGCAATCTTGGTGATACGGTTCAAAGACCGCGGCTAATTTTTTTCGGGTCTTTCTCTCGTTTCCCTTTCTTCGTTTTGCTTTGTTCGTTTGTTCGTCTGGGTTCTTCGTAGGGGGTTGAAAGGGGGTATCTCTTGTTCTGTTCGGTATTTTTTTCTTCCCTTCTTTCGCTCTCCGCCACTCGGTGTCCAGTTCGACAAAAGGAGAAAAAAACGAAGAAGCAGGTATGCAAGAGGATAGTTGGTGGTTGCCTCGTTCCTAGCGCGGTAAACTCAGATCGGCGATTGCTTTGCCATCGAAAAGAGCCCTGCGTCATCGGGTCTTGGCGGGTCAGTGGGGGCGGGGGATGATTAATATGTGGTGCAACTCAACTCAATCTGTTGCGGGCTCCCAGTGCTCCAGTGCAGTGCTCAAGTGCGGCGACAGTGTCGATGACGATGGTTGGGGCGCCCTATCTTTTTTTCGCTTCCCGCCAGCACAGCGCACACCATCGCACCTGCTGGGCTCAGACGCGACTGCCAGAGTGCAGGGCACGTGACTCGGAATTGCCGGCTGAGTGATTAAGTGCAGCCCGAGCTGAAGCCCTGACATCATCGACCGGGCTTTTCATGCCCCACCGCCCCCCTCTTTTTCCTTCTTCTGTTTCCAATGGGCGTAATTGGAAACGAGGGAGGGGCGATGATACTTTCGGGCTAAGGTTACTCTTGGTTTGGTTTCCTCTACGGGGAGAATACACACAAGCATCTCCCCATCTGCAGGGTCCCTGGAGTTAATTTTTTTCAGGGATTCGAGGATCAATGGGATCAATTAACATCCTGGGTCGGAAATGCGCAGTACGTCAGTCGGGTCGTTTCTGCAACCTCCGTGTTTCCGCTCTGTCTCCATGCAGATTATTAGTTCCATGGTGCTTCTTCCATCTTTTTTTCTCTTCCATCTTCATCACTCGATAAGGACAAAGCAAGCGATGGTACAAGGGACTTTGGACGATATTCTTTTGCCGTTTTCGCCAAAGCTAACGAAAAGATAATATGCACAATGATGTACTAGCAAATAAAACTAGCCACTGGCCACCACACGAGCCCACCCTCCATCTTCGCCCCCTCCCCTCCCCCTTCTTCTTGCCTACTGTGTCCAAAGCCCCAGGCCAGTCTGCAGCCGTGAAACCAATTCAACCGCACGCTGAGCAGGTGGCCCAACGCGGCCTACCTCGGCATCTTCGGCGAAACTCACGCGCTCCGTCCACCAGTCGAGCCAGCCATCCGCCCTCGCCCCCTCTCGGGCCCGAAGCAGCCCGACGCTCACGTCAATGATGTTGGGGCGCCACTTGTCGTGCCAAAACACGGTCGCGCCACACCCGGGGCAAAATTCGCGCAGCACGCCCGGCGACGACTCGTACGACTGGAGGATGCCACGCGGCAGGGTCTTGAAATCCAGCGCCACGGTCGTGCGGCCGTCAGAGGCGCCGTTGCCTGCGGGACCGGGGACGCGGAAATGAATATTGGTTCGCGGGACAAAGGTCCAGGTTTGGATCTCAAACCCGGAAACGAGACGGCAGCTTCGACACGCGCAGGTCCCGGCTAGATACTTGTTGCCGTTGTCCCTGATCCACCACTTTATGTCCTCCGGGTTGCCTCGTTCCGGTTCGGAGATGGAGTGGTATGCGTGCGTGAGGTCGGGCCACCCGGAGCTTGCCAGGTAGCTGTCCGGGTTCGGCCGGGTGATGTAGAGATCCACCTTGCCGCACGCGCACGATGCGGGGAGCGTGTCGGCCGGTGCATCCCCAGGGCTACTACTGTCTACTTCGGGACAAGGAGTGGGTGGATCCATGCGCCAAGCCTGGGGATCGTTCTTGGGCGGGAGCCACACGGAAGCACCGCCGTCTACCGTGTCTCCAACGTTGATATTGCCCGCTACTTTAATGGCTTCAAACGCCTTTTCGTCATCTTCGGTGGCTTTCTCAATAACGCCCGTCGCTACCTCCCACGTGGATTCCTCTCCCTCCCCAGTCTGTACTCTCAAGACATGACAGCCGCAGTTCGGGCAGAATAGCCTGGTCCAACCATCCTCCGAGGTGTGTCGAGAGAGGCCGTCAATTTGGGACGCGTGAGGCTCCTTGATCGGTAGGTACGAAGTGAACAGGAGGCCGGTGGAGTGTCGGCAACTAGTGCAATGGCAAAAGGATAGTTCAATATCTTTTCCATTCGCCTCAGCTGAGAGCGCGACCTCCAGAGCAGCCTTCTTGCAGAGACACGAGATTGCCAACATTGCCAAGTGAGAAAGGAGGACTGGTAATCACGGGGAAAGCGCAGCGAGTTGGTTGTGGTCAAAAACAGCGGCGGGGTTAGCGAAAGCGAGAGGCAGCACAAGCGGAGGTATATAAAATATCAACCGCGTCCTGTTCCTGACCTTGAGGCGGGGGAAGGATGAATACAACCCTACACATATATATCAAAAGGTAAGACGGCACCACAAGACTGGCCGGCGGCTATCATGGTTTTTCCATCTCGCACTCGGAAGCCTGCCCCGGAATGCCCTCGCCCCTGATCCGAAATTTGTCAGCAAAGAGGAGCTGCCTGGGCGTGCGGGGTGCGGAAGACGGAAGGCGGAAGAGCAAGACCAAACAAAAAAATTATTAGCGGGGAGCTGCGAAAGGGTCGAGTTCGCTGCGAGTGCTCGTGCCCCATTACGTCAGTTTTGTCGAGACGATGCCGACCTCCGTCTCTCGACCAACATCGTCAGGCAAGTCATTGGAGAGTTCGACCTTCCTCGTCTGCTGCGGGGCGCGTCAATCGAATTCCCAGCGGCCCGTGGTCCCAGCACACCGCACGTGAGAGATAGAAGTATCACGTGTCTGCGTTCCACTGGCTCAGAGTGATTGATTCTCGCGAATGTCGCTGATGGCCATTGATAGGACAGTTATTTGCCTGTAAATGGAGGGTTTCCGCCCCAGACATGGGTTCCGCGACAACCGTATGCTTCGTGAATATGACCGCCACAATTAACAAAAATCGATTTATAGCAAAGCGGAAAAAAGAGGAAGATGGGCGAATAATCGTTGCAAGGGCTTGGCGTCAAGCTGAACCCAGGGCCATATGGCAAGAAAGGTCGTACCGTACCGTACAAGCCCGCGGCCAGGGTTTCTCCATTTCAATATCTGCATCAGCCAGCGGCGCAGCTGCAGGGGGCTGTGCGGGGTCGAAGCTGTTCACGACACACACCGAGGCGGGAGAGGTTGATGCTGTTCCCCAGGGTCGGGCCCAGCCTCGCAATTCCCATAGTTTTTTTTTCTCTTCCACAATCGAATTCCTAGACTACACCCAGACTAGAATCAAAAGAAGAAAGAAGAAGAGAAACAGACCATTCCCTTCCGTGTCGAGTTCCTGTGACGGAGCGAGTGATGCCACCAATACCGATAAGATGGCCGACATTGCCCTCGGAGTCGTAGGACTGGCGGGTATCTACGGCGCCATCCTACAGGCCTTGGAGCACGTGGGCGCCGCCATCTCCGCCTCCTCCGATCTCTGCCTCCTCGATACCCACCTAAACACGGCGCGCGCGTCTCTCAGCTCCTGGGGTGAACGAGTCGGTCTCTGCTCGGACGGTAGCCTCGACCATGAGCACCACCCCATCTTCGACGATGAGGTCCGGCTGCGCGAGGTCCAAAGGGCCATGGCGGCCATCAAGCAAGTTGCTGGCCAGCTTCAGAGAAATCTCGACAAGTATAAGAGCCTCACTGCGACACCGGGCCATGCGAAGACGGGAGCTTTGGAGGCGTTGAGAGACAAGGCGCGTCTCGGCGGATCCGCGGCGAAGCGGTTCCGCTGGGCGGCGTGGGATAAAAAGAACTTTGAGAGCTCGCTGGAGCAGATGCTTAGCTTGATCAGCCTGCTCTATGACATCGTGCCGGTTCAGGATCTTGCGCTTTTGGGCATGAGCGCCAACTTGCTAAAGCTTCTTAACACTACCAAAGGCATGTTGCATGATGCTTATATGCGCCCTGCCTGCCACTCCTTTTCCAACCAACTTACAACTAACGAGCATTGCAGAGAATTCGATTATTCTTGCCCGAACCGCCATAACACATTCAGAAGAAGCGTCGACAAAGAGGAACGAGGAACTTGGTACGTTTTTTTCTTTGTGGGGCCCTCTCATGAGTTTTCCTTTAGACTAACGCAACCTCCTCTTATTTATAGCGACTTGGTTAGATGCACCTCAGTGTGAGGCCTTTTACGCGAATGCCAGCTCAAAAGCCGCCCCAGATACCTGCCAGTGGATCCTGCAAGATGAAGACGTGAAGAGGTGGCTCGATCCTCAACCAGAGGCCCAGGGCCCTCCGCCGCCAAATCCACCGCACATATGGCTCTACTCGAAGCACGCCGGAGTGGGAAAGACCGTGGCCGTGGCTAAACTCATCTCGACGCTCAAGGCGACGGACAAGACCGTGGGCTATTTCTTCTGCACGCACGAAACGAGCAGCCTCCACGTGGTGGACGGCATCGTGAAGACGTGGATACACCAGCTCAGCCGCGTCGCCGGCTGGGACCACGTCGAAGCGGCCATGGAGAGTGCAGAAAAGGGTGAACCCGTCGATCTCTGGGCGACCCTTCGGGCCCTTGTCACCCAGCTCCCGCCAGTTTATCTGATCATTGACGGTATTGACGAGGTGCAGGATCAGCAGGTCAAGTACCAAGGCGGCGTTCGCACATCGTTCCTCAAACGGCTTCGACAGGAGCTTTCTTCGAGCGCGGCTCGGGTTCTCATCATGAGCCGCTACGAACCTGACATCGAGGAGGCTCTTTCCGTCTCGGCGCCGGACCACGGCGCCCCGTTCTTTCCAAAGTGCTCGACAAGGACCAGACCACGGCCGATATCAAAGTCGTCGCGCGCCAGCAAGTGACCTCTCGCCTCACGTCGCTCTCTCCCGAGGTCCAGGACAAGTTGGTCACAGAGGTCGTGGAAAAGGCAGATGGCCTCTTCATCCTCCTCGTCTCTCTCCTCGACCCCCTCGAGGACGGCATGAGCGAGTCCCGCGTCCGCACCATGCTCTCCGAATCCATCGGCGGGCCCAAAGCCGCGACGATTCTCGACCAAGCGTACGGCATCTGGCTCAACCGTATACTCACCCTTTCCGACTCGGACACGCGGCTGATGTGTCTCTCCATCCTGTTTTGGCTGCTATTCTCCTGCCGACCTCTTGAAGTCGGCGAGATGCTCGATGCTCTCAAATTTGACCTAGATGAGCCGAGCCAGAGATGGCGGGCGCCGGAAATACTCCACGAGTCGGACTTCCGGGCCAAGCTCCTTCGCCATTTTGGGGGTTACTCGTGCTTCAGGATGCCTCAGAGAGCGGCGGTAACTGGCGCCGCAAAACCCTTCACCTGGCTCACTATTCGGTCAAGGAATATGTCCAGGGCATCGCTTCGCTTTCTAGCGACCGAGATATCCCAAAGTGGCTCCAGTACCGAGACCATCGATCGGCCAATACCCATATCACAAAATCGTGCCTCCACTACATGATGCAGTCGGAGCTGGACAAATATCCGGCGTTGCAGGTCCCCAGCAGCGTGTTCCACAAGGGATACGAGTACGACGCCGGTTTCTACGACCGCCTCCGCGCAAAGGCTCCGTTCTACGACTACTGCGCCGAGTTTTGGACGCGTCACATGGACTTGGCGTGCCCTCGGCCTGGCGTTGCCATGTGCTTTGACATTTCGCCAGAGATGCTCGAAGGCAAAGCCGGCACGTCCTCGGCGAAGGCTCTCCTCACGGTCATGAACGCCGTTACGGTGTCTGGCGAAAAGGGCCACCGGTGTTTTCTTGTGCACGACGAGGGATTGAGGGACACATGCACCGCTTTTCTGGACCTGGGCGGCCAAGAGAGCTATTACTGGATCTGGTATCACTACCGCGTAGGCTTGTTTTCGCCCCTACTCCCAATACAGCGGAGGCCCCCTCTTCTCCAAAGCACCAGCTAAACCCACTCCGAAAACGGTCGAGTTCGATTACGCGCGACAGGCAGATCGAGTCTTTGGATACGACAACCCCAGCGTGCCCAGCAGACTGTTTAACTGGTACTTCTGGCGAGACCACTTGTTCGGAGCCTACGGCTACAACCGCCGCGCTCTGCGGCTGCAATCTCGCCTCTCCCACGCCCTCCGCTTGAGAAGCGCGTCCCTGGCCGCGCTCATCGTAGACCACGGCGCCGACATCAACTTCCTGATGCCCAACCGCTTAACCACCTACCAGCAATGGACAGCCCGGGTCGGCCGCGATTCTTTCCTCTTCATGTATGTTCTCCGAAACCACTTTGGGGGCAACTTCAAGTTGAAGCAGCCCGACCAGGCCATCCACTTTGTCTTTGGCAACGTATCCTTCCAGTCCCCGGGCACCGCCTGGATCAACCCGCTGAGGGCCAAAGCTCTCCTACTAGGAAACAATCTGCAGGAGACGGTGACGTACTGGAGAGTCGAGACGGAGCACGGAGGCCAACTCCTCCGGGCCATGATCTCGCACGGGCAAGACGTGAACAATAAAAGCCTGCTGGGCCCCTCCGCCATACACTCAGCCGCTGTGCTCGGACACACCGCCGCCCTCCGAATCCTCATCAGCAACGACGCCGACGCGAACATCGGTGCCTGGCTACGGCCGACGTCCACCCTTATTGGACAGGCGTGGGAAGTGTGCCAAACCGTCTTCGAAATGCTGCAGGAGCTTCTCCCGAGCGGCCAACTATCGCACGGTAGGGTATTCGGCCACCTTCTCGAGGTCATCGAGCAGGCGAGCGGGTGGGAAGGAACCCACCGCGAATCCGTCTTGAAGCTGCTCTTAAGTGAAGACGCCTTGGCGGCCAATTCCGCGGGCTGGATCTCCCGCGAGCGAATCCACATGGCTACCCGGATCGACCTCGTCGACAAGGTCCAGGCCCTTCTCAAAGAGGGAGCAAACCCAAACCTCTCCGGGCCCTGGTACGGCACCCCGCTCTTCGTGGCATGCTACACGGGCAACATGGACATGGTCCGTCTCCTGCTCGAGCACGCAGACATCAACCTCCCCGCAAAGTCGCGCATCCTCCGCCTCGAGCTCGACGCCTCGTTTACATGGTCCGGTCTATGGCGCAAGTCCCTCCGCAACCCCGCGTCCGCCTACACGCCCCTCCAAGCAGCAGCGTACCGCGGCCACTACGACGTCGTCAAGCTCCTCCTCGACAGCGGGGCCGAAATCAACGCCAACGCGGGGAACGCCGGCACGGCGCTCTATTTCGCCGTGCTCGGCGCGCGGTTCAAGCACGAGGGCGACCTGCGTGAGGCGGAACGGCAAGGCGGCGGCCAAGTCGACTACTGGGTGAAGAAACGCAAGGCGCTGCACGAAACCCACCTCAAGATCGTCACGCTGCTCCTCGAGCGCGGCGCCTCGCCCAATTCCACCGGCGGGCGCTACTGGTGCCCCTGCAGGTGGCGTGCCTGGCCGGGAACTTGGACATGGTCGCCGCTCTGCTCCGGGCCAAGGCCGACGCCAACGCCGCCGGCGGGAATTCGGCACCCGCTGCAGGCGCTGCTCGCCAACTTTCCCGAAAACAACGAGGAGGCCAGGTACGAAGGGATGCAGATGGAGCCGGGTTTCGGCCTGGTCCTCACCGGGTGGTCGAATCGGTTTGCGGCGGCCCCGTATGCCATTCTCTACATCATCATGTCCCTCTGGGCGCCCCCTGGTTCGCTCTATCGCCCCCTCCCCGCCGTGCTTTGACGGGGCCCGGAGCAAGACCAGACGTTCAAAATCCTCGGCCTGCTTCTACGTGCGGGCGCAGACCCTACCCTCATTTCCGGGAAGGGCGGATCCGCCCTCCACGCGGCCGCGTATTCTTCGAGCATCGGCGTGCTCGCGCTCCTGCTCCAGGACGACTACTCTACGCTGGAAGCGAGGCGCAAGACGGTCAACTACGACGCCCCGCTCTTGGGGACGGCTCTCGACTGCGCCACGGGGACTTTCCGATGGGATAAAGCGCTCATCCTCCGGCTCTGGGCGGACAGCGAGATCCGCTTCCGGGGTCTTCTTCGTCTCCGGGCCAAGAGGATCGTCCGGAGGGGCTGGGCGAGATTTTGCTTCATGACGAATTTCTCCTGGGCGTATCGAAACTGGCTGATCGGAGGGCTCACCTTGGCCATCACGATGTATCTGTCCATGGCCTTCTACTCGGCGTGGGAGGTTGTGGAGGAAAAGGCAAAAAGGGGGATCAACATATTTATGCGCTCTATCTTTTGGTTTGCCTCGTCGGAACCGCCATGTTTGAGTTTGTCAAGAGCGAGTGGACGGAGAATAATTTTGTCGAGGTATAAATTTGGCCTGCGCTTGCTTGCAAAGGAATATTTTTACGTGTAACGTTTAGATGGATACCAAAGTTTTATTTATTTTATTTTATGTAGCGGATATGTTTAGCCCTCAATCTTGGGCATGATGATTGGACCCTTTCAGCGAACTCATTCGGATTGAAAATGGGCGGCGATCGCATAGAATTGTCGACCTGAGAGAATACCCGTTCGATCTCAATGCTTTCCAGGTTACCTCACGCAGCAGGTCGCGAGAGAAGAGTTTCCCCATCCTAAAAGCATCTCATACGGCCCCAGAGCCGTACAATTATAATGGACCCGACTGGACGGGTTGCAAAGAACGTGGAAGAGGCGAAGCGGGTCACGAAGACAACGGATCGGTATGACGACCCGCGGAGTCGTTGGTTTTGATTGTCTACATGGAGAAAACCTCAAGAGAAAGGTAGAGCAGGAAATGTTGGAACAATCATGCATCTCTGCACGCTGATTGATGTACATCACAATTTTCGGTCGAGTGCCAATTCGTCCTTGTTCTCTTGGTCACCGTCACGTCACGTCTTTGGGATTATGGAGGTCGCGTTGGGATTTCTTTGCCGCGCGGGGAGGAAGGTAGTCGCGAGGATATGTATTGATGTGGCTTTTCTAGCCGGCAAGTTTAATCGATGAAGCATCGTCGCGCTCGTCGTTTATTCGGGTGCCTCGCATTCGTGAAGAGGTCGCGGAAGTCAAAGATGAATTGACCAAGGCAAGATATCCAAGTTCGATTCGGGGAGGAGAGATTCGATAAATTCAAGAAATTCAAGCTACCAGGCTCCCCTCCCAGTGTTGAGACGAAAGTCTTGCGTTTGATGCCTATTTTTCTTAATACTCATCACGGACCGATCATTCAGTGCACTGTCGAAAAAGACCCGGCTTCTTCTAACGGCTCAACGAAAGCCGAGTCGTGGCTCTTCAAGAAATGGCAAACTTGAGAGAATGACGCGTCTCATCTCGAAAGCTAGGAAGACGTCCGAGGTAATCATCGCGATTGGCGAGATTCATCGGCGTGTCTGAACAAGGACTCCATTGGCACAATAATTCAAAGGTGATGGATCTTTCTCATCTTCTTCATTTGCGGACGTAAACATCGGAAAAGATTCGTCGCTTCGACAGTGCTGCTTTTCGTTCGTTAGACCTCTCGTGAGAACGTATGCGTGGACCATTGCGGGCGGCCGGTTTGAACGCGTAGAGCTCGGTGGTATTCAAATGCCTAGATCGGGATCAATTGATGCATCCAAAGATCAAAAAGAACGCGTGGAATCTCCAGTCCGCGCTGACCATAGTTGGATCATCATCTCGTGAAGACGCAAATACGAAATGGATCGTTCGCTGAGGGCGCCGCGCCGGTGACCATCAAATTAACTTCAATTGGCGCGGTCGCAGTGCCACAGCTAACGCCCATTTCGCTTCCTCGTGGAGGAAGGGCACTTCCTCGTGGAGGAAGGGCACTCAAAACAAGACTGTTGCAGACCCTCACCGATCGCTTCTTTTTCTTCTTTCATTTCCAGCTAACGAGCGCCGGCTGCAAACTCAGTTATATGCCTTCACGATGGAATTCCATAAAAAAGGTTGCCACTTGGCGCCCAAACTTCCTGCACTGCACGACGCAGCCGATGCGGATGTCCGGCACAAATTTCGCCCAAAAATCAAGGCCAGGCGTAAATCATCGCCGTCATCATCGTGCACCCCTGTGGGAATTTCAGCGTGCGATGAGCGCTACCGTAGCAACTCCAGCAAATGGCTTAGCTTTCGCCGAGAATATGCGGAGGCGGGGAAGGGGGAAAAAGCGGAAAAGCACAGTTCCAGAGAGGGCCCTGTCGACACGGCTCCGGATCCATCGAGAGAGAGAGGGAACAGGCGTTTGGGCTCCGCTGGCGCATTGGCAAGGCCTGGGGCAAAGCGAAGGTGGAATTGAACTATCGATTAAGCATCAATTCGCCCAGGCCAGGCCAGAGTCCACCCCCAGACAGAGCGACATGGGCAAGATGGGCCACTGTGGAGACCAACAGGCGAGGAGAATGCGGGGTTTGTCTCGGGGGCCCACTGTTTTTTATCGCCAGGAGCGGTCGGCCTATCAGGGGGACATGGTGCTATCGGACATCGGCAACCCTGGGTGGCGCTCGAGAGGCCCATGACGTTCCAAGACGGGGTCAAACAATCGGAATGGGATTTTCGATGCTGACTTCGACGGAAGGGGGAAAAAAGGGTTATGTGGTGAGGATCGTGTTCTTTCCCTCTGGAGAGGCATGGGAAGAAAGAAAGAGCAGACCAAAGCCTTTGGGGGAAGGGAGAAACAGGTTCTTCTTGGGAAGGAGGAGCTGTGGTTGGGAAGGGGAGAGGGTCGGTAGATGTACTCGGGCGAAGCTGCCTTGTTTGGCGACATGACAAGGACACGGAGCACCACTTTGCGGCCATGTTGCGTGCGCAATCCTCTAACAGCCAATCCCACAGCCCAATTCGCCTTCTTTCCCCTCTCTCTTTTTTGCCTCTTGACTCTCTTCCCCTCTCCTCCTCTCCTGTCTTCAGGGGGACAGCTTCAGAAACAAGCTGTCAAGGTGGTTATAGCTCCAAAGGGGAGAGGGGGAGACAAGGCAGGTGCGTAGTGAAAGATGTCCCAAGGTACCTTGAGGTCGTTCCTTCCGGCCCTTTTTTCCTGATTGCGATACTACAGGTACAACGGGACGCGCTGCGCTCGCCAGCATGGAACCATGGTGGCCTGGATTTGAATCATGTATCTCTTGGGGATGGGATGGAGGAGGACGCGTGTTGATACGCAGGCGACGAAGGGGAAACACAGGCTGGAAAGGGGAGAGTAGTCCATTTGTCTCCCCCTGTTCAGATACAGCCAATAGGCTCGCTTGGGATATGTTGTCTCTCGCCCCATGCAAGCGTTCTCCTTTTAGGAAACGGGAGACGGACATCTTTTGGCTCAGCCCGTGCACTGAAGCGGGGAGGACAAATGGTTGGACCAATCAAGAGTGGGCGGATACCCCGGCAGGAATGTAGTGTACTTGTACCAGGATGACAAACGAGACCGCTCGGTCCTGCAAGTCCACAAAGTGACGCCTTGATGTCCCTTTGCCTTTTTCCTTCCCCCAGCTTTCCGCAAGTAATGAAATACAAGTAGCAATCAGGGCAACCACGGAGAGACACGCCAAGAGTAAGAAGAGAGGTACGAAGGCTCCAGCCAGTTTTGAAAAGGGAAATGTACTCGGTACGAGCCTTTCTGAGGACCAAGGGTGTTTGAGCAAGTCAATCGCATTTAACCAGCGGTATCTTTTTTGAGGGAAAGGGCCCTCGGATTCAAGGGACCTCAAATCCAAATCGTCAGCGTCCCCCGAAATGCCCCAGACCGAAGGTGTGCGACATCGATTGATCTCCTTCCACTAGCCTGCCCGTGCTGGAACGCATTAGCGAAAGTACCTCGATACATTGATCTATGGATGGCTCCGTTGCATTTGATCCCTGGAGCCAAAGCCAGTGCTAGTCCAGTCCTTGTCCTTGTCCTTGCACCCCCGCATTCTAACGCTCAAACTTGGCCGTGCTCCTTGACTCGAGACCTCCAGCTCTCCGCAAGTTGGCTAATACTTCGTACACTGCTACACTTACCACTACCTCCGTAGTATGTACAATCGAGAGGGTGAGCGGTGGATTCAATCTCGCTCCTTGGTGCACGCTACCACCCACCACGACACCGCACCACCACAACCACCACAACCACAACAAGCAGATTGGCAAAGTCACCACCTTCCGTTCGGTACTCTCTTCTCTCTTCCCTCGCACCTCTGCATCGCTCTTTCCCAAACAGCAACGCAAGCCCGAAGAGATCACGTGCGGGTTGTGTTTCCAGAGTGTCCTTTGGTGATTGGTCGGCTGCTTGACTCTCCCATTTCTTGATACCTACCTCGCAACAACTCAGCCACCGATTCTTGTTCCACCCTTCTCCTCTCCTCTCCTTTTTCTCTTGCATCAGTTGATCTCTTTTTCCATCCCATCCAATTGTTTCTTCATTCCTTTTGCTTTCCTTTCCTTTTCCTCCTTACCCATCCTCCCTCTCCCTCCCCTCACACACACATAATCACATCTGTATCAACATGTTCGCCTCCAACAGGTTGTCCGGCGCCGTCGCCCGTGTGGCCACCAAGCAGCCCTCCCGCATGCTTTCCACGTCCCAGGGTAAGTGTTGATTCTCTCTCAGAAAAAGGCCTCATAGTAGCTCTCAGCCTTTCCCACCCACCCATTTCCTCCATCCGGCCTCGTTGCCTTTTTGTTGCTTGCCATTGCCCATCCCGATAGCTTTGAATAAGCTCGTCATGCTCATCAAGATGTATTTCTAGCCCGCGTCCCCAGCTCTCTCATCGCCCGCAAGGCCGTGATCAACAATGGCCTCCTCCTCAACAGCAGCCGTGCCACTCTTGCCTCGAGCATGATGCGCAGCGCCGTCCAGTCTCGCGGCATCGTCGTTGAGTCGACCACCGCTGCCATCGTCGCCGCTGCCAAGATGCACGGTGCTGGTTTCGCGACCGTCGGTCTCGCTGGTGCTGGTGTCGGTATTGGCAACGTCTTCGCTGCCCTCATCACTGGTGTCGCCCGCAACCCTGCGCTCAAGGGTAAGTTTTTTTTTCATCTCCTTCTGGTCAATTGAGCTCAATTGAGCTCGACCATCCCTTCTTCCAAGTACAACGGGGTGGCTAACGCGGGTCCTTGTCCCCCAATTGCAGGTCAACTCTTCTCGTACGCCATTCTTGGTTTCGCCTTCGCCGAAGCTACCGGCCTGTTCGCCCTCATGGTTGCCTTCCTCCTCCTCTACGCCTACTAATTGGAGAGCGGGCTTCGTGGGTTGATGCAAAGCTGAGCCTGTCGGCCGACGAGGCAGGCTTGGGGATGGATTGACCCAACCCAACGCTCCCAGGTATCATCCTGGACTGGTGGAATTGACTAGATTACAAAGGTGTAAAGCATCACAGCTGCAACGGATCACGGTCCACAATCGTCGGTAGATTCTAGTAGATTAGAATGATAAAATGTACTATTCTATGGAAACAATCATGGGCTTCTCAATCTCTTTTGTGCTTTACGTGTGGTTATTTCAGTGGAGCGAGACATTGGTCGGCCCATGTGTTGCTGCGACAAACAAAAAAATGTCGCAATTGAATGATTTCCCTCTCTCTCTCTCTCAGCTTGGGTCTCAACCAAATCTCCCCACTGCCACACTGACGCATTTTGTTTTTGCAATTGAGGACATTGAAGCCTGCATTCCCCGTGCCACGCAACCTACACACCGACGTTGAATATTTGCAACGCGATTGTCTCTTTGTCTTATTCTCATTTGATTTCCACTGCACCGTCGTCGTCGACTCTTTCTTTCTTGGCCCCTGGACGCTAAACAAAAAACGATGCCGCGAACCCACTCCTTCCCGAGAGATTCACGGGTCCGGGAACGGTGGACTCGTGCCTCATCGCGGTCGGGCTCGCCTGTTTCATTCTTCCCCAGATTTTTCCTTTTTCCTGGGTCGAATAGGAGGAAGCCCATATCGCATTAGCCCACGAGAAAAATCCACTCTTGCCTCCGTTTAAGATTGCTATCGTGCTCCACTTCCAAGAGGCCCACTGTGGGGAAGAACCCTGTCCCTAGCCACGAAAACAAAAAAGACGCACGCTGCCTCGCTGGAAAGATCGTGGGGTAAAATAAAAACTGGGAACTCGGGGGAGGCAAGCAATGGGAGAAAACATTTATACAACGGGCGCTAGCCCCAAAACTAGTGCCAAGCGACCGCGCCCCCAGTTTCCTTCAAAGCTTTGCTTTGCGGGGGCGGGATCGTGGTGGAGCAGCATTTTGACAAAGAGTGAAAAATCTGGTGATGAGGAATTTTTTTAAACACGCTCTGCGAAAAGCGGCTCTGGAACAGCTATGCACCAGGCGCGTTGGAGCTAAAAAAAAAAATTTTTAAACAAGCAGGATTAGGCTCCGTTTTCGGAGTGGATTGGTCGGTGTTTTCGCTCGAGGCTGTTTCAATTGTGTTGGACGCTGGTGGCTCGGCCAACAAATTAATTTGGATGCGGGTGCTGGCGCCGAAAAACGGTCTTGGTGCTGCTAGCTTAGCACACGGCTTAGCGGACACCGACGACGGGAATATCAATCAAGTGCTGAGATCAATTGGGACAACTACTAGACAACCACTTCCTTGGTCTGTTTGGTGCTTGATGGGACAATAAAATTTGTGTTTGCTTGGTTTCCAATTATCGAAAACAATCCGAGGGGTTTTAAGCATATCTGGCTTCTCGTTCAGTTTAATGTTCTCTCATAAATCTTTCTCTCATCGGGCTTCTTCAGTGTTGTCATCACCATCTCGTCGAGTTATTACTCCACGTGTCTTCGCAACAGGGTCTGCTCCACCAGCTCGAGAGAATGTTCAATCCGTCCCAGATGGGTTGAAGTATTCAGCGCCACCCCTCAAAGTCAAATCGAGCTCGGCGATTCTACTCGGCCTCAGTAGACGATTGGGAGAGGTGGCTTTAGAAGTCACATGTAGTGAGCAGAGGTGGATCTGCCTGTCCTCAAAATCAATGAAGTTTAATTAAGAGGTGAGACACTCGGCCGTCTCTTTCCTTTTCTAGGTCCCTTGGGTCATTTGGATTCCCGTACATATGCTTTGCGTAAGAATGGTGGCTCTTCCACATCACGTCCCTGTTGACTAGCAGATGATGGCTTCAACCTCTGGCCACGAGACCTTTGATTTCGGACGGGCAGCACGCTGTCGCCATCAAAATAACAATTGATCCCTGCGGGCTATCCCAGACTCTGGCAAAGTGAGCACAAGGCGAGAAAGGGATAATCGTCTAGGGAAAACTTGGCTTGTGTCGTGAAGCGAAAATCGGACGATCGCACTTGAGCTCCCTCGGCCAGCCTCCTTCGCATTCTCCAACGCCATTTCCGCTCAGAAGCTGAGGCCTTCACTCCTCTATCCTCATTTGGGTTCAGATTTCAGAAGCTGAACCTTGATGAAGCAGATGCGTGCCACTCACTCGGTCTTCCTTTATTTCAAGTCAGGAACGGGTAAGTAGTATAGGAAATCGAAATGGCTTCTTCAACGCCAACTCTTGTATATATAGAGATATATTGATGGGTCTCCTCGGCCTCCTAGTCCTGCCGCAAAATATGCATCCTTCCTACATTCTCTCTTTCAGTACATGATCCATTTCTGATGTGAGACATGACTACTCTACCGTCCCAGCCCCAATACTTGTTTTCCTTGGAAACGAGGCCGCAGTCATCTTTTTAAAGCCGTTCGGAGTTGTTGTTCTGAGTTCCGTCCCTAATTGCTTTTAGTTCCGTCTGTAGTAGGATCTGGACCCTGTCTCGGTTCGGGAACTAGGATACCTCGCCAGTAGTTTTCTACATAATGTCTTAAGAGTCTTGGCCATACGGAGGAGGGAAAGTACGGGCAGGCTGAGGGAAGGAAATGAGCAAGAACGACGATAGGTGTCCACTCAATAGCTCTTCCCAACCTCTCTATGGACGTGAAAGAAATATATGTGCTACTGCCATTCTTTTGGTAATCTGGATCCGGATATCAGTCGATATAGGGATCGATCAGCCTCAAATCGACGAGGTGGTCGTGAGAACTCTCACGTGCGAATATACCATGAACTTGAGTTGAATCGCCTGCAGCTGAGCCTTGCGGCACAGCGACTCATCATAACCCCATTATTGCAAAACCCGACCCTGTTTCTGCCTGGCATCACCACACAGAGCAGGGCTTATATTGTAAGGATTGGCCTGGTACGCTGCTGCTACTCTCATAGGTTCCCGCCAAACCTCATCAGTATGCGTCCGCCTGTGCTGTTAAGGAGGAGATTACCATGTTTCTCGGCTTCTCGCCTGCCCTTTCCCCCTCTTCTCCTCCTTCGTAGTGCTTCGCGATCGATCTGCAAGAGGGCTCTTGCTATCAAATTTCGGCGGTGCGATGACATATGCACACCCACTTACATATGCCAATAGTATCTTTGTGACGGGCATTGCGCTGATTCCAAGGCATCAGGTACTGCAAGATTCGAGGTCTGGAAGACGAAGGCTGCGAGCTATTGATCTTGACCAGACTTGATTGGGCCCGCTTCTTTGATTCGAGGAGGGCATATTTGGCAAAAGCCCGAGTTCCTGCAATGGCAAACAGGAGAGTTGCTTAATGCTAATCGAGTTAATGCAGATTTCGCCTGACGGGAAGATCTATGGGTACTCCCGGATGCTGGATACCTAGTCGAAAGGCATGGGAAAGGGCACATATCTAGCACCGACATGGGAGGTATGCAAGCCCTGAGGTTTATAACGTGGTTTGCGATGAATTACTGAGCACCAAAGTCCCCATCTTGAAACTTACTCAACTACTGCTCCAAAATCTGGCCAATATAGCTTGGCTCCTAATAAAACAAACAGAGAAGATCTTGGCCGCACAGTTCAGAACCTGATGGCTGTGCATAAGTTTTCCAGATCTCTTGTGATACCACGCGCAGTTTATTGCCTAGGCGGTGGGCTTCTTCCAAGCTTGGTCTGCATCTTTAATCTCATCGTCAGTGGGTCCTCTGGTCTATGGTGCGGAATGTTTTTGGATCTTACCTGGATGGATGGCCGGCTCCCCTATATACTCTCGGCCCGCCTTCTTCTTCTTTCGGTCGATGCCAAATTTCGCGTCTCTCTCGTCAAGAATCCCTTCTGCCAGCTGACCATCCTCCGTATAGCTAATCATCAATTCCGGCTGCCCCAGAGGCAACTTGTCGCCGCGGTCTACCTGCCAGAGATGAAAGGTCTTCCCGTATAGCTTGACGACCTGCTCCATCTCCTTGTTTTCCGCCACCTCCCAGGCTGCCTCGGGCAAGCGTGCCTGGGGCATGAAGAGCATGCCGGATTTGACTTCGTACACGTGGCTGTGCCAGAGCTTGCGCTCCTCGGGGTCGAGGGTTTCGTACAGCTCCGGGGTGATCATGTACTCGATGCCGATGATGCGGGCGCCGGGTTCGGCGCTATCGTAGATGATGCATTGGCGGACATCTACAGATTGTTAGTCTGGATGACAGGGCATTTACTTTTTGCTTCTAACCGTTGTTCACGTGGCCACAGTAGTGGTTGGCTTCGACCGAGCGCGTGGGATCGGAAGCGTAGGCGTGGAACGCGTTTAAATGTGCGCAGATGTTTTGGACTGGGGTAAATTGCTAGGATGGGACATGAAATAAATGAAAGTGTCAGGATTATTGCAATAGCTGCACGGTCTTCTTACGGAAGGCGTTCAAACCTGCGTAATAGAGGCTCCGGCGAGAAGGACTCTGTTCGTTGTCGACAGCTCGTCGCCGACGGCATTGTTTGTGACGGGTTTCGAACTCATCGTAACTGGGAGTATGAGGACCACTGGGTTATTATTTCGAACATGAAGATGAGGGAAACGAATGATATTTCCATGGGTCGTTGTGACCGTCAAGAGTGTATATACTTTGCTATATATCAAGTTGACGAGTGTGGAGCTGTTCGATGTCCACATACCGACGTCATTTACTTCCACCGCTCGTTGAAACTCACACTGACTGCAAACTGAATCCGTACAACATCTCGAGATTACAACATCAGTTTCTAGAATTCCTTACATTATGGGCTCGCAACTAGAAGTGAGAGGATGGAATGGTAATATCATGCACATTGAGTTATCGGAATTCCCAACCAGACGTTATATTGCCGAAGATGAGTGGACTTTGTTTCGCAACTCGATATTTAGCGCGAATTGCGCCTCCGAGCGTGATATTCTCGCCTTAAATGGAAACACATCGCATGTCGAGACTAATGGCCAACCCGACCTTCTTGGAGTTGTTAACTGTGAAACTGGTCGTAGCCTAGTGGTAACGCCGGCGGCTATCCTGCTAATCCTTTCGTCAACTATATGGTAGTTGTAATACGTTATCGGCTCTTATTGAGAGCCATGACACAACACGATTGGGAAGCTTAGAAACAGCTATAGCGACCTCGCGCTTGAATTGCACCGAGCTGGCGCTTTCCAGCTGCTGCCAAGACGGTAATCAGGGTACATCGGGTTGCCGATTGTCGGGGAACGGCCGCGTTTTGGTCCAATCGCACGTGGGCTCGAAAAGCCCGCCCGCCCGGAGACCGCTTACCCGTGTACCTCGCGGGCTTTTTCTCAGTCCATCGTGACTCTGGTGGAATTCCGGACCCACCGGTACAACCTCGAAGCTTTGCTCGGCGGCAATGCAGCTGACAGCTGATTGCTGCCATCCTCCTCCGGGGGTTCCACTTTCACGATGTTGCAGCCCTAGAGCCACAACGGAGCTTATCAATTGACCAACGCAAACAAAAATCACGGCCCACTCATAGGGCAGCTCAAAGATCGGGATGGCGATAGCAACGTTTGACAGCCCCCTGGAGCTCCACACAAAAAATGTGCACAAAAATTTGTAGCGGTAGATCTTCGGTGCCCCCAAAATCGCGGAGGTGCGGAGCACTGGGCCGAGTTCGGCGGGCGTAGTCTCCGCAGATAAAGCTGGTCGGGGAGGACCTATCAGTTCGTCGGCCAAAGAAGAGGCGGGGAAGACTTTTCTGGGATCTTTTTTCTTTTCTTCCTTTCCACCCAGCTTTCATCCGTTCGTTAATCTCCCCACTTCTTGAGAGATCGAACGTTGATAGCCTTTGAAGATGACTACCACTCAGGTGCTTACCGCGACCGAGCTCTCCGAGCTCCCATCCTTGCATGGAGAGACTCCTCCGGACTGTCGGGTCGACCCGATTGTGCAGGTGTCTGTACCTGATAGCGACCCCGGGAAGGACTTTGGGTGTTGGTGCCCCGCGCGAGTTCGGAATCACGCCGTTTCATGGCGTGAGCAGGACGAAGCGAGTGGTTGCCATTAGTTTGGTCATGTGTGTCAATTTTATCCAGGTCGGTAATCCTAATCTACTCTGAATTGAACGATTCATTCTTTGTCTCCCTTGTTTTGCTTTGATTTCCTTTGGAGGCGACGGCATTTGAGGGAGTGAGTGGAGCAGGTTGACTGATACCCTGGATAGTTCATCTCCAACTTCACCACCGTCGCCGGCGGCTTCGAATTTAGCGAGAAACTCGGCCGGGAAGCCGGGCCCGGCCAGGCCAATTGGCTTGCCGCGGCGTATTCGTACGTATCCCCCATCTCACTCCCACCTTTCCTCCCTCCCTTTCTACATGGCGCAAATATGGGCGTGCGTGCTTACCTGACCCCGAGCGGTTGAACCAAATTTCTCTAGCTTGACACAAGGCGCCTTTGTCCTGATCAGCGGGCGAATCGGCACCATTTACGGACATCAAACCGCCCTGCTGTGCGGCGGTGCCATCTTCACCGTTTTCTCGTTCGCCAACGCCTTTTGCACCAACTACACGGCCTTTGTGGCCGCGCGCGCCCTCACCGGCGTCGGGGCGGCATCCTGATGCCCAACGCCGTGGCCATCATCACCGTCATGATCCCCCGGGCTACTGGAGGAACATCACCATGAGCTGCTTCGGGGCGTCGGCACCCATTGGCGGCTTCTTTGGCGCGTTGCTGACCGGCGTGTTTCTGGAGCGGACGCATTGGCGGTGGCTGTTCATCTTCCTGTGAGTCGCGCGGGTGTCTGTGTCGTGTGACGAAACCCAAGCTTTTTGTCTTGAGGGTGGATTTGCTTCTAACGTTTTTTGCCTGTGCGTAGTGCCGCATCTCAAGCCGCAACACTCGCTGGAATCTACTTTTCCATGCCTAAAGACGAGCCCCTGGACCGAGGCGGCAAAATTGACTACGTCGGGGCTGCTCTAGGACTAGGGAGCTTGATCCTATTCAGTTTCGTATGGAAGTAAGTGCAACGTGATCCCGCCAAGTCCCCATTCACCATCCTGGAGTGAGGTCTTGCAATTCTAACCAGTGCCTCCACCGCCCCCAGCCAAGCGCCGTCCTCAGGCTGGCAAACCCCCGTCGAAATCGTGTGCCTCATCCTCTCCGTCGTCCTCTTCGCCCTCTTCCTCCTATGGGAGGGAAATTCGCCAAGGAGCCCGTCATGCCGCTCTTCATCTTCAAGACGCCCAGCTTCTCCCCGCTCGTCCTCGTGGTCACGCTGAGCTACATGTCCTTTGCCATCGCGCAGTGGTACGCCATCACCTGGCTGCAGATCGAGCGGCGCTGGTCCGTCCTCGACACGGCGGTCGGCTACACCCCGTTCCTCGTCGTCGGGCCCCTGTCCGTATTTCTCGCCGCGTGGCTGCTGCCGCGGCTCGCGGCGCAGTGGATCATGGCCATGGGCATCGTCGTGCTCGTGGCCGCGAACCTGCTCGTCGCCACCATGCCCGTGCAGCAGACGTACTGGGCGCAGGCGTTCCCCGCCATCGTGCTCTACTGCCTCAGTCCCGATTTCGTGTACGTGGCCGCCCAGCTCATCGTGAGCAACAGCGTGGGCCGCAAGTACCAGGGCGTGGCGGGCAGCCTGATCGGCACGCTAAACTTGTACGGCAATAGCTTGGGCATCGGGGTGTCGGGCACGGTGGAGAGCCAGGTGGCCAAGAACTCGGGCGACCGCATCCTCGGGTACAGGACCGCTCTCTACTTTGGCTTCGCGGTGGCGGTTCTCGCGCTCGCGCTGGACGTGTTTTTCGTGCGCGTGCCCAAGGATAACCGCGAAGGTTGGGACCCGAGCGATGATGTGGAGGATAGCCTCATTGTCGGTACGGGGCGCAGTGTCGAGCCAGCGCACGCGGCTACCCAGAGGAGGTAGAAGGTGGAGGGGTCGCCAAAAAGATCTGACGAGAAGGGGAGAATAACACGATGTTTCTGCAAGTGGCAGGAGTTTACCTCATTATTGTTCACTTTCTACCAGGCAGTTCAGGGACGGATATAAAGCAATGAAAGACTTCACGGATACTTTCGAGGCATGCTTAGCCTAACTCTATTGATATTAAGGGTTCCTCGTTGACCACACAGAGAAAAGAAATGTCCATCCTGGGACAAAGCAAACACAATGGGAGGAGATGATGCACATGGTCGTCTATAGTGAGCGGCCGACCCTATCCACTTCCTACTTAATTGAACCATGCAGAGGTATTGCGTAGGCGGGTGCCAAGCTTCAAGCCGTCCCTGGCGCGGACTACCTGGTCCGGCCTCGTAATAGACATGATATCTACGACGGCCTAGCTCTCAAAACCTCAATAAATTTAGACTAGGATGGCGATAAAGTGGTTTTCAGAGTGGCAAGGACAATTTAGTACTGACACCGTATACCTCAATAATGAGAGTTACTGGTCTCAGCCCTCGGTCAGTAGTTCTTTTCTTCAGCCATAGATCTACACAATGCGCCCGGATGTTAGGGCTGCCACTGACACCGCTATCACTACTGTAGCCAAAAAGCGCGTAAATATCATGTAGAGCGTCTTCCCAGTAGTATTTCTCCAGGCTTTAGACTTCACCTCAAACTTGAACCTTGGCTGAACAAGATAGGGTGCCGACTGGACTGATATTTGGGGGCTGCTCTAGCCCCCGTATTTTCGTGGCTGAGATGGTATCGTATCTATTTATGTTCTCCATTCTGAGTTATAGCTCCTGCTTTTGTCATATTTTCCTGCTCCCGCTTAGTCGTTTTGGCGAATTTGCAGCATCGGAAGCACATTCTACCTGTGACGTTTACATAAGTGCCTCTTAGAAATGGGCCTACATCTCATCTTCCATTGTGAGTGCGGTCGCCGAGCATGGTGATTCAGTCAATATCACATACTAAAGACTATACACCGTTTGCGCGTTGATAAAGACTCAGGGCTATATAGTAGAGGTATATGTTAAAGTATAATTTATGAATTATATAGATGAATGATATAAGATCGGACTTCTGATATAAGCTTCTTTTCTATGACGACTATGACCCTACCACCGGCAATGCTATCTGTAGAGCTCATAGCTTCAACCCGCCCGTTGCTTGGCTGCTCGATTCCAAGTTTCTCGATCGCCGCTTCTAGTGACTCATTCACGATCCCTTCAGAAGAATTGTTCTTTCTCACAGGGTCAAACTCCTTAAAAGTTTCCATCAAGTCCATACCCTCTGCTCGTTTCATGACCTTACACCATGGTTCAGTACCCAGACGTGTGACGAACATGCCGAGGATCAGAAATATCGCATGACCTTTGAATTCAATATCAAGGATCCCAACCTTGGATGAAGCAAAACTAATTGAAACTGGCTGAAGCACCCAGGTGATATTGTCCCATATGTGGCTCGGATAAACCTGGTGGACGGTGATATGGCTCTTATTGTAGTACGGCGGAGGGGGTACTAACCAAAAGGGTGTGGGAAGCTGTAGGAGGGCGACTTGTGTGACGTATATAGTTGTCGGTTTCCAGTTTTGGTGCTTGGTCCCTGCACATAATAGAATATTGTGTCAGTATATGAACCCGGATGCCTCATACTAGAGTCTTGTTAGGGTGTAGGACTCACGCATTCTCAGACAAATAAGTTCCTCCTGTTCAACAGTGGGATTGAACCCAGAGATGTCGATGAAGGTCTCGCTGCTGTCGTATTTTGCAAATTGAAAGATCTGAGGGGTGTCGACGCGTACAAACATGTTGCTCACGTCCGACACCCGCTTTAATCGGATCCCTGCCATCACACCAGGGACATGCCCCACTGGACAGTCAAGAACAGCTAGGTACACCTCGCCCGACTCGTAGCACTTATCATTGCACATCAAAACCTGGACCATCAGTCCCTTGCTCGTTGACACCGCGTGTGGACGACCCGGCCTGTCGCGTTGAAATTGTGACACTATTCTCGACGTCGTGAAGAGTCGCGGCGAGTCCGCAAGCAGGCCTGACCTCATAAAAGTGTCCCCATACTCCTCTCGGTAGGAGTCGATCGAAGCATGTTGTCTCCAACAAAAAATAGACTGGTCATTTGAAAGCTTCAAGATCTCCTCTTGAAGTCTAATAAACGCGTTCGATCCCTCCCCATACAGCAAAGGCATATTGACGCTAAAGATGCCCAGCATACAGTACGCCATGTCCTCGATTCTGGTGGTCTCCCGCCGTGACATCCACGCCATCCGACGCGCGATGCTTATCCTCGAGATATCCCCTCCGCTAAGCGCATACTCATCGACTCCATATTCTGTAGAGATGCACACCCTATGCTGCTCGCGTGTGCCAACAAAATCCCACCGTTTATTGTAAAACTTGACTTGTGGCGGCGCGATGAGTTCCTGTAGCGTCCACCCACGCGAGTACCAGCGCGGCGATAGCGCCAGACCGTCGTCCACTGTTCGGATTGGTTGGCTGCCCGTAGCGTCAGATAGGTAGGCGTAGCACACGGCCGAGATTTGATACCAGCGAAACATGGAGTTGATCGCCTCGGATAGCTCCGCAGAGCTCGTCTTATCAATACAGCAGGTATCGATCCAGATCCAGTCGTACCCCTCACTACGCGCTAGTTCGCAGCTCTTGATAATCTTAGCCCACCCAGCCTTCGATCGGGCCAGTGACTGGTCGCCCTGCATGTCCTCAAACACGACTTCCTCCTCCTCCCAAGTATGAGAGAGGATCGCGAAGGTGGGCACGGCATATTCCGGGACGACATCGCGCAAAGCGCCGACAAGGAGACCATGCGACTTGCTTTCAGTGAAGCTCTCCAAGGTGAGGAGCTTAGTGTGAAGTAGGCGCATCTCACAGCGAAAAATTAGTTTCGGATTGAACCTAAGTGAGTAGATTAGCTTGATTCGGTTTATGATCACTTTGGAATAATATTTCTAACCCTAAGATATTCCTATACTATTTTACTGACACGGTCGTCTTGCTTAGTAGTAAATGAGAAAATCATCGAGAAGATGAGGGGTATCTATTAAGGACTCTTTCAGAGGATAAGATGAGGCGAGAAGCCCTCTCATTAAGAAAGGGGCATTGTAATAGGCTAAGCTCCGGCATAACCTCAAGGGTCAGGTAAATGATATTGAACAGATTGTATTCGCTGCTTAGACCCTTTCTAGGACCCGTTTCTATGAGGATATTCTATGGCTCTTACAGATGATATTGTTCTTAATCTTGGCAAGTCTTCTAAAGGCAGCTAGGTTTCTGTTAGTCTTATTCTAGTTTATGTATCCTCTCTACAAAACAAATAGAAAAAGAGTCGGCTTTTGAGCAAAATCTCTTAAAATCGGTTCGTGTCCAGTCACATCCCGTGGCTGATAGTTATCGGCCGGCTTCGTCGTACTTGCGCACACCCACTTTCTAACCTGGATTTTCTTTAGTAAGAAGCAGTTCACCCTCCTTGTTTTTATTTTTATTTTTATTTTATTGTTTGGTATTTCAACAAAAATAAGAAGATGGTGTCAGTAAGTAGGCCTGGAGTGATAGGATCCATCCAAGCAGCCGAATGAGGCGAATCTCGAGGAAGATGATGAAGAAAAGACCAAAAGAGGATGCACTATCCCGGAATCGAACCGGGGGCTGGTCGAATCCACCGAATGGAATGGCAACGACCAAGTTTACCACTAACCCAATAGTGCTGATTCTTTGATGCAACGGAGCCTCTGAACAGAAGCTACATACGCATCCTCCCTCGAGACAAGAAACGGGTCGCTTATCTTGGGCATGCTCGATAGATTTCCGGGATTGAAGAGAGTGGACGTTGGAAAAAAAGGGAAATGTTGATGTCTCGCCTGCTCTTCCCGAATCCAAGGACTTCTTTTGTAAGATTGTGCTCGACAAGCAGGAGCAGCGAGTGCAAGGGGGATGCTGGCTAAAAAGATTCCTGACGCATTGTTTCGTCAGAGGCCCAATTCCTTCAAGCAACCTTCCAGCAATCGATCTATTTCTGCGCTGGTGCTCCCTTGGCCTAACCGCCGGGGGTGTCCTCCGCCTTTGCACTGCGGACGGCTCGCCAACCCAGAAGAAAGAAAAGAAAAGAAAAATACCTTGAAGACATGCAAGGGAATTTGGGGTTTTCTGGTACGGGTACAATAAGCGGCGGCCGACTAGCTAGGGGAGCAATGTTCCCTTCCAGTGCGGCAACGCGCGTTAAGCTAATTTGCTGTGTCCGCGATCGTGGCGGAGCCCCTAAACCGCCGTGCGAAGCTTCCAATCCTTCCAATGTTCCCCACGCGGCCCCGAGAAATAGGTTCGGATGGCTCAACTCCCACTTCGCAACCCGATACGGTGCGTACGAAGGGACATTAGCGGCGCGTTCTTCGCATTGAGCATAGTGCGGAATCCTGCTCACATCAGCGCGAGGAATCCGGGTTTGACTTTTGGGGACTTGGCTCGCCTATTCCTTGAATGGCTTTTGTCCTAATACTGGGTCTAGATGGACTAAGCTGAGCGAGGGCCAGAGGCGCAATTTTGAAGCTGCGCAAGCAATGACGGCCGAAGGCTTGGCAACGAGCCGCAGACAATAACAACCCTACACAACTATTCGCAAGCCTCGAGGGCTTGGGAGCCAGCAAATGCAGGAACGGGACGTTAGCGTGCCGATTTCTTGAGATCCGTCCCCGTCTTAGGCGAGATGAGCTTGATGTGCAGAAGGAATGGATGCAATAAGGATGTGAATATATATTGAGTCTGGCCGCTTGCTTTTGTTGCAGCTTTATATCCATCACCTCACTTACAAACCTATCCATCTCTACTCCTCTCATCTCCATCTTCTTCACTTGTAGTCACCTTCGCACCCTTCTTCTTTCCCATTTAACCAGCTCTGTTGCTATTGATCCAACAGCGTTATCCTATTGGTCTACCGGTGAAGCCTAATCTTTTCTTTTTCTTCCTTTTCTGTTCCTCTTTGTCCTTTCCCCAGCCGAGATGAAGTCTCTCTCCACAGTCGCCGCCGTCGGCACCATCCTCGCCGCCTCCGCCGCCGCGAAGCCCTACCACTGCCCTCCCCTCGGTCAGACCCTCCCCGCCCCCAAGGCCCCAGCGCCGACCCGCCGTTGTCGAGGCCGTGGAGAAGGCGACGGCCCTCTTCCAGGAGTACGCCCAAAAGTACAACGCTACCGCCGCGTCCCTAACCGTCAAGTCCATCCACGAGGACGACTACCTCGTCAACCTGCACCACACCCCCGAGACCCGGGGCGACCGCGGCGTCGAAGAGGTCGACTGCAGCACCGTGTACCGCGTCGGCAGCGTGTCCAAGCTGTTCCCGCCCCTGGCCATCCTCCGCGAGGCCGGCGTCAACGTCAATGACCCCGTGACCATGTATCTCCCCGAACTGCTGGAGTTGCAGGACCAGCAGGAGGTCGTCAACGAGCTGACGACCGTGTCGTGGGACGAGGTCACGCTCCTCAGCTTGGCGAACCACATGGGCGGTTTCGCGTCCGAGATTGCCCAGGATCTCACGACCCTCGGTATCAATGCGACAGCGTTCGGTTTGCCTGAGTTGGAGGAGGATGAGATTCCTGGCTGCTCGGGTCTTGGGGACACCGAGCCCTGCACGGAAGAGGGTGAGTAACGACAACGAAACCTCGAATTTTGTGGCATGGCTAACGCAACTGGCAGATCTTCTCGCGCACTACGGAAAGCATCGTCCCGCCTGGGCTCCCTTCACCACCCCCATGTACTCCAACGTCGCCTTCTCCTTCCTCAGCATGGTGATAGAGAGGGTCACCAACAAGACGTTTGAGGAGCACATCCAAGAGACCGTCCTGGACCCCGTTGGAATGACCGGCACGTCGTCCGGCGCGAAGCCCGAGGATGACAACACTGGTTTCATCCCCATCGATGACCCCTGGTGGGACTTGAACCTCGGCATCTTTAATCCGTAAGTCTCATCCCCCTCCGCCCAACCTTCCTTCTTTCTCGCAACACAACAACAAGGCAAGCCGCTAACCCCTACCAACAGCGCCGGCGGCTTTCTACTCCAACACGGAAGACCTCGTCAAGTTCGGCGAGAGCATCCTCAACCACGACCTCCTCTCCGGCGCCGAGACCCGCAAGTGGCTGAAGCCCACCGAGCACACCTCCTCCCTCGGCCAATCCATCGGCGCCCCCTGGGAGATTATCCGCACCAAGAACCTGACCACCGACGGCCGCGTCATCGACGTCTACACCAAGAGCGGCGACCTCGGCCCGTACCACGCCCTCTTCGCCCTCATTCCCGACTACGACCTCGTCTTCACCCTGCTCACTGGCGGGCCCGAGGCCAGCAACAGCGACGTCTTCTTCGGCATGGCCAAGGCCCTCGAGATCCTCCTGCCCGCCCTCGACAAGGCCGCCAAGACCGAGGCCGCGCAGAACCTCGTGGGCGAGTACGTCGACGAGGCGACCAACTCCACCATTACCTTGACTGTCGATGACGGCCCGGGCCTCCTCGTGACTAACTGGTTCTCCCGCGGCTTCGACATCCTCAATGGCTACCCTGCCGCCATCCAGGCCATGGGCTCGGGCGAGTCCAACGAGCCCGTCCCCGAGGCCAGCGTCCGTCTCTACCACACCGGTCTCGCTGCCGATAACGAGACCGGCTGGAGGGCCGTTTTCCACATGGAGGATGCCGAGACCCTGGCTGCCGTGGACGAGTCTATCCCGTTCATCCCCCAGGTTACCTGCCAGACTTGGTTCGTGTTCGAGCGCGCCAACTACGGACTCAACTCCGTTGACGACTTTGTGCTCAAGTGCAACGGAGAGGGTAGCGCCGAGGAGGTTACTTCTCGGTTCTTCCGAACCTCCATGGCCTTGACCTCGCGAGAGTAATGGCGACAAGTTTCCCAAGGCAGGCCTCCGTATTAGGTACTTCACCTCGTAGTTGGCCCTGATCTAACTAGCCTCGGGTTGTAAAACGTGTGATTTTCTTTCTTCCATTTTTATTCAGTTGCATCATCACGGCGTCAAGGGTTTACAGGCATTTTGGTTTAGAATAGACAATACAGAAGACTTTTCTTTACAACAGTCATCCTCCTGTGAACCTCTTCAAAATTTGCGCCCTCTAGATTATCCATATGAACGTATAAATCCAGTTTTCAGAAACCCCATTGGCTACACCAGTGCCTCATCAGAGCCGGCGTGACCGGCTGCATATTCCTCAACGTCTCACTGCACGTCGTCGTTCTCCTCGTCTCCAAATCCACATGCCGCGCCCCGGCCGACGGAGTGCCGCACATTCCACGATACGAGTCGAGCAGCTTGATGGCCGGGTTCTTGGTGACGTCGTCCGAGACCGCCTGGCTCTTCTCCACCTCGTCGACCCATTCCGCCAAAGGCACCAGTTTCTGGATCCGGCTCCCGTAAAACTCCTTGACCGCGGGCGCGAGCCTGCCCCAGGTCGTCGTCGAGGGGTTGACGCCGTGGAAATACCCCCGCGTGTCCTCCGGCGACTGGGGCTTGCTGATGCCGGACAGCTCGAGCACCATTTTGGTGATGCCCTCGATGGGCGTCCAGTCCACCGTTTCCATGACGCCGAGATCCTGCGGGAGCACGCCTAGATACACCGAACTCGCGATGATGGACGGTAGCCACTCGTGCTTATTCCACTCGCCGTGGTCGGAGACGGGCCCGCCGATTTGGCCGACGCGGATGACCTCGGTGGGGATGCCTGATTTCTCCGTCGCCTGCTCGAGAATCAGGCTGCTCACCAGCTTCGACATGCCGTATCCGTTGGAGCTGACCCTAAAATCCTTGATCGATTCTTCGGGTACGGGCCTTTTCTCCGGCCATCGATCCACGGTGCCGATCGAGGAGATGAAGGTGATCAAGGCCCGCTTCTTTGCTTTGGCGCTTAGATCGACGAGATGCCGGACGCCGCGGATATGGGGCTCGAACGACTCGACGGGCATGTTGAAGTTGACGGGCCACTGGTTGTGGACGATGCGGTCGACGGTCTCCCGGATACTGGCGTATTGGTCCTGTGTGAGACCTAGGTCTGCCTTGCTTAGATCCGCGTGGAAGAAGTCGACCTTGTCGAACTTGATCCCGAGCCCCCGCGCCTTGCTCGCCTCTCGCTGCCTCTCCCGCGCATTCTCCGACCTGTTGAGACAGATGATTCGCTTCACGTTGGGCGTGCGGCACATATAATCGAGGAGATACGACCCCAGAGCACCCGTAGACCCCGTGAGGACAATCGTCTGGTCTCTATCAGCCGCGGGCGCCTTGCCCTCCTGCGCGGGTGGGAGATCCCGTGTGTACTTGTCGAGCAGGGCCTCCATGGCATGGACCTCGTGCTCGTCGTCCTGCTTCTCGCCCGTCTGGCCCGTCCGCACCAAGGAGTAGAGATACCGCGCCAGCCTCCGCGGCGTCGGGTTCCCGTAAATCACCCTCGTGGCCACCGCACCCGCCGACACGCCCACGCCCGCGGCCTCGAGGCTCGACTTGAGCAGCCGCGAGGCGTTGATGACTTGCATGGAATCGACGCCCGCTTGGAAAAATCGGAATCCGGCTCCAGCGCGACGGGCCTAGACCCGGTCTGGAACATGGCCCGGATGGACTCGGTGAGGGACTCCTCCGAGCCGAGGTCGATGCTGACTCCGTCGGACACGTCCTCGCGCCCGACGTCCTCGTAGAACTGGTCAATGTAGTCCTTGTACATCCTTACCGTTTCCGCTCGCCGAATCGAGCCTTTGCTCGCGCGGAGAAACGGCATGTCCGGCTTCGACAACGCGATGAATTTTCGCCCAATCTGCCCGTGCGCCACCGTCTCCTTGTTCGCCTGCACGACGCAGGGCCATATCCTGTCGATGAAATCACGTTTCTCGCGGTCTGAGGTTGGCGTCGTGTGCGGCTCCACTAGCAGCGCGGGCTGGAACTCGTTGGTGCCCACCACGAGGGCGCCCTTGACGTCCGGGTGGCCCATGACGATGCTCTCGATGGAGACGGGGTTGAGCTTCTCCCCGTTGGAGAAGACGATGATGTCGTCGGCGCGACCTTGATACAGCCAGTGGTCGGGCCGGGTCGGGTGGCGCTTGTAGAGGTCCTTGGTGCTGTACTCGCGTAGCTCGGGAAAGGTGTAGAAGAAGCCTTGTAGGCCGGGGTCTTGTTGCTTGCGGAGGATGACTTGTTCGAAGACGTCGGGTTCGGAGGTGGGGCGCCATTGGCAGCCGAAGAGGTCGGAGTTGAGGATGAACCAGTGCCACATTTGGCGGTTGGTTTGCTGGTAGATGGGGAACGGGGTGAATCTAGCAAAGAGAAGCAAAATGTCAACCTACTACCACCATGGTTCGAACCTCTGTTTTAGCTTACTCTGTAGCTGATATTAAATTCTCGAGTTTGACTCCGCCGCTCACAAGCTTATCGCCGACTTCTTGGGGAAGATTGCCTGAACACACAACTTAGCATGAACCACATAGCGACCACAGATACCGTCGGGTACAGGAACCAGGCTAAAACCACCCATCTTACCTCCGACGCTAGTAACTGCGTTCAGCTTGGCAAGCGCCTTGATTCCGTCGTCGGACTGACTAATCTCGTCGAGAACGATGGGCGGTAGCAGAACTGCATCTGCCTCACAGTACTCCAGGTTGGCCAGGAGCGTATCTGACGTGAGCGGTTTGCCGGGACTGGAGAAGTATACGGGCCTATCCCAGTATAGAGAGGAGATGATGGTCATGTATAAGCCGGCGGCGTGGAAAAGGGGCACTAGCGGCATGAGAAGTCAGGGCATATGTGAGTGACATGGACGTTTGAGAAGGGGAAAATGAGCGGCCCGGCAGCATACTTGGTACAAGGATTTGGCTGGTCGACTCCGCCATGGCCTGCAGCCAAATCTTGGTCCCATTCCATTTCGGGAGGTTGTGATAGGCGTCGCTGATGGCAATCATGCCCTGGCGGCAAATCACGGGCTTGGGTAACCCGGTGCTGCCGCTGGTGTGAAGCACGACAAAGGGGTCCCACTTCGCCTCGTCAAAGGTCTTTTGGTAAGGGAAAGGGGTCACCTCTTCGGAGCTGAACCAGTGGTCTGCCGACAGGACGATGATGGCGTTCATGTCCCTCTCCTGGAGCCAAGGCTGCACTGTGGACTTGAACGCGGCGTCGAAGCAGATGGTCTTGCAGTTGGTCTTTTCGAATAGGTTCATCTGTCCCTCGTGAGAGTTTCGAGGTGAGATGAAGAGGGCCTTGAAATCGTTCGCGTCTCCTGCTTCAGCCGCTATTCGAAGAACAAACCTCGAAAAAGTGTTACGCTAAGACCACGGCGTCCACTCACCTGATAGCCGGCCTTGATAGCGGCAAACATGAAGATAATGTAGCGGATGTCGTTTGGCCCGATGTACGCAATGGTGGGAAACTCTTTGGTCGGGGGCTTTCCGGCTTGAGTTGATATCTTATGTGCTACCCAATCTATCGCCTTGGCACCCTGGCCATAGGTGATGGGCTGCCAGCCGTTCTTGGGGTCGGGTGATCGGGGGACAAAGATCCATGATCGTTCGGGGCGATTCTGGGCATTGTCGCTGATGATGTTGAGCATGAGCCTCTTTCCGTAGGGAGTAGTACCTGACATGATGAATATATATGCGTGGTGCGATTAGATGGGATGATGATTAGGCGTGAAAATCGGCGCAGGCGGGCACACCGTCGAGAATATGTCATATTTATAAGTGCTGGCGAGACCAAGGGGAATCTTAATATTTCGAATCTCATGCTTCCATTACACACATCTCCATTCCCCGCACTGCTACATTACCAAAGTTTCGGTTTACACTTGATGACGCATGATGCGGTGTTTCCTCCCGCAACGCGACGGTGGGTAGGTTTAGGATGAAAACCTTCAACGGCTGGTATCCATGAGGTTTTGCTGACAACGAACAACGCAATGGCGCAGGTGAGGAGTTCATTCACAGTAACTGGATCGTAGAGTTCATCGCGAGGAAAAGGAGATAACCGGTAGGTAGTAGCTACGAATCTTATGGAGGGGCCGGCGATAACGGGGCCGTTTCCGTGCTTGCGGAAGTACCTTCGTATCGGACCGGGCTAGGGGACAGAGCATGCGGGGTGGACTACATCGGCGTTTCTTCTTGGGTCCTGCAAGTCTACTAGCTCCGCGCTCTCGACCGGGTGAGAGCTGGGTGCCATATTTGGATGAGGAGTGGCTCAACATAAATGGGCGAGATACGCGTTGAACTGTGAACCGCCACGATACTAGCTCTGACGGCTTTAAAATCTGTTCGATCATAGTGAGGCTCAATGTGGCTGTCTCTTGTCTCCCAACGCGATATTTCGATATAATACCTTCACTCCTCAAGTCGCATCAGTGCTCATTTAATGAAAGAATGCACCAATCCATTAGAGCGATGCTGTCGACATCCACGTTTCCCGCTTTCCGTTAAAGCTAGAAGAAATGTAAACGCGGGCGGCCGCGCAAAACGAGAGGAGATGCATATTAAGGCGCATTTACCACGTCGCGATTGTTACACCCACTCAGCCACACACAACAAGAGAGAGCACAGAATACATTTTCAAGTGATGTAATCGGACATGGGACCCCCTCTGGGCATATCCACCAAAAGAGGAGCTGGTGAGGACAGGACGGGCCTGAGTGGGCGGTATGTCTTTAAGCGGATATTTGCTTTGATTAGGCCCCAGATGAGCCGCCCCGACGTGGGCCGTTTGCGATATTACCTACAGCGGCAGATTTGCCAGGACACTCGGAAAGAGAGGCTGGCGCTGACCGGGAACCGATCCTAGAGGCGACCCCGCGCCGGTCCGCGGGCATTTGAGAAAGTGATTGATGCATGGTAAGCGCATGCAAGGAACCATTTCGTTTTTTCTCTCTCTATTCTTCTCGTATTCATGGATCCATGGATATATAATGTGAGTGAGGGCGGTGTGGCGAGAAGTCCTGAAGAGTTCTCTCTTTCTCTCCACCTGACTCGATCCTGGCTTTGGTGTCTCTGATCACACACTCTTTTTCCCTTCCCTAATACACCAGCCAAGCTCTGACGTAGCTCTTGTTGAGCCCAGGAAAGAATGGTTCGGCACGGGGAGTCTTCCTTGCCGCGCTCTTGGCCGCGCCCTTGGCAGCCGCATTTCCCGCGCCTTTAATACGAGCTAGGCACGTCGTCAACCAAACCGACCTCAAAGATTCTTACGACTACATCGTCGTGGGTGGCGGCACCGCGGGGCTGACTATTGCCGACCGGCTCTCGGAGTCGTGTAAATGTTGGTTTGCTTTCCGGGCCACCGCTTTTCCCGACGTTGACGTCTCGCTAACTTTGGGTAACAAGACGATGTTTTGGTTATTGAGCACGGCGACTTTTGTATGTTGGAACGCGTTCTACTCCGTTTCTAATTCTTTAATTTGGACCAATCTGGGGAAACTAGGTATTTGCGTAATCGTGCTAACATTTGGGCTGGCGCCGTGTAGATGACGCCGCGAACCCAGGCAGCGCTCGAGGGACGCGCCAGTACAGCATCCGCTCGCTTCCGCAGCCCGGGCTCAACAATCGAACGACGACCAGCAGCATGGGGTTCTGCGTGGGCGGAAGCTCGGCCGTCAACGGAATGGCGGTGATGAGGGGCACGAAGACGGATTACAACATCTGGGCGGAGCTCGGCAACGAAGGCTCGACGTGGGACTGGGAGGGCATGCTGCCTTATTTCAAAAGGCGATTCATTTTATTCCCCCGAACGAGGTATTCGCCAAGGACTTCAACGTTACGTATGACATCGACGCAGCTTGGGGTCAAGATGAAAACACCCACGTCTACGCTTCCTTTCCCGGTGGAAACGATCCGAGAATCAGTAAGGGCCCCTACGTTTTTCTCTTTTCCCCTTCTTTTTACTAACCAGTTACTATCAGAAATCCATTACGAAGCTCTTAAGAGCGTTCCCGGCGTCGAGTTCCCCCAAGACGGACACGCCGGCTCGCAGGGCGTGTTCTGGTACCCCGTGTCCGTCGACCCAGAGACGAGACAGAGATCGTACTCGCGAACCGGGCACTGGGATGGACTGAACAGGAATAACTACGATTTGCTCACCGCCTCCCGCGTCAACCAGATCCTCTTCGAGGGCGACGTTGTCACGGGGGTCAAGTTCGTCCCCGAGGAGGAGGAGAAGAGACCACGGTGACGGCGAAGCGGGAGGTCATCGTCTCGGCCGGGAGCATTCACACACCGCAAATCCTACAACTCAGCGGCATCGGTCCCGCTGATCACCTCGAGGCCGCCGGCATCACCCTGCAGGTCGATCTTCCCGGCGTTGGCGCAAACTTCCAAGACCACCCCATCGGCCCCAGCATCTCCTTCCAATGTAAGAAGTGTTCTATACTCTCTCCCTTCCAAGTGTCTGCCAAATTTATAAAACGCTAATGACAAAATACCTACGACGCAAGGGGAGAAACGCCTCCCACCCCCGAAATCGAGTCCAACCTCACCGCAGGCGTCGGCGGCGGCCAAGGCCTCGTCGCCTTCCTCGACCTACCCATCGCCGCGCCCGACGAGTTCGAAGACATCGCAGCGCGGTACGAAAGCCTCGACCTCGCCGACTACGTGGCGCCCGACACCGCCGAGACGGTCCTCGCCGGGTACCGCGCCCAGCAAGAAATCTACGCGCGCGAGATGCGCGGGCGCGGGCTCTCCTTCATGAACTACATCATCGGCGGCGGCGCGGGCGGCTCGCCCATCAACCTGCACATCACCTCGCGGGGCACGATCCGGCTCAACGAGACGGACCCGCAGGGCGACCCCGTCATCGACTACCGCGCGCTGTCGAACCCCACCGACGTGGACCTCATGGCCGCGTACCTCGGCTTTTGCGGCGCTTCTTCACCACGGGCGATTTGAAGCAGTATAACGCCACCGAGGTCCGGCCCGGGGACGACGGGGCGACGCGGGCGGGGCTGGAGGCGTATATCCGGGCGGGGTATAACCCGCAGGGCTGGCATCCCATTGGCACGGCGGCCAAGATGAGGCGGGAGCTAGGAGGCGTGGTGGACGATGAGCTCCGCGTGTACGGTGTTCGGGGCCTGCGTGTGGCGGATGCGAGTATTATGCCTACGCTGATTAGTGGGACGACGCAGCTGACAGCGTACACGATTGGTGAAAGGGTGAGCTTGTCTTCGTTTTCTCTCTCTCTCTCTCTCTCTCTCTCTCTCTCTGGTTTGATTGGTTATTTGAGCAAGCTGACTTTACGCCTAGGCGGCCGATTTTATCAAAGCGACGTGGGAGGAGGATGGTGAAGACGCGACATGCCCAGAGACAACTCAGCCTGAGGATCCTGAAGAGCCTGAGCCTGAAGAGGGAAATGAGGACGAGGACGAGGAAGATGGTGACGAAGAGGAAGAGAACGAGGAAGAGGAAGAAGATGAATGGGACGAGGGGGCGAGGAGGACGAAGAAGACGGCGGCGTTGACGAGGAGGTAGCTGAGGGCGCAGAGTAGGAGTGTCTGGCAGAAACGGGACGGACCTATAGCACAGCCCTACAATATGGGTAATGACATGGGAAAGTGAAGGCGTTGACAGAAATTGCATCCGCCAGAAAGCAAATGAAACTGGCTGCGGGTAAGATGGGGTTCTCCTAACCCCTGGCTTCTAGCCACATATAGCAGTTGAAGGATCTCACTCTCACCAGAGCCCGAGTTCCTGAATGTCAACCTCCGCTTGATCGCATCCTTTTCTCACTTTGACTGAGAAAATCTCATGATGGCTACGTGCTTTCTTCTTCCGATAAAGATCCGGAACCCCGAGATGATGGAGGGAACAAGGCGACGAACCAGCATTGGGATGCAAATACTGTTATTAGGCGCTAGATCACATGCTTGTGAATACGTGAATAACTTTCTATTACCCACCCGCCTTCCCATTTTATCATCGCTTTTGCGCTTAGTTTACATTCCCCCGCTTTCCCCTTGACTTTTCTGTCTTGGGCGCCGGAGTAGTATAGGATCTTGGGAATCACCATCGTTTGGGGATTCGGTAGATGATGGAAGCCAAGATTCTAGTTCCCCTCCCATCGTCCCTAGCTTACGAAAACTGCTCGGTGCTCGAGCACCACAGCTCTTTCGATAATCTGCTCTTACGACAAGGGGTGGGCTGCGATGCAACCCGCCATCTTCCTCAGCCCAACCACTCGCAAGCATCTCCTTTTGGGACATGGTTCCCTTATCGATGCATCTAGACATTCGGGACGTCGCGGCCTTTTGGTACGGAATAGCTCCGGCAGATCATGTTCCTGCCGGCAGTTGGTCTAGATCATGAGCAATCATCTGTCAAGGGATCATAAAAATGGGCGAAACGGATTGGTTATCTATCTTTGTGAGGATGAATTCGAGTGCCGAGAAATGAAGAATAGCTAGTCACTAATACCAAACGAGATAGGAATGACTGGAAAAAGAAAGAATTTCGGAGTCGAGGCCCGCCTTGGCTGGAAGATAGAAGACTAAGTGTGTCGCCTCCAAAGAAGAGGGCTACAAAAAACGACGCGAACGAGGGCCTTATCCGATGCTCCTGTTCCTTAGCGTAGCCGTATCCGAACCGATGGGCGATCACCCGCTAGCCCCCAACCTTTGTTCTTCGTCGTCCTCTCTCGAACAGCAAGAAGAGAAAAAACCAGGCCGGCGGGTCGAAGCAATGCTAGCTTGATCAAAGAGCTGACGTTGATGGTTGGGTCAAAGCGTTCGCAGCTCCAACCCGAATGTGCTTGACTTCGGGAAGTCTCCGTCGCCTTGCCGGGCGCTCGGACGATTTCCGGTTAGGGTATCGAGGGGCGTAGATCGAAGTTGGATCGGACCCTAAACCGATAGATACATGTAGTACTATTTATCACGGCGGAGAAGAATTGTGCATGAGCAGAGAGCGAGAGAAGGACAGACACAAAGAGAAAGGGTCAAGTACAAGTAGGCGTGTGGGGTGTAGTGTGGCCGAACAGGAAAGGTGCTCCCCGCCCCTCCCCAATGGCAGAGAGCTATAGTCCTATCGATCCCTTAAGTACGTAGGGAGCGAGCACCAGCATATTTTCTTCCTCGCTCAGGATTTCAGCCCTCCACGTCACGCGACCACGGCGATGTGGCGACGGTCGAAGAGTGGGCTGGAAGAGTTCCTGCGCCAAGGCTTATAGCGTCCGCGAGTCGAGACCCCTGATCACTATGGAGCTGGAGCTGAAGGAAAAAGTATCAGCGACTACAAGTAGCTCCGATCTGCAGACTAGAAAAAGGCGAACCCTTCTGGTCCGCAAATCCTCGAGCTCCAAGATTGATCTTACCAGGAGAATCACTTTCTTCGTCACGCGAAGCCCACGCCTATCCGCTCTCAGAGCATCCCGCCACCGTAGGATGCGCCATCCTTTATGTGGGGAAGGGAAGGAGGAATAAGGTATGGAAAGTCTCTGTTATAGAGCTTGATTTTCAACGTTTGCTCCACGGAAATCTCGCATGGTCCCCTCTAGTCAATACTGAATCGCTTGGCAGTCGAGAGAAAAGAAAACCTAAACAGAAAATCACGAAATATGCAGGTGCGAGTGGAAATATTGTCTTATTGTCTCTACGTTGGACAAAGAAGATTGGTGGGAAGTGGGATGTGGGATGTGGAAGATCCTTGCCAGTTCCATGAGCCCATATTTGCAGGGAAAGTAATGAAGGCATCTGACAACTAGTGTGTCGACAAAAAAATGCTCGAGGAGCCCCGAGCACCAGGACCCTGGAACCACATCAGTTGTCCAACGCAGCCGTTCGGGATCATGTCAACGTCTCGGCCCGCTGTTGCGCAGTTGGATGAACCCTGGTCGCTGGTTTGACGATCCAACAAAACTTCCATGTTCCCAGCTGGCCGTTTTGGGCAGAGTGGCATCAGCAGAAACGCAAGGGGCAGATTTGTTTCTTCTCTCTTTTTCTCTTTTGTAAATTGTGTAATATTATCATTATTCTCCATGTATTCGCATCCCTGGGATCATATGTGCGACCTTGCCTCCGCGACTAACGCTCTTCGGGTTACGCACGTAACTCCTGCAGGTGGCGTACACACCCAAGGCGCCACTCCTGACCGATATAGTCGTTAGTGGCGGCTAGGGGGCAGTGGGGAGAGTCGAGGGGAGAGAATCAACTTTTCCGCATACAAGGCAGACCCTTCCGTTGCTATCGTTGATGGAGTATGTAGCGCTAAGCCCAATAGTTAAAATGCCAAGGGTCGAACAAGTCCGACTTCGCGGAGGCGTTTGGCCGCCGTGTTCGCGACGAAAGAGAAAATGTCCGTAGGGCAGATGAAGCGCCATCTCACGGAACGAAGGGGTAGGGGATTCGCACTAAGGAGGGTGTGCGGGGATGGGGGCCAAGAAGGGGAGATCTCCCACCTGCTTCTTAGCCAGTGAGAAAGAGGCTGGGGCTCTTCCGGAGAGTTTAGACCTGGATGTGACTAGCCAGACCTGGATGTGACCATCTAGCCAGGTCTTGGCTTGCGCTGATCGCCAGTGCAACAAAAAGCACACATGCAAAGCACATACATTGTAAAATGAGACGCTCCAGGTAGGCGAACGAGGGACCGAGAGAAGTCTTCTTATGAATGATTTGCTTCGCAAGGCTCGAGGCGTGGGGGAAAGGAGGTCGTTCTATGTGTATCAAGAAGCTTGGGGGTGTAGGACGAAACACGTCGTCAAAGCCATCCATTGCATGTAAATTGTGTCCAACACGCCCACCCCGTCCGTCGCCCATCCAAGCACCTCGCCGCATGATGTGGTACCGCCGTTGAGCTTTGACAGATGCTCTCTTTTCTTGTTCGGATCTTGTTTCGACATCCGGCGCTCCTTCTTCCGACGATCTGATTATCAGCGTCCGTGTGTTTGCTGATGCGCTCATGGTCATCCGCGCGAATCAATTCTCTGGCGGCGCGGCTAGACAGACACCATTCTCTTGGGTCCCTGCAGCTGGACCATCATATACAAGAACGAAAAGGACACTAAGAATTACCACTCCACTCCGCTTCCGTGGTTTCTAAAAGGCTTCGTCCATTCTTCCCTGACCATCCACGATTTTTCCTTGAGCAACGGAAAGTGGAAGAGACGACTGAATAGTTGACCACAGCACGCACACAATACTCACTCACATATCGGAGGCCATGGAACCGCCAACCTCTGAAACTTCACCACCCTTACCGGTGTTAATACCCATCTCGGCAGATTCGGCGCGAGGGTCGCGGGTGTACATTGGCGTAACCACGCCGCTCTTAGCCATTGCCCTCGCGACATACGCGTTACGGATGTACGTTCGCATGAAGCCGATATGGAGAGTCGGCTGGGAAGACTACTTCATTACCGTCGGAGTGGTAAGTCGCCTTTGCTTTTTTCTCTCCTCTCCACAAGGCGTCATCACGCCATGCCATCATTGTTCGTTGTGGCGCTGGCGTTCCTCGCTGGCGATAGGAAGAAGAAGGGGAAGGAAGGAAGAAACAAAAAAAAAAAAAAAAAAAGAACGGGACTTGTTTTAACGAGGGTATCTATAGGCTCTCATGATCGTCGACTACGGCTTTCTCTTCCCCGAGCAATTCACCTCCCCAACCGCCATCACAGTCGCCACCGCCCACTGGGCCATCCGCTACGCCTTCATCGCCATCCCCATCTGGGGCGCCGCCATGGCCACCATCAAAACCTCGGTCGCCATCCTCCTCCTCCGTATTCCCCTCGGCCGGTGCTGGGCCGCCTTTTGCTGGTCCATGATCGCCCTGCAGGCCGCCTACGGCATCGGCAACACCGTCTACCTCCTCCTTCAGTGCCGACCCATCGAAGCCAACTGGGAGCCCGCCGACCTGGCAGGACGCGGCGGCTGCCTCCCCGTCAGCGCCATGGTGGCCGCCTCCAACGCCGGCAGCGCCGTCAACATCAGCACCGACGTGCTGCTCTCGCTGGCGCCCGCGGCCGTCATCTGGCGGCTGCGCGCGGCCCGGCGCGAGAAGCTGCTCACGGCGGCGCTCATGTGCCTGGGCTTGCTCGCCGCCGTGTCGTCCATCGTCAAGACGGTGTACGTGCGCGCGTTCGCCGTCTCGCCGGACCCGTGGGCCGTGGCGGTGCGCATCGCGACGTGGACGATGCTGGAGCAGCTTTCGCGGTGACGGGGGCGTGCGCGCCGTACTTGAATCCTATACTGCAGAGGGTGTTGCGCCGCTTGGGTGTGCGTTTAAGGGATAGGGAGACCAGGGCGAGCGCGTTTCGGCGGTCGTTGGCGGGGCGAGGGGGAGGGCTGTGGTGCGAGGGGGAAAAGGGTGGTGCTGTCCTCGTCAGAGACGAGAGGGGAACGGGGACGCGGACGGCAGTGGCAGTGGCAGTGGCAATGTGCTCGTTGGCAATGAGGATTCGCTTGAATCGGGGTTGCAAGCTCCTCCGTCGTGCTTGAAGAGAGAGGGTGAGTGCGAGCAATGGGATACTCCGCCGGTGCTATTCGTTGGATCAAAGAGGGATGGGGTAGTGTTTATGAGGCCGGTGGAGTATCCGCGCGATGTGTGATGGGGATTTACGTACACACGAGGACTTACATCAGAGATGGTATGGAGTGGTTGAACTTGGGAGTATGTTGCTCCCATTCTGTCTTTTCCGCTATTATTACGAAGACCACGGCCAAAGGGACTCAACCAAAACCGGGGAAGTGGGAAAGCACTAAAAAAGTGACGTGAGAATTAGGTGGCATAGATACCCATAGCTCCGGCTATTATAATAACAATGGATGAAAACACAGATCAGAGACATGGAAGCTTGTCGAGGAAGGTTACGCTATTCTCCGTGCACCACCCAAGACCTAATTTGTACATGTGTTCGCGATATGGCATTCTCAATCATCTTCCCCGTCTTCAATTCATGGGATTTCTTTCTTTTTCGCGTCCTCGGATGCCGGGAAATTTCCCAAACTCTTCCCGAATTGAGACGGCCCCCAAGCCAGGGCCGGGCCAGGGACGTGTGCTATTTTCCGAATCACTGACATTTCCCTTCTGGGATGCTGAGCCGTCGACTGCGCCCACGAATCCCACGCGACACATTCCTCACCCATTTTAGAAGTACACAGCCCTTCAATCGCATCCTATCCAACGGCCGTGCAGACACCCATAGATCCGCCTGTAAGGTTTTACTTCTTTCTGTTTTTCCTTTCCTGCTGACCCCCAGCCCAGGTTTCCCGATCCCTCGGCACCGCAGTCCACCATTCCTTACATGCGTCTTCTTCTTTCGCGCACCTGGATATAGACCCTTGGCCCGCCCCCGCGTTTCCCTCAACCCTCGAACTCGGGGTCCAGCCACAAAAACCCGCTGCTGGCCCCGACTCGTCCGAGTGCTGCGGTTTTCGCTACCTCGACCCATGCGCGCTGCGGAGACTTTGCAAAACTAGACGTGCTGAGCAACGCTTGTTTCTTCATGTAGGCCGAGGCTAGCGACAGGATCAAGTCAATCCAGGACCTGCTCCCACCCAGAATACACCCACGGCCAGTTCTTTTCTTGGTGCCTCGGACTGGGAGAAGACAGAAAAAAATGAAACTAAAAACCATCCCCCAAACATCGAGAGCCGCGCTCAGCCGCGCGCCTACCCCAGCCCCAAGCTACCCTGCCTCCCTCCCCGGCTAACATGGATGACCCCTCCACCGCCCATTTTTTTGTTTCTTAGCTGCTCTCCCTACCGAGTGTACCACAAGCGACCCGGCCTCTTGGTTCCCCAGTCCTACGAGAAGTCGGGCCCTGAAACACGGCTACCCGTTGGGTGGTTGGCGTGCGAGTGGGGGGAGGAGGGGGGCCAGGAAAACTGCAGACCGTGGCACTGTCGTGCTACTATTCTTTGTTTATCCCATGAGCGGCCGCGGCGCGGTGCCTCGCTCACTCCTGCCCATAGCCGGAAGGAATATCTCACGAGATGGCCGTTTCCGGTCGCATAAGCCCTAGGCAAGTAGTGATATAAGAAGATGAGTGCGGCACCCTCCGTGGACTCTTTTTATTTGCTTTGTATTATTATTATCTCTATTTTCCTATCCATATCCTACGACACAACCCAGCGGTGCACAAGTTACCTCATTTCCGCGCCTGCACTCTGCTCCAACTCTTTCTTGTTTCGCAGTTCCTTCCCTTTCGCCTCTCTCCCTAATCCCCATCTCTCTCTGAAAAATGTACCTGCCCCTTTTCCTCTGCGGCATCCTGCCCGGCCTCATCCCCGACTGCCCCTGCACGACCCCCTCGTACGGAAAGAATGGTAAGCTTCTCAAAGAGCGTTCTAAACCTTGCTTTACTCGTCGCCATCGAGCCGAGAGCAGACTCGCTAACCTCGATCCCTCTCCTGCTTAGGCGCACGCTGAACGAAAATGAGCGCGTCCAGTACATCGACGCCGTCAAGTGCATGATGGAGAAACCTGCCCTGACCCCACCAGACGTCGTACCCGGCGTGACAAACCGCTACGAAGACTTTGTCGGCGCGCACGTCGTCCAAGCAGACGACGCCCACAACACCGTGAGTACACCAGTCCCCGCACTCTTCCTTTCTTTTCTTTCTCTTTTCCCCTTTTCTCCCTTACCCCTTGCTTCCCGTAACCTCTTGCTAACGGGCTGCATCCTCCCAGGGCGCCTTCTACCCTTACCACCGCCTCCTCCTCCACCTCTACGAGCAAGAAATCCAAAACTGCGGCTGGCCCGCCGGCATCCCTACTGGGACTGGACCCTCGACAACGAAACCCCCGACGCCTTCTACCGCTCCCCGTCCTCGACCCCGTCACCGGGTTCGGCGGCAACGGCCGCCGCGTCCCCGGCAACTTCACCCACCCCGCCAAGGGTGTCACGCCTCGCAACCCCGCCGACCTCCCCGACCGCACCGGCGGCGGCTGCATCCAGTCCGGGCCCTTTGCCAACCTCACCACCCACCTCGGCCCCGGGAACAGCACCGACCTCAACCCCACTGCGTGCGCCGCGACTTTGCTCCCGAGACGTTTGTCCAGGGCACCGCCGACGAACTCATCGGCGAGGGTATGGATCAGCCGGACTTTGGGTCCTTTGCGAGCGTGACGGAGGGTTCGTTTCATAGCGCGGGGCATTGGGGGATCGGTGGGCTGTATGGCGACATGTCGGACAAGTGGACGAGCCGTGAGTCGCACCCGTCTTTTTTTTTCCCCTTCATCTCTAGTATCAACTCTAACGTTCTTCGCCAGCCTCTGATCCTCTCTTCTACTTGCACCACGCCAACGTCGACCGCGCCTGGTGGTCCTGGCAATCCCGCGACGTGGATGCGCGCTCCAACGACATCTCGGGCCCGCTCGTACCCTTTGACAACGAAAACAAGGTGGCCGGAAACCTCACCCTTGACCACCTCATGATCCTCGGCACCTCGGCTGAGACCAGGGTCCAGGTCAAGGTTGCCGACCTGATGAGCGTCGGAAAGGGGCGTCTTTGCTATAACTACGATAAGCTGTATTAGGAGGGGTAGTCTTTCTATTTTCTTTTCCTGTTTCTTTTTGGGTGTTGTGTGTGATTAGGGGCATCTTATGGCGTTTTGGGATAGATTTGGTTGTGGGCATTCTGCATAGCGTTCTTGTTTTTGGGGTTTTCTTTTGTCCTATAGATGGATGGTTGTAAAGTGATATCAAGTTAGCATAGCAAGCGATCAAGTGTTTCTGACTTATCCATCCCATCAAGTTCAAGCCAAACCTAGCCGCGGTGGCAGACAAGTATACAGCTCATGGATCTATCAGCTAAGCCATCTCAATTACACCTGATGCAAAGGGAGGATGGACGAGAAAGTGGGAGTGCGGGAGGTAGCATGATGTCCAGCCCACCAACTGACGGGCATGAAGATGTTCGATTATGCATTACAATAGGCGTATAAATGTACTTCTAGTAGAATAGTCCCTTGACTCCAGAATGATGGTGACGCAAATGGCTCCAATAAGAGTCTGCGAAAAATCCCGAAACCTCAACTCCCATAAAAAAATCACCCGCAATCTATCTACTACTCATTCAATATCCAGATCCGCCAGCACCCATCCGATTAAAACGCCGCCGAGACAGGCCTAAACTCAGGCCTCAGCCTACCAAGGCTAATGGCAGGCTTATAGTCGGCATTGTTCGTGGTTCCCTCGGCGCCGAGATCCCAGACGGTGTAAAACTTCTTCAGCAGCGTGGTGCCGATCAGCGCGAAGCCATCGTAGTCGCTCCGGTCAAACGGCGGCCAGCACGCGTCCTCGCGGCCAGCAAACCCAGGCACGGCGAGCTCGTCGCCCCGCAGGACGAGGGTGCGGGGATCGTCGCGGGGGCCGAGGTTAAAGGAGACGGACCAGGTGGCGTTGAACTCGGAGCACAAGGGAATATGCTTACCCTCCATAATGGCGGTGAAGTTCCAGCCAATGGACTCGTAGATGGCCTCGGTCTCGGCGCGAGGGAGGGAAGTACGACCAGCGCCGGTATCGAAAACGGCCCAGGCGTAGTCGAGCGGGGTCTCCACATCGACGACGGTGCTGTCGTCGCCCACGCCGCGCGACCCGACGACGGAGGAGAAACCCGTCCGCCAGACCTGGTATTCGCCGGCGTCGCCGCTCTTCTCGAGAGGCACGGTGACGAGGTCGCCCTCGACGAACTCGTCCTCGCGCGAGCCGCCGAGGGTGAGCACGCCGTCGCCGGGCGCGCCGTTGGTGTCGCGGATCTGGGTACCGTAATAGAGACCGAACCGGGGCTTGTCGAGCAGGCCCTCGGCTAGCAGGGTCTCGACGACGGTGCCGGTGCCGCCGTCGGCGACGGAGGCAAAGGCCAGGCCGAGAAAACCGTCGGCGGGCATCCACCCCCACGAGGAGGAGGCGGCGGCGATGAAGCCTGGTCCCAGGCCGTGCAGCCGAGCGTGAACTTGTCCTGGATGGCGGGGCCGGCTGTGGTGCCGCCTAGGTATTCGATGTAGGCGTATCCGCCTGTGGTTTCGGAGGTGGATGAGTTGGCGGGGTTGTAGCCGAGGCGGGGATATCTGAAGGGGGAAAGAGTGGCAAAGGCCGTTTGTGTTAGAGGCATTGAATCATGGGGATAGACGGAATAGATGGCAAAGGGAATAGGAAATTTGCTTACCCGACGTAGTTGACGCAGGTCTCGGCGCAATACCAGTCGTACATCCACGTCGAGGAGCTACCCGTGTCGAAGAGGAGACGGGTGGAGCGTGCCGGCGTCCCGACCTTGACATCGACAAGGGACTGGGCCAAGGAGATGGCGTATTAGTGTCACATCCATTGCATAATATCACCCGTATGGACTGGCAACTCACATAGCCATTGTCGATGATAATCGGAAGGTTGAAGACGCGCGCGCTCGCAGTCGAGACGGCGGCCAGCGACGCGAGAATTCTGAAAATAGTGGTCATTTTGCGCGTTTATTTGGGTTTCTACCCGTCCTTTATCCAATGTGCCGGATTCTTGAAATGGGAGGAAGAAGCACAGAATGTTGGGCCTTGTTGATGGAGTCGCGAACTTTACGAGGCGGGTGCCCTAATCTATTTATACGAACTTTTGCACAATATCAAGCGTCCCTTTTTTTCTGGTTCTCTTTTTTCTCCATCGCCCGTTCTCGGTACAAAATTCAATTGCGTCAATGCAAAAACGGTCGCGTGTTGTGGTGCCGGAGAGGCTGAATACGAAGCGGCCAAGTGGGGAAGGGAAATTGAATCGACGATGCGTGGACTGGGACCTCCAAGCAAGGACGACGGAGTGCTCCGGGCGCGACGGTGGCATCGGGAGTGTAGACAAGGGGGCGCAGCTCTCGCATCAGGGAATGTGACGTTTCCCGGCTCATTCTTCCCAGACGAAGAAAGCTGCCGCTGGACCATCCCCCTGGTCCCTGTGGTCTTTTCCGCCCGTCATCAATATCCTGCCAAGACGGGGAGGGATTTCGTTAGGGCTGAAATGCAAATGCAGGTCCCCGAGGACGCTATTGATGCAGAGCCAGACTTGTGGAATACGAAAATCCTCGCCTTCTCCGTCTGGCAATTATTGGGGCAGGTTCTAATACCACCCCAACATTGAATGCACGATCACTGATGTCACAGAGGAGCCAGCACCGGCAGGGACACGAAGAGCTGTCACGATGAGTTTAATGATTTTGGTCATTCCACATTCAAACTAGCCAAGTTTCTTAAAATATCCCAACTGCCCAACCCAAAAATTCCAAGCGCCAGCAACCAATCAGCTCAAATCATTACGGGACAATCGAGCGAACGGGCTCCGTCCGCTCGTGCCTCGGGCGGCCGTACTTGCCCATGAGCTCCTTCTGGTGATCCACCGTATACTTGGTCCTCTCGTCCAAGTCCTCCTGCGGCAGACCCAGCTCCTCGTTAGCGAGCGTGTGGTGCGCCTGCCACGCCGAGGCACCCACGCCCTCGGCCTCGGGGAAGAACCAGCGCGAGTACAGCGCGCGCTCAAACGCCGAAAAGTCGCCCGTCTTCACAATGGCAATGGCCTTGGCGAAGCGCTCGGCCGAGGGCTCGTACTCGATCTTCCAGTCCGACTCTTGGGTACCCGTGACGCGCAGCAACGAGTCGAGCATATCGCGCTGGGAAACGTAAAACGAGGAAAAGTAGACGTTTTTGTTGCGGTACTTGGCGGCGAGCGCGGCCTCGTCCTGCGCCAGCACCGCGGCGACGGCGCGCCCCGTCTGCGCCCACGTCGACGTGTTGACCTTGGTGCGGCCGTCGTCGAAGAGCACCACGGACCGCTCCTCGATGTCGAAGCCGAACCAGTTGCGCTTGCCCGCGAGGCTAAACTCGTACCAGAACCCCGACGTGAAGGTGATCCAGCCCATGCCGCGCGCCTCGGTCAGCTCCTGTGCGCCGGCGAGTAAAGGGCCGATGAGCGTCTCCGCGGCGGCCGGGTGGGAGGCGTCGACGCCCCAGCCGTTGGGGACCACGTATTTCACGCCGGCGCTGGCGGCGGCTTCGATGAGCTTGGCTTGGGTGTCGCGGGGTGCGGTGGACGCCATGGTGATGATGAGTACGTCGATACCCTGGAGGGCGGCGACGAGGGTGGAGGGGTCGGCGTAGTCGACGGCGACGGCGTGGACGCCGGTAGGGAGGCCGGGGGCGGTGGCGTCGCGGGTGAGGGCGGTGACGGTATGTTGGTTGGAGTGGACGAGTTCGGAGGCGATGAACTTGCCGACGGTGCCGGTGGCCTGGAGACGCGAGGTGTTAGCGAGAGAGAACCTTGTGAAAGCGTAAAGGGAGGGAGGGACCGTGTTGGGCCCGTGGTATCATGAGATGGATAAGATGGGGGATTGGACTTACACCGACGATGGCTACGTTTTTAAGGAAGACCATGTTGGCTGGTTTGTGAGGTGGGAGCTAGTGGGCTATAGATGGCTGGGTTGCGGTTGATGCTTCAAGAGTAGGTGTCGTGAAGACGTTCTTGGGCAGGTGGCAGATGCTACTGTGATTGAGGAAGAGAGAAGATGGTGTGAGAGAAGGTGATGATATTGAGAATGAGAATGATGAATCAAGAGTTCTTCGAGAAGGGAGACAAGGTCTTTTATATCTCCGTCTTGCTCATGCTACTAATACACACGGGAAGCTTAGCATTCACTCATATCTTAGCTTTTAAGCTTAGAGTTTTCAGAAACATGTTCCTTCTTCCTTCCCCAAGCCACCTATTTTGGCGAGCCGCGCTTTCGAGGCATGCTTAACTCCGGCCCTACCTCGCGAACGTTGGTGGAGTGGGGGAAGGGGGAAGGGGGGCATTCTTCGGAGACAGCATAGGTAGGGCTGAGTAATGATGGATGGCGATCGCTTCGGACTTTAGCTCTTCGCGGTTTCGTCGCGAGCAAACTGGCGGAATAACGCAAGTTCTCTTGCCCCGTGCGGAAAATGCCGATTGGCTGGCTGGGACGTAACCACTCCTGGGTCCTCGGTGAATTCGCTGGCTGTGTCGCGGAGATAAAAACCCCGGCTGGCACAGCACCCTGAATTAATAAGAGCAGGAGTGTAAGACATCCCATCCCGCCCGTGGCGCTTCTCACGCAAACCCAAAGGAAGATCCAAGTTACACGGAAAATCCAAGGAAACCTAAACTGCTTAGAAATGCGTCGAGGTGCCATACAAGTATCAAGTCTCGCTTTTTTGATGGCGCCTGTTTTCTTTTTCGATTTGGTCTGTCCTGTCCGCTGAAGCGGGATTTGACCTACACGCAGGTGCGGCCGACCAACCGTGTGTCTGACCAGGAGTATCCGTGAAAGGAGAAGAGTGCTTGCGACTTTGACACAAGGCGTTGGTCACGTCATGACCGACGCGTGGTCGCTGCCAGTTCTAAATCAACGAGGACATTTGTAATGCGGGAAAATATCTCCAACGTTGGTGCAACGTATTATAGTTCCCTTCCAGCCCTACGCGAGCGAAGCGGCATCTCGTGCACCTGGAAGTTTCGGGATTCATCAAATGAGCCATCCATCCCCTACTTCATGTGAGCGCGATCTGGAAATGGCCAAGATGGTTGTACTCTAGGCAGGAAGCCCCCCTCATGCAATGCAGTTGGGTGTGCTCGATTCGGTGGCGAGAGGACTTATATGATCATCCCGTGTCGTGCCGTTAAGAAAAGGACTATTGGCTTTGCCTTATAAGGGGAATGACGGACACCTCCTGATACATACGACCATAGCTCGTAGAATATTGAGGGTCCCGTCCGCTCCCCTGTACACAAGCTGCGAAGCGCCGGACTAGTAGTTGGGTCGGTGACGACCAGCGAATCCCCGGTGTTGTATGTTTTTTTCCCGTTCTAGAATTCATTCTACGAAAAAGATAGGCCTTGCGTGTAGATAAAATATATATCTAATCTTTATATCCTTGATATTGTAGGCTTATGTTTCGGTCCTAGGCTGATACGTTAGGATGGTAGAGCGTATAGTCTTAGCCAGTGATGCCTCGAGATCTCCCGTTTGCTCTGGCTGGTCCGAGTATGGCGCTGTCAGGCGATGAGACATTCATCGTGCAGCCACAGTGATCACTAGCTTCTCCACGGATCGCGCTATGGTGTGACACACCTCGGTCTATGCGTGGTACAGTTAACTACGCGCAAGATTTCTAGACGACAGAAAAGATCAAAGAAGAAAAGAGAAATGTAAAAGGGCGGAAAAAACAAGGATGAACCGCTCCAAGTTGGCGCCAAGTCCCTGTAGGGTGGCTGTCATTTGGGGATCACAGTATGGCACCAGCATCAGGCAGAACCGGCGGCGTTGCGGCGCGGAAAACGGAGCGGCCCGGGGTGGGTCGAGTATCTTTTTGACCCACGAGAGCCGGGCCGGCACGGACAACCGAAAGGCGCTTTGAAAAACAAGGGTTGATATCGAGGCATGGAAAATGTTGCAAGAGGGTGTTGCCGTCCCTGTCGCTCCCAGTCCAAACTGGATAAACTCCTTGTCTCAAGTGTTCACAAAAACCAAGATGCTTCAAAGCATGGCGAAACATCCCAGGCCACCTGGCCAAGCAAGTAGATTAAGGCGAGCACGACACGTATTGAAGAAGAAGAAGAAAAGTAAGGCGGGTTTACCCTGATTTCATTAGACGAAACAAAAGTCGATAAACATCGATAAGAGTCAGGGACCTATCCCCACGTATAGGGCTGAAAATCGCAAATGCACACCACACTCCAACCAGACATGAAGGCTGTGCGACATCCAGTCACCCAAAACACCCACCATTGAACTTCCCACACACCAAACGTGGGGGATGGAGGCCTTTCTTCACTTTTCCCCTCTTCGGCCGCCGATCCTGAAAAAGCTTGCCGGGGTAGTCGTTGTACGCTACGCGTGCGCGGGCGTATGCGGGATCCACGCCAGAAGCTAACTCGCAGGTGATGAGTTGTCACAAAGAAAACAGCGTGTCCTCCTCATCCCCCTCCCTCCTCCCTCCCCGTTTTTGTTAGTGAGGCGCAGGCGCAGACGATCCCAAGCCCCGGGCACGATCAAGGCCATAGTACATGTGCGTGCGTGCGTGATTGACGCCCCATGGATCTGATAGGGCTCGCGCACATGAAGCGAGTGATGCAGGCCGCTTCATCAGCGGCCAGCTCGCGCATCCATTGATGCCGCCGTGCCGGGAAACGGTGACTCTTTTTTTGCTTGCTAGGCTGCGAAAGGGAGGCAGGCATCCGTGGGCGCTTGGCTGGCGAAAATGGATTTGATGGGGCCTTATCCGTGAATCCAACTTTGATACAAGGTTATATGTAGGCGCCCGGTTCCCGCCACCGAGCACACGCCGCCAGCGTGTTCCTTTCGTCAATCCCTCTTTTTACCCCTCGGGATCTCTTCCAGTCTATCACATCGTACTCGTACTCCAGGCGTGCCACATTCACACTTCACATTCGTACGACGCAGCACAATGCGAGCCACCACAGATATGAAGATTCGTAAGTGAATTCGCGCTTTCTCTTTGAAATGGAGTCAATAGAGAGAGTGGGGTTGTTTTTTGGGGTTTCCTTTTTTTCCAAGTTCATGCATTAACGATTTGATTTCTTAGCTCCCGAGGAATCGTCCGATGTGCGGCGCGGCCCGGTCTCCAGGGAGGGAAGCCTAAACCACCCCGCCACGAACTTGACACGACGAGTTCGCCCACGGTCGCTGAGCTTGGAGACTGCGATGCCAAGGAGTTTAGTTAGTGGTAGTAGCAATAGTAGTAGTAGGAAGTTAGTCGCTTGAATTGTTTCTACGTCGTATGAAATTTTAGCAGTCAATACACTCGTCATTGTTCCTGAACGATCGTGATTGAATCCGTGATTGAATCTATTGAGATTGAAATGTTCAGTGAAGCCGCATTTGACTACTTCGTTCCCAGTTTTCCGGTCTCTACATGTAGATATCAAATGCTCTATGAGCTTGAAGTTGACGATATTCTAATACCCGTCCACATCGGCCCAAGTTTATAAAGGACAGACGACCTTCATTCACAGGAAAGGCCTCAGCTCCACAATATTGGGGGATGGCCGACCGCATCGTAGACAACTGAGACAAAAGTTCAATTCGGACATGTATCTCGGCGTTCGCAAGCTACGTTCATAACAATCATTATCTAATTCTCACGGCTACAGAATCGCCATCTTGTTCGTCGGTATACACCCCATGCATCAATCTACATAGATATCCCCACAGAATTAAAAAGAAAAACTCCCAAAAGGAACATTGAATCCCAGCCATCCTTCCATCAGGACTCCATCTTCACCTCCTCAACCCTACACCCATTCCTCTTCCCCATCACCGCCCAAAACGCCTCCTCAATCTCCGCCCCAACATCCTCCCCCTCCCCACACGCCTCCTCAAATACCTCCACAGCCGTCAACCCCAACTTATTCCTCTCCTCCCGCCCCAGACCCCCAGCCTCCCCTCCAACATCCTCAGCATCGCCAGGTCCGGCACCCGCGCCGCCGCGTGCAAGATCGTATCGCCCTCCACATCCACGCCGCGGTACTCGGCCCCGCTCTCCAGGAGCAGCCGCGCGCACCGGGGCGAGTTATCCGCCACGGCAAAGTGCAGCGCCGATAAACCGTCGTCGTTGCGCGCATCTAGGTCAGCGCCCGCGGCGACGAGGTACCGCGCCGTCTCGAGCGCGTCTCCACGCGCCGCAATCATTAGGCACGTATCCATGTTCGTGGTGGGCGTGTCCACGGCCATGCCCGCGGCAATCATGGTCCGCACGGCGTCCACTGCGTTATCCTGGGCCGCGAAATGCAGCGGATACCAGCCCCACGAGGTGGCGTACAAGTCCGCCCCGGCTCCGAGGAGGAGATCTATGCACCGCGCGGCCTTGGCACCGGCTCCCATGACGAGCGGAAGCGGCCTCGTGCCCCGCCGCGTCGGCATATTCGGATCCGCGCCCGCGGCAAGCAACGCCTCGATCGCCGACGCATCACCCTTGATGGACGCATAATGCAGCGGCGCAAACCCGAGATCGTCCAGAGCGCCTAGATCCTCCGCCTCCCGTCCCCACCCTTGCAAAACGGACGCCACATCACCGAGCTGAGGGTCCAGGATAACGCGCGACAAAAGGGCAAGCCCGCATCGGAAAAATAAGTCCAGAGGTGAAACGCCCTTTCCAGCTCCCTTCTCGTCTTCTCGGAGCACACCTGCGCCAACACCTGAAAGGCGGCCGACCGCCGCGCGCTCTGCCCGCCATCATCCTCGGCATCCGGATCCGCGCCCGCCCGGAGCAGGATGTGGATGATGTCCGCGTTGCCGCTATCGACGGCGATTTGCAGCGCGCTCCGCCCGTCCCAGTAGCAGATGTGGTTGACGCAGTCCGGGTCGTTGTCAATGTGCCGCCGTACCACGTCAACGTCGCTCGTGTGCGCCGCGTGGAACAGGGACCCGAAATCGTAGTCGTGCCGCTTGCGAAACAAGATATACGCCGACGGCCCGCCGTTGGCCGTGTGCCGGAAGAGAAACGTGATGCTGAACCACAGGAGCCACAGCGGAAAGACGTACGTCACGTCCAGACGCACGATCCTCTTGCGGCGACAGCTCGCCGAATCGCAAATCACGCTGGGCGCGGCTTTCCCCGCGTACGCCACGAATAGGGATCCGATCGTCGGCGCCGTTCCCGCGCGAAGACGCTTCATCGCCAGCGCGCTTTGCAGATGGCACCGGCAGCGGCACGTCCCGGGACATTGGCTGGGACGAGACCTGGGGAGGGCTTTCGTCGCGGACCGGACGTTGACGAATACTTTGTCCCTGGGATTGATCGACGGTACTGGTGCCGGGAGCAGCAACGCGTTGTCACCGGGCCGTTGCGGCCATCCCGACCCGGACGAAGCCGACAGCGATTTTGTTATCGTCGTCGACATCGTCGCCTGTGACCGGCTCACCGCCTCCAGGATATCCTTCATCTGCTTCTCCATCCTCCCCGTCAAAGCTTCCACGATCTCTCGCGTGGCCACGGACTGGGTCGATATGCCATTCGTGGCTTCCTGTATACTCCTCAGCGAAACCTCAGTTCGTGCGCTCGAAACCCTACCATCCTCTCCAGTTAGTAAAAGAAAACGATACATCGTCACACCTGCCTCTCCATCACCACCCAAGCCCATCCATCCTTTCGGAAAAAGGGAATACAAACATGTTGCGCGCCAAAAACAGCTGCGACAGATCCGTCCGAACCTCACTCAAATTCGCCCGCATCGTCTTCACCTCGCCCTGCGAATCCAGCCATTTTTCCGCCTCCGCACACCTTTCAGGTTCTGCAACTCGTTCGCCAAGCTCTCCAGCGACTGCAGGTGGCCCACCGCCTTGTCGAGGTGGGCCCGCGCCGCCGCCGCGACAAACGCCCCGTCCTGGTCCGCGACGTCGTCGTCGTCCGGCAGCTTCTGATGCGCGTGCACCATTTGGTCCAGGAGCACGCGCAGGTCCGAGATCTCGTTGTGCAGGTCCAGTATGTCTTGCGGCGCATTTTTCCATCGCCGGATCACGTTGACGATGCCCACGGACACGCGGGCGCCCACGTCCATGACGCCGAGCGCCGAGGCGACAACGGAGAATGGCTCAACCATGGTGGTCTTGCCAAGGCAATTTTTCAATGTGGTGTCTCCTCCCAATCCGAAATCTCCGGGATACTCGTGTTGCTAAAATTCAATAGACAATGAGATATTAAGATCGTCCCAAAAGAGCGCTGGATCGCGGTGGCATGCCCTGTACTAAACCTCGCTCGCTCTCACCCGACGTGGTGGGAGGGAGGGGCACAGCAAGGAGCAAGAGGGGCACGGGAGGGTACATGGCGGATCAATAATTGCCGTGAGGGATGCATGAAGTGAGGCAAACGACAGGGTCGGTCAATCCGGCCAACACGTAGCAAAATGTGTGAGGCTCGGTGCGGTCGCATGATTAGCCAGGCCCAGGCAGCAGGTCGGTTGAGGCAGTGTAAGCCACAATTCTCCAGCGAAACGACCAAGCGACACAGGCCCGAGACAGGAGAGGCAGGCTGGTTTCCTTCCTTCCTTTTCCTCGAGAAGCGCCGTATCGTCCAATTGAAATTGAAGTAGAAAATCGACAAAGCCCCAGTGCCTTTTGTTTTTCGATTTCTTTCACCACTTGGCCTCTTTTTCTGTCGCTGTTGCATGTCCCCTTATTCCGAGAATATTAAAGTGATTTTGACACGCCAGCACGCCTGGCGATGCTCCTTCCTCCATAAATGACGTAGCGCTCCATGCAAGGAGTCGAAGTAGGCGGATAAGGGTCAACCCGCATCGCCAGGATGTGCGCCGGAAAAAAAGGCCGAAAGCTTTTCATATAAGATTTTGTTTCCGACATAGCCTTATCACTTATTGAGGCGGCGGTTCGTAGTCATGTCTAGGCTTTATTGAAATATTAAAGAATGGATGCTTGGTATTGTGAGTTTGGCTTTTCGGTCCACGCCGCTAATTGTGTTATCGATAAACCGCCCGTTTCCCCGCCTCCGGAGAAAGATGCCTTTGTAGACACGTAAAGAGCCTCCACCCCTCCGCTATAAGAAAATGAAAAGGGATGCATACGTATACAAGCCTAGATTATCAAGGGCGCTGGAGAAGGAATGCCGCTGAAGATAGAACATGGGTATAGATGGTTCTCTCTGACCTCCTTCAAAGACGGCTAAATATCTCACATCGCTCCTCTTGAGCAGCCTTCTTGCGTGGCAGCCGAGTTGCAGCCTCTTCTGGCTGGGATAGTCAGCGACTATCTACCTCCATGCACTCGACAGAAATTGGCATTCCAATCACCCTTTGCACCAGCACTCTCTTGTCGCGGACGTCACGGCTCTCTGAAAAGCCGAGCGCTGACAAGATTCGGTCGGCCTCCTCGCCTAGGAAAGAAAAGGTATGTAATTAGAATCCACGCAAAGATTTCGGATGAGGGTCCGGGAATAGGGTGTATGCACCAGACAGGAGCGTAATCTCTCCGACCGTCTCGGGGAAGTTGGGGATGAACTCATTGGTTTTTATATCCTTTGGACGGGCCAACTTGCATTCGCGTTTCGTGGCGTTCATGTTTTCCATGCGAACAATCGCGTTATATCGGCTAGATCGAGGGATGGCCACGTCAGCACGTACTTGTAGTTGGAGCGAGACAAAAGATTCCATAGCACGATGGGGGCAAGAAATACTTTGCTCTCAGCTCCAGTTTTGTGGAGATGATATCGTTTCCGACGACCCTCAATGCAGATTTTAAACTTGCCAATTCGTTTTTGACGGTCATCATGTCTAGCCGCAACTTAACAACATCTTCTCGTACATCAAGGAGCTGGCGTGTAGTGTCGACGCGGAGGTCTACGATTTGCCTAAGAATATCACCCTAGAACAAAAAGGTAGCAACATTGCATATCAGCTCTATTCTCACAAGCTCGGGGTTTACGCACTCTGCTAGGCCCCGTGCAAAGTTCCGGCGGCGCCGTCGGAGGACTGCTGCGCCATTCGACTCAGGCTGGCCGTGATCGCCGTTGAGACCGCCGTTGAGACCGCCGTTGGGATCGCCGTTGGGGCCGCTGTTGGGACCGCCGTTGGGACCGCCGTTACTCGCCATTTGTACGCCCACAAGGAAAGCCCTCTGCGATGGATCAAGTTTGAAGTGATATTATGGATGAATTCGATGCCGTAGTGATAGAATTGGGATAACGCTATGATGGGCCGAGAAGAGTAACGGGGAGAGGCGAGGCAAAAGTCCTAATCGCAACCCTCTCTCCTCGGTGACATGTCTTCACGACCGGCATGATGAGCCTCGAGTCCAGCTTTCGTACCAAGCTAAGTTTTCCGTACAGCCCGGTAACGTTCACGTCCTTAGTAGGCAAGAGCGGTGGTCGGCAGTCAACTGTGGAAACATCGGGCGCTTTGCAGAGCAGGCAAGAGCGATCAATTTCGTCAGCAAGAGCATTTGTGAAAGCGGGACCAGCAGGACACAACTCGGAAGGAGCATCGTGATAGGGGCCTTCCACGGATAATTGACGACGGAGCTGGGACGATACGCTCATCCGCAGATTGGGAAGGAGCGACGCTTCATTGTGTGGACCTTGGTACTATCTCCTCATTCGATTCGGTCTGACGAGATTTAGATGTCAATTCATCGTCGAGCAAGCCAAAAGGCGTGTAAGTCGTATCTCCGACAATGGTCGGTAATGTTGGACGGGGTGCGCGCTGCCCTGTCGTCAAAAGCGCAGATTCGCCTCATTTGGGCTGCACCGACTTGATCCTCACACAGCCGTACTCGAGATGCATAGCAGTACATGGAAATTATCATCACATAGAAACATCCATTGATCAGTCGATCCACGTTGTCCCAACCAAAGAAAAAGCTGCCCAAGCTCGTCGGCGCAGAGCTCAGCCAGATGGCTGGGTTCAATGTTGTCTAAACGTCCACTCGAGGAGACGCCACAAACCGGCCCGTTGGCCCGTCCGGGTTGGACGTGGGACGCTGCGCTGGCCTCCCATCGCACGACTCGCGAAACTCGGGACGATTACGAATTGTGCAAGGGACGTCAATTAAAAGAGAAAAAAGAGATGTTTAAAACTTAGAACAACGGGATAGCCCGTGAATGTACGCAACTTTCTTCCAACCCTTTGCAGTCATCTCCTTGACGCTTCTCATTCACTGATCCTGGTCGTTTCGGCCGCAAGCCGGGCTCCCGCGCTCGAAATGACGGCATGGAACAAAGGCCGCTGAGGAACACAAGCTCATTGCGGGTGACTTCAACCGAAATTTCCAATTCAGGAAATTTCTCTTATTATTTCCTGTCCAAGACGGGAAATTTATTTCCTCGCCTGCACTTTCGTTGCAACAAAAGATATTGTTGATTCGCCAGCCGCTTGGTTTCTTCGGCTCCGTCCGGTCACCGAAAAGCGAAGCAATTAGAAAGGCATTCCCGAAAAGAAGTGAGCAGACCAAATGTGACAATGGAAGCGGTAAAGCGATGATCGGAAGCTCCGTGAAAAAAGAAGGGAAAAAAAAGAAAAAAGAAAAGGCGAAAACAAGGAAGGGAGGCAATCCCAAAGGAATTAAAGCCAGGGAAGGAGCAAAAAAGACCACCAGATTGTGGCTGAGTAACATCGAATGGTGCGGGCCGTTGCTCCGCAAGGAAACGCTGGGAAAATCCTTCCCCCAAAACCACCCACAGTCTCCATTGAATAGCCAATTCACTCAACTGGAATCTGTGCATCATCCCGCACCCTGTAACACAACCTCCTATAAGCCTGACCTTTCCTCACTCTCCGTCCAAAAGAAAATCGTCGCCAATTCGGCTCAGAAGCTCTCTCTGCTTGCTCGTTTGCAAATATCCCAACCTGAACCTGCTTCATGGCACTTCCAACCTAATCCCTAGCCCCAGGTGCACCCCTCCCCCCTTTCCCCTCCTCTTCCACCTCCCTACGCTTTTCCATCCCCCACCCTTTCAAAAGATATGGACCTCACGGCAAAACACACAGCCGTCGTGGCCGGCATCTCCGCCGCCGCCAAGGCTCTCCGCGCGCGCAACGAGGCAATCTGCGTCGTCGACAGCGCCAGCGAGATCGACGTACGCCCTACATCCTCCAGCCCCCGCAGCAGCAGCGGCGGCGGCGGCGGCGGCGGCGGCGGCGGTGGCGGCAGCAGCAACAACAACACGCGAACGGGCTTCATCGACCTCAGCAAGCTCAACAACGTGCTCTCCATCGACGCGGCCGCCAAGACCGCCATCGTCGAACCCAACGTCAAGATGGGCGACCTCGTACGCGCCACCCTCGCGCACGGGCTCATGCCACGCGTGGTCCCCGAGTTCCCCGAAGTCCGCGTCGGCGCCGCCTTCGCCGGCAGCAGCGCGGTGCAGAGCACCTCGTTCCGCGAGGGCCACTTCGCCGACGGGGTCGCCGCCATCGAGGTCGTCCTGGGCGACGGGCAGGTGGTGCGGGCGTCGGCGTTTGCAAACGCGGACCTGCTGGACGCCGCGGGCGCGGGCACGATGGGCACGCTGGGCATCGTGACGGAGCTGTCGGTGCGGCTGGCGCCCGCGCGCAAGTTCGTCAAGGCGACGTACGCCCGCTTCGGGTCCGTGGCGGCGCTCGTCGAGGGCATGAGCGCGCTGGTGGACGAGGGCGGGTTCGACTTCGTGGACGGCATCGCCTTCTCCGCAACGCAGTGCGTGGCCGTGTCGGGGAGTTGGTCGACGAGGTGCCCCACCCGTCCAAGCCCCAGTGTTTTAGCGGCTCGTGGGACCCTTGGTTCTACCAGCAGGTGCGCGGACGGACGGAGCGCGCCCACGCGGACTTTAGCCCCATTGACTACATCCCCGTCGAGGAGTACCTCTTCCGGTATAACCGCGGCGGGTTCTGGCTTGGCAACGAGGTGTTTAAGCGGCTTGGGGCGGACGCGTCGAATCGGTTTACGCGCAGGCTCCTTGACCGGTTCTCGAGCAGTCGCAAGGGCTTGGCCGAGTCGCAGGAGACGTTTGCTGGCAACGTCATTATCCAAGACGTCTCGGTTCCCATCGAGGCAGCCTCGGCTTTTGTTGCGACGGCGGCGGAGCACCTCGATCTGTGGCCCGTGTGGCTCTGTCCGGTCAGGGAGCCCGCAAGGCCTACGTTCCACCCTCACTCCGACAGCCAACAGTCCAATGGGCCATTCCTGCTTGTCAATGTAGGAATCTGGGGCAGACCCAAGGCCGTGTCGGCGAGCAAAGACAAGGACCAAGCCAAAGACAAAGCCAAGGACACAGCCAAGGAGAAGGACAAGGAGAAGGACAAGGAGAAGGACAAGGACAAAGTCAAGACCAAATTCAAGGGCGGAAAGGACGCGGCGCAGGCTAACCGGGACCTCGAAGCGTGGGCAGCCAAACACGGGGGCGCAAGACGCTGTGCTCCCCGCGTATTACTCAAGGAACAGTTTTGGAAACTGTACGACGGGGTATGGTACGACAAGCTCAGAGAAAAGTACGCCGCCTCCGGGTTCCCCACCGTGTACGAAAAGATTTGCGCAGACGAGGCAGCGTCGCCAAAGCCCGGGATCATCGCTTGGCCTTCGCGGTTCGCCATGTCCAAGGAGAACAACTTTGCCCACCCTCGGGATGCAGTGATTGCGCACCAGGCTCGAAGGATCTAGATGCAGGACCGTTTACGTGAGAAAGGGAGATACACGCCGGAAACAACGCGAATAGAAAAAAAAGTCATATAGATGATAAGATGGGGAATGGTAGACGGTGTGTTTTGACGAGGTTATGATTATGGATTCACTTTTTTTCTTAGGGAGGGAAGTTTGGTTATTATGATGTGGGATTTGCAACATACAGATACCAAGACGCAAGTTAGAGGACGGACAACCCTGACGGATAGTTAACCTTGCCTTATTCTTTTATGCTGTTTTTAAAAGTCTTTTTAACAGAACAAAAATTATAAACCAGAATACACATAACAAAACTGCTCACGAAACCAAGATTGCTCCAGCGATGCACTCCATCGTCCTTCCCACTATGTGAAGGTGCGATTTCACCTTTTCCACACTGTCCGAGCAGCCACAGCGTTGCCCCTCGTTTTCCTCGCCCTTGCCCCTTGCACCCCGCCTTCAGCCACGACCGCCACATCAAGGAGGGGCAGTCGCAATCCGATTTTTTTTTAGGTGGTGGTGATGCTCCAACTTTTTTTTTTTTTTGCGCGCGAAGAAAGCAGGCGGGTCTCGATCGACAAGATCGCGCCCAGAACCGAGAAACCCCAACTTCTCTCCACCTCATCGATAGTATTCGAAAAAACTTCTGACCCCCGTTCAGCGCAACTCGGAACAAAGGACAAGAAAAAAAGAAAAACACAGCACAACCCCGCCATCATGTCGAAACGATCAGGCGAAGACGAAGCCGCCGGCGCCCTCAAGGACCGCGAGAGGCCCGACCAGATGGACATGGACGTCGACGACAAGGACATTGGCGAGTTCGCCGACGAATTCGAAGACGAGTTTGAGAGCGAGGACGAAATCATGGAAGCCGGCGTCGACGGCCGCCCCGACGCCGAACGAGAGGCCGAGGAAAAGAGTGCGTGTTGCAAAAACCAAATCCCTCCCCTGTCAAACCGAACCCGTCCAATAGTTCTAACCATTCTTTCTCTTCCTTCCATCCAGGCATGAACGTCGACCAAGGCACCTTCATCATCGGCCGCCACAAGCTCGAGCCCGGCCAAGTCCTCGCCCCCGACACCTCGGCCTACGAGATGCTCCACTCCCTCAGCACCCCTGGCCCTGCCTCTCCTTCGACCTCGTGCGCGACCACCTGGGCAGCGACGCCCACCGCGGCAAAATCTACCCCGCCACCATGTACGCCGTCGCCGGCACCCAGGCCGAATCCGCCCGCTCCCGCGAGAACCACCTCATGGTCGTCAAGCTCAGCGGCCTCGGCCGCGTCGAGCGCGACGCCGCCGGCGCCGACTCCGACGACGAGGGCGACGAAGGCGACGACGACGAGGACTCGGACCCCATCCTCGAGAGCCGCACGATACCCCTCGGCTCCACCACCAACCGCATCCGCGCGTGGCAAGCGTCCCCCGACGCCTCTTCCTCTTCCTCTTCTTCCACCATGCCCCGCACCCTCACCGCCGCCATGACCGAATCCTCCGACATCCACATCCACGACGTCACCCCCACCTCGCCTCCTTCGACAACCCAGGCCTCGTCGTCTCCCCATCCAGAACCAACCCCAGCACACCATCCGCGCCCACAAAGCCGAAGGCTACGCCCTCGACTGGTCCTCTCTCGCCGCCGCCAGCCGACCCCGCCTCCTCACCGGCGACAACGACGGCCTCATCTACCTCACCGCCGCCGCCGACGAAGCCGCCACCACTTGGTCCACCGAAGCCAAGCCCTTCCGCGGCCACGCCAGCAGCGTCGAAGACATCCAGTGGAGCCCCTCGGAGCCCTCCGTCTTCGCCTCCGCCTCCAGCGACGGCACCGTCCGCGTCTGGGACGTCCGCAGCAAGAGCCGCAAGCCCGCCATCACCGTCCAGGTCTCCTCCACCGACGTCAACGTCCTCTCCTGGTCCCGCCAGACCTCCCACCTCCTCGCCTCCGGCGCCGACGACGGCGTCTGGGCCGTCTGGGACCTTCGCCAGTGGAAGGCCGGCGGTGGCGCGGCCGCTAAGCCCACCCCGCTCGCCAGCTTCGACTACCACAAGGAGCAGGTCACCAGCATCGAGTGGCACCCCACCGACGACAGCGTCATCGCCGTCGCCGCCGCCGACAACACCGTCACCCTCTGGGATCTCGCCGTCGAGCTCGACGACGAGGAGAGCAAGGACACCGCCGGCGTCCCCGATATCCCCCAGCTTCTCTTCGTCCACTACCACAACGAGGTCAGGGAGCTGCACTGGCACCCCAGATCGTCGGCAGCCTCGTCGCTACCGGCGAGCAGTTTAGCGTGTTTAGGACCATCAGCGTTTAAGGCAAGGGACGGTGGCTTTTGGCGTTGGATTCGAAGCAGCAGGTCAAGGCAAGTTGGACGGGAGGAGGAGGAAAACAAAAAGTTTCACGTCTACGTACGGTTAGGATTAGATTGCATTTGGTAGGTTCCGTTTCTCAAGAATAATGAATAAACATTAAACAACCTCCCTCTTTCTTACTCTCTCTTTCTTGCCTTCCCTATCTTGCTTCCGACCAACTTGTAATTTCCAGACCCTCCCCGTAAACATCATCATTCGAGCGGCCCCGCGCAGACACAATGCAAGAAGAGAAAAGAGCTGGAGGGTAATGAACAATACCGATAAAACAACTCAAAAGTTCAATGCTATGCTGAGATATTCTCTATTGTCTGATACAGCCTCAAAACCGGGCGAGGAGGAAACAAAAAACCAATACTCAACAAGAACAGAGCGCCCGCATCCATCCCCCAATCCCCTTGTGCACACACTCCGCGGCGCTCCTTCAAGCAAAGCGACCGACCAATGCATAGGATCCCAAGTCTAAATTATAAACAATACCCAAACACAAACACAAAACAAGGCATCCAAATGCTTGCTTGCTTCCTTCCTACACTCCACCAGGCAGGGCCACCCACCCGAAACCCCTCGTTGTGCGTCAACGTATCTATATTGATATGAAACCTCCAATGACCACCTCGGCGGAGGCCACCCTCACACCATACTCATACAAGTCATTTCCTTTTCCCTCATCTTCGTTTTCTTTTCAGAAACGTGTAAAAATGGTAGTGAGGCAGGGGCAGAGACACTTTCCAGCTTTGGCCCAGAAGCCCCATCAGTTGCTGAGCGCCGCCACGAGCGTTCCGCACCTGCTGCACAAAAATCTCTGCTTGCCGTTAATCTTCTTGGCCTTGAAATCCCGGTTGCCGCACTTGTCGCACGCCGCCTCCTCTCCCTCGTCCGTCATGTACTCGGACGCCGTCTCCGACTCCCCCGACACCGAGTCTTGCTCTCCCGCTTGTTGACGTCGGACCTGCTCGCCGTAGTCGAGTGGGTACGAATAGGGCTGCGCATCAAACGCCCTGCCGTTGGCGCGCTGGGACTGTACCTCCATGGGAGACTCGCCCTCGGAAGCGAGATTCGACTGGCTTCCCCTTGGAGTCGGGTTGTAGGTCTTCGCTCGACGGAACATCTACTGTACGGACGCGCGCCTTGTCCTTGGCGTCGGCGCCGGCACCGCCAAGGATGGTGGCCCCGCTCGCCGTTCGCCTTCCTTTGAAGCGGGACGTGATGCTCCAGAGCGCATGCGTTCTACCGCTTTCCGGCTTTGCCTCCTCACTCTTCTCCTCAATCGGTCGAAAGGCAAAGCCGGGGGTAGGTGGGCCATCCTGGACGGCGCCCTCTCCGAGGCCGGGCTGTTGGGGAACACGCTGCGCAAACTTGGCGATGTCGAATAAGGCTGCCGTCTCGCCTCGGACGCCAAGTTGGCAACCGCCGTGTTGATCGGAGCAGCCCGGGAGGACCCGCGGGGCGGAGACCTCGACCTTTCACTGTTGACCGTGGTCCCACCCGCAGACCCTGTGCGGTTATGCTCTATGCCCTGCCGCCAAGATAATATCCTGTCGGACGACCCCGTCGGAGGAGCGCCACTGGCGTGGTGAGAAATCGACGTCCGCCTCGAGTGAGAGAGGCTGTTATTGCTTGTCCGGGTAAGTACGCTCCCACTTCGAGCGAGCAGACCGCCGGCAAGCTTTTTGGAAAACGTCGACCCCGTTTCCCAGCTGTCGTTGCGGCGCTTTTGGAACGCGCAGTCTTGCCGAAACACCTTGATGACACCCGTGCGATCGCTCGTCACGATAATATTGCCGTCGTAGTGGGTCGACCTCGCGATATACGCGGGGACTCATCCGGCTTGCGCACCACCGGCGCCAGAGCCTCGGGATGGCTGTGCTCAGAAAGCCCAGTCTGGCTCATGGTCGCCTCTTCCCTGCTTAGAAGGGTAACAGGCGGCGGATTGCAGAGATCGTAGATTGGATCTCCCGAGTGGCCCAGCAACCGGCGGGTGGCTGTGGGAGCGAACACGGCGGCCGTCAACATCTCAGTATGCGCATCAAACGACTCATAGGGCCGTTTATCCTTGCTTTCGGCGTCCGTCGAGCTAATGGACCAGATGTACGCCTTCTTGTCCTCACTTCCGCAGATAATGTACTGGCCGTTATCGCTGAAGCTGGCGCGCATCTGCGTAAACTGGTTCTCGTGGCCCTTGAACTTTGCCACCAGGCTCTTGTCCTTCAAATTGTACACGCGAATGCGAGAGTCGGTCGACGTTACCAAGACCTTTACGTCGCCTTCACCGCCGTTGACGGGGATCGGCATCGCCTGCAGACCCGTAATCTTGCTCCCCTTGGCATTCTTGCCCCTCGACGACCGCACGTGGATTTGCGTGTGATACTTGAGACCGTCCGTCTCATAAAAGAGGCAGAGGCCGTGGAGAGTTCCGGCAATGGACGTCGTCCCGTCGGGGCTGAACGCGACAGCCGTCACGACCTCGGGCAACTGGGCCTGGTACGCGACCGACTTGTCGGGGATACTCCAGAGACGAAGATTAGAATCTACGCTCCCGGCAAGGAAGAAGCGGTCGTCTCGCGGATGAAAGGCGACGCTTGCTACCGGCTCCTTGTGCTGAAAGGCACACAGGCACTCGTCCCTGCTCATATGCCAGAGGCGTACCGTCCTATCCATGGCGGTCGACAGCAGGAAATTGTTTTTACTCCAGCTCAAGTCCAGCACCTCGCCCGTGTGGCCCTTGAACTCACGGATCGGTTTGCTGCGGAAAACGGGGGCGGAAAGCTTTTCGCGGTTCATGTCGTCGTTCGTCTCCTCTTCCTCGTGGAGTTTTCGATCTTCATGCGTGGCGAGAACAGCGAATACCCGAACAACCTGATCACGGCCGCCCGCGGCGAGATATCGACCGCAGTTGCTGAATGCCAACGCCCAGACAGCGCCGCCGGTATCTTGATCGCCCTTTCCGCGTCCAGGCAGGGGAGGGTCGTGTGCGTCTGAACATCGTCTTCCGGGGTGTCCGCGCCATTCGGTAGGGTGCCGACGAGTTTCTGCGCAAGGAACACTCGGTTGAACTCGCGCACCTTTTTGTGATGCCGCCTAAATTTGATGTAACGCGGCGGTTCTTTGTGATGGGGTATATACACGTAGCCCCCGCCGCCGGAGCCGCCCGAAAATACAAGGGCATTCGTGCCATCGGTGCGCTTTTCGCTCAGATCCGAGTCGTCGTCGTCGGCGCCTTCGTCCTTCTTCTTTCCTCCCCGCATACTAAGAAGACCGAGGAATGATCCCTTCCTATTCGTCCCCACAGTAAGGTTAGCAACACGGTTCCCATGGTCAGGTCTAAAGGGGATCGGATTATGTTCGAGGCCACCACGCCCACCAGGAGGACACTACGCACTTCTTTTGGCCGTCGAGGGACCAGTTGACTGCCTGAAGACAGAATCGGCATCAACTTTATGGGCGGTGTCGCTAACGGGACTCTCAGGGGAAGTGATCCACGACCGCGAATGGACCGGGCAGGATCTGCGCCCGTCTTGAGAAGAATGTGCTGTTATATATATGCTAACGTCAGCCTACGCCTTGTTACTTCATTTATGCTCCGGGAGGTTGTAGGATCAACAGGAGACGAACCTGTGACAGGGGGTCGAGGGGGACGAGGAGGTCGGGAATGAGGCGGTGGCGGATCTGGTCAACGGCCTTCCATCCTTGCTGTCTCTCGTCGACGATTTCAGGGACTTTGTCGAGGGGCGCTTCCCATTGATAGGTGAGGTTGCGGGAACTGATCGGAGTAGGTTAAATTAGCCACGCCAAGCTTGCGCAGAGGAATCGGGTAACACTGCCGCACTGCCGCATTGCTCGCAACTCTTTTTTTCCCGAGCCCCGGGGGCTGGCGGCAGGCTGCCCACCAACGCAGCGGAGGGCTGTAGGAAAGAGCGGGGCGGGACGGGCAGCTAGGCAGGCGGATTAACAGAGAGTTGGACAGGTGGGCCAACGCACCTTGAATTTCAGAGACCGTCTTGGACTTTTGTAGACTCTTGGTATGTGAGGGATTACGCGCGAGCTTCTGGTTCATGGCAAAGCTCCCATCAGAGGGTGGGCTCGAGGGGCTGACTGGCGAAGCCAAGTCGCCGCCCAGAGGCACCCGCGAGACATTGGGGACCGACATATCCCATGATTCGGAGCTCGTTATCCGCGGATAGGTGCCTGCGCAGGGCGCAACTTGTGTAGAAGAGCTGACGCAAGCGCGTGGGGTTGAACAGTGGACTCGGCCTCAGCGTTTTGTTTTTTTCGTACACGAAATACGAGTATTCAGAGATCTGTTCAAGCAAGGTGGGCGGAGACCGAGAATAATAGGGGAAGCTCGGCGATTGGTGAGCTCTCAAGCTGACGGCGACAGGGGCACCAACTGAGGAGGCTTGTGCGGCGGGGAATCGGTTCGTTCGTCAATGTTCGTTGTTGGTAGCAAATAAGAAGCAAGAGAAGAAAATAAAAAATTATTACTCGATATGCGATGCTGCAGCACAGCCTATTCTGCTTGCTTGCTTGCAGCTGTCTCGTCGATGCAGGGAAGAAATATGCCGTCCAAGATGTTCAAGGAAAAGGGAAATCGGAATGAGGGCCCCAGCAAGCTATTACTATTACAGGCGTTTCAAGAGTGGTCCAGTCAGTCAATCGTCAAAAGGAAGGCTCGGAAATTCGCCGAGCAGGGGTGGCAAAGGAGCAGATAGGGGAAGCTGATGGCTGGGACGGATTCGGTGGGTCTGGAACCCCCGTTTGGGGGTTATTGATGAAGCAGGGGAAATTGAGGTGTGGAGGGTGGTGAAGCGGAAACAACCATGGACCAAAGAAGGATGGGGGATTCTTTTTCTGGTGAAGCTCGGCCCAGGGTGCAGGGGATGAGGAGAGAGACAATGAATAATATTGTGGGTGTATCCTTGGATTGATTGGAAATGCTAGCGAAGGGACAGAAAAGACACAAGAAAGGGAAAGGGGGAAGCTCATGGTAGGGCAAAGAAGTGTTGTGAGGGGTCCATGATGAGAATCAATTGATTCATATCCACATCAGCATCAGCATGAGCGTGGTGCCACGTGAAATGAGCAAAGTGGTGATGTTGAGATGAGCGTGGACCAGACCAAATCAAAGTGCGTAGTGTGTAGTGTGGAATGTGTAGTATGTAGTGGGAGTTGTACACTCGACTGCTACCCGCGCTGCCACTTTCAACGCATTGGGCTCGCAATATTGTACCGCACCGCACCTGCCCACTAGGCCAGGCTAGTTATCATGAGACGCCCCACTGTGCGACTTGTGCGGTGCGCCAAACACCAGCTTTTGCTTCACAACCCAACGACGCGGCAAGTGCAACCGGCCACGACAGAGGATCCCGCGCAGGCGCCCTTGCAACATGAAATCAAATCCAGGCCATTCAATACATACCTTGGTGACGGTTGACCGACCTAACAACGAAGGCCGCATGCACAAGCTGAAGCCAGCTCGCTCAAGATTCTCGAGTATTCTTCTTATTTCCCAAGCTTCGTCGCTTATTATTCGTGTGTCGTCGTGCAGAGAGAGATAAACAGCTTGGTCGGGTCGGCGAACAGAGCTCGCATGGACCGTGGGCAAGGAACCAATCGCTTAGGCCACAAGATTAAACCTCGATGGAACCAGTGTGTCGGATCGAACAAGGGCTGGCTCGCGCTCGGGGGCGGGGGCTTCGATACGGGAAACGGGGAATTTCCGGAATGGGTGAGTCGTTCGAGGTCTCGGTTTCCCAACCAACAGTCTTTGGGGAAGGGGGAGCTATTATTTCTTTCTTCTCGCCGTCTCGCACAAGGACGAAAAAAATATATATATATGACAGCCGCGAGGAAGAGATAGAGATGACGACAAAGAGGTGAGGGAAAGAAAAGTTTAAAAGGGATTGAAATATGCAGAGTCTACATCAATGATGTAGAGAGTCAACGTGGGTTATGTATCCACGGTATCCTATGCTGGCTGCTGCTGGATTTGAAGAATATCAAAGGCACATGTATCCATGGATGGATGTACCGTACCAGGAAGAGACCAGGGGCTCATGCCTTTCGAAGCCCATGGAACGAGTTCTCATCCAGGTTTTCTTCCCAGCCCAGTCATGGCAACATGGATAACATCGAAAGATGAATGGCTCATAAAAATGGTTGCCGTGTCCCCAATAGGGTTCAATGTTGGCATCCAGCCCATGCTACTACTACTAGCCCGGAAGCGACAGGAGCGCCAAACGAAAAACCTGCGACCATTTCCTCCATGTCGCCTATGATCCGAGGCGAGGCTAGAGAAACCCACACCTAGCGGCATCGATCAATTCACTTGACGAGGGAAAATATCAAGAAAGGCAACTTTCCATCTACACCCCCTCCCTTTCGCCAGACGGAATAGCGAGCCGACCCATCTTCCATCGTGCATCGCTCGATGCCGTGCCGCGAATTTTCCAGGGTCGAGGGCAGCTCTCCCATTGTTGCAGGCCCTTTTTTGGGAGAAGAGACGTGGTGGATCTGTCCCGTTTTGGGATGGTTCATGTCCGAAAGGGATTGATGACTGACGGGCCTCTGATGCACTTATGATCTGCCATGGTTTTTTGGTACAGGTATGTTCTCAAACCACGCTTTTCCACCTGTTATGCAAAAGTGCTTTCTTCTGCTCGTCAATATCTCTGATGTGTTCCTTGCACATCCGCTCCCGGCATGATGTCAATGTCAAGGTGTTACACAGACACGGGAGGAAGAGCACACGCAGTCGATATTCAGGCTTGCTTGCCCTCCTCCCTCGTCATACCCACTTCGGGATTTGGGAGGATCGGATTTTTTTCTTGTATTTATTTTTATTGAATTGCCTTCTAAAGTGGTAGCTCCCGAGTAGCTTGATAAAAAAACAATGATTAAAGTGAAACTAGACTCGCACCGCCGACTGCTTGGGCCCGTCACTAGGTGCTGGGCTGGGATAGAGTTAAATCGCGTAAGCCACAGGACTGAAGCTCCCACCTTTGCGTGATGACGTAGTGGGGATTTTCAAGCTCCAGCAAGCTTGCCCAACCACCACTCCAAGCTCAAGGTTATTGCCCCACAACATAGCATTTCATATAGCATTTCTTGATACTGACGCCCAGGAGAAAAATAAAGAAACAGGAGAAAAAGGAGAGAAAAGAAAACAAAGGCTTAGGACGGGTCGGTTCGGCTTGTCTAGCCCGCTGCTGCCACTGCCGTTGCCCTGACTGATAACGCAAGGCACCGGCCCAGACTCGGGACCAAAATCCGGTACCGTCTGCAAAGGCGGCACATGGCTTTGGCTCTTTGGAGGCACCTGGCAAGGTGATGTAAAGGAAAAGCAGGTGCGAGTTGTGGCTTTGGATTTATCCAACTGTCTCGGATTGCCCATCTGGCAGCCATGTGGCGAACTCTAGGCCCATGCGCGTGTTGCACCCACATCACCGCGAACCCGACATGGCTGAGCGAGACACGCAGTCTCAGAAAAACCCTTGGGGCGCACCCTCTCTTTTCTTTTTTTTTCTGGGTTTATCTTTTGTCTTATGCTTATCAGTCCACTCGCGGTGTTACCTATCCAACGAAAGCTGCAAGAAAGAAAGGAAGAGGAAGGGAAAGACGGGTCGAAAAGCCAAGGCTCCGGTTCGTTGGCTTCGGCGGAGACTCTAGCCCAGTCCGATAAAGGACCGAAAAACCAGTAGTCGCTCCTATACTCCGGGCCCGTTCTTATCGTCGCGCTGGGTCCGGTGCCTCATGTTTCAGAGATTGACATGTGAAGCTGAGCTGCCAGCGTAGTGAGTTTTGTGAGAGTTCAATTTTGGTTTGCAGTAGATGAGCAAAGAACACAATCGAGGTGAGTAGCATCTTGCGGCTTGGGGTCTGACAAGATCATGTCAACCTCCTTGCTAGACCCTTCCCGGATTATGAAATTAGTTCCTATTTACCTAAGCACAAAGAAAAAGGACAGAGAGTAAGAGATAAATCAAACCGTGTTCCAAAGAAATCTAAGAATATAGGTGTCACGAGTGATGCGGCAGTCTAATAGCCGTGATTTTACAATTCATGTTGTCAATTCAACATCAATAGCATAAGCTACATAGTTGATGTAAGCTTACACCCACAATGTATGCACTCTCGCGGCGAGGAGTCATCAGTCCACATGCACTCGATTTGCAGACCCAAGTGGCAAGCAGAGCATCAAATTCAAAGCAATAGACGTCCCCGGCCCAGCTTGTTTCTGCAATTTTTTCGGTTTTGTTAGAATGTAGGTTCCCTCAGCCAACTCATTTATGCTGATATACCTCACTTTTTTTTCTCATCACGGTTCGTTCTCTGCAACTGCGTAGACTTGGGCCTCAGGAACCTGAGAACCTCGATTCAACGCGCGGAAGAATTTTGGGCTGAAGGTCAACTCACGCCTGGTGACTGGTCCCTACGCCCCTCAACCCCGCCCCCACCATGAGCCAAGCCTCGACAACTTTGTATCGATAACCGCACTCGTCCACCACCCACACATTGATACCCCGACACCTAACCCGGCCAGATCCCTTCCTCACCAGAGAGTCCAAAATATATCCTACGCACATCCAGCTCGACAGCTCGAACGACTCCGAAAAGAAAAAGAAAGCCAAGCCCGGTGTACAGCCGTAAAAGGAAAAATCCGATACAACAAAAAATACGTCCTCGTGGACAACCTCCTCGACGATGAAACTCCTCCGCACCTCTCGAGGCGCAGACCTCACCGAACACGCACTGACGCTACAAGGCGAAGAAGCCGACGACATGTGGAACGCCTACAACATCATACTCCCGGGGACGTCGTACGGGCCGAGACGACGCGCAACGTCTCCCACGTCACGGCGCTCGGCTCCGCCCAGACGCAGCGCGTCTCGTGCGTGCTCTCCATCACCGCCGAGTCGACCTTTTGGGATCCCACCGTCACGGAGCTGCACGTCAAGGGCCGCATCGTGTCGGAGACCTCGGTGGCCAGCCTAGGCCAGTACCACACGCTACGACTACAGGTGGGTAAACCTTTTACCATTGACCGCGCCGACGGGTGGGACTCGGTGTCCAAGACGATGCTCAACGAGGCCCTGCGCGTGGACAAGGACGGCGCGGTCGCCGCCGTGGTGATGCAGGAAGGGCTGGCCAACATTTGCCTCGTCACCGAGTCCCGAACGATCCTGCTGCAGCGCCTGGAGCGCAAGGTCCCCAGCAAGCGAGACACCTCCAAGCAGCTGTCGCAGGGCTCCGCGCCTTTACGAGCTCGTGCTGTCCAACCTCGTGCGCGAGATCGACTTCGAAACCCCGCGCCCTTTGCTCCTCGCCAGCCCCGGGTTCGTGGCCGCCGACTTCAAGAGCTTTATTGGCCGGCAGGCCGTCGGCGGCGAGCGGCCCGACAAGCTGCTGCTCGGCATCGTCAACAACGCCACGATCCTGCACTCGCCCAGCGGCCACCTGCACAGCCTCAACGACGTGCTCAAGAGCCGCGAGGTCGCCGCCACGATGAAGGATATGCGCTTCGCTCGCGAGGCCCAGTACATTAACCAGTTTTACGAGATGCTGCGCAAGGAGGACAGCCGCGCGTGGTACGGCCCTACCAGCGTGGAAAAGGTCGTGGCCGAGGGCGCCGTGGGCGTGGGCGGCGTCTTGCTCGTGAGTGATTCGCTCTTTCGCAGCGAGGATACCGACACGCGCAAGAAATACGTGGCGCTCGTGGAAAGGGTCACGGCGGGCGGTGGCGAGGCCCGCATCCTCAGCAGCGCGCACGAGTCGGGCCAGAGGCTGGGCATGCTGGGCGATATCGCGGCGATCCTCACGTACCCCGTGTACGAGCTCGACGAGGAAGACGAGGATGTCGGGCAGGCTGCGGCGAATGAAGTGGAACGGCCGTTGGAGGGTAGCATAATATAAAAAAGCGGATTTCTATTTCTTGGGGTTATTGTTCTTTTGCTTTTTGGTTTCTTCTTGGACAAGCTACATATATCCAACTTGGCTCTTGTCGTTCTTCATTCTCCGAGCATTTTGGCTTAATCCTTGCCAATCCCCTTTTCTCTAGGAATTCTTATAGACGGCCTCTGAAATCCTTTTGTGTCTTTTACGTCCACTTCAGCACTCTGGTGACTTTTCTTTTTTTTTCTTTTTTTCAACCTCGGGCGCATCTCGTCAAGCTACCCCGCACTCAGACAGCAAACACTCCATCACAGCAATTTTTACCCCGCCATTTGACTAACAAAGAGCTCATGACATCACAGGTGGATGAAGAAAAGGCCCCCAAGAAATGCGTGTGTGGGTTTTTTATTAAGAATGCCAAAAATACGAAGGGCTCCCATATCAGAGTTTGAATAGTTTAGAAATTGCGTCTTTATCACATTGTTATATCAGGCCTTTCAATATCATCGGTTCGATTTAGACAGAATACTGACAAGATTGGCCATTACTCGGTACGCCACGGCTCTAATGGCACGTTGCAACAAATCCAATATAAGGATGAGCAGACGCACAACGAATGGGGAAACCGGAGCGCATCATCTCAGGAACTTGGGAATAAAGAAGCCGAACAAAAATCCATATGCCAAGACAAGAAGGAGGATTCTGCATCGCAAGAAGCCAAGCGAGCAGAGCAACACACCAGAAAGCACCCGGTCCTAAGCTCGGTAACCCGGTGGCGCCATCTCCCCCGTAGCACGGATCAATTGATACCTCATGCCTTGCACAGTACCGAGGTACAGTGTCCCCCATCTGGAGCAGAGCTTCTTTTGATACATGCACTTTCGGACCACAGGCAACCAGAGGCTACCTTGCTTCTTTTTTTCTTCCTTATAGTACGACGATCTATTAGATGCCACTTTTAAAGGAAACAAAAAGGATAGAAACAAAAGCAGGAAAAGAAACCCAGGGAAGGAGAAAGGAGGGGCCAGGCAATCCGTCAATATCCCCTCTAAATGGCGTGCCGGCGTCCGGGTGGGGCTAGCCCATTATCTGCGGCTACGATTTACTGCACGTAGTCACCATCTTATGTTGGATCTTAACTATCAATGTGTGCGTACATTGATACTCTTAGTTAGCCCACGGGTACCCGTCACAGTGACACCATTTTCTCTAAACGCTAACACGACGGTCTAGATCGTGTTGCGTAGCTAATCGTCCATCCTTACCAGCAAAAACCAGACCGGAAGCTATCCATTGTATGTACATTGATCTACGTACCAGGGGGCAAACCCCGGCACCGTCCGGCTATTGCAACCCCTCCCCCACTCTTCGTCGAGAGCTGTCCCCGGAGTCGGCTCTCACGCAACGAAGCTGCGTCTTACAAATCGAACCCATCAAGCTCCCAATGCTCTCTCTCCTGTGCCGCCACCGGTTTCCGGGCTTGCTCGTGGAGAACATATATGGGACCTCGAGACCCCAACTTTACCAAATCCTTGCCTGAGCCATTTCCCTCTATACCCTCTCCCCTATTTCAAAGTTCACTTCCTCCCTCTCTCGATCTATTCCCCCTCCTGAATCTCAAGACTTCATCTAGCATCTCGAGACACCATGGCTCCCCTCACTCTCCAATCAGCTATTAAGCTAAACAGCGGCCACGAGATCCCACATCTCGGCTACGGTGTAAGTTAAACCCCAAACTTTACCAGAGACAACCACCCTCCTTTGTAGAAAAAGGAAAAAAACCCCCTATGATTGTCTGCCTGTGGAGTGAACGCAACTAACAGGGTACCTCTACAGCTATGGCAGACGTAAGATAAATTCCTCCCTCAACCGGACCAGCGGGGTCGCCCGTGCGAAGAAACCCCCAATGAACAGGACCTCTCTAACGCGATTTTCCGCAACAGCCCCGAAGACAAGGCCGAGGAAGTCGTCATTGACGCTCTCAACAATGGTTACCGTCACGTTAGTCAATCCCCCATCACTACCCCCCTTTCATCCATCCTCCCCTCTGCACCTCGCATTCTCGAGCATGAGCCCACGTACACAATCGACCCAAGACCCCCAAGTCTAACATTCCCCCGTGCCAGATCGACTCCGCCGCCGTCTACAAAAACGAAGCCGGCTGCGGCGCCGCCATCCGCAAAATCACCGACAAGATCCCCGCTCCGCCATCTTCTTCACCTCTAAAGTCCCCGGCCGCGGGCTCAACTACGCCGACGCCAAGGCCCAGGTCGACCGCACCCTCAAGGAGACGGGACTCGACTACATTGACCTGATGCTCCTGCACGCCCCTACGGCGGCTCCGAGGGCCGCAAGGGCGCGTGGAAGGCGCTGGTCGAGGCCGTCGAGGCCGGGAAAGTGCGGTCCATCGGCGTGAGCAACTACGGCGTGCACCACCTCGACGAGCTGGAGCGCCACATTGCCGAGCTGGAGCAGGAGCGCGGCGGGCAGGGAAAGGCGGCGTGATTAGCGTGGGCCAGTGGGAGATTCACCCTTGGCTGCCGCGCAACGACATCGCCGAGTGGTGCGCGAAGCGCAACGTGGCCGTCGAGGCCTACAGCCCCATTGTCCGGGGCGAGCGTTGGGGCGAAAAGGCCGTCGTCGCGCTGGCGGACAAGTACGGCAAGTCCGAGGCCCAGATCCTGCTGCGCTGGAGCTTGCAAAGGGCTATATCCCCCTGCCCAAGAGCGTTACCCACTCGCGCATCCTCGAGAATGCGGATCTCTACAACTTTGAGCTCACGCCCGAGGAGGTTGCTAGCCTGGAGACCAAGGAGTACGCGCCTGTCTGCTGGGATCCTACTGTGAGCCCGATCCAGGATTAAAGGGGAGGGGGGTTGTTTGTAAATATGATGTAGCAAAATGAAAAGAAGAAGGGGGAAAAAGTATCCCAACCTATTTATGCAACGAGCTAGATGTTTGCAGGCAAACTCGAATGGACTAGAATAATGTTGTAGTGCCCGTCGATGGAAGCCGCCTAGTTTCCCGATTGCAGTGCTCAATTTGTTCACCAAACTTGTAGGGGCAGATAGTCAATATTTACGTTGAGGATAAAAAAGTATTTACTCTGCATAATAGCCCTTCTTACGAGTTTCCTTTGCTTTGGATACTACAAGGGCCAGGGCAAATGGAAAGCCTGCTGTACGAGCCTAGCAATCGATATTTGCCCCTCTTGTTGAACTCTTGGATAGGAGCAAGTGAGATAACAGCAACTTCCAACTTGCATTCCGGGTCAACGGGCGGTCCACGGTGACGATCAGGCGCACGTGACTCCGTTCCCATCTCGCGAAATAGACCAAACAAGCAAACGCGGACAAGACCCCACCGAACAAACACATCTCTCACGGCTCCCAACATCACCATCTCTTCCTTTCTGGAAGCAATTTCCATTGCTCCAGTCGACCAGCTACGGATCCGTGGGTGCTCCACCTATAAGCTTGATCATGGCCCTATTATCATATAGTTCTCTTTGGCCGCGCTGATCTCCAACCCTCACCCCGCCCGATATCCCTTTTCACCCACCGACGTAAACAATCCCCTCCTTCGCCTCATAGGAGGACTCTAAAGGGCGCGTCTTTCTTTTTCACGACAAAATCACATTGGATAAAACGTATACCTCTTCTCACTCGCTCTACGAATTTTGTCCTTTTTTTTTTTTTTTTGTTCTTTATCCACGATGAATTCACGAAAAGCGCACCGTGCATACCTGCAATCCAAGCGCAACGATGGGCCCCGTATCTCGCGCGAAGAGGAACTACGACAGGAACGACGAGAGCAGGAAAAGATTCGCGAGGAAGAAGTTCTTCGCCAATCCCGCATTCGCGCGGCCGCGGCCCGGGAGAGGAAGCGCGCGGGAGGAAGAGATTCGCCTGGAGAAGAAGCGCAAGGGTATGCCGACGGTTGATCCTCGCGCCAGCCAAAACACCATTTCCTGGTTCGCGCGGAAGCCGGCTGCGAAACCGGAGCCTGTTTTGGAAAAACTCGTAGAGGAACCGGAGGACGATGATGTCGCGCTACCGGAACTGCGAGGAGCAGAACCCCGAGGCCGCCGGAGACGACTGTCCCGGGTATAGATGCGGTTGACACCGAGCCTCGCATTGAAGAAGAGGACGTCAACAAAGATACGGGAATGGAAGCCGCCGCCAACTCCTCGCAACTGAGGATCACCCAGGGAAGCGTATACAGTCATCGCAGCGCTCGACCACGGGGAATGGGAATAGGAACACGCTGCAGGAGATGCTCGGGCTCTCTACCCAGGACCTGGCGGACGACTTTGAAGACCTTTTTCCGAGCGGCACCCAGATCGCCCAAGAGATTGCCAAGGTCGACGAGACCTCCTGCCGCGAGACAACCCCAAAAGTAGCGTCACCAAAGGTGGAAGAGGCTCAAGCGGATGTGAAGGCCGATCTCGAACCGGAGGTATCCTTTGACCTCGGGTTCCTGTCCACGCAGGACCTCGAAATCACCTCCGACGACCTGCTCGAGATCGTTGGCCCCAAACCTAGCTTGCCGCCCGCCCTTGAGACAACTCCGAAGCCCCCGAGCCCCCGTCCCGACGATACTATATATAATGACCCCGCGAGGGGGCCGAACGAGGAAACGCGCCTGCCATGGCTGCGGATTTGCCCGTCCTCAGCACGCAGGACATGTTCCTGTCGGACGACCTGATACTTCCTTCATCGCCCAACTCTCACCCCTACAACGGCCATCGCTCCCACCGGCACCGCAATCTCCGACCCCACAGCCCCGGCGCTCGCCAACCCCCAGCAAGCTCCCGGTCCTGCCCCGCCCCCGCCGTCTCACCCTCCCCGAAGAGCCGCAACCCTTCTTCACCGCCAGCGGCACTAGCGAGCTCATCTCTCGCCATCCTCCGCAGTAACCGCACAGCCGCCCTCGAGCGCCAAGCCTGGAGACCCGGCCCTGCCAAACAGGCGAAACCCCGCATCGCGAGGCCGCCGCCGCCGCCGCCGCCGCCGCCAAATCCTCCTAGACCTCTCCAGCCCTACGCGGCAGCTCCGTCTACACGGCTCGGCAACAGCCCGACGGCGATGAAGAAGCCTCGTCTGCCGCCGCCGGCGGGTAAAGAAAACGAGGAGCCGTTGCTGGGGAAGAAGAGGGCGGGATCGACGCCGACGCGAGGACGGGCGAAGATGGCGCGGGTGAAGAGCGATTATGACGATGGGTGGTGGGATGAGTTGGAGGAGGATGATTGGGCGACGGTGCTTAGTGCAACGCCGGCGAATAAAATCTAGGGAATCTTCTTTTGTCTATATACGTTCCTATGCGCTTCGGATAAGCGAGGAACCGGGTCTTGTGTTTATTTTTTATTAGTTATCATTATCATTTAGATCATCGGCAGGCAATTGCATAGACAGAGAGGGTATGGGCGGACGGGCATATGATACCCAAGACACACCATGAATTCATGAATATAGCAAACTCACAACCCCCACAGCCAAAGATGGCGAGACACATCCTTTACTGATATCTGAACCTTCGTTTAAGTTTTTGAGGTTGGTCTACAACCCCTAGTGGACACATGATTGGATCCGTCCACAACGGTTCGGTGCATATTTATGGCACCGCCCACAAACATTCCTGGTTCGATGATTTAGCGGCATGCACGACCCTCAAGCTATTCGACGACAAGCTTCGACCCGTCTGCCGCCCCAGAGGGGCTAACTTCCTTGTTTTTTTTTTTCTCTCTTCTCCTCAGGTGATGCTCTTGTATCTTTTTGGGTTGTTCTCTCTCTAACCTACCTACACAAGTGGATTTCCGACCCTTGTCTTGTATCAGCAAACTAGAGCGATAACCCAGAAAGCTCAAGTCGTATAGTGGTTAGTACGTCACGTTGTGGCCGTGAAAACGGAGGTTCGATTCCTCCCTTGGGCAACAAATTCTTTTTTTTTCTTTTCCTTTCATTTTTGCTTCTCGTGCCTCTCTCTATTCCTAACCGAATTCTTCGACGCTTTGTTTGGTTAAATTCTTGCTTCAACTTTTTGTTCTCTAGGTCCTTAGGCAAATTCTTTTTTTCTGTGTGCTTTCCTTCCCCGCCCTGTGGCAGCAAGAGGCCGGAAAAGTGGGAGCAAGCTTTCTCGCATACCAAGTTCGCCCAAATACATGTACCCTATGCTGCCTCTCATCCCAACGTGAATGAATCATTGACCCAACTTTGCAACTTTGGCGACGGCGACCGTACATACGATGGGCTTATTCTTCTAGGACTTTCCCGGCTCAAATGGTCCTTGTACCATGGTCGACAGGTCTTCCAAATCATTGTACCCAACCCCACCTTTATTCTTGATCTATCGAGAAAACGCGAGGCGAGCCTGGAGACAGCAATGCGAAGACGCCTCAAACATGTAGGTTTGACAAGAATGCCGCCTTAGAGGACGAAGGCTCGGATTCTGGGCACTCATGCCCATAATTGGCCAGAGCAACAAGCCCCCTATATATCACGCATACGTGCCGGCACCCACAAAAGAGAAGAGAAAACCGAGGTTGGCCGACCGCCATATGCAGATAGAAAAGCGTGAACTTGACAAGGTATCTATGTAAGAACTAAAAGCCTCCAACTCCCTGAATACCCCTATTCCATGCAATGTCATAAAGAGAGATTAAAAAGAAAACCGACCATCTCTCACTCCCCGCCGCCTACCTTTCCCATCCGCTTGCCACCGTTACCAGGTAAACCGTCTATTCTAGACATTCAATCCTTGATGGTGGCTGTATACGTCCCGGTATTACACGCTCAAGACAAGGTGGGAAGGGAGGGCATCAAGCAAAGGAGAGAAGTAAACAAAGAGCAAAAAAGCAAAGAAGGCAAAAAAAGAGTACACCTCCAGTATGGATGATCCCTCCTGTGACGCCCTGTGTAGCCCCTCGGTATCAATCCGTCTGTTCCTCTGAAACCCCGTATGCCGTCCGTACCGTCAAAAGGTCTAGGTCCTCGTGAATGCGAATAAAGAGAGAGAGAGAAAATATGTGCCCGTCAATGCGAGTTTGTGTGAGTGTGTGTGTGTGTGTGTGTGTGTGCATAATGTATGCGTATCCCGTGTGTATATGCGTAAGTGGGTTCAAAATGTGTAGAGAGGATAAAAAGAGAGCAAGAGAGCAAGAGAGAAGAGAGAGAAAAGGGTCTCTGTTCCCTTGTGCTGCAAGGGAGGGGAGAGGAACCCCTTTGAAGGCTAGAGGTAGATGCCAACCCATGCTCCCTTATTGGTGACGTCGGAGTGACAATCGTCGACAGCGCAAAAGACTTTGGACTGGGGAGTAAGATTCGACGAGCCATCGGCGGCTTGGAAACGAGACTGCTTTTGCCGTCGGTCGTCGGCTCTCGAAACAATTTTGGCAGTAAACCTAAAGAGCGTATCGCTCCCACGTCAGTAACCTTGCTAATGGCTAGTAGGCTGTTCCATGCAGGAAGAAACTCGAGCCTCATATTGCGTGTGGAGGATCATGGTATCATGGTTGCAGAGCCAAGTGCTATAGAAGGCAAAGTAAGGGGGAGGGCAAGGGAGAAGGAGAGTCAACTCACATGGCCGCAAGCTTTGACGGCCCAAAAATGGTGTTCGCCTTGGGCTCGTTTCGCGCGCTTCTTTCCCGTGTCCTCTTTACCGCCCGCCGGGTCATATTCGAGCTCCTCGTCGCACGCCGGGCAGATGACAACCACGTCTTCTCCCGTGTCTCTCGTGAAGCCCTCGCGGGTAGGAGGCACTTCCATCTTAGGGGTGAGGGCGCCGGTGCCGGAGGAGCCTGCGGTGTGCCAAAGGCGGTGCGTTGGTAGTCGAGGTGGAAGCGATTGATGGGGTGGGGGTCGAAATTATTGTTGTTGTTCATCAGATGATGGAGGTTCGGCATGGGAAGCCTGGGAGGAGGGCCTGTTTCGCGAAGCCCGGCGGTGAGGGCGGCAACGTAATGGAGTGCGTTGGGCAAGTACGCGAAGGTGGGCCTTCGACGGTCGATGCCCCCAGCACGCGGGCGTCTGCCTGGAGCTAGGCGAGGCAGCGCCATGTAGTCTGGACCGGCGTTGGGCTCGAGGACGCGAGCAGGGCCCGAGGGGAGGGGAGGGCGTTGGGTCCGGGGACGGCTCGCGCGTGAGGTCAATCACGAGCTCGTCCCCGTTGCCCGTGTTGCCCCCGGCGAGGATATTGCTGTCGGTGCGGTTGAAGCTGGGGGCTGCGTCGTAAAGAGTTTGTTCTTCGAGCGCGGAGGCTTCCGTTGGATTGTTCTCGGCGTGGTGCGCGGGCCGCGGGGGCTGTCGGGCTCTTCGGTGAGGTCGATGAAGGCGGGCTGAGGCGGGTTTCTAGGCCGCGTGTCGAGCCAGGCCACCTCGACCTCGACGAGTTCGTCGGCCTGAGTGGCCATGATGTTGGGGGAGGGGTGTTGGAAGAGGATTCTGCGTCCCGCGAGCTCGCTCAAGGAAAGGCGGGAGTAAAGTCGACAAAATAGGAGAGGGAAGGGGGTGAGGGGGAGGGTAGAGCGAGCGAGCGAGCGAGCGGCGGCGGCAGGGGAGACCAATCGAGGTGAGAGGAGGAGATGAACAAAAAACAAAAGCAAAAAGAAAAAAGAGAAAAAAGCGCTGAGAGAAAATTCTAGTTTCGTAAGCGAGGATATCTTCGGGTTTGTCTCAAGACTTCGAGGCGGGTTTAGAAAACAAAGGTTGATCCATTCGAGGAAGCCGCCGTCGTCGAAGGAGGGGTGGTTTTGTGATCGGAGAAAACGGGGCGAGAGAAGACGGTGTAAACCAGGCGGGACCTCCCAAAACTAAAGTTCGAGACGTCACGCAGCAGCCACAGCAGGAGAGGCGAGAGAGAGCCTGGTAGGTGGAACCGCGCCGGCTGTTGTTTTACGATTGCTGTTTTGTCGAGAGAAGAGAAGGCAGCCCTTCCTTGGAGAAATGAAAGAGGGTTTTTTGGTTTCGGTTCAGCTCCAGGCCGCACGGTAACAATTGCCGCAAGGGGAGAGGGTTTTGTCCAGTTTTGGCACCAAAGGATGGTCGTTACGCGGGGGATAAGTGGTTTTGAAGGGATTCAAAAACGGGCGGCAAATGCCCCATTCTAAACCCTCAAGTGCAAAGGAGGGTGTGACCCGCCTGAGGGTGCGAGCCTGGCCTGGCCTAGCCCACGGCATAATACTTGTCAACAGCTCTCGTCCATGCTTTTTTCCCTCGGTGGCAACCACATTGATAATAGTTGCTGAGCTAAGCAGAACCAACGGGGAAACCGCCCCCCTTCCCAGCTTCCCGGGATTGGCATTTCAGGCGGCTCCGACAGGAGACAGAGATGGAGACACACGACCGCAGTTGGACGCCAGTCATCAATTGAACCATCTATGAGATCCATTGGCCCCATTCATCAGACTTTGGTTGGGTTGACACTGTACCTCGGAAGGCAAGGGAACAAAGGATACATTGGGTCTTGCTGTAGGCGAAACTGGCAGGCAACATTCGATTTCATCCAACACTAGAACCAGCTTTCGAGGACTCGGGCCAGGCCACAACGTTTGCCTAGTAAACATAATTTAGAAGAAGGGAGCCTCGGCCTTGGTCATTTTGCGAATCTCGGAGGCTTCTACCTATTTGTTCTTTTTCGTGATCCTCCTTTGTTATTTTTTTCTTTTGTTCTCCCTCGGTCACCAATAGAATCATTGCCCTCTCCAGATCTTGACCTTTTGGAGCGCAGGCGAGAACATTGGATCTTGCGTGATTCCGGGGTGACCACTAATAGTCGCTGCCCCTGAGGGGAAAGGTGCGCCTTAGAGGAAACCTCGAATTGCCATTTTGGGCCTCCGACCACGTGAAGTCATTGAACCCAACTTTGAACTTCCAAGTTTTTGGTGGCCAATAGCTTGAAGGCAACACAAGCTCGCAGTTTTTAGCTCCAAGCCAATCCAGCGCAAGCTTGCAAATAAAAAACCTTGGGCTTCGAAGACTCTAAAAGTGGTGATCTGAGAGGAAAAGACCAAGTCTTGAGTTGTGATCTTGGTGGGTTTATCAGATTGATTTTCGTTTGGAAGACTTACACTTTTAGGGGAAACGGAAAAAGAAGGAAGCAGATAAGGAAAAAAATGAAAAGAAAAAAGAGACAAAAAAACATACAACACCGGGGATTCGCTGGTCGTCACCGACCCAACTACTAGTCCGGCGCTTCGCAGCTTGTGTACAGGGGAGCGGACGGGACCCTCAATATTCTACGAGCTATGGTCGTATGTACCAGACACCCGTCCAAAACTGCCTAATAAGGGCAAACGAACAGCACGAATAACCACAATCTATTGGACAACTTGAATTGAATCGACGCTCATGTGTGGTCACCCCCATGGTTTAGCAACGGATTGGATGCATTACCCATTCTGTCCCTTGAGCAGCTATTTTACACCTAGATTCTCTACCGAGACCACCTGTTTTAGAACATTGCAGGGTTGACAAGAAGAAGAAGAAAAAGGAAAAAAAGAAGGCATGCGGAGTTATTGCCCGGGTCGGGGTCAACCAGAAAGGAATGCTGGAGGAATCAAAATAAAAACGCCTCTCCCTCCCCCTTTTTTCCCCTGCTGCTCCCTCGCCACATAGTTGTTCATTGTCTGCCTCCTCCTATTCCTTCGCCGCCAAAACCGTCACGGCGCCATCCGTGTTCACCGCAACCAGCTTCTTGCCCTCCGCGCCCCACCGGATACCCGAGCTCGCCACGGAGCTCCTCAACGGCTCCGACCACGCCTTGGACCCCTTGGCGTACTGCTGTACCGTCACGCCGCTCGGCCCCGCCGTCGCGAGGAACTGGCCCGTGTAATCCCAGGCTAGGGACTGCACGGCGCCGCCCACCTCGAGGACCTTGGCCTTGGCCGCGTCGCCCTCCTTGCGCAGGTCGAACACGGTGACGGTGGTCTGGCCCTTGGCCGTGGCGGCGAACCAGAAGCCATTCTCGGAGAAGACAAGGGCCTGGAGGGGCGCGCCGAGGAGAAGACGGCCGCTTGCTCGAGGGTCTTGGTCATGAAGAGCTTGATGTCGCCTGTCGTGGTGCCTGCCGCAAAGAGGTGGCCGTCGGGATGGAACGCGGACGTCGTGAGGGCTATTTGGTTCGTAACAGCCGTTAGCATATTAGTTTTTTACCTCTTCATTGTTTGACATGGCTATATCTTTCTGGTGTGGAAAGGAAGGGGAAAAAATAGAGGGAGTGAACGTACCGGAATCCGTGTAGCAACGACCAACCGGCGTAAAGGACTCGAGATGGTAGAAGACGACGAGCTTGTCAGCGCCAACCGACGCTACCAAGTCGCCCGAAGGGTGCAAGGCGAGCGCCGTAGCAGCGCCCGCGTGTTCGGTGAGCGAGGCAATCTCCTTGCCGCTGTCGTACACCTTGACGGAGCCCTTGGCCGTGGAGACGATGAGCTTGGTGCCGGTCCAGATCTCGTCCGTGACGGGTTCGTTGACCGCGAGTTGCCGCTCGACCTTGCCTTCGTCGACTGAGAAGATGGCGGTATCGCCCTGGGCCGACGAGATGGCAGCGTAGCTGCCCTCCTCCTGTACCGTGAGGGCCGTAACCTGAGAAAAGGGGAGGGATGTGGAAGATTCGGTGGCGAACTCGGCAACCTCTTCGCCCGTCACCCATCCACCGGGGACAGGTCGCTTCTTTCGGCTCTTGGAAAGTCTTTGAAGGAGAGAAAATTACAGTTAGTACTATCAATAAGGGTTGAAAGAGGGGAGGGAAGGTATGTGAAGTGTTGAGAGAAGACTGTGGCAAGTCCAGCGACCTTTGACAAAACATAGGAGAGAGAGAGGAGAGAGAGAGAGAGAAACATACTGCTTATGCGTCTCATCCACCTTGGCAGCCAACTCCTCCGAAAGTCCCTGCACCGAATCTATCGCCATGTCATCCCCATTCGCAGCAGCCGCACCACCCGAGACAGTCACCTTGGACAGGGCATCGCGCGCCTCGTCCCGCTCCCGGGTCAACCGAGCAATGACGCGCTTCGCCGCATCGTTCTGGTACAGCGCCGTGCTGAGCTCCTCCCGGGTACGCGCCAGCTCCTCCATCAGCGTGCGGGTGCCCAGCGCTACCGAGTCCCACTCATTCTGGAAGGCGGCGAGGAGGGCGGGGATCGAGGTTAACGTCGGGGCCGCGGCCGCACCACGCGCGACGTCTTGAGGGGGATGAGGTCTTCGGCCGTGAGGGCTTCGTTCGTCTCGGGTTCCGTGCCGTTCTTCTCGACGTATTGCTCAATGAGCCGCTTCTCGTAGATGGCGCCTTTTGTGAATTCCTTTAGTGAGCTCCTCTGTTTTGCTTCGAAGCGTACTCCCCCGATGCTGCTTCAACCCACACACGCAATCGTGAAGGGGCGAAGTGGAGGGCGGGGAAAGGCAAGGTTACTTACCGGACTTCTTGGAGAGAACGGGCTCCTGGGAGCTTCCCCAGAAACTACGCACAGCTTGTCAGCGAGGAAATTCCTTAAAACCAGCCAGCCAAAGGAAAGAGGGAGGGAGGGGGGATGCTGGCTTTCCCCACAGGCCAAGGCTACGACGTACTTGCGCAAAACATTGTCGCTCCTCAATTTGTCTCCTAATCCAGAGCTACGTGCAATGTTCAATGGATTCAAGCGTATCGATGGCGGGCAAGACGTTCTTCGTGATGGAAAAAAGGGAAACGGGGGAGGGCGTCGCGACAAGGCTGCAAATCGTCTTTGCTTTCTTTCAACCAACTCGACGTCGTTTCTTTGCGTGGTGGGTTCGATTCGAAAGGCTGGGAGGATCGCAAAAAATCCAAGCTCGATCTGACGGGCTGGCACCGAGCTGCGCAGAGCCGGCAGACACCTGTCGTAACAACTTGTACTTTCCCAGCTGACAACAGCCGCAGATTCACATATCTCAATATCTACAGTTGCCCGGCTCCTTATCTCTGCCGGCCACTTTGCACGACGGGCGCATTGCTTCATTTGTCCCCAAATCGCGTCACTGGCCTTGTAAGAGCCTCCTGATAGCCGTCCCGCACCCCAACTCCTCGGGACATTCCTTTTCCCCTTCCCCTTAGCTCGCGTGCCTATCTGGCTGTTTTTAGGGGCATTTCTCGAACAAATCTAGCCCCGAAAAAAATAATCCCCAATTCTTGCATATCTTCCCGTCTCTCCCTTGTTCTTTTTTTTTTTTTCTCAAAGTTACTCTCGGGGAGTTTTTTGTTTAAGAAGAATAGAATCTCTCTGTCTCTTTTTACTTTTGTCCTCGGTCCTACCCACGCTTTGCTTTCTCAATTCCTTTATCTTTCACCCCTCCAGGTACTTAGCCGAACCACCCACTCACATCCCGCCATTCCTCCTTATCAGTCCCGAGAAGGACCAGGATGGCCGCCTCTGCGCCCGCACGACTCCCTAGTATCGCAGCCCTTCCGGGCCTGCCCCAAGCCCAGCAGAACGAGGTCCTCGACCTCCTCTTCGAACCCAGCCCGGCCATTCACCAACTTCTTCTCCCTCTTCTCCAACAACAACAGGATTCCGAACCGCTGCTCGCCTCCTACGACGACCTCATCACCCGCGCCCACGCCGTCTTTTCCGCTCTTCGCGCTGAATCCTCTGCTGCTGCGGCCAACGCGGAGAGGAGCGATGCCGCTGAGCGGGTCAAGCTGCTCCATTCCATCCTAGGCTCGCACCCCCGTCTCGGTGCGAAAAAGGTCGAGAGCGCCCAGTCCGTGGCCGAGCAGGCCCAACTGCAATCCGGCGACGGCACCGAGCTCGCCAATCTCAATGCCGAGTACGAGAAAACGTTTCCCGGGCTTCGCTACGTCGTCTTCGTCAATGGCCGGGAGCGGCCCGTCATCATGGACAACATGAGAGCCCGTATCGCTCGGGCCGACATTGGCCTCGAGGAGCAGGAAGGCATCCAGGTGAGTCAAACCGGATCCGGTGCCTCAGAACCCAGCCCTCCTCGCCTATCCAGAGTAGGTCACTTACACTGCCCGTTTTCCCCGCCACCAGGCCATGTGTGACATTGCCCGAGACCGCGCCGCCAAACTTCAGAGGCCGTGAGCGTGTTAGTTCCTCGGAATATATGTGCACATCCATGCTCCGGCCCCTTTCACCCGCTGAAAAACAAAGGTCAGGTGAAAAAACTGTGGACTGCAACTCGTTCTATGCAAGCTCACTCACTCGCTCACCTGCGCCCACCCGGGACCAACGGTTTTGATGTATAACGGGTGCATCCTGGCCGGCAAAATTAGCTCTTGCCCACCACCCAATGCCGTCTTGTTGTTTTCCCATTTTAACATGGGAGACCGTCTGGAATAGGTACGGAGAGAAGTCTAGGTTCGTTGAGTTCGTTTCTTTGAATATCTTGCCTGTGCAAAGGGCAGCAACCTACCTACGTACCTGCCCTATCATGGGCAGGGGAGAAGGAAGAGGATGTGTTTTGAAATATAGACCCTTTCTCCCCTTTCCAATTTCATCGCGTTGGTCAGGCAAACACATGTTGTTATCAAACAAGCAAAAAAGATGATCAAATCCAAATCAAGAAGCCAAGAAGCAACATTTTCCATTTCGCGTATGGGCTCATGTTACTAAAACAAAGTGGTCTCGAGAGCCACCCTCCTTCGCCCTTCCGTTCCCCCTCCCCTCCCGTTCCTCCCCCAAACAAAAAGTCTCAAGTTTTCCAAATCAAGACTATTCCTGCCGTGTCCACGAAGCCCAGATGGATATAAAAGCCCAAGACCCGGAAACCAGATGGAACAGAAGGAAGCAAAATCCGTGAAGAAACCCAGAGAAACTCGAACACCGGACGACACGATATGACCCCCAATTATACGGCTCGAAAAGGAAATTCGTCAGAAACATCTCACGATGCATATCACATAGGCCAAATCAGATAACCGCCGCTTGCCATCCTCCCCAAACAAAGGAGGGAAAAAAAACCAGATGCACCCCCAAACTCCTTGTGTCCCCCAAATGCGACGGCACAATATTCAAACAACGTGGTGGCCGAGCGGTCGGGTTCGCTCGTGTGCTGTCTCTCCCCAGAGACGGCGGGCCAAAGGAAGCCAAAGGGAAATATTAATCGTTACACCGACCGCACCGCCCACGATATACCATCGAGCTCGTCGAGATACTCCTCAAACGAATGCCCATCATCACTCTCCGCCACCGCTCCCGAACCTTGACCGAAGATGGCACCGAAATCCGAATACACGTCTTCTTGGTCATCGGCATTATCGTAGAGGCTGTCGTGATCTGCAGACGGAAACGCCTCGCAGTCATCATCGTCCTCATCGTCGTAGATACTACGCCGGTACTCCGGAGGGTTCGTGTCCTCTTCCGATACATCGTCGATCTCTCGAGCCAGCGGGGACGACGGGGGCGACATTGGTCCATGACGACGAGTAGTATCCAGCCCCGGGGCCATGGACAAATTCTGCAGCTTTTGCTGGAGCTGGGAGATCGAACCATGACCCTCGCGTTCGGGATGGCATGGAGTGGAATACCGCCCGTTGTCCGATTACCAGGGGCGCGGGCGGGTGGTGACGGCGACGGCGGCGGCGGCGGGGCAGCAGTTGGTGGTCGACCTGCAGTACGATGCGACAGCACCGCGCTCAGTTCGGTCCAGGTACAATCCTTTAGCCGTGCCCGCGTCAGGTTGAGGGTAGCAAAGCGTCGGAAAGAGGTGGATGAATGGTTTGCGTGGAGACCCCGCCTCACCATCTCGGCATGCGTGGCCATCTTTAGGAACCGCTTGTCGCCATTGGCGAGGCCTTCGCGGTTGAGGATATGGGTGGCTGGTAACGAAAAGGGTTGAGAAAGGCGGCTCGTGATGAGTTGCAGCCTGAGTCTACGCTTCTTGCAACTGACGGACGCCGTATTGGGTCCGTCGACATCGGCACCACATCTTCCACGCTTCAGGTTCGGTTTCGCGCTAGCTGAGGCGTCGTATCGAAAGGTAAACGAGGTCTTGGTTTGGGGATCGAACGGTTTAAAGGTAAAGAGTCGCTTCTTTTCAGGAGCGAGACCGAGCCGAGCTCGGTGGGGATTTCGACGCGAGAACAGGAATCGGAAGATGTCGAGGAAGATGAAGATCTCGAGGAGGGGATGCGTTTCGACGCCGTCATCGGAGATCTTACGACGGTAGAAGCACTCGATGCTCCAATCTCGACGTATATAGCAACAGCGCTCGATTGGGAGATGGCGGACTTTAAATCGACAATGTCACCACTTGGGCCGAGGCACAGCGCACCGCAGGTATGGCTCCTGGGGGTGGACCACTCGAGGTCTATTTGGGCGGTGCTAGGACGAAACGAGTCGGTCGTCGAAGGGGCATGGTGGTTGAGAAATCTCGAGCGGAAGAAGCAAGAAGTGTGTAACGGCTCGGTCTGGATCGGGGAGAGAGGGCTTATTTCGACGCCCATGATTGCGACGGGCATTTAAGCGTCTGGTAGAAGGGTCCCAGTCTCGACTACTCGGAAAAGGGGGAAAAATTGAGGGAGCAAAGGCGGTCCCGGTATCTTCTATTTTAACCCTTTGACAAAAGAGGGGTTGGCGAGGGAGACCAGAGCGAAAGGGGGTTGAATCTCGTGGTCGATCAGTCGGTAGTGGTGGTGGTGATGGGCCACGGCGGCGCCCCGCATGCCTTATTGAGGAATAGTCGACATTCACCGTTTTGAGCCGGACTCGGGTTTTAGCCTCTTTGCTTCGAGCGTTTGGCGGTCTTTAATCAAAAGGCGAAACTAGGGCCTTGGGTTGGAAATGGTTGACAGGTATGTTTCACCTTTCGTTCGTCTGAAGGACGGCGTCGGTATTTAATTCGAGAGGAAGGGGGGATGATGACCTTATCGAGAGGTTATCTAGTTTGCTTGGCGTCGTTGGATCTGAGGGGGTTCGAAGATGGAGCGAGGTCAAGATGGAGGAGGGCCTTGAAGCGGAAGGGAGCTGGAAGAGGAGGCCTTGGTGTTTAAAGGGAACCAAGAAAGAATGGGAATTGTGGTCGTGTGCCCAAAGTACGAATTGCGAAGTGGGTTTAGTGATGGTCCGGGTGTCTTTCGCTCGACAACTTTAGACTGGGCCGGGGAGGGTGTGTGGGAAATGACGAATGGGTGCGAGGGAGAAAAAAAGAAAGGTGGGGATCTGGTGAGGGAAATGGGAAGAGGGCGCCAGGGGGTGTGGGTGTTGGAAATGGGGTGGAGGGCATTTGACTCGGATTAGAAAAAGGTTGAGGGGACCCAAGTTGCTGGGAAGGGGGAAGGGGACACACAAGCAAGCGAGGGGGAGACCGCTCTCGGCAAAGAAGGGAACAATGGGTCGAATCTGATGGGCTGGAACGAGGAAAGGACCCCAGGTCTGGGCTGGGGCAGACTCGACTTGGAGGACGACAAAAGACGAGTCGCTGCAACCATCAAAGGGAGGGATTTTGCCTTGTCCGCTGTACTTTTGCACTCCAGTGGAGTCAACGTTCAAGTGCAATTCAAATCTCGCGGCGGCAGCAGGCACAATGGGAGTGCGGAATTCGGCTTAGGCAGACAGCAGCGAAGCACCTCCCAATGGTCTTGGAGAAGCTCAAGCTGCAGTCGTGGCTTGCACCGTCTAAAACGTCGGAACGTTGCCCCAGCGCAGAGGAAAAGGCAGAGGGCAAGAGAGGTAAGATTGATGCTGCGCGTTGATGGCGATTTGATGGTAGCGAGAAGGGCGTGAACGGGCGTGAACGGGCGTAGCGTGGCCTTCTCGGTAGGGGGCTTCGTTCGGCTTTCTACTTGTAATGCAGAAGAAAGAAGCCTCTCAGCTTCCGTCGTTTCCCCACCCTTCGTATTCCCCAGTGCCTTTCCTTTGTAGAGCCAGTGACTTTCGAGATGGGGGCCCTCAGGGATAGCGGCGCAGACTAGGGTGCAAGTGACGATCGTCAATCCCGAAGATGGGGGAGAAATACGCTGGAGCACGGACGGGAAGACGGGGCACGGCGCAGGGGCAGCGACAAGCACTAGATTCAACGGTGGGGAGCCACGCCCAGCAGCACAGGGCGCTGACACCCACTGACAAGAGGAAATGAGCAAGTGACAGCCTCAGCCCAACCCTGTCTCACTCAAAGCTCTTCTCCGAGGTCTCGACTTCTTCCGCAGGATGCTGTGTCAAAGAAGTAGTGCAACTTTGGTTCTCCCTCAGTAATAATAAAGAGAAATTTCCCGGTGTCAAAAGTGAAATTGGTTTCGCCTCTCCTGTCCGCACTTCGGTGACACCGAATATCGACGTGAAGCTGAAGGGATTGTAAGAGGGGATGGAGTAATAGTAGAAAAGCAATTTTCTTAACGGGCGAGAGGAGGGATGCTCAAAGGACCATTGCAACCGGGGCCAGAGGACAAGCTGAACGAATGGGAAGACCCAGCATCGATAGCTTGGTGCGAGGCATGAAACATCAGCTGTTGGGCTATGTGTCTAGTGTGTGATTTCTCGTTCGTGGTTCGGAAGAGAGGAAGCTAGGCCGTTACCGGTCTCTTGTCATCTTGTCGGAAGAGGTCGGTCGCTCTTTCGACTAGCTTCGAGAGAGAGGGTGAGACTAATCGAATTCCTCCTCGTCGAGATATAAGAGAGAAGGAAAGTGGAAAGTGTGAAAACTGCTGAGAGGTGACACGAGACCCCAGCAAAATGGCCAGGTTTCTATGGCTGTACTTCAATACGGCTAGCCTACCCTTCCCATCTCTTGCGACCGTCCTTTTGCCTTTGGCTGTTCGCGGGCCATCAATGCTTGCCATTTCCATCGGCATAACTCAAAAACCGAGAACAGGGTATTCTTCCCACAGCAAAGGGGGAGCGGCAGACACTCGCAGGTGGTAATTACAACTGCGCAGGGAGGGTCGCCTCTCTCCCCCGCAAGAAGGCGGAGAGAAAAGAAGGGACAGGGGCCGCGAGAGGAGACGAAAGATGGGGAGCGCGCATGCGTGTGAGACGAGGAAGGAAAAGAAAGAAAAAAGGTCGAGGATTATCGAGTTGCCTTGCACCCTCTCTCTCGCGATCGGTCGTGTGGCGTACAAGGGGAGCGTGAACTTGGTTCGGCGCCCCCTTTCTCCGGATGGGGTAAAACTTGGAGAGCGAAAGGGTTCAAATGTGACAAAAAGAGCATCTCGGCGAACAGGCGAGACCGGCGGGGGTCCAAAGAGATGGGTGCGATGCAGTTGGGATTGCAAAGTATCAATACAATTCAAGGCCTGACAGGGGCGACCGACTTCCGATGGGGGTCACCGAGGGGGCCCCAGAGATGGATCTATTTCAATCCCGGCAAGGATCAATCAACTGGCGACCGTTCCGCTCCCAGACTCGATTACCTGTACACCACGCTGTCGACATCCCGGCCAGAATAGCACAGGTCGACAGGCTCCAGCATGAGCTTAAGTCATCCATGATATTACAGGTACTTCGTACTTTCGCTAATGCTTCGTACTTCATGTTGTTCACGACTCAAAGGGAAGGGGTGGGAACCAGGGAGGTTGAGGGGAAGGGTCGGGGGAGGAGGGTTGGTGGCTGATCCGCAAAAGCCATGGTGTACCATCCTCCATACGAACCGGGTGCGGAGGATTCAGTCCCAGGTTCAGCCGTTCTTTCCCAGTCGATTCGGTTACCAGCTACTTGGGAAGCGGGGAGAAAAATGAGGAAAGGACAAGGGAAGCGGAGGGGTAATACGGGGAAGGCGCTGCGCAGAATGCGAGATGGAACAAACAAAGAAGCGGAAATGAGGCCCTTGTCCAACTCAAGGTTGAGAGGTTGTTACTTTTTCCTCCACATCTGGAGGCTGTCGACGTCTATGATTCGTCCTCCTGCTGTCGATATTCTGCGTCTCACAACTCTGTTTTGTGAACAGCCTCTTTCTCGTCGCCATATTTGCTTCTTCCTTCTTCGTTCTTGCCTCCAAATTAAACGTGCAATAGTGCGAACAGAGGGGAGAGGGGGGCAAAGTGAGCAAGGGGGACGGGAGGAGTGTGCGACATGCTGACAAGAGTTACCAGAGTCCCAGTAAGACGGATCCTCGCAAAGAATGGGAGGGGTGGGAGGGGAGGGGAGGCACGAGGTTACAGAATTAAAAGATGAGTGATCATATCCGCGACCCGTTCAGTTCCCATTACCAGGCTCTGGGTCTTGTCCCAATCGTCATCGTAACCAACAAAGGAGAAAGAAGAAAGAAAAAGGGGTGAGGGTTGCCCATAATATCAATAGGGGTGAGGGTTGCCCATAATATCAATATTACCAGAAGACCGCCAAAATGAAGCACGAGAGCATGGGGAATAATATTCCGACGATGAGCATGTCATGTCGCCAATCGCTTCTGTCGTGATGCGACGTCATGGCCCTGCCACCGGACCTTCGCGCCCTGAGAGGTGCTTCGCCTCTGGCATTGGCTAGGCATCAAAAGGGCCAGAAAATATTCAAGCCAAGGGCTAGGGAAGCAACATGATAAAACGATATCTGAACGTACGACGGACTGATGAGGCAACGCCCGTCGACGGGGGAAGGGGAGGCAGAAGAACGGGCGGCAGCAGGTCGACCCAAGACCCAAGGACGCGGAATTGGGGATTGGGTGGAGGTGCAGGGCTAGGTCTTGACTGGCTCAACCAAAGATTCCACGAAACCGGCTTGCTCGGGCTTGAGATGGGAGAGGAGTGGGAGAAGTAGCCCAGAGAGGGGTGGCGTTCGGTCACGACAGGGTAGAACGAGAAAGCGAGGACGACGATGCTGGATGGAGCTGATGCACTAATAATGGCATTGTAGTGTAAGTTTTTCGTCCCAAGGGGTGAGTTCATCGTGCCGTCAGGCGGAGTTGGGAGCGCCCCTTGTAGATGAAGCTGCAGAGAGCCAAGGGCCATCAGTTGAAAGCAAGAACGACAGTGGGTGCAGACATCCGAAGGAGGGCGCCACTTCTTTAGTCATGCGTCGGTGGCATTGTTGGATGGCGAGAACCGACAACCACTCACGAAACACAACTGATTTCCCCTTCAGTGAGGGGGACATGGGATCAATCTTGAAGACGACGAGAAACATTGAGAGTTGGGGCTAGGCAAGGAAGGCAAGCCAGGCATTGTGGTTCTCAAAGTACACTCAATGAGCTGGACCAAAAACAGAAGATGGTATTGATCCTGGGGGCGTGGCAAGGGTGAAAGGGTGGAAAGGGTGGTAGGGTATCAGCCACTAGTGGACAATAGTTATCCGGCTGGGGCGCTAGGGTTGGGCGAACCACAGAGCATTTCAGGGTCACTAAAGGCAACATTGAGCATCAAAAGGGGGCGCCTGCTGATGCAAAGCCAGTCCAGCCCGCGGATCCATCGACGGCTCACCTTGCCAGTCTATTTCTTGGACACGGGGAGGAGAGCGAAAGAAACAAGAACCAAGAGGCGAAAGGCGAAAGGCGAGAGGCGCGAGAGATGGAGTGCAG